ATGTTTACGTATTGTTGGTGTGTAGCTGCAATTTGCTGCTGCTGCTGCTGAAGCAGCTCGATCTGTTGTTGAATGGCCAATTGTTCCACTGAAAACCCAAAGTTATTAGTTGAGATGAATCACAACTCTCAGTCAGGGGGTGGAGGACATACTCATCAAAGGAGTCAGCTCAGAGGGACTTCTCCGGTGAGCAATATGGAGCTTGCGCCCAGCGGGGCCTGGCACCCCGGACTGGCCGCCTTGTTGATCCATGATCCTGGATGAAGACGGCGATTATTGAAGTGTGTAAAATGCGAAGTGTCGGAGGGGATCCGAGTTCAGGAGTGACTGGCGTTGCCTCCAAAGGCAATCGAACCGAGTTATTTGGATCGCAAACCGATCGCAGAGGGGTTGAGTATGTTCGAATACGAAGTTTCAACACAAGGATGGTGAAGAACTGTAGTGGTAAAGAGAAACGAGTGGGTCAGTTACGGCGAAAGAGAGATTCCGAGATGAAAACAAATGGAGATGGCAAAGGCGGGAGAGGGATGAATGGGCCCAGTGGTGGAGTAGAGTGAATGGTAGAATCAACAACAGAAGGCACCAGGTAGGGAAGGTGTATGAAGTTGGCAGTTACGATGATCGAATTCCACGGCGGGGCAACAGTTCGAACAAGCAAACAAGTTCAAAGGAGTGGAAGTGATTGTTTGGGGGTGTGGGAATGGGGAGGGGGGTTGAACAGGGAGGGGCGATGGGCAGCCAACGAGAGCATCACGCAAGCCAGTTGTTCATTTGGAGATCGGTGGATGGGGACTGCATGAAGAGCAAAACACCGAAAAAGGAAAGCCCTTACCTGTAAGAGAAACTAATGACAAGCTCGGGGTCCTAGCATTCCAAAATGACGTCTGCGCTTAGATCCAACGTGGGATTAAATTTGCCAGAGGCCAGTGAAGCGGTGAAAAGGAAGTCGGCGGTCAGAGTGTCGAGATCCTAACGGACAGTTCAAGTCAATTGCACGCTCAAGGCACCAGGAACGGGGAAGTCCTTCGAACCGAATGAAAGGAACGAGACTCGCTCGATTCAAGATTAGGAGCTGAGAGGGACCGAGGCGGCGGATGACGTTACAGTGCAGAGGAACGCACAGCGACGACACCGGGGCACAAAAAGGTGTGGGATGAAAGCAAAATGGGCACTCAATGGCGAGAGCCGGCGGGGTTGAGCCTCGAGAGGGCGAAACAAGAAGCTTGGAGAGCTCTGGTCGGCGAGGAATGCCGGGATTTCTAGCAAACGGGTCGAAAGGGTTGCAGTTCCCCGAAGAGAATGACAACAAGAGCTGTTAAGAGGGATGGGACGGAGGATGAAAGCATCAACCGAATCGAACTGAAGGAACGATGGGGGGGAGAGAGAGAGTAGAGAGAGAGAGATGGGAAGAAGAGAAGGGGAGTCGAGGAGGGGGAAAGGAGAAGACAAAAGGTGATGATGGGATCCATACAAAGCGGGTGTGGGGGATACGTATGTATGGAATTGGTATTGTCATTACACGTACTCAGCTGGAACTTCCACACCACTTTATTTCTGTCATTACATGTTCATACACTCTCCAAACACTCCCCCATGGCGGATGCGGTGGATGATCTCCATTGCCCACCTCATCATTATCCCAATGCAGCATCGAGGATGTCCGTCCCGAAGAGCGCAAAGTCAGAGAGTCTACTTCTACTCTGTGGAACAGCTATTCTACCCTCTTAATTATGAGGTCCAGCTAATGAAGAACAATGGGTTAATAAGTCTGCGGCGTTAGGGCCATTTAAGCTGGAGCAACAGGCTCGCGCTAAGGGAATGGTCCGAGTGGCTGCAACAAGATCAGTCGATACGAGCTTTACTGGGTCAAGAACAGTGAACAGTAGCCCTACACAGCTAGAATCTGTGGTAAATGGGGTATATTTAACATTCAGAAGTGGCCAGGCAGAGCTAGCTCTAGCTATCTATAGCTATAGCTCATTGAAAAGTGGATGATGCTCACAATCACAATGATGCGAGGGAAGAACCAAACTTGACGGTGGGTCTTGCTGACTCATGTATTTTATTTTGGGTCTATCAATTTACCATTCACTATTGACCTTGGCTATGCTTCACTTTATGCTATCCTCTTTCTCATAGCTTCCCTCCTGTCCTTATTCCTTTGGCGACATTCCATTCTCTCCTTTTGCTACCATCATTGGTAATCCATCTGGCTACTTGTCGCTCCTTCACCCACGTGGCTGGGCAAATTGACTCGAAACCTCGACAGCTGCGACAACTCCCGAACTTCTCGACCACACCCACAATCACCACCATTCCACAAACAATTGACCATGTCCTGCGTGTCTTTGTTCTCTCCTTGAATAAACGTCCCCTGTCAAGTTAGCTCGCACCCCTCTCGGCCACTTCCCCTGCGATTCGAATTCGTCCCATCTCCTCTTCGCCGCGTGTATCAACTCCTCTCTCCGCACCCGCCCTTGAGGCTGAAGACTCCGCTCCAGCGACTCTTCCTCACCACCTCTCAAATCCTCTCCGAGTTCAAGACCCCCTACTATCATGACGCGACCAAAGATCCACGTCCCGCCTCTGGACAGTCCATCCAAACAACTCGTCCTCGAACTAGCCCGCGAATTCGAGAACGTGAGACTTTTCAACGAAGACCTGAAGAAAGTCAAAGAATACGAATTAAACTCCTACTACGAAAATCTCGACCGAGTCGACCGCGAACGTGAGGCCGTCCACACAGCTGCCCTCGACGAAGCCGCCGCCTACCACGAGCAAGTCCGCCAGGAAGCCGAAGAGACCCTACAAGAATACATCCGCGCCGAAGAAGACGAGCGCCGACGAAAAGAAGAACTCGCTCGCAAGGAACAGGAGCGCATTGAGCGTGAAAGGGCGGAGAAACTTCGCCGACAACAGGAAGAGGCCGCCCGGGCCGAAGCTCAACGACAAGCTCAATTAGCCGCTGAGAAAAAGGCTGCGGAAGAGGCTGAGAAGGCCCGCAAAGCTGCGGCCGAAGAGAAAGCACTTCAAGAACGCCAAGAACGCGAGCGCATAGAAGCTGCGAAGCGCAAGGAAGCTGAAGATGCCCAGAAAGCCAAGGAGGAATCCGAGCGCGAGGCGCAGGCTCAGCAAGAAGCTCAGCAGAAGAAGAAACTCGGTGCTAGCATAGTCACGCCCGAAGAGGTTAAGGTGCATGAGCGATATCTCCAGCTGCACCAAGATCTGAAGAAGTTCCGCAAGTGGCTGCTCGAGGACTATGGCAAGCAGAACCCCGCGTTCAAGAAGAGCGCCGGTACAATGCGTCGAAACATTACTAAATGTGTTGGTCAACTCCGTGATGGAAAGGGCACGAACAAGAAACAGGTAAGAAACCCACTGTCTCTCTCTCTAGCACTACTTGTATGAGGTGCTAACTCGATTCGACCCACCAGACTCAAGACATTCGCATCGAGCTCGAACAAGCTCTCACCGTCCCCGAACCCACAGTCGACGTCCGACAATTCCTCGCATTCCCACCCGAAAACATCGCCCAGACAGAACAACCAGTCCCCGCCCTCCTAATCTACGGCCTCCACATCCTCTCCAAAAAGCTCATCTCCGGCCTCATCGCCGAAGCATCCCTCCACCCCGCCCACGCCGAACCCATCGGCATCATCGCCGCCCAGATCTTCTCAATGCCAAACTTCATGTACAACGGAATCCACATGTCCGACATCCTCTGGGCAAAGATCCGCTTCGTCTGCCCAGCCCTGTGGGGCTTCAACGGCAACCCCAACACCGAAGCTGGCCGAGACGCGCTAGGCTGGCGAAGAGAATTAGGCAAACACATCGGCGAACAGCAACATCTGGACCGAATGACCGCCCTAGGCGGCGGCTTTGCCGCCATCACGCTGCGCAACTTTGGCAAAGCGCAGCGTCAGAATCCGTTCCCGAATACCATTTTCTGGTCCTCTATCCAGAAACTGCTATCCATTCCTACGGCCGAGATCACAGATACCCAGGTCATGCTTATCAAATCAATGCTGTTCAACTCGGGCGATCGCATCATCGGTTTCTGGGGCCAGTTCGGTGTGTACATTCTTCATCGGGCTATTATCGATCTACCCGGTTCTTTGCCGGACTCGATGTCGGTGACCCAGTTGAAGATTCTCCGTGATATATACCGGGACGAGCGGTATATTATCTTTTAAGTTCCCCCTTTTTTGGCATGTGCAGTAAAGGATGGAGTTTGGATTTCCTAGGGTGGTGTTTTTGGTATTTATTGGCGTCTTTGGTGGGACTTTTGCATCTGTGATGATGGGAGCTGCTGTCTTGATGTGATGCTTACGATTGCATTTTGTGAATTATTGGAATGTCTTTCTATCTCGATAGGCATATACATTGGGATTGAATCGGAGGGTGGGCCTTGCCTAGGGTCAAGGCTCCATGTCTGGGTTATTTTAGCGATGATAGGCAATTATCCATTCAACTATGTGTTTGAATCATATTTGATTCTTGAGAAAGAAACTCCAAAGTGCAGGTGCTTATACATTGCTTATACATCCCTCTCTAGGCGTGGGGTGTAGAGTAATGAAGGAGTCCAAGTTCATGCCTTCGTTATATCAAACCACTGGTACTGCAATTGACTAAACGAACCATTCATGAAATAATACGATAACCAATGGATTCTAACTAAATGGTAGGTACCTTGACTTATGCAAGTAGCTCGTCTCGTCCCGATTTGGACGGTTGATGCTGGTCACGGTGTCGAGAAGCGGTGAATAGTATACAAACGAAACACCATCCCCTCGCCACGACTCTGACAATCACACCTTCAGCCCCATAGGCTTAGAACTTGAATTAAATCATTCGCAATGACTACCTCATCACCCGACAACCCCTGTATTGCATGCGGATGGACAACCACTCAACAAGACGAATGCTTCTACACAAGCCACGTGAAACTATTCTACGGCGCAAGCAGACGAGGCGTATGATCCATCGGCTCGGACGTAATAATGAAAGAACGACCAGACGAGGGCCCTAAAAGCGAAGTAAAACCCCTCCGACACCTCACAAACTACCCGGACATCCCGGCCCCAAAGGTCCTGCGTGACTGGGTCGATAGTAACGGCCGCTACTTTGTGCTCCAGGAACGCATCCAAGGACAAACGCTCGAGCAGGCTTGGCCTTTATTATCGGAGTTTGAGAAGGTCACTATCGCGGACCAGGTTGTTGGTGTACGCGAGCAACTGCGTCAAATTACATCGGAGTCTAATTACATTGGAGTCTATGCAGAATGTCGATCAGGGCCCTTGCTATCCTGGTTTACTTTTCTCGCATAGAGATCCTCATGGGCCTTTCTGTTCTGATACTCAGCTCTGGGACGCGATATGTCTTTCCCTTCACGATCTGCCTGGATAAACATTTCCTCGGCAAGCATTGGAAGAGTTGAAGAGACGGATGCCGATGAGTGAGGCTTATGTTCTTACCCATTGCGATCTCAACCTGGGGAATATTGTGGTTAAAGATGGGGTCTTGGCTGGGATACTGGACTGGGAATTCGCTGCGTATTATCCCTTGTAGAATTAATATGTCTCCGCTTCTTGGGAGTGGACTGAGGATGATGCTGAGTGGAAGAGACTACTCCAGCGGCGGTTTAGTGTGCATGGAGATGCGTATGAGGATGCCAAGGGATTCTGGAGGGACTTGCGTCTTTTGAGAAAGTACCCGAATCTAGATGATCAAAACCAAGAAGTTTTTCAAGGACTGTTTTAGTGGAAAGTAGGAAGATACATTTAACTTGAAGTTGATGCTTTATTGATCTTGTGCTAAAATCTTGGTATAGATCGGGCATACCATGGTACGAATGGAAAGCCTAATTTTGGCACAAACCCCACAACTTGAATACTACGTGATGATATACCTTGAAAATAACCCTTGGGAGAGTCTTCGGATGTTTGTATTGTTATTTGGATCTAAATTAGTAATTACTGCTACGGAGTACTGATCCATTGGGCAGATGGATCCCTTACTGCGTCTGAGTCAGGGAGATCTGACCGCCAAACTCGGTCAATGCAGGTGTTCAGGGCGAGTGCCTAATTATCTATACCCAGATTTGTGTAGAAAGATCTGCAGTTCATGTGCATCCAGTCTGCATCCAGTCTCGAATCCAGAAACCATAACAAACAAAAGGTGTAGGAGTACTCGTACTCAGCCACAGTTCAAAGGAGTGGAGTCCAGACCCTTGAATGTTTCATCGAAATGGACTCCTATTGGGCAACCCCTGAGCCCCACAAACAGGGGACTTTCACGGAGTACGACCCTTGGGCAGAGGCAATGGCACTGGTAGCCTGTTGCTGTAACTCCCTCCTCCACATCTGATCTGACGTTCTCTCTTCTCCATTCGCACCCTTCCCACCCTTCTACATTCCTTTGTAAACCCATTCCCACATTCTTTTGATCAATTCCTTCCCCTCCCCCACACTTTCTCTAGGTTCGAGCCTCCACGAACCCACCATGCGCGTTTCTAGCATTCTTCCTTTCATGCTGGCCGCGGCCCCGGCCGTCACAGCCAGAGGTACCCTCGGATTCTCCCTCGGCGACAAGCTGCCCAGCGGAGACTGCAAGACCACCGAGGATTACGAGAAGGACTTTGAGGCCCTGAAGGACCTGACCTCCCTGGTCCGCACCTACTCCGGCAGCGAGTGCGACACTCCCAAAGAGATCCTCCCTGCCGCCAAGGCCAAGAACTTCAAGGTTGTCCTGGGTATCTGGTACGTCTCCCCGCATCAATTCACCCTCCGTCACGTAAGACCCGATTCAGAAACTAACGCCCTTCTCACTCAGGGTCGGCGCCCAGAAGAAAACCGACACCAGCACCAACGACCCCTCCTTCGTCAAGGACTTTGCCGCCCTGAAGAAATACGTCCCCGGCTACGAGGACCAGGTCGAGGCCATCACCGTCGGCTCCGAGACCCTGTACCGCGGCGATTTGACCGGCCCCCAGCTCCACAAGTACATCAGCACCGTGGGCAAGGCGTTCCCCAGCACCACTGTCGGAACGGCGGACTCCTGGAACAAGTTCGCTGACGGTACTGCCGACGACCTGTTCACTACCAACACCGATGATAACCCTATGGTCACCTATGTGCTTGCCAATGCCTTTGCGTACTGGCAGGGTACCGCCGCCGACAAGGCGTATCAGACTTACTTCGACGATATGTCCGGTGCTATGAAGCACATCCAGAAGGTTGCTGGCGATAATGCTGACAAGATTCGCGTTATTACTGGCGAGACGGGTTGGCCTACCGGTATGTACCCTGGCCTGGGCATGTGATATTTTATTTTCAAATGATGAATTGTGACTGACTGACTCGTTTCTAGATGGTGGTTCCGACTATGAGGCTGCCATTGCCGGCACCGATAATGCGAAGACTTTCTGGAAGCACGGTATCTGCGGTATGCTGGCGTGGAACGTGGATCTGTTCTACTTTGAGGCCTTTGATGAGTCCTGGAAGCCTGATAGCGTTGGTGACAACGGTAAGGCTCAGGATGAGAAGCACTGGGGTCTTTTCACCGATAAGCGTGTGAAGAAGTTCGACACCACTTGCCCGAAATAGGGAAGTGATTCGCGGTGTTGAGTGGTAGATATGATGCAGATACAGCTGTGGACATTTTCTTCGTTGTATTTTTTTTGGTTTTGTATGTTCTTCAGTTTTGTGGATCCCGTATAGATAGATGGGGTCTGATCAAATTGGATTGAATGGAAATATTAATTTGGTGATCTTGGGCAGCTTGCGGTGTAGGTTGTGTACATAGTGTAGTGCCAGTGTGTCACGTTGGCCTGACCTGACGTGTCCCATGTGAATGTGAGGTAATATGTGGGCGGGTGCAGGAGATCACCCAGCATCTGCAGAGTGAGAGTATTTTGTATTATTATAGAAATGTACTAATCTAGATACTCGGTCTACAGTATACTGACTAGTTATATGTATACGATGCTATGCTATACTATAGTATACTATGGTATACCTATGGTATGCTTAGTCATAGAGAACCGTGGTTCGGCAACCCCTGAATCCCCCCAAATCCCCCACGAACCGCGCTTGCTTGTTTACCATTCCACTGAAACTGTGTGATGTGATGCACTGTGATGGCATTGCTGCTGCAAGGGAGTGGGTACTGTAGTAGAGCAGAGCCGAGAAGAGTAGAGTAGAGTAGAACAAAGAAGAGTCGAGAAGAGTACTCCATACAGTACTGTTGAACGTTGAACAGTGAATATCCCTTCCAGGTAAGGGCCCACCTTACGACTAACGCGAAAGACTAATGGGGAACTAAATGAAATGAAGAAGTAGAATGCTCCATATGTACTGATACTTCTGTGAATACGGAAAAGGGGCTACCTCGGAAGTAGAGTGACTTAGTTCACCAGTTAACTAGCGTGTTGGTACTTCCCCAGTTCAACGTGACGTGACATAATAGCCACACCTCTTTTTTTTCCCCTTTCCACTCCATGCTTCAGGTCTTGCCGTGATTTATTTCTCTGTGTTCCTGTGATCTGGTGACTGCAATTTGCTTGCCAATTTGCATTTCTCAATCTACCACATCCCTCCTTTTCGGTGACGCGATTCTTCCCACCGCCAATCACGGGTTGTCTGTTCTTCGCTGCCCGTTCCATGCGTCAACATTCTGGACAATAACCGGAGCGGCAAGCAAGTGCTTGCTGCAGGAGTCGACACGGAAGGTGTGTATTCAACTTGTCTGCTATTGCTATTGCTATTGCCATCTCCATTTCCGATTCCAGGGGGTATCCGCTGCTGCTCAGTCCATTACCCCGAGTCATGGACCCGCGCCGCCACGCGATTCTCCCTTTCATTCCATTCCTTGAAACCCCTCCTCCACTTCCAGAAAAAAAGAAAAAAAGGGAGAACTTCTAAATTCGTCATGGAATGCTAACCATCCCACTTCTCATGGTTTATCAGATCTAGATCCCTCCGTCTCTGCCGCCTCTTCGGCGTCTTCCCCGTCCTTCCATCTCAAGGACGCGCGCAACCTGCGTGACAATTCACGCCGCGCCCCGGAGCTGTTCTTGTCTTCCCCCTCCTCAAGGGAATCGAGCCCATCGGATATTGGCTCTCCCTCCCAGCAATTTTCCCCGAGTATCACTCTCGATCCCCCGCCTTTGCCGTTCTTCTCGACAAGTCGCCGGCCCGTGGAATCTTTGACTGCCTCTCCCGAGAACACCAGAGCCGAAAGCAGTGTCTACTATACCACGGCCTGGGGGTCTCCGTATGCCGCACCCAGTACACGTCGCCTTTCTCTGACTCTGAGCCAATTCGCCGGTATCGACCACGGATCCGAGGCTAGCTCGCCCGCCCCTTCGGTCGCAATCCCAGAGCTTCGCCGAACAAGCGTCGCAGTCAATTCAGCCGATCTTGACGATCCAGCGGAAGAAGGAGGAGGCAAATCGATCCGGGATTTCACCCAAGATTGGATTAATCAGTATCTCTCCGGTCAGCCGAGAACCGAGCGCAGCAACTGGTTGAGCGACGACTCTGGAAGCGAGGCGCCCTCGTTTTTCACCGCGAAGAATCACCTTGCCGACGACCTTTCGGACGACTGGCTTGGTCTGGAGGATAATACGCGTGATAACGACCTCCTGAAAACACCGACCCTATCCGATTTCGTGGGTCGAAGAGCTGCTGCTCGTACCAAAGGGAAGAAAACCGTGCACAAGCGCACCGACACTTTGCGCCAGGAAGATTTTTGGGGTTTTGCATACGATAAAGAACCGTCTAAAAACATCATGTCGGATACCAAGGAATCTCATCCTCCCGGCGAGGTGATATTTGATGCCGAATCGCCGACAGAGAAGCCCCTGCCGCCTCCTCCGTCAAGTAGCGTGGAGGTAGAGGAGAATACAAAGACTGGCATTTTAGAGGAGTTAAAACCTGAAGCCGTGAATCGATCGGCGGCTCAGACTCCCAGGAGAAGAAAGAAGCTTAATTGGCGCGGGAAAGCATGTATCATTGAGCTGCCTGCGGATGATAGACGTGGTACAGAGCAATCCGGTATCCACCTTTTGACCCCCGCCGATGTCGAAGCTCGGATGAAGAAGTGGGAGGAGGATGGATACGACACCCGCGGTTTCACCGTTGGTGATTCGGTCGATGAATCTCAACCCGCTGTGCTTGGTGGTCTCAGCCGCGCCTTGTTCCCGGACCCAGCTGAGTTGTGGGAAGAAACTAGGGGCCAAAAGGCTCATATCCAATTCCCTGACAAGGCCGTGTGGGATGACTATGTGAATGAGCTTCAAGAGGCAAAGCTACGAGCTCTGGGTGTTGACTTTGGTCAGCCCGAGCCCCAGCCCTCTATTTCACCATCAATCAATGCTTCTCAAACGCCATTCCCCGGCCTCGCATCGCCACCTATTCCAACCGCTTCGGCAGCGAGCAACCCTCTCGGTGGCATTCATCCATTCTCCCCGCACTTTGGCCAGTCTACTGCAACTACGAGTGGTGGCATTGGCTCCCTGGCATCACCAGCTTCGCAATTCAGCGTCCAGACCCCATACATGGGTATGGACCAGAATATGATGCCTGGATTCCCCTTCCAATTCCAGCCCACGCCCCCTGCACAAGGTACCATGACCCCTCAAAGCTTGATCAACCTCCGCCAAGCTAGCGGATCTGGTGTCCCTGGAGCGCTCCACAACTTCAACTCGATCATGTCACCCGTGTCGCCATTTAACGACCAGGGCGGTTTCCATGGTGGTGGATTTGAAGGAAAGAATGAGTTTGATGAGCAGTTCGCGAATATGGGTCATGAACAAGGACTCCCATACCAGACTCCTCAAACCCCCGTCAATGCTCCAGACCACTTCCATGCATCAAATGTTGAGATCGCACACCCCACTCCCCGTGGTCATGGCCATAACCTGAGCGAAACTCTACAAAGAGGACTGGAGCAGATGAGCCACAATAATTATCACATGGACCAATCTGTTGATCATCAATTGGAGGAGAATGACCACGATGCTGCTCACCATGCACTCAATGCCAACATGCTCAAGTCTCACTGGGGTATGCCGGAGCATGAGCAACATCAGATGCATGACCAGCACTCATTCTCCCAACAGCCACACCAATTCTACCATGAGCAATTCGGCCAGGGCAACAACCACCATGAAGGCTCCGACATCGACACCAACCCCAGCCTTGCTGGAACGCCCCATACCCGCGGAGTTCTGCCAGATCACGGCGCGTGGCATGATTCCAAGCCAAGCCACGAGTCATTTGGCCATCAATCTAAGCTTTCAAATTCGTCTCTTAACATGGAGGCCAAGGAATTCGACCCAACCGCATCCTTTGGATCCCAGCCCGCGCCATTTGTCAACAGCGCTTTCCAGTTTGGTGGTATGAATCAAGGCTTTGGCTTTGCTGCTCCTCCTGCTGCCCCTTTTGCTCCCAATGGCATGATGGGCGATCATATCGAGCACAACCCGGCTCCCAAGCCAAGTGCATTTAAATTCTCCGCGGCATCTTTCAACGTCGACGCTCCTGTTTTCAATCCCGGTGCTAGTATCACCTCCAACGCTAGCTCGGAGCATCCAGGTGCCAATCGGACAAAGATCTTCGGCGACATCGACCTCAATGAGATCTCGAAACCTTCAAAGGAGTCTAAGGCGATTCCAATTGTCCGACCCGATGAATCTGAAGCTGTGAACGCCGACGAAGACCAGGCCACTGATAAGGACGGTGATCGACCAGTTCCTACTGATCGTCATAAGCGTGCTCGTCGCGGAATCGGCCATGCTGATGGTGAAGCTCGCTATAGCATTTCCACTCACCCCTTGGGTGAGACTGGTAACGCTCAAGCGTCGACTATGCTTCATCCGGTTGCTGAGGGCAAGGAGAACGCTTCGCCGGACGAGAAAACTATTGAACGCCGGGGCACACCCAACAGCGAAGCTGAGACCTGGACTTTGTTCGATTACAAGACCGAAGGTGCAGCTGCCAGATCCCACACTGCATCTCCGATCCAGGCTGAACACGCCGAGGAGAACGAGAAGAATGTTAAGCAACCCCAGCGCAAGCGCTCTGCAGATGGTCTTCAGGTTGACTTCAAGGCTTCCCAGCACGGTCCTTCCGATTCTAAGAGCTCCGTGAAGAGCACCACGTTGTCGGCAACGGCCAAGCCTTTCGAGTTCAAGCCAGCTGTTCCCAATTTCTTCCCTACGACTGTCAAGCCTTCCAGCTTTGCAGAGCCCGAACCCCAGCCAGAGCAGCCCAAGTCCGTTGAGAAGACGAAGTCAAGTGGTGGTCTTATGGCTTCTCGCTTCGCTACTGCCAGCCCACCAAAGGCTCAACAAGCAGTCCCCGAGCCAGAGAAGACACCTGCCCGTCAAATGCACAAGGGATTCCACTCCGATTCTGGCGATGAATCTCTCGACGACGATGAGCTGAACGCTGTCATGGATCAACTCAATGACGACTCTGACGTCGGTATCATGCGACAGACCACTCCCATGCCACGCCAGCTGATTTCGGACTCCGCCCCCACAAAGGAACGCCAGTTCGGTCCTGCAGAGGGCCGAACCGAAGCTCCTAGCCCCAGCCCTGGCGGTGGTCCAAAGACACATAAGCTCGATATTCCCAATATCCATTCGGATGGCGACGACCAGAGCAACTTCACCTTCTCTCCCCCCGAAGAGCATTGTCTCTCGTCTCCAGTCCCCGGTTCGCCATCTCATCACCGAGAACGACCATGTCAGTGATTGGGATGACATGATCTCCTCTGGTGAGGATGAGAAGTTCTTCAACCGCAACCGCTTCTTCGACCGCCGCATTAACGACATTGTTGGTTCCACACTCGATGATCGTCTTAGTCCCATGGAGCGTGCTCTGGCTGTTATTCAAACTTCCGTGGCTACCATCGCCTCTGGATCTGCTAGCCGAAGAGCAATTCGCAGCGTCTCCGGCGATGTGGAACACAGCGATGCCGACGATGAAGATGACGAGGAAGAGCGCGAAGTCACTGTCCGTGACCGTTCGCCTCACCACATGCGTGATCGTAAGCTGGAGATGCTGAAGAGTGTTGTCACAGAGGCCCTGCTCACTCATGAGCTGCCCCACCGCAATTTCCAACACTCCAGCCACAGTGAAATAGCACTTCTGAAGGAGAGCATCGCCGAGCTGCAAGCTTTGACTATCAAGAAGCTTGCTCAAGATCCCGTCGGTGACATGCGGGAGATCCTCGAGGAAACTCTTGCCAGACAGCTTGCCCAGCAGACCCCTCGTCTGTCCGAGGCCGAAGAGATTGGTGCCGACAGTTTGATGATGCAAATCGACGGGCTGAAGAGCATGCTGCGTCTCGCTGATGAACGCGCCGAGGCTGAGTACAGAGCTCGTCGCGAGGCGTCGGACTCTGTTCTTGAGCTCCAGCGTCTTCTCAAGGTTGCTGAAGAGGATGCTGCTCAACACAGCGCTGCCGCCGAGGATGCTGAGACCCGGTTCCTGCAATTCAAGGAGGAGAAGATTCCTCACTTGGAGAAGATGCAGTTCCGCACCGAGTCTCTCAGCGAAGAGAGTGAGACTCTCAAGGTCACGATTGCTGAGCTTTCTTCTAAGAACATTGCTCTCGAGGGAACTCTGGACGAGTACCGTGTTTCTAGCGACCACTTCCGCCGTCAGCTTGAGACCACTAAGGATGAGAACAAGTCTCTCCATGAGACTGTTGATCACTTGAGAACTCGCATCGAGGACAGCATGGTTGCTCGCCAGAACATTACTGAGAAGTTTGATCGTCTCCAGCATGATATGGTCACCGTTACATCCGATGTTACGACTGAGCAGGCCAACTTCCGCAGAAAGGAGGAAGAGCAACTTGCCAAATACAATGAGCTTCGTGCATCGCACGCTCGGGAACTTAAGCTGCGTCAACAGCTTGAGCAGGAGGTTATCGATCTTGCTAAGCAAGAGAGGGAATCTGCAAAGATCAAGTTTATCCACGAGCAATCACAACACGAGAAACTCAAGCTTGAGGAGACCGTCGCAGCTCTGCGCGCTGAAAACCACGACTTGCAGATTAAGGCTGCTCGCTTCGAGCGCGAGTTCAATGAAGCTCGTGAAAGTAGCCGTGTGGAAATCCAGCGCACGCGTACTGCCATGGAGGCTGATATCGAAGCTTCCAATAGCCAAGTCAACATTGTCCGAGCTGAACTTGAGGCCCAGGTCATTCGTCTTCAGACCCAGCTAGACGGTGTCAACATGGATGCTGATACCTCCCGCGAGCGCTACGAGATGCTCTTGGAAGAAGCCAACGAGGTCAGGTTGACTTCTCTAGCTGCTGCCAAGGAGTCCCGGGAACTTGCACTTGACGACCAGCGCAAGACCCACGAGCGTGTTCTCAACGATCTCCGCGAACGCCACGCCCGTGCTCTGCACAACTCCTCTGAAGATCGTGCTCGCGGCGAGGCCCATAATACAGACCGCCTCGCTCTCGCCAACGAAAAGAACAAGCATCTGCAAGAGCGTGTCCAACATCTCGAAGAGAAGGTCGAAATCGCCCAGTCCGCCGCTCGCCATGCCGCAGCCGCCGCCAAAGGCAAAGCACCAACCCCGATCCCAACAGCACCAGCCCCAAGGCACGCACACTCGCCCTCCATGACCTTCAACCAAGGCTCCAACGAGCCAGAACGCATCTCCCCGCAGGCCCTCCGAGAATCGATCTTCGTCCTACAAGACCAGCTCCAACAACGCGAGACCCGCATCGAAGAACTCGAAGCAGAAGTCGCCTCTGTCGACAAAGACGCACCCAACAAGATCAAGGAAAAGGACACAGAGATAACCTGGCTCCGCGAACTCCTCGGCGTCCGCATCGACGACCTAACAGACATAATTAAGACAGTCTCCCAGCCAAACTTCAACCAACACGCCGTCCGCGACGCCGCAATCCGCCTAAAAGCCAACCTGCAAATGCAACAGCAAGAGCGCGAACGCGCACTAACAGGAGGCCACTCCTCGCCTCTCTCCCTCCCCTCAATCTCAGACATCGCCGCCTCACCCCGCGCCGCCTTGCCCCTCGCTGCGGCCGCGGCTTGGGGCAATTGGCGCAAATCCCGCGACGCGGCGAATGGCTCGGCTGAGAATACGCCGTCTAAATCTAGCAATGCAGGCGGATTCCTCTCCGGGCTTTTGACGCCGCCTAGTTCGCATGCGCGCTCTGCGCATGCGCCGCATGGGTCTGCGGCTGGGAGACCGGGTCGAGCTGCTCCATCTCCGTCTACCTTTGAGACCCGGCCGTTGAGGGGACTCAATTCTACGCCGCGCCGTGGGTCGACGCGTCAGGAGGTCCAGGCTCCGGTCGTTGAATTGCCCAAGACACCCCTTTTGCTCCGTCGCTCGAGCTATGATCATGACGCTGAGCCGGGGAATTACGAGGAGGGCAGCTTTGCGGATGATGTTGAGAGTACGGTTGATGGGGTTGTTTCTGATTCGCCCAAGGATGGACCGTTTGGGCCGCGGATTACGTCTGATGCGGATGCGTTGGCTGAAATCGGGGGTCTTGGTGAGGATGAGGGTGATGCTGAGGTCTTGGGCATGGGTGAATATGAGGATGAGGATGAAGGCGAGGAGACGGAGACTGAGGTTGAAAATGAGATTCGGGCTCAGGCTGGGATCTGATCTGATCTGATCTGATATGTTTTCCTTACCTTCCGGCTCACTCAACTTACATCCTCCCTTTTTCCCTTTCCTTTTCTAATAGACTGTTGAAAATCATGCCTATCTAGTTGATGTCTGCTTCGTTTCTTTTTTCCAGCGTTTTCTTCACACTTCACCCTTTACCTTTCCACCTCTCTCACTCTCTCACACACACACATACTCCACTCACTCGACCTGCAAAAACAAAATCAGGGCCACCCTCCATTCGTTCCATTACATATCCTTCTTTCTCTTTCCTTCTTCTTTCTCACTCAGATCTGTGATTTGTGATGTCCTTTCGGATTTGATTTGATTTGATACCATCCCTGTTTCTGTCTTGTTGACTTTCTGTTTATGCTATACATTACATTACATTGCTTTTTTCAACACCCCGGCCTATGTATATTTCTACCTATTTTCATGTCCTATTTTTATCTTCAAATTACATATTAATCAATACGTTCGCTCTTTATTTTGGTACTAGTAGTAGTACTCGTGTAATTACTGGAGGTTGGCGAGGCTTCAAGTTGTATATATGATAGGTACTAGTACTATTTCACTTCGGGCTATTTCCAAGGTTTCTGTTATCTTCTTTGCTACTAGTACGTTGGAATGTAGTACCTACCTAGGTGATAGGTACCTAGGTAATGATGCATACCTACCTAGGTAACATTACTTGCCCTCCAGGGCTGGAGTACTATCAACCTGGTGCGTGTATATATCCACCACTGCAGGTCCCCTCGTTGAACTTGAACAGCTTAAACTCCAAGGCTCAGGGGCTCCCTAGGTACTAGTAGTATCTCCCTTTCGATTTTATTCTCTCAATTGCAAAATCAAACCACCCAAGCACTAAAATTTACAATGATATTTCCATAACTACTACTGGTAGGTAGAAACACCGCCTGTTTACGAAAGTGGTCCGAGCGTCCTCCGACTTGACACCTTCCACCTTCCGCAGGCCGAGCCAACTTCCAAGGTTCCAAGACATCAACACTCGTCCACCCCAACACCTCGTCGCGAGAATCATTCCTCCAGGGCTACTACCTAGCACGGGTACCCGTTCACTCACTCACATTCACAATGCGCTTCTCCGCCGCCTCCCTCCTCGTCTCGGCGCTGGGCTTCTTCTCCGTCGCGACCGCACACACCATCCAACTCAAGGCTCACTCGCGCGAATGCTTCCACGAAGCACTACACAAGGATGATCTCATGACCGTTACGTTCCAGGTCGGAGACCGTGAATTTGGAGGAAGTGGGAATCTGGAGATTGATTTCTGGGTACGTCTTTTACTCCGGGTGTTCCCTTCCCCTGGTCGGGTCGGGGGGTGTCCGAGTCAATTTCAAGTTCAAGAACAGAGGATACATTGACGAAACTATTATTATTGACTTCCTGCTAACCGCTCTCTCTAGGTTGAGGACCCCCCTCCCGCAACCGCCAATACTACAAGCAAGCCATTTCCAACGAGGACTACTCCTTCACTGCCCAGACCGACGGCAAATACAACTACTGCTTCAGCAACGAGGGCTGGACCTCCAACTCCAAGGAGGTCTCCTTCAACGTCCACGGCATCGTCTACGTGCCCGAGGCGGAGATGTCGCAAGATCCCCTCGAGGCCGAGGTCCGCAAACTGTCCGATAACATGGCTCAGGTCCGCGATGAGCAGGGGTACATTGTTGTTCGCGAGCGCGTGCACCGGAATACGGCCGAGAGCACCAATGGCCGTGTTAAGTGGTGGAGTTTGTTCCAGCTGTTTGTTGTCATTGGAGAGGGTATCTTCCAGGTGTGGTGGTTGAAGCGCTTTTTCGAGGTGAGTTGAACTGGACTGCACTGCACTGCACTGCACTGCAAAGCAGATATGCAGCGCGATGCTGCGCAGTGGACTTGTATACTAATCCGATTGTGTCGATCTAGGTCAAGCGTGTTGTCTGATCTTTCGCATTTGGGACCTTTTCCCGCCCTTTTTACTTACCCCTTGACCCTTTGTCGAAAAGAAATGAAATGCGTTGCTGAGCGATGACGGTCTGCATGTGGATATTGGAAATGTGACCATGTGTTCCAACCATTTCTCATGATTACTACCTTTTTTTTTTATTGTCATGGTGCCATGCAAACATCTGATAGTTCTAATATACCTATACCACCAGTCATAACTGTAGATGGAAATGTATACAAAGCCGAGAAATGCCCCGTACAGAAAGAGGCGCATGACTAAGCCCTGAACGGTCAAGGACAGCCAGTTAGAGAACTTCCTCATAATTTCTGATCTTATGATGTACTATCAGATTGGGCTCTGAAAACCGCTCTGCGAATGAGTTGTGGTAGTCATTCTCTCCCCAAGGAAGTCCCCTCCGCCCAGCATCACACTTCCACTTCCACTCCTCTCGTACTTTTGCCCTGTTCCTCCTTTCATCCGCATCGCTGCAGCAACAACCTGCACGTAAGGAGCTTATATATTGGAACCTCCCAGGAACAACCACCCAACCTCCGTTTCACCCTCCTTGGAGGACACCTCCGATCGCAAAGTGGTGCCTTACATGAAGATCGAGCCGACATGGCCCTCGAACTTGAACACAGGAACCACTCCAAATCCGAATCCGAATCCGACCTATCTCCATTTCCATTTTCATCCCTAGATACCCTGACCCTCGACACAAGCGATCCGCTCTTCTTCACCTGCTGGCGCCGCCAGTCGTGCTCGTACTGCCTGGCCGGCGATGTCGCCTGCAGTTGGTGCGCAACAGTATGTGACACCAACCCGAACCTTTACTGCTTATGTTTAATTCTACACTATCATATGATCTTACCTGTGAATGGCCATTTGGACCGTGACCATGCGATGTACCCCCTGGTTCATCAAGGTTCAAGTTGTTCTGTTTTTCTCTCCTTCGCTTCGCATTCTCCGATATAACGTTTCGCCTTTTTTTTTTCTCTCCCTTGCATTCTCACGCCCCATTCCGGGAAACGTCGCTTTGCTGGGATTGGGCTTGTACTCCTCTCTGCCTGATGATACTGCATCCACTCTGTACCGAGTACTGAACGGTGTACTCTACTCTGGCTACCGTTACTTTTAACCCATCGCTAACTAACCTCGTATCGAACCTAGTCCTCAGCCTGCGTGCCTAATCCCGCACGCTTACCGATCATAGCCCCCATCAGCAATGCAGAGATCTGCCCGCTCGGCTCTAAGGAGCGGTGGGAGCTCAGGGCATTGCCGTTTGGTTGTAATGTTAGTACGTTGACGTTTCTGTCTGTTGTGGGGACAGTGGTGGGGATGGTGGTGTTGGTTGGGATGGGGGTTTTTGGGTTTTACTTGGTGAGGTCGGTACGACGGCGATGGAAGGAATCTGATTATGAGCGAGTGAATGATCGGGGGAATTTGAATATTGGGTTACTTGCTTCGTTTGTAGGGTTTATGTTTGGGCGTGGGGGTGAGAGGGTGTTACGGTCTGGAGAGGAGGGGGAAGGGGAAGAAGGGTTGGACGAGGGGGGGCGAAACGAGGCCTCTTTTGGAAGGAATGTGAGATGAAAGCTTGAATGAGATGGACAAGAGAAGTAAGTACCAGAGATGTACTATGTACAGGATTGATCAAGCAACAATTGCGTCCATTTGTTCCCGGACAAAACTCGCCAGATCATCGACCGTCTTCTTCACGCGAGGGATCATATGGCCTCCGCCGTGATCATAGATCTCCGAGGTATCGGGGTCACACATGTTGTATAGAACCATCGATCCGTCCAGGAACGGGTCTTGAGCCCCGATGACATGGCATGTTGGAACGGTTATCTCATACTCATCCGCATCCTCGTCTCCGACCATGATGTGGCCCTTGATTGGGTCGAGTGGAGGCCAGCCACTGAACAGAATGCCCAATTTCAAACGAGGCTCTCTTCCATATTCTTTTCGCCTTCGCTCTTCCTCAATCAGCAGGGATGCAGCTATCTGGCCGCCTTCCGAGTATCCGATGACGGCATCGATGTCACCCTCCGCATCAACGATCTTGATTAAGCGATCCAGGACGCTTGAGATATTAAGATATATCGGATTATCTGCGAGCTCGATGGCTTCTCTCATCGATACCTCTGCCGACTCGCGCTTGGGAAAGTCGCTCATATTGAATTTGCCTAGATTTCCCCTCGTGGCTTGACAGAATGAATAATATGGCGGGGGCCCGAAGAACGCCGCATGTTCCTCTGGTGGATGCACTTCTATCTCGCCCTGAACAAAGAAGAACTTGGCTTCTCCATTGTCCTGAAGTGAAGTGATGAATGGGCCTGCATATACAAATGGATACTCGCATTAGTATGCCTGCATCTTTGACTGGCTTCTTGCTTCACGCAGCTTACCGAGTTGCGCTTTGAATCCCTAATTGCATGGAAGGAGCCGTTAGTCAGGGGGCAGAACTAAACTGGCAATAACAACATACCTTTGCACTGCAGTAGGCCCCCAGTAAGCAGAGAAATTTCATGGTGGCGATATGAATGAGGTTCAATGCTCCCAAGGGCCCCCCCAGGCAGACAGCCTAAGTAATAAGGAACCAGGATACGGAGTACTAAAAAAGAAAAGCAAATATGCACTAGAAAGCTTACCGCCACCAGATAATAGTAGGCCCTTGCGAGAGTACACTCGCTAGGACCGGGGAAAGGTGACCGTTTGCCCCTTCGCTGGAATGCACCCTCACTTGAGCAAGGGCCCACCAAAAGCACCAGCAGCGTGAGAGGAGTTTCGCCAAAGAATGGTCTGTGTCTGTGGTGTGATCAGATGCTGGAGACCCCGATCTGCGACCCTAGAGACATACGGGAATAGACTATCGAGGGATTCGATACTGTACTCCCGTCTGCAGGTAGGACTGCGCGGGATGGGGATTAGATTTCAGTTGCCGTCATCAAGGGAAGAAGGCATGGACCCTTCGATCCACCTATCATTGAACAGTGTCTCGAAAAACCCCCGGCTGGAGAGCCTCTGTGGACCACTGATCTACAGTCACGCACTTGATCGTCATGCAAGGGCGACTATCTACTCCATAACAAGCCCTCTCGTGGGAGGGCGTGAAGGTCCTGCCCTGTCTTTAGTTGTCGCGTCTCGCCACATACATCGTGGAAAAGGGCCCCATGGCTTCTGTGTGAACATACAACTTCTTTCCTTTTCTTCCCTTGCCCAAACACACAGGAAATTTGCTTTCCGACTCTTCTTTTTCGCCTACCACTTGCCACTCTTTTTTCATTGTTTTCTTTTTTTTGTCAACACGTGCCGTGCCGTATATCGATATCGGTAGTGGAGGGTACATAGTTTGATCTTCGAACAGCCAGACAGACGATTTCAACCGAAACCCATAATGCATTTAGAACCGATTAATGGGACTGGCACGCCTGTGCCCGATGGTGTCAACCAGCGACAGCCGGAGGAGGAGCAGCAGCAACAGCAGGAGCAGCATGAGGAAAACCTTGGCGATGCGCCGTCGAAGCTGGCCATTATCGGCATGGCCTGTCGACTTCCAGGTGAGGTGACGACACCAGACGAACTATGGGAACTATGCTCTCGAGCCCGAAGCGCCTGGTCACCAATGCCGAAGAGCCGATTCAACGCCGAAGCATTCCACCACCCAAACCCAGACCGACCAGGCTCATTCAACCCAACAGGAGCGCACTTCCTACACGAAGACGTCGGACTCTTCGACGCGCCATTCTTCAACATAACGCTCCAAGAGGCGCGCTCCATGGACCCGCAACACCGCATCATGCTAGAATGCGTGTACGAAGCGTTTGAAAATGCCGGCGTCTCGAGCCAGTCCATTACTGGCGCGGATATTGGCGTTTTTGCGGGTGCTTCGTTTCCGGATTATGAGGTTAACAATACGAAGGATGCGGATGCTATTCCCATGTATGATTCGACGGGGACGTCGGTTGCGTTGCAGTCGAATCGTATTTCTTACTACTTCAATCTGCATGGGCCTAGTATTACTGTTGATACGGCTTGTTCGTCGAGTTTGACGGCGTTGCATTTGGCGGCGCAGAGTATTAGGAAGGGGAGTGTTCGATGGCGGTTGTTGGGGGGTGTCATCTTAATCTTGTCCCTGAGATGTTTATATCTATGACGCGGTCGAGGTGGGTCTGAGTGTTTCAAACTTGAAGTTTTCTCGAGTGAGATTCGAGTGCTGATTGGAAATATAGATTGCTCGCTGATTCGGGTCGATCTTATGCTTTTGATAATAGAGGTACTGGGTTCGGTCGTGGCGAAGGAGCTGGATGCATCGTTTTAAAGGACCTTGAGGATGCTCAAGCCGCTGAAGATGCCATCAGAGCTGTCATTGTCAATACCGGAATCAACCAGGATGGTCGGACAAGAGGTATCGCAATGCCTAATGGGGAGGCCCAGGAGGCATTGATTCGAGCTGTCTACAAGGAAGCAAAAGTCGACCCCGCCAATACCGGATTCGTCGAGGCACATGGGACTGGTACCAAAGTTGGCGACCCACTCGAGGCCACGGCCCTGAATGCTGTCTTTGGAAAAGGACGCACGCCAAAACAGCCGTTACTTATTGGTTCTATAAAGTCAAATATGGGCCATTTGGAAGGGTCCAGTGGTATAGTCGCGGTTATCAAGACGGCCTTAATGCTGGAGCGCGGATTTGTCTTGCCGAACTGCAATTATCAAAAGACGAATGAGGAGATCCCAATGGAGCAGTGGAACATGAAGGTGAGGAATTACGAGGACATATTTTGTTATTTCATTTGCTCATCTCGAACAGGTTCCGAAAAAGCTGCAGCCCTGGCCCCGGGGTAAAAACTACGCAAGCGTGAACAACTTCGGCTTTGGCGGGACCAATGCCCATATTGTCATGGAGCGTGCCCCTCGCCACAAAGGTCTAGGATCAGAGAATACGGATCCGCTCAAGAGGAAGGTGTTTGTTGCATCCGGTAACGACAAGAAGGCCGCTCTCGATACAATCAAACAACTCGCAACATACATGGATCTAAACCCGTTCATCTTTAACGACAGTCTAATGGATAATTTGGCCTACACTCTGGGCCAGCGACGCAGTTTCCACCCATGGCGCGTGGCCGTCGCATCTTCGCACAATTCGGACCTTAGCGCATCCTGGGCGAAAATCCCAGAGCCTGTTCGCTCATCCCGTGAGCCATCGATCGGCTTTGTGTTTACTGGCCAGGGTGCCCAATGGCATGGCATGGGCAAAGAGCTTCTGAGCACGTATCCCATTTTCCGGAAGACGATGCAGGATGTGGATACTTGCTTGAAATCTCTCGGGTCAACTTTCTCTATCATTGGTATGTGATGTCGCTAGCCTATATTTGGTTTATTTCCTAACAATGCCTTGCAGATGAACTCCTTTTAGAAGACTCAACGGCCAGCAAGATTTCCGCCGCCTACATGAGCCAGCCGGCATGTACGGCAGTCCAACTCGCTCTGGTAGACCTTCTGTCGTCATGGGGAATACAACCCAAGGCAGTTGTGGGTCATTCTAGTGGAGAGATCGCTGCCGCATACGCTGCCGGTGTCTTGACTCTGGAAGAGTGTGTGCGGGTGGCATACTGTCGAGGCGTGGCTGCCAACATCGTTGCCAACGATGACAGTATCCATGGTGCCATGTTGGCTGTTGGTGCTAAAGCTTCTGATATTCAGCAGATCCTGGACGCCATTAAAGGAAAGCGAGCGGTCATTGCATGCGAGAACAGTCATACCAGTGTGACTCTTTCTGGCGACAAGGACGTCATTTCAAACCTCCAGGTCGCCTTGGACAAGGAAGGAATATTCACTCGTATGCTTCACGTTGACGTCGCTTACCACTCTCACCACATGAAGAGCGTATCTAAGCAGTACCTATCACTACTTGGAAAGATTGCACCCAAGCCATCCCGAGTCTCGTTCCACTCCACAGTGTATGGCAAACTTGTCCCGGGAACTGTCCTTGATGGCTCTTACTGGGTTGAGAATCTTGTTTCACGAGTAGAATTCGTCAAAGGAGTGGGGAGCCTGCTCAACACCGAGGAATCTACAGGACAGATCGATACGCTGGTCGAAATCGGTCCCCATCCTGCGCTACAAACACCCACGAAAGATATTGTCCATACTCACGCCCCCAACCGCAACATGCAGTTTGAACATACTTTGAACAGAAAGCTCGACGCCATAGAAGCAGTTCAGAACCTGGCAATGTCTCTGTTTAACTCTGGAATGATGACTCTCAACTTCCAGGAGATCAACTTCCCAAATCTGAATACCTGCGAACGGAAGCCTGCCATCTTGACCAATCTGCCCAAATACCCCTGGAACCACTCGGAAAGGTACTGGATAAATGCCAGGCTGTGTGATAACCTCTACCGACCTCAATTTGCCCGCAACGATATTCTCGGCAAGCTCTCCATAGAAAACATTGATTTCGAGCCTCGATGGAGGAATCTTATCCGGGCAGATGATCATCCGTGGATCAGACAGCACCGCGTTCACGACAGCAATGTATATCCCATGACTGGTTTCTTGGCCATGGCCATGGAAGCAATCTCACAACAAGCACAACTACACCACTTGACCCCTGGAAAGATTGAGCTCCGCGATGTATTCATCAGTCGAGTCCTTCCGATTCCTGACAATGCGACTGTGGAGACAATGTTGAGTCTGCGCCCTGTGCGACCTGATGCTCCAGGAAGAGCTATTCTCGGCTGGCATGAGTTCAAAGTCTTCTCCTGGGCTGAAGGGAGAGGCTGGGATCAACATGTCAGTGGTTTCGTCATGGTGCAAGAATCCAAAGAAGCCAACCCTGTGAGCGGTTCCCGGGAAGAACTGGAAGTTGCCGGCATCCTTGAAAATACGGTGCAGCAGATAAACTCTTCTTGTGGAACGACTGTGAATACCGACACCCTCTATGAAAATATTTCCAGCGGCGGTATTCACTATGGTCCTCTATTCCAAGGCCTGAAGAATATTTCTGTCAACACAACGAAGGGAGCTGTTGCCACGATTGACGTCCCAAATACCAAGGAGTGCATGCCCCATGAACATGAAACCGACTGCATCATTCATCCTGTGACCCTTGATCTCTGCACCCAAACAATGTGGCTGCTTCAAGGGTTTGGCGAGCCAGGACCACATGTGACATATGTTCCTTCGCATGTGAAGCACGTCTCTGTATCACTGAACTCCAAGATTGGTCACGGGGCTACGCTAAATGTATACGGATCTCAGTTCGGCGTAGAGTCAGCCAGCAGGCCTCTGAATAACCGAATCTTCGCCACTCACTCTGATGACCCCTCAAAGATCGCGGTTGAAATCGACGGCATCACTCTGGTCCCTATTTCGAACGATATCAAGGGGTCAACGGACAATGCGCCAAATCAAATCTGCTACAAGCTTCACTGGGAGCCATGTTTCGAATTTCTGTCGGAGGATACCTACCGTCAACTCCCGCGACCTGATGTCAGTGACGGTGGGAAGGGTGTTCAGAGGATGCACCAGCTCGACCGAGTTGCAGAGAACTGGCTGCGACGCATGCTGCGAGCTGTCCCCGAAGATCAATACCCATCTCTGCCTCATCATCTACAAAGATTCTATCGTTGGGCACAGCAAACATGCAGAGAGGCAGACATCGCGGAAGACTTGCCCGCAGAAATCGTCGACCAGACACGCAATGCGAACGGTGCCGGTGAATTCAATTGCAAAGTTGGAGAGCTACTTCCCCAGATCCTGCGTGGTGAGGTTGATGCGCTTACCCTCATGCTTGAGGAGGATCTACTCAGTAAATACTACGAGGACCTCGATGGTCTCCGCGAGGCGTATGCAAATGCTTCGGTCGCTATTGACAAAATCGCCCATCAGAATTGCGACATGAATATCCTGGAAATCGGTGCTGGAACAGGAGGAGCCACAATGCCGATTCTGAAGAGCCTGGGAGGCAACGAGCCTGGGTCAACTCCCCGGTTTGGACACTACACTTACACCGACATCTCCCCTGGATTCTTCGAGAAGGCAAAGTCCAAGTTCGAGGACTGGGGTCACCTTATGACTTACCAGACCTTGGACGCTTCTACTGATCCTGTTGATCAGGGCTTTGAGCTTGGATCGTACGACATGGTTATCGCTTGCAATGTTCTCCACGCTACGCCACAGATTAACGAGACTATGGCTAATATTCGCGCTTTGTTGAGACCCGGTGGTAAGGTTATGTTGATTGAAGAGACTGCCTCCAAACCCCGCCATTTCCCCTTCGCTTTGTTGCCTGGATGGTGGCTAGCCAGTGACGAGGTCCGCCCTGATGGGCCCCTTCTGACTCGTGAAGGATGGAACGATGTTATGAAGGCGAATGACTTTTCTGGAGTCGATCTTTGCGTCGAAGAGTACCCGGGAGCTTCTTTCCAGTCTGGTTGCTTGATAATGTCGACTGCCAATGGTCCTGTCGCCGGCCCTACAAACCCCGGAGATATCGTCATCGTGGGAGGTGAGAACATTGGAAGCCTTTCCTTCTTGAGTCTTGAGGCCGGCCTAGCCGATTCAACTGGCGTGAAGCCGACAATTGTGTCTGACTTGGAATCGGTTGACGTGTCTGGAAAATGGTGCATCTTCCTCGCTGGCATGGATCAGTCATTGCTGTCACACCTTACGCCTGAGAAGTTCCAAGAGTTCCAACGGCTCATGAGTCGTGCTCGTGGTCTTCTATGGATTGTCCGCCACACCAAGCTTGATAGCCAATCGCTCGGAGCAAACATGGTTGTTGGACTGGCTCGCACGGTTCGGTCAGAGACCGGCTTGCCTTTCGCAACGCTCGACCTGGGAGAAAAGGAGAGCATGTCGGATGCTCAAGCTGTTCATCATATGCTGGATGTTTTCAAGGGCGTCTACTGCCACAAGTCGCAACTGATGCAGAGTGACATGGAATTCGTTGTCCGGGATGGTCACGTCTGTGTTCCTCGTCTGATCGACAACCATCAGCTGAATATCAGCGTTCAACAAGAAACAGCCGACGCACCACCAGCCTTGCAACTATTCAAGCAAGCGGATCGTCCACTCCGTCTCACTGCTGGAGACAGCAGAACTTTGGATGAGATGTACTTTACTGACGATGATGCCCGGAACGACCCACTTCCCGCAGATTACGTTGAGATCAGAGTCACTTGCACAGGTCTGAACTTCCGCGATGTTCTCATGGCGATGGGCCAGCTTCGTGGAGATAAACTTGGGCAGGAGTGCAGTGGTGTTGTCTCGAAGGTTGGTTCAGCAGTGACCAATTTCGCCACGGGAGACCGAGTCTGCGCCATGTCGCCGGGCTCCCTATCAACATACACGCGTTGTGCAGCATCATGTGCATGGGTCATCCCAGACAATATGTCATTTGAAGTCGCAGCTTCAATTCCAGCTGTTTTCTGCACTGCATACTATTCTCTTGTTGACCTGGGCCGTCTGGTTCAAGATGAGAGTGTTCTCATCCATGCAGCAGCCGGCGGTGTTGGCCAAGCCGCAATTATAATTTCCCAAAGCATTGGCGCTAAGATTTATGCAACAGTCGGCAGTGCAGAGAAGAAGAAATTCTTGATGAACACATACAATCTCAAGGATGAGCAGATCTTCTTCAGTCGTGATACCTCGTTTGCCGAGGGCATTCGCCGTGCCACTGGCGGAGAAGGCGTGGACGTTGCTCTGAACTCTTTGAGTGGTGATGCTCTGCAGGCTACATTCGAGTGTATTGCGCCATTTGGACGATTTATCGAGCTTGGCAAGCGAGATATCACAACCAACTCTCGGCTTGAGATGTCTCACTTCAATGAGAACGTTTCGTTTGCTTCAGTGGACTTGGGTATTGTGAGAGAAAAGCGACCCAAGCTTCTGAAGCGCCTCTTCCGTAATTCTTTCCAGATCTTCGCCAACTCCAGAGCTCAGTCGCGCTGGCCTATCACTACACTACCGATCTCCGACGTGGAAGCTGGCTTCCGTGCTCTGCAAGGAGGACAAGTTATTGGCAAGATGGTTGTCTCGATCACGAATGAGTCCAAGGTCAAGGTTTGTCACAGTATTCAATCTAGTCGTGTGGAATTGAACTAATTACTTCTGCAGGTATACCCGGCGCGGAGAGAAGAAAAGCTTCTTCGACCAGACGCTACCTACATCGTTGTAGGTGGAACTAGTGGAATCGGTCTTGATATTGCCAGCTGGATGCCACAAAAGGGTGCTCGTCACATTGTACTGGTATCTCGAAGTGGCGCGGCAACCGAGATGGCACAGAACACGATCCGCGACCTGGAAGGACAAGGTGTTACGGTTGACGTGGCTCGCTGTGACATTTCAAGCCAGCAAAGCGTCGAAGAGAACCTGTCTGCGCTCCTCGCTGAGCTACCTCCAGTTCGAGGTGTTGTATACGGTGCGATGGTTCTTCGAGTAAGTATCCAACCTAACTTCTTACGAAGAAACTGTATTAATTTGAAAACAGGACATGCTTTTCGAAAAGCAAAGCTTCGACGACTACGAAACAGTCATGAAACCCCGAGTTCACGGCATTTGGAACTTGCAAAATACCCTGCAGAATCTGGAGAAAGGTAACCTCGACTTCTTCGTCACACTTTCTTCAGCCGCCAGTTTTGTCGGAAACATGGGTCAGGCAGCATACGCAGCCAGTGGCACATTCATGGCAGCCCTCGCCCAATACTCGCAAACCTCGAACATTCCCTGCACGACAATCGATCTCCCTGTCGTCCGTGGCATCGGCTATCTCTCCGACGACAAGAAACGCGAGCAAATTTCCTCCCAACTCGGAACTGAATCCGTCTGTGCGGCCGAGATTCGCGGCCTTGTTGCAGCTGCCATCCGCAAGGAGATGCTGGATACCTGCGCCGGCCACTGCGTAGTAGGATTCGACGGCGTCAAGAAATACCCCGCGAGCGAACAGCCATTCTGGGTCAACGACACGAAGCTCTCGCACTTGCTCGCGTGTCTACTCTCGCTGGCGCAGGTGACTTGGTCGATGCCGTGCAGTCCAATACCGAGATCTCACCTGCATCCGCGATTCGTCAATCCCGTGGCCGTGAGAGTGCTGTAGCCGTCACTGTCAACGCTCTTGCGCAGAAAATCTCAAGTATCCTCATGCGTCCTATGGAGGAGATGGATCCTTCAGCGCCAATTTCGGTCTACGGTCTTGATTCATTGGTTGCGATTGAAATTAGAAACTGGATTACTCGGGAGTTGGAGGCTAATCTTCAGATTCTTGAGATTCTGACGAGCGATTCCTTGCCTGCGCTTGCCGAACATATTTTGAGAAAGTCGGGTATTCTTACCGCGGAGGTGAAGTCTGAGTGGGGGTTGGATGTTGCTGAAGTACGGAATGGCGTTGAGTGATATTGTATCTGTATCTTTGACATTTCTGTATTTGATTGTAATTGCACAAATTGGATTTTCGGTCTCTAAAAATCCTTGTCTCAAATATTCGAGGTATTTAAGTAATTTGTAGATCATGGAAATACTAAGCATTGAAAGCTTGGAAAGACGTGTTGTACTGAGATAATTTCCATTTCACACCTAATTCAGTGCGAGAACCTTAAGAGGCACTGAGAAGCAGTCTGGAACAACTAAAATACATTCGAGGGAGAAGTGCGCTGCGTGCAATCGAAGGGCTCGTCAACGAACCAGGTGTTGTGTTGCGAGTCGTATACAATGGGATAGCTCGACTTCTGGCTGCAGAGTTTGTCGATTTGAGAACGGTTGCCCGAGCTAATAGTGAACCAGTATAGATTGGTATCGTGGCTGATCGGCTCGCACTTGTAGAAGAAGCCAATGAGGCCCTCGCCGAACACATCGCTGCGGAAGTCGACGGAAAGCTTCTTGTTTAGGTTGATATTGTCGCAGTCCTCCTTCAGACCCTCGACGCTGGCGGTGTTCGCTTCTTTGCTGGTGAATCCCTTGGCAGTGTGTGTTCCATTGGCGGACCAGGTGAACATGGGCAGCTGGACTGTTTCGGCAATTTGCGTGAGCAGGAGACTGTTGGCAGTTCCCATGGCGGAGCATTCAGTTGCAGCAGCAAGGAGACCGACTGCTCCAAGCAGCATTCCGCGCGGAGAAAAGAAGGTAGATCGCATTTTGTAAATTGATAGAAGTGGCGTGACGTTGACAAGGTGGAAGATTTAGACAGGAACGAATATCTGGGGATATTTCACATCTTTATAAGGTCTCTAGGTTATGGTTCCACTTCATCTCCGATATTTCTGAACTTCCCAAATGGGTTTAGAGAGAGGCCTTCACAATGATGTAACCTTGGCGGGATGCTTGAAATGGGCGGTTTACACGCGGTTGTGACTCCTCGAAATGGAATTGTGGATTTTTAACCCGCGATCGGCCAAATGATTGCATTGTGATTGGCGTTGAAGACCCCGCGCATGCACTTGCTCGCTTTCACTCCGCGAATTCCCCAGATTTTCAGAAATAGCCTATGACCTGGGCCGATGGGGTCTTTTTAAGATGAAGGAAGGACGTTTCAAGCCTTCTATCGAGATATTCCTCACAATATAAGCTTAGCCAAATTCGCATCATTTTACGAGGTTTGAGCACTGTCTGTTTGACATCCGACTCTTATTTTCTACATGCGAACAGAGTTTATAACATAAATGGTTTCCATTGCTCCTCACACCATTCCCAAAATAATTTGCCATAGCCTAATCCTCCCTGTTCAGTCGAAGTTATGGCTTTTACGATATCTTGTCGGGGCAATCGTTATTTGGTCGAATTCTTCCCCAGGGAATAACATATGCACCGTTATTATCCAAAGAGACTTCAGGGGATAAACCAGCGTATAGTTGGGTATAAGCGCCAAATTTAGGTGGATGGAGCAAAGGGTTGATGAACCACATCGCCAGCGCAGGCGTACCCGCATATGAGCCCGCCTTCAAGTTACCGGGATTTTGGATGATACTCAGAATTCCTTCCTTCCCGTGTCTGTTCGCAAACTCATCACCCAGAATCCACGTTCCTGCTTTTGATGCGGCATAATTGGCAGTTCGGTCGGAAATCCCATCTTTGAGATGTTCGAATGAAATTCCGTTGATGGGCGAGGCACCCTCGGCTAGATAGCTGGATGTCCAAACCACCCGAGTTGACCCTGGATTGTCGGGTTCGATAGATGCTCGGAGTTGCGGGACGAGGAGCTCAGTGAAGAGTAATGTTGCTACGCAATGCATTCCCATCATGGCGTCGAGGCCCTGGGCCGTTTTTGCCCCTGGATCAACCATATTGGCACCAGTCCCTGCATTGTTCCAGAGAACGTCGAGTTTTGATTCTTGCTCAGCAAAGCTATTGGCTGCTTGTTTCACAGACTCAAGGTCGTTCAGATCGAGGTGAAGGAACTTGAGGTTCCCGGGGGTGCTAGGGGCTGGTTTGAGAGATATGATCGATTCAATCGCAGATTCGGCTTTTTCCTTTGTTGATAATTAGCTTTGTGTGACCAAGGGAAAAGCTGATAAGCAAGCAAGTAAGAATTACTTTTGATCGTGATGCCATATATATGATCGCACCTGTTGTATACAGAATTTTACAGAGCTCATATCCAACACCGGCATTTCCACCAGTCACGATAAAAACTTTGCCCTTTTGTGAGGGCAAATTCACTTCGGTGAAACTAGGAGTTGGCGGGAACCACTGCGAGCGTGCGCTACAAAGTTTGGCGATGGACATTATTCAGAATAAAAATACTGCTAATAATTCGTTTTTGAGGTCGCAGAAACGCCTTATTTATATTTGTTAATATCCTAGATGAGCTGAGTGGTGTTTTGTTGAGGGTGGATAACACTACCCTAGCATGGTCGTAGCTATTGGACACACGAGTCATGCGTGCATTTGTCCGATAATTCATCCGTCAAGATAATATAGGAATTTGTCAGCTCAGCAAGGAAATCAGTAATCAGTCTACGCGATAGAATGTGGCCCCCAAAGTACGGCCCGGGGGCCAGGGGCGCCTTGAGATCCCCAGCTTCAATATTCAAACACACTGGTACAAAATAAGTAAATCTTAAGTATTATTGGGCAGCACCCAGGCTACTACCTAGGTAGCATACAGCGTAATATTTACCGGGATTTATCCTCTCAAAAATTTCCGGTACTTGACATGTGTATTTTTTGGGGGACTCCATTGACAATTTAGTACTCGAGACCGTAAGGACTTAGAGGAGCCAGAAAAAAAAACGATTCAGCATTGGGTCTTGCTTACATAGAGGCTGAGCATTCGGAAAGGTGGTTTATGTCAGAAATTCTACAGGCAGATAGCATGGAAATGACAATTGATGAGGAGAGAGCAATAGCCGAGAAGGGGGGCATATGGAAGGCGTTGAAAAGTGACTGCGACACCCACAAAAATCAACGATAGTTAAGTGATTGATTCAGTCTATGGGGTTTTGGCCTCAGACGGGAATAACCGGGCCGGTCATCTCGCCATTACCTTCCCAGTTTTGGTTCTGGGCGATCGGACCTAGAATATTTGGCTTTTGTTCCTGCTTGATCTCTTGGAATGGATCGCTTGAGGCTTACAGAACATCTATTCATCAATGGTAAAAGCTGCGGGTGGCGCGAGCTAGATTTTAACACCCAGCATACCTTTCTATTTACCAGTGAACGAGTGGTTTTGTTGGTTTCGCAATCAATACACCATTGCGACTCCGGAGAGGGGGAATAATCGAAGATAGGATGGAGATGAATTAATGAAAATCTCCATGAGACCAAGCAAACAAGCTGATCTTCATTCCTGCTTCCAAACCTTGAAAAGAGAGAGGAAATTGGGAGATATTCCGCAGAAGATCGGCTTAACTACAGATGAATGAACTTCACTCAGATTCGAAGCCCTGGAGGTTGAATAAACGACCTCAGCGAAATTGTGTAATTCTAGGAAAATACTAGTATAATTCAACTTTCATCGCATCGCTCATCGTATCTGTCGATGGCTTGCGGGTTAAATAGGTCTGTGCGACCGCTCTATCTCCAACTGATACCCGACATATCAATGACCCAGACGAGCCCAATAAAGATTGTGCACATTATCACAACTCCTGGCATCGACAATAAGCTTTCTCGAACGCCTCGTGACACGAGAACCACCGGATGCGGTCTCTTATCGCGTGGACTAGGCGTAAGAGGCAAAATGCGGAGACCTCCGAAAAACCCTATTCCAGGCCCCAGACTTTGTTAGTCAGTCAGGGTCTGGAATATAAGGAGAGCATGGAGATCTCCGATGGTCGAGATTCTGTCTCGTCCATGATGATAACGAACTGATATGGCTCCCGGCATATAATCATTGAATTGATGGGCTGTTTGTCGGCGTTGCGAGTTGTCATGCTCTAAATCCAGAATCATGATGCCTCTGTTACGCAGAGATTCATCGAATGATTATGGCCCTCAATTACTCAGAGATGTCTGGGCTTTAACTGCAGTGGCTATTCTGATGGTCATTTTGAGGATTATCGCGAAATTGAGAATCGGGAAATTCGGAACGGATGATCTGCTCATGACATTTGCATTGGTCAGCCCAAACCTCCTGCTCGCAATTGAGATCCGAGTAGAATAGTCGGCTCTCACCTTTCTGTGGCGAATTTTCCTAACTTTTTTTTACCACCAGTGTCTGGCTTTGATAGGATCAATTCTGCTTACCCTGGCTATACAATATGGATTCGGTCGGCCAGCGTCTGAGAATGACTCGGAGGTATCGAAGATAATTATGTATGACTATCTTTCGCAAACATTCAGTCTTGCGGGTGGGACACTCGGACGAGTATCCTTTATTGTCTTCATTGTTGGACTCCTGGTTCAGAGGTTGTCTGAACGAATTGTTCTGTGGGCCCTGGCTGCCCTGCAGGTGATCGTCAACGGCATGGTGATCATCATAATATTTGTTCAATGCCCTGGACATGCGTCGGCAATTTGGGACCATTCCGGCAAATCGAAATGCTGGGATCTTCGTGTCCAAGAATACTATGGCTACTTCCAAGGAGGTGAGTTGTGCAAATCTTCAAACTTGATTGAATTACCAATGCTAACCAACGGACTGCGAAATAGCTTTCAATGCCACGACAGACCTATACCTTGCCGTTTTCTCAACGTACATTTTTTGGTACTTGAACTTGAAGCTACGTGTGAAGCTAGGCTTGGTGGCTTTACTGGGCATGGGCATCTTGTTCGTTGGAAGATTCTATTTGAACTGTGAAATTCATGCTAACTAACATTCTTTATAGCGCCATGGTCGCAGCCATAATAAAAACCGTCCAAACCCACGTCCTCGGAACCTCCGACAGTGACCCGACCATTGCTACCGTCAATTACGATCGCTGGCTGTATATCGAAACCTACCTTGTTATAATCACAGCTTCAGTCCCTTGCGTTCGGTCACTGTTCCGCTCCTCCAACAGCCGAAAAATAAGCACTGGGAATACTCATGAGCTCAACTCTCGACATGCAACTAACTCCTCACATAATACACGACCCAGAAGGCGAGACTCTTCTATCGACGGGAAGAGGATCATTGATTTGTCCGAGGACTATGCTAGTAATGATGATGTCTCTAATAACCACTACGAGGCGCCAGAGTCCAGACAGTCAAGAGAATCAGTGGCCATGTGCGTCTGAAGATAATAATTTTTCTAATTCCAATTTATGAATTTACGTTTTCCCAGCTCTCACGAAACTTGTTTATTTTTACTAAACCTTCCATGGCGATGAAGCCAACACGAAAGTTAATCATTTTCAGCGGGAATCTAGAATTTAGGATCAAGGCAAAATCCGAACATGATCTTGAGAGGTTATGCAAAAAAAATTGAATTCATGGTATCGACATCGGGATAAATCTTATTTTTGGCTTTGAATCCATGGATCGAGAATCTTGCCCCCTTGCTGAGCTCCTTTGGTCGTCCTAAGTCGCGGGGGTCCGCTCTCTGGCTTCAACACGAGGCTGGAAGCAGCAAAAAATAGTCAATTGAATGCTGAGAGTCAGGAAACTGCAAAAATTTAAATGCTCACGTCCAGATTTGAACTGAAGACCTCGGCATTACTAGTGCCGCGCTCTACCAACTGAGCTACGCGAGCTTATTGGTGAGGTCTTGGTCAATCTTTGCCGATATAATTGTGGGGCCATACTGAGAAGAGAATTCAACCGTCAACACGACAAGTCATCTTGCATGGACTTTCAATTAAATCAGGGCGCACAACTTGAATGAGGTAGTCTCAATAATAATTATGATTCTAAAATCGAACGCTATATTTCCAAGGTTTTTACCCCTATATAAAATATCTATAAAGCACCTGGGCAGAACGGAAAGAGGACAAGTGCCTAAAGTTCCAAGGTTGGAGGGGAATAATGGAGAATAGCGAGGGGAACATCCAGTTTGGCTGATATCATGGATCAAGCCATTAATATTGAGGTCTTCTCAGCGGACTGAGCAGTTTCAAGTTTAGAGATTGGAAGACCCGGGTCAGGTAGTGCCTACTACTCCGACTCGGAGTCGTCGAAGCATAATCAAATGCATAACTAGTAGGTATACATTCCCGGATCTCCCGAGTCTGCATGGAAACCAACTCAGTTGGATATTCTGTTGATTGCCGATATTAAGATTCAAAACTCTAGATGTCCCACTCCCACACCGACTCCGAACTTCCGGATCGCTTATTTAGACTTTCGACGGTGGATGTCAATTGCTCGGCATACCCGATCTCCAATAAGGAGGCATGGAATGACATGAGGAGGCTTGAAACGATCAATTTAATATGTCAACATGAAATGTGGCATCGAAAAGAGGCATCTGTAGCGCCATAGCGCTGTATCTTTTACCTATCGATGGTCATGTCGGCAATTGACATGCTTGCCGACTACGGCATTTGAAAAACTAGGGTCGTATTGGTGGGTATATCGGCAGACGATCATCTTTCTAATCGCTTCAAGAGAAGCAAACACGAGATTGTGATCAGTTTCTGGTACGGATATTTGAAAGAACGATGTAGAAAAAGTTTGATGCCCAGACAGCGGCATCCCCAGGTTTTAATCCAGAAGATAACATACCGAGTGGGCCGACGGACAAATTCCTCCCCAGAATCCCATGAATCAAAGCGCACAGTCTGAGTCCCGGCCACCCGAGAGGCATGAAATGGCCCGTGCCATGCACGCTGAATGAAGCCAATTAGGTTCGCAGCCCTGAGGGACCTCATGCCACATGCTAGCTACTCTGGGCCGCCAAGTGGGCTTGTCTCGAAGCTGACTGGACGGAAAAATGAAGTCCAGAGACCGGCGATTTCCCCACGACTCATCCCCGCGGCTTCTCCCCGCCCAATTTCCCCCATTCGGCCCCGTATTCCCCCAGTTTGGTGTGGCGTCCCCAGCCAAAAGCCTTGATCAACACGCAAATTGGCAGGTCTGAGGATGGGAAAAGTGCCACTAGATCGCTTAGATGCTTAGCATTTGCCGAAGCCGTCATCGGTTGACCCGCTGATACCTTTGTAAAGGGTGAACCAATACCCAATATATAAGACCATCCCCGGAGGAGATGAGTTTCCTTTTTTTCTTCTCCAGTTTATGAGGAGCTAGGTCATCAGCTTGCTTACTCCCCACAAATTCCCCCCATTTTACCCCTTCATCTATTCATCCATTCATCCACTTCTACACCCACACAAGTGAGATAATTCTCACACAGCCGCCATTATGGTGCAGCCTCGCTTTATGAAGAATTACCGGGTGTACATCCTCACCTCGGTGGCCTATATGGGCTCCCTACTTTTCGGTTTGTTTTCCAAGGTTGACGAGCCCAATTATGAAGATACAGGCTAACAATCAATTTTATTCTAGGTTATGACACGGGTGTTATGGGCTCAGTGCTCGCCCTGAGCAGCTTCAAGAAAGATTTCGGCCTACCAGACGACGAGTCCGGTTTCGCCAGCACAAAGAACGCCTCGATTTCTTCAAACGTCGTCAGTCTGTTGACAGCAGGCTGCTTTTTCGGATCCATTTTTGCCGCATATATCAACGATCGCATCGGCCGTCGCTACTCACTTATGTTATTCTCCGTGATCTTCTTGATCGGCGCAGCAGTCCAAGTCGGCTCCCACCACCAGATCGGCACAATCTACGCTGGACGTGTCATCGCCGGTCTTGGTATTGGTGGCATGTCTAGTATCACGCCTGTCTTTGTTAGCGAGAACTGTCCTCCCGAACAGCGAGGCCGAATTGCTGGTCTGTTCCAGGAATTCCTCGTTATTGGTAGTACTTTCGCCTACTGGCTCGACTACGGTGTGGCTCTACGCATCCCTGAAGGCACAAGCCAATGGCGGATCCCAGTTGCTATTCAGCTCATTCCTGGCGGCTTGATGCTGATCGGACTTTTCTTCCTCAAGGAGTCCCCGCGTTGGTTGATGAAGCAAGGCCGACAAGAAGAGGCACTCAAGTCTCTTGCCTACATCCGCAATGAGGCCGAGGACAGCGAAGAAGTGCAACGGGAGATGGCTGAGATTCGTGCTGCTATCGACGAGGAGGTTACTGCCACCGAGGGTGTGACCTGGAAGGAATGCCTGCAGCCTAGCAACCGATACCGATTCATCATTGCATTCGTGATGATGTTCTGGCAGCAGTTCTCTGGCACCAACAGCATCGGATATTATGCTCCCCAAATCTTCAACTCCATCGGTATCAGTGCAACAAACACATCCCTGTTCGCGACCGGTATTTATGGAACCGTTAAAGTTATTGCGACAGCGATTTTCCTGTTAGTTGGAATTGACCGCTGGGGACGCAAGTACAGTATGATGGGCGGTGCTGCTTGGATGGCGGTCATGATGTTCATCATCGGCGCTGTTCTGGCCACTCACCCACCGGTTACGGGGGCTACTTCAGTCTCTTCTCCCTCGATTGCGATGGTTGCCATGATCTATCTTTATGTCATCGGCTACTCCTTCTCTTGGGGCCCCACACCTTGGGTTTATCTCGGCGAGGTATGTATTTTATGCGGCATCTTTGCTATCCCTTCATGAACGCTTTTACTAATTCGCATATAGATCTTCCCCACTCGTCTTCGCTCGTATGGTGTCGGCCTCGGAGCTGCCACTCAATGGCTCTTCAACTTCGTCATCACGGAGATCACTCCCCGCGCCATCAACTCCATTGGCTGGAAGACTTTCATCATGTTCGGATGCTTCTGCACTGGCATGGGTATCTTCGTCACCTTCTTCCTGAAGGAGACCAAGGGAAAGACTCTGGAAGAGATGGACCTTGTGTTTGGAGCTGTCGATGAGATCCAGAGACAAGCTGATGTGGAGGCGACCTTGCAGAAGCAAAACTTTGAACATGCTGAGCACCAAGAGGAACGCCAGGAAGTCACCACCAAATAAGTGGGCTTGGAGCCCTCCATTCTAATGCTTCATGACGATTGCGTATTTGAAATATGCTTTATGAAAGGGATCAGGTAATCCCCAGTGTCGCGCAATAGAGACCTTGTATATAGAAATACACTCTGTACGAAAGTAATTTTGATATCCCTAGATGTGTAGTAACTCACGGTGGGGCCAAAACGGTATCATCGTCTTGCTATCGTTGGCGTAATCTGTAGAATATGAAGGTTTGAATAAATGCATGAAATTGTTCCAAAGAGAATATTTAGACCAAATGAGCGGTGCACCACATCGTCTAGTTCATCATGGGTCAACTGAGACCTAACTGAATCAGCCAAGTTTCAATTTCCACCAAACTACATAATTGGTAGGAATTTTAGCCCAAATGATTTTGCTTTTTCGGCGGCAAGCCGCAGCGATCCTTGGCGTGGACCCTCACAAGAGGAGTCATAAGGAGACTTTTTAGTCTTGTGAAAGCAAATTAGTATTCAAAAAGTGATTGAAAGTATAACTATCGAAATATTTCCCCTCTGACACGTCAAAGACAAATTCAGATTTGTTTGGCTGTTCCTGCATGTGTATACTGTCTATACAAGTAGGGTATCCTTGCTACATACCCAGTGAATACACAGAATGCAACCTTAACGTTGTGAATGACACCACAATATCACGGTGTTGTAGTTCGTCCGACTCGGATGTTTGCCTGGACAATGGACTATGCAAAGCTAGTACAAGAGAAGGAATACTAAGAACCTACTCGAGGCCCGGTTGTAAGTACTGTGCGGTGAGTGGGAATTGTTTGGAATTTGAATACCTTCTGATAGCTACGCTAACACCTGCATTCATTTCCAGAGTGGTGCGGGAGCTGGAATCTACAATTTGGACGTTCAATTGACCCCTTGTGATGGGACGGATACAGCTGTAAAGTGGTGCTGTGGGACCTTGACTGATTGCTGTGGAAATGAAAACGACGTGCTATACCTGGGTGTCACTGAGCACTAGGCGTTCACAACTATCTCCACCTTGACCAGCGTCTGTCGAAGTTCAACAGCACCCCGACGTCAGTTTCGACTCCAATATCGACTCCGACATCAAATGAATCATCGGAGTTGGGCTCTTCATCAGATTTACGATGGGCGCGAAAGTCGGCAGCGGTATTGGAGTTTCAGTGGTCGTTGTTGCGATAAGTGTCGTTGTTACATTCCTTTTCTGGGGGCGAAAGACAAAGACAGGGACTTTATCTGATGATTCGCAGGAGACTATCCTGCCTCCTGTATGTGAAGAGTCAGCCGAGCACGAGGACTCACGATATGAATTGTCCGCACAGCAAGCTGGGAATAAAATATCCCCGAATCATGCAGGTCAAGACGACAGGAGGTACGAACTACCCTGAGAACTCGTTAAAAGATAGAATTTGGATGGCTCAGCGATAGTGGCATAAGAGCTGCGACAATAGTGCTCTTGTTTGTTCTTCATGTAGGCCGTGGAAGTATTGGATTCTGAAGCGTCTAACGTTTCCATAGTCATCTTCATTTGTACTATATCTTTCTATCGTGGAAGTCATCACGGGTCTAACTCAACCTCCACATATCGGCCAAAACTGATCCTCGGCATGTATTTCAATCCCCCATGGTCAATATTGGTCCCGTCGTTACAGTAAGGCCAACGTTTATAACCGAAGTGATTTCGCAGCCACGTTCCACGGTACTTCATCAAGGCCAGGATTACTGCAACACTGGTTCAATCTTCCGGCGTGGTGGAGTCAAGCTCCCATGTGGGTATACAATGCCCAGGATAGCGGACTGTGAAGATACCGTCTTCGAATCCTAAGCGTTGCGTCATGAACCGCTTCCGCAACCGCACGGTTCTGATCAGTAGCAGTAATACGCCTCGTAATCAATGCCTCGTAGAAAAAGGCTGCCATATCGACGCACACATCGTCGTCAGCCGGCCATAAAGAGCCAATGACATGCGAGAAGCCCGCAATTAAGAAGCCGCTGGTGATGTGGAGCGCTTCTTCCTGCAGGCACGTATCACGAATTTCAGCTGTAGAGCACGCTGAAAGATACGCAATCCATGCACCGGACATAGATTGGGAGTCAAGAAGCTTTTTCACTGTGAGTTTGTCTACCACAGGGCCTGAGTCGCTGTCTTTCTGCAGGAGGAGATGACTATGATCAGGGTCGCCAGGATCGGAGTACCCATGGCAAGCGAAATGCACGAGCTCGTAATTTTGCAGTTGAGCGAGGACATCATCGGTAGAGGGACTGTTGAGTTCTTTTACATTCATGTCCTGCTTAACTGTGCTGAGGATGGTTTGGGCTTCGTGACGGACCCCGGGTAAGGCCCCATAGCCCGGGGTATCAGGCATTGTTGCGACCAGGAGCGAGTGTTTCTCTCTTGGCTGGCAGATCGTCCTTGCTGCCCTTTCCCGGGCGTTTCGAAGGACCTTGATCGTCGGTGTGTAGGAAGAAATCACACGATCAAGGCAGTTTTCGTTCTCGTCGATGGCTCCATTACTGTAATCGCCGGCGGCATGAAACGGAAGCCCGGTCGCAGCTCCCACTCCCATCCACCAGACTCGACTCTTCTCCCCAGATATGGAGATATCTCCCCTTGAAGAAAGGCTCTCGAGAATTGGCTTGACGCAGGTATACCACAGCCAAGACAGCAATTCTTCGTCGTTCGCCTCGGGCGGCAAGTCACTCTCTAGATCTCTTGTGCCTGGCTCCAAGGCGCACCGCGCCAGTTGCTGACGAAATTGTGGGATAGCGTGGCTACTCATGTTTTCCAACTTTATATTGCCTATCTTTGATGGGGTGAGGATTAATGCATGTGCAGTGACACAAGTTGCGTTCACAATGATAATCGGTCCCTCACGGGAGATTTCAGCCATCTCTGGGGCTCTCAGGGGCCGAAGAAAGGACTCAAAGCCTGCTTTCTCTCGGATTCTATTCTCGCAATGCTGCATTCGCTGAAATATAGCTCGACGGGAGTTCATTAGATGTTGTTCCCCACACTCCCCGTCATTGGACTCGATCGAGCCCAAAGCTTCATCACGAAGCCTGTCATACTCCTGGGCCAGATCAGGGTGCTCCCGCGTTAGGTCTGATAGATTGTTTTTGATGTCTATTAGATCTCCAATCAGTAGGCCCCGGCCCAGCTCGACTTTTTCAAGTGCGTCGCTAGGATAGCCCAGGCTAAGAAATGCAGCGCACGCACCGCTGGCAAGGCCGGAGATGCTTCGGAGATTGTGAATCTTGTCATCATGTCTGAGGTCCCGGCTGCTGATTAGCGACATCAGTGGGAAGGTGGACTCTGCGATTAGACAGCTCTGATCCCAGTTCCCCGCATGGTTCGCGCTGTGTACAAGGACGTTGGCGGCTCGAACACGCTGGCTGGGCAAGGCTTGGTCAGATAAGCAGCATTGCCCGAGGAATTGGATCCCACGCCTGTGAGCGGCTTTATCTCGTGTGAGAGAAGCCTTTTTGATCCACAAATTTCCCAAAAAGCCAAGATTAGAGTACTTCTCCTGGCTAGTCTCTTCGGCGAGGTCCAACGAGCTCTCCATTGACTCGATCGCCTTGTCAAGATCAGTCAGCTCCTTGGTACAATCATAGAGCCTTGAATATTGTGCGCTCAGTATCTTAAAAATTCCTCTTTTAAAACCAGGACCTATGCGATCGTTGTGTTGAGTCCGTATGCTTTCAATCTCTTCGATTGAGTCTCGTAGGACGCGTACCTGGTCCGCCCCATCTGGCCGTGTAGGTAGCCACGCAGCTCGTTGCACGAGGCAGGATAACTGAAATGAGCTGCCTGGCATAGCAGCATCTGCCGCCTTGCTCATCAGGTCAAATGCTGTATTTATATCAGAATAACACCTATGACGAGACCATCTCAATAACAGGCGACAAGCTAGCTCCATCCCGAACGCTGCGCCCAGGATCGATGGACCGTTCTCGAGTATGCGGGAGTGGCACAACTCAGCCCTGGAGATTGCAAGGTCCAGATCCCTACTGTGGCCTGTTTGATCGTATCGATGAGCGTACTGCCGGGAAAGAGTTTCCAGGAGCTTCTCATATGTATGCCCGTCACTAGGCACACTACTGAGAGCATGCTCTGTGGTTCCAATTGCCGTGTCAAATCGTGCCCCAATGGCCAATTCTTCAATACCAAAAGTTTTGAATTGGCTCTCCCGGCCAGATATTACGGCTTTATTGGGGGATTCTGGCGTCGAATCATGCAGCTGGCCCATTATCTCTGAGGATTTCTGACGGTCATCTGCACTCCCTGTGTGGAAATGGCGCCACGAGTAAACGCCGGCAAGGATGTTCAATGCTTTAACCCGCCCCGGCCACTCATTAGTGCTTCCTATTGCTGTTTCAAGCTCGATGATTGCGAGATCGGCATCTGCAATACTATCGGTTCTAGAAGATCGCATAGCCAATGCCAAAGCAAGATTAACTCGGTATTCAGGATTTCCAGGCTCAATAAGAGCAGCCTGTTGGAGGTATGTGAGCGCTTTCTCCAAGTTTTGCTGAGTGGAGCCCTCGGCGCAGTCAGTCAAGTATATTAGCCCGATGACATAAAGAACCTGAGGTTGGAGATGATGGTCGTTGGGCAATTCAGACAGTGTCCACTCCAGCATAGGAAGCCACTTGGAGTTATCTGATTCAGGTAGGTTGAATAATGGAAGCCTGTAGCCGTCTCCAACGACGCCTTCTCTTACTGCATGATTTCGAGTTGGAGATGTGGGCTCGGCCTCTGTAGTCACTGATGAGGAGCGGCCAGCAGCAAGCCAGCCTTGAAGGAGCTCAAGGGCTGCCGGCACATCATATTCTATCCGGTTGATTTCGCCTTGCTCAGTAACGGTACCCGAGGATGAACTAATGTCAATCTGGAAAATGCGACCGGGGTAATCAGGTCAGTTATCTGGGTGCATTAAGGTCTAGCACACTGGATTAAAGACTGTTCGTGCACCTGGAGAACTCACCTCGCTCACATTTGCCCAAGTTGATATCATTATTCGAGCCTCTTGGACAATGTTGATCCACCCAGGGTACTGACGACTCTTTAGCATCTCGTCGAATAGATTCATCCGGCTTGAACGGAATAAATACCTTTGCCCTCGCCCAAATTGCCAGTCGATCTCCCTCCTCGAAGAGATCGAGAAACTCTTCCACGGTTTCATCGTCACCGCCCCGTTTCCAGGTCAGGGTATGATGCTGCCAATCCGGTCGAATAGCATTGTCGATGATTGTCATGCTAATTTCAGAGTCGGAACGAGTGAGATGTGTAGGAATGTCCTTGAAATATAGTCCTTGATCTTGGATCAAGTCTCCAAATTCCTCTGGAGTCGGTCTAATATGGGCCAGCTCCGACAGGTTGTGGAACTCAGCGACTGTTTGCTCCGACAACGATCCCAGAATGGACACTTCAAACCAAGACCATAATCCATTCTTGGGATTTCCATATCCCTGGTCACGACTGATGATTTCGAACTGAATGCTCGAGATATTGTTGGGCAGTGGCTGAGAGACGAGGTACAGGGCGGTCGATGCTTCCCCGCTCAGTGAATACGCTTGGGGGACTTTCACATCTTCTTTGCGAAACCCCCACAATCTTAGATTTCCTCCTCCGCGTAGAGTGCTCATTGCTCTGTTCGACACTTCAAAAGCTCAAGATCGGGACGTGAAGAAATACCGAGCGAGTTTTGCGGGCGAGCACTTACGTTGCAAGATCCATTAGTGCGGCTGAATGGCTGCCTGCATTCAAGGGTCACGGCAAGGCATCCAATTAAAGGCGATATGCGTGCCAGGGTCGCCCTCATAGCGAATGAAGCCGTGTCTCTATTAGTGCCACGTCATGTTGCATCGCGTGTGTTTGATCTTTCAAGACTCCAACATGCGAAGAAGAAAACCCATCCTCGCGCCGCTGCTTTCTTGATTTGCCCTATTTGGTTGGAAGAACTGACCTTTCTGGTTCTCATGATACGATGACACAGACAAAGAGAGCCCTGGTCATTACCAGCCCGTGGGGAGATCTCCGAGGCACCGAGAACGATGGGCGCTGTATGCAATCAGTGCTAGCACAGTACGGCTTTCAAGTCATGTCCTGCCACGGTTCCCAAGCAACGCGAAAAGGCATCCTGGAGGCATGGCAGCATCTCATCTCGCTGACCTCCTCCGAAGATTTCGTTGCCATATATTACTCGGGACATGGGGGCATCGTGGAGTCTCCAGTCAACCAGGAAGATGGAAAGGAGTGGCGTCACCAGTTTCTCGTGCCTGTAGATTTTGAGGACCCCAGTTCAGGTGGCTTCAATGGAATCCTTGATGTCGAACTCGCGCAGCTTCTTCGCTCAACCACCGCGCAAACTCGCAATGTCACCGTCATTCTCGACTGTTGCTATTCAGGACGAATGGTTCGAGCACCAGGATACGGGGAAGCGGCAGGGCCCAAGCAGGTCCCATCCGTACGCTATCAGGATGTCGCTCAGTTCCTGACTACTTATGCAAAGAGTGTCCCGAAAGAATCATGTCCTATTAAGTGGGATGAAGACCCGGATGCAGTTCGTGTAGTAGCGACAGCTCCTTCTGAAACAGCTTGGGAGGTTCAGGACAGGGAGGGAAGGTGGATGGGGTCTTTTACCTCGGCACTCGCTCAGGTTCTGGGCGAGACACACAATCATCGGATTCCATGGCGAACAAGTATCTTAAGAGTTCAAGATCTGGTCCAGAAAGATTTCCCTCGTCAGCATCCACGGGTGGAGGGTCCACATACTCGCCTTCATTTCTCTCTTGAAGAGGTCATTTCAGACGGCATTCACCTCAAAATCGAGGATGGCCGACCCGTGCTCCAAGCTGGGCGTGTTGCGCATGTCTCGGAAGGGGACATTTATGCTGTTACAGGCCTAGATGTCGAATACTTCTCGAGAGAAAGGCAGATAGCCTCGTGCGAAATTATCAATGTGAATGCCTTCGAAGCTGAAGGAAAGCTGTCTCAGACGACTTCGAACCCTGCGCAAGAACTTCCATCCGAAGGAGCCCTGGCCTTTTTGCAGCAGAGTGCTCGTTACCGGTGGCCTATATCAGCGCCTGAGTCGGTTCTACCATTTATCAGTCCTAACGTTCACCAATCCCGCTTCGTTAGATTTCTGGACGAGAATGAAAAAGGCAGTGCTCTCATCTCGGTATATCACCGGGAAAATTTCATCGGCATCCAGTCTCAGAATGGAATTCAGCTTACGACACGTTTTCTTGATCCAGATTGCCCCACAGACACAGACCATATATACCAAGCAGTCGTGGCAGATGCAGATCGTCTGGCCTGTGCTCAAAATCTCCTTGCCTTCCACAACAACAGTGTTGATGAGCAGTTTAGCCACCAGGTTGATATCAAAGTCGGACTGGTCGAGAATCATCAGCCGACAAAGGTACTGACTGGATCAGGGCGCGATCATCTCAACGAGGACCAAAGAATATACATATCCCTTCGAAATGATGGCACGACCACTGCCTATGTGAGCATCCTGTACATCAATGTCCAGGGCAAGATATCTCTGATATCAAAGTCCAGTCCCCTTGGAATCGAGCTTCCTCCACAACGCTCACACTGACTTCGAAAAACTCGATTCGGTGTTCTAGAAGGCCTCAGGGTTTCTTGGCCAGCTGACTTACCCCGAACCCGTCCTATCAACGAGCATCTACTGGTTTTCATCACGAGTTCCCCGGTGGACTTGCGCGCGGTCTCTGATCCCCACGTCAGCTCCCAGCGCACAGTTGTCTCAAAATTGGAGCGCAAATTGTATCAAATGTGTCGAGGTGAGCGGAGAAATGTGGAGGATGACAATGGAATGGATCAAACTGCTTACGACATTGTCCATATTCCGCTTACTGTGTTCGCACGGGAGCAGGCCGCGAGTCCACACTCTGATAGCCCGGCAGGACAACAACAGTTACTGGACAAGTGCAATAAACCATTTGATGATGAAAATGAATTTGTTATTCCGTCGATGCTCAGTGAAGCTCAAGACCTTCCAGAATTGCCCCCACATCTCCTTCCAGCGTCTAGAGTGAGTCGCCTTTGTTCACCTCGTTCACCAACTCCCACCTTGATATCACCGAATTTCCGTCTAACATTCGAATCAAAAGGGATACTTAAGCCGGACAATCAATCGAATTAAGGGCATTCCCGCTTGTATATGGGTGGTAAATGAGCACACCGAGGCCATAACAGTCGTTGTATCACAGTACCGACCATCCCGCCTATGGACCGAGGCTGGTTTGAACATCTCCACCACAGGTGTCGGTTTCGACCTATCAACTACGGTAAGTGCTTCTACCGCATTCCCATGAAGTGTCAGAAGCTCATCAATGCTCATATAAACCGAACAGTCATTTACGCCCCCTGTAACGCGAAAGACGCTCCCGGCTGCAATAAAGAGCCAGAAGCCATTGACGGCCGCTTTCCCGCTGTGGACTCGGCGCGACGGATTTGGAGTGATCACCGTGTTTGTGGGTGTTGGGCAAACGCTTTATATCGAGAATGATCGCATTCCAATGGGGGCGACGGCTTACTTCCGGAATGAACCCAACTTGCATATTGTGGGGTTTGAGGCTCTGTAGACGGCGCAGAGCCGCTAAAGTCAGAAACAGTTGATTGGGACAAACCCCACACCGTGATCCACGCTGCCTCATATGCAGTATTGTAAAATGAGACTCGCAAAATAATCGAAAGGGATTCTGCCAGGGAATGACCTTTAGAGCTCGCGATTGCGGAACTATTCTTGTGTCGTTACATTCGCTTCGAGGGATCTCCCCTAGGGGCTTTACCCTTCTGAGAATCATTCAAAACAAATTTTGAGACTTAGTACTCGAAGAGACCTCATGAACTGGGTAAATCATCAGAAAGAGAATGTTAAGTAGAATTTTATCCTTATTTTCTTCAGAAGATGGTGGCTGGGGACCTTCTTCCTAGCATCACTCGCAATAACCCTCAAGCCATCTAGTAGCAAACAACCTTAAGCAAAACCTCAGTTCGAGCATCTAGCATGCTGAAGTTATCTCTCAGAACGGAGCACCAGTTTGTGAAACAGTCACTAATCCCCGCGAACTGAAAAACAACCCTTTTAAGATTTGGCGTGCATGATCTCCAGTCCACCAGCCAAAATTTAAGCATGTTGAGAATTCCATCATGCTCACATAAGAATGTTGCCATCTTTGCATATGTCAAATCGTATGTGAGAGTCACAAACTCGACATTCCTCGGCATCGAATCCTGCAAGCGCTCGGTCAAGTTTTGCTTAAACCCTGCCACAAACACCCGTGGGATTTCAAGTTTCTTAACCTTTTCCACGTCGACTAGCGCATGTGATGAGCCCCTCACCAACATGGTACTCGGGACCTTCGCCCAAATTACAATATCAGTAGGTGAAATTGTCAAATGAGTTAACGTATCGCGAAGAAGACAGATTGCACTAGCAATGCAGTTGAGATCGACAACGTATGTATCAGCTGGCTTGACGCCCCTGAGTTCGCCGCCATCGAAACAAAATTTCCAGCGAAGTCCTTTAACATTTCGGGTGACCAAAAGTATGGTGCTAAGGTTTTCCCTCGGAGGTCGGCCAACTCGAGTGATCTAATAGTTGACACATTTGGCCGGTTTGGGGTAGGCCAGGTCCATGTAGCCACAGTGTCCATCGAGATTGACAAGTGCTTGATCTTAGGCAGATAGAAGAATAGCTGAACGTGTGGGGGATTTTTGTACTGTGTCATCTGGCTATTTCCGTTGTAATCTTGCGTGAATGTCACCTCTTCAAGATGCTGGAAGTAGAGTGTCGTGTCATAGTGGTGTAGATCTACCGGCCGCTCAAAAAGTCTCGACCGAAGGACCATACCCGTCAATTCATTCGATTGACTGAATGGAGGGCCTATGTAGAGATATCGGAGATTCGGAGCTTGCCCTAAAACGAAGGCGACAAAGGCGTCAGTGCTGCCTTTCTTCAACTCATTTATCCACAGGTCAGAATATGGGGCTTTGGTGTCTCGGATAAACCCGTTGAATTCGGCCAGTACACTGTTGAAGAGGACAGCCACGGTGGATGAAGGATGAAAGATGGTGAAGGGTGGTAGAATAGGATGAAAGTAATGAGATTGAGGAGAGAGGAAGAAGAAGAGAGATAAGTAACTACTTTAAGCTACAGTTGTACGGTGTAGGCGTGGTGCCTAGGCGGATGCCACACAACCAAGACACCAACGCCAAATAGTAATACCCATCGAGTTCACTACATCTACAATCAATAAGTTGCTCGATCTGCGTATCCCGTAGCGCTATGCCTGAGGTCCTCACAGAAGAGACAAAGGAGGAGGTTGATATAGGTCAATCTGGAGATGTTGAGGCATGTGTCTCAACACCTGTCTTATGGGAGTTGAAAATAAGAGTACAGCAACAGACAGGAAAATAAAAAGGAGAAAATTAGATAGGCCTTGAAAGATCTCGATTTGAGATTCGAGAAGTTTAGAAGTCCGCATTCATCAAACAATGATTTGTCTTTCAAGGTAAATTGTACGGTTGATATGATAGGAGCGGGGGCCAATTAAGCTGCGAGGGCGGGGCATAATCAAGGATCGCCAATTGTGATTGAGCCTGCACTAGCGGGCAATTAATGGGCGAATCAGACGAAGCTGTCTATCTGGTGCATGCATGTCTAGTCTAGTCTAGTGTTGTATGCCCCTGAACCCAATCAACCCAACTTAAAGAGCAGCGGCAAACGGCCCGTCTCCACCTTTCCCTTTCTCTCATTTCTTTTCTCTTTCAACTCCCCGCCACTCTCCCTATATCACACTCGACTCTAAGCTCTCATAGTCGAAAATCGAAGACCTGCTTGGTCGTGTTCTCCACAACTCCACTGTTGCCTGCCACCCGCACCACTTCCCGCTTCAACCCCGTTATGAATTGCCGGCGCAATGGACACCCCAGAGAAACACCCCCAGCACTCCACCATGGACCCTGAATCCCCCCGTGTCTCCAATATCAGACCCATCAGCTCCACACGACAATGCGCACGATCTCCGGACCTCGATGCCAAAGCGCAAACCCGTCCCAACACCAATAACAGCGCCCAGCACCGACTCAACCAAAGAAACAGCAAGCAAACCCAAATTAGCCGGACTAGGGGCCACCTTCAGCACTCTCTTAGGCTTCAATTGGTACCACAACGCACCGCAAAGGCAAAAGCGCAAATATCTCATCTTCGCCGCCGTCGCTGGCATACTTCTCCTCGCACTGATAATAGGTCTCGCGGTAGGCCTGACCGTGGGGAAAAAGTGAGCATTTCTCCATTTCGGTCAATACGATCCATCCATTCTAACAGCGAAAGAAACTCAAGTTCAAGCTCTAATCTCGCCCTGCCCACTGCGCACGGTGGCCCGTATAGCGGCGACCTCACTTATTACAATCCAGGCCTTGGATCGTGCGGGTACACGAATTCCGAGACCGACTTGATCTGCGCTGTCTCGCATGTTCTGTTTGACGCTGCTTCGACGGGGTCGAATCCGAATGAGAATCCGCTTTGTGGGATGAAGTTGAGGCTCAGGCGTGATGGGGTTAGTGTTGATGTTAAGGTCGTTGATCGGTGTGTTGGGTGTAAGGAGACTGATTTGGATGTTACGGAGACTGTGTTTCGGAAGGTTGCCGATGTTGATTTGGGGAGGGTTGGTGTGGAGTGGGCGTGGCTTGAGCAGGCGCCTGTTGAAGTTTCGGGTTCTTGAATGGAAGCGGTTTCACGCTTAAGGAAGGATATTGTACATAATAAATGGCGGGGTTATAACCTTGGGATGGGAAATTGATGAATTATGTTTACCAGGGAATTGAGGAGTAAAAGTAATGCCACAGCCACCTACATTTACTTTCGTGGCAACCGTACTAACTTGATCTCATTGACGTGATTTCAATAGCCAACGAAACTTCTCACCCATTCTCATGAGCTATGGTATATTTGGAGAGAAAGAAAAGGTGGGATGATCATCGAAATGAAGAAAGTGTGTACTGGTGTGCTATGAGAGAAGAGACGGAAGTATGACAACCTAGATACATGCCCGCGGCTGTAGACATGGAAAATTAAAATCAATGCCAAGTCATGATCATCATAGTACCCTTAATGCAGGGAAGCCTTCTCGAGCCATTCCATTACCCTGGTTTCCGAGGGGTGGACCAGCATGTATGCCTCTTTGGCAATCTGCATGTCCGCGAACTTGTCGACGTTCTTGTGTGTCAACCTGGGATGCGGTTTTTTCATATCTGCAAGAGCCGCCGGCGAAGGTACCTGCTTTGAGAAATCGCGTGGTGGTCGAGGCACTTGCTGCCGATCAAAGGCATCATCGAGCCCCTCCGCGGACTCACGTTGTGAGGCTGGATTGAGGGCAGTGCTCGGGCCGTGAGCACCGGGGGTGATCTTCGACGCTTTTCGGATATTGAGGTTTTGGATGGCTGAGGTCATTTTTTCAAAGACCATTTTTGCTGATCATTGTCAGCGATTCGATGATATTTGAGTGGGGGAAGAGTGGATTGGAAATACCTGTGTCAACCTTGGGACTGGGCTGTTTTCTTCAAATTGACATCGGGTGAATTGCGGTAGAAATGGTTGCTCGGCTTGTAGGTATCTCTCCGAGTCTGTGGTTAAGCTTGGATAGTATCCATGGCCCTGGTAATGGACCTGGTATGATCATTTCTGAAAGAGGAAAGTGCGAGTGTTTACTATTTTGGTAGGGATTGGTGCGGGAGTACTCAAGAGTTTAATGATATTTTATGATCTCGAGGTTAAGAACCATATTCTGGCGGATAATTAGTAGTTTTAATCATACTGGAATGCCATGAGCGTATACGGGAGAATGATGAACAGAAAGAAAAGAGATGGCTATACGGGTTAAGCATATAGTGCGTTTACTTACTAGTCATGTGAGACTTGAAAGCCCTAGTTAGTTACTAGCAAGCACCGAGTACCTTTGTTATGATAGCTAGCAATGATACTACCAGACACATGTTTCCTCTTCACAACAGTATATCACAATAAGAAGATTTCGAACAAATTTATGATGATAGAAAGGTGTTACTATTTGAATTGCAATCTCATGAGAGAATAAGAATAATTCGAAGCACATATATACCGGATGATGTCTGGCAATTCTTGGCTTTCCGTTCCCATTCTAGTGCTCACCCCCCTCGCCGCTTTTACTCCCTGAGTAGAATTGAGCACGCCCCTGACCGGCCTGAGCTGATCAGTGATCACTATGTAATCAAACTGATCACTCACTGAGCCTGATCGAAGCACCCTGATTTGCTCAGTGAGCCTGCCCTGAGCACCATGATCTGATCACTGACCCTAACCCAAGGTCGCTTACTAGGCTATTGTAACTCAGGTGGCCTGAGTAAGTTAGCTTATTAAAACGCGACACGCTAGTTTGACTGCTGTACATGAATTAGCCTCGTGATGTTGCCACTAACTGGTGATTTTTCCCTTTGCAAACAGAATATACCTGATTAATTTTGTTCTTATAAATAGTTGGACCAATTGAGATTTGATGCTCCTAGTAGTATTCTCTGTTCTCCTAATATATATCTGATTTAGGAGAACTATCTAGGTAGATATTTAACTAGATAAACTACGTAAATGTGAAGGGCTACAGCCGAATTGATTCAATTGAGCGGTGCCTGCATGCTGTTTTTCTAAGGCTTGGAGAAGTGTAAGAAAAAGGGGGCGACCCATGGCGACTAACTATCCTGGGGAACTGATAGATCACATCGCACAGGCCAAGCCTGGGCCGAAGATCGGGACCTGTCCCGTTACAATATTCTTACACTATCAATCTATTTCTCACCCTACATAGTAAGTAACTTATGATTAAGATAGGACAGAGGTTATAGTGGATATAGAGACCCTAGAACTTTGCCCTAGAATAGGTTCTAGGTGGATCAGAGAGGAAAGCTAGTTTCAAAATTTATAGCTTAAGAGACTAATACAGATAGTGGAAAAGTACTATATACACTCATAATTTATTAACACCTAGTAGCTAAACTAAAAGAGTAACTATTACTAATCTACCAATATATATCCTAACATATAGAATATCTCCTTGCAGTCTATACATAGTTACTTTCTATACATATTATCTTAGCTATTATTATTATACTAGATCCTTATATGATAGTAATTTTGTTAGTAAACTAGCTTAAAAGTATTTCTTCAAGTATTCAATATCCTATTCTCAGTAGTTAAAGCACATCTACCGTCTCTGGTACAAGGTAGTAGGTAGGGGTTAGTTCAGAGAAAGGGATTTATTTATATTAGTCAATATTGTTAAGTAGCGTCTAGTTAGCCTATAACAATTACAAACTATATTAAGGCTTACACTACTTCTAGATTCAGCATTCAGTTCTAATCAACTAACAGTAACTTTCCGCCCAGAAAGAAGAATATATTACCTTAGTAAGTGTAAGTACATTACAGTATTCCTGTCGGTATACAGTCTACTTCCAATATCAAAAGAGAAAGTATTCAACAGTCTCAGCAACATTAATTTGATAAAGATATCCGTTAAGTCTCACTATACCAGTCCGGAGTTAGGCTAGCATACTTACTTCTTTCCACAATAATTGATTATGCAGCTACCAGGTGTGTTTCCCTAGAAGTACTATATTCACTCGTTTAGAATATCTCCCTACGTAAGTACTGATTTATATTCCTAAGCTAAGCAAGCCTGATAATATATTATAGAGGTAAGAGAATCTACCTATATAGATCCTCTACCTTACATCCCCTTTAATTCTTCTTCCGCATCCTTCACGGAGCATAGCCGGTTCCGCAATTTAATACTAGTTTATACCTTAAGCCTACTTCCATAGCCACCCTAAAGACTCCATCCTTAATAGCTATCTTCAGAATCCTATTCTCTCAGTAGACTAATACGTACGTCTGTCCTCTCAAGCTATATAGAAAGTGTCGTATCTATGGTCCACCTGCCCAGCCTTCCATCACTTCCATTATATACTACACCCCACAGGTTATCAAATCTAATTTACGCTACCTTGTAAGATCTCTCTAATAAGACCAACTATATCTTACAAGAGTTTGCCCAGTTATATTCTCTCTGTATCAAAACAGCTAAGTAACACAGTATTACCCCTCCTACTAACTAAAGTACCTTGTTATTCTCTGTATAGATTTAAGCATGCCGGATCGTGCTATATCGTTTATACTTTTATTTTGACTATATCATTTCTGTGTCTTTAACCCAGTAATATCCTTCTTTTAATAGAGCAACCTAAGAGTACCCCAAGGGTATCCTATCCTACAACCCTAGTATATACTGATTATGGGATCAGTTTCACAGTCGTGTATCAGGTAGTTTTCAAAGTATTCCCTTATTATCTGTTACGTAGGGTCATAGCCCCTAACCCCTAAGCTCTCGCTCTGGCTATAGCCCTAGCTAGAAGACAGTGCTAGCTAATAGTAACTCTTCTTAGCTCTGTAAATACTACCCAGACAAGGTTTTCACAGGTTCCTAGCCAACACCACGGGGATCTAAGAGTCGTTACTTGTCTTAGTACTATACAGTAATTCTCGAAATTACCTTAACTAGTATATACCAAGATTCTCTTTCTCAGCCCCACTACTAAGCCCTTAATGTAGATTATATTTTAAGTATATTACATTAAACTGGGTACACTGTAAAATATACTTTGTATAGGACTGTAACTTCCTACATAATATTACACATTACCTACAAAAGCTTAGTAGAATTATATAGAACCTATAACTAGTAGGTTTCTACAAATTATATAGGGAGGACCGCTTAGCACCTATTAACTTAGAACTTAGTCTGCTTAGTAACTTCGATTTTCCTCATCAGCCTATACAGCACATACCAGTCATCATTTCTAACAGATATCTCTGTACATCGATATAAATAATAAACTAATTCCTGAAAGAATTTACCGGCTATTACATATACATCGGATAAGATAGTGATAAACTTAAGACTTACCGCCTACTTATCTCTAAGATCAGGAACAGAGTTAAATAATACTAGGAAGGATAGTACAAAAGATTGAATTAAGATCATCATTTAAAGAGACAAGTAACAGTATTTCTCTTCTCCTTCCCTCACCCCGCCCGCTAGTACATCTACTCCACCTAGTCAAGCTTACCTTAAGAAACCAATCCTATCAATATAGTCTACTTAAGCATAGGAAACCTAAGCCAGATAGAAGTTTACGATAATTCCGTTAGTTAAGCCAAGGTACAGCTCCAATAGTAAATCATAGTACATCTAGTAATCTAAATCATTACTCTATTCTAAGATAAAATATTAAATAAAAATAATAATAGCTATTGGGCTCAAGATTAAAGAATCAGAATCAGAAAATAGCTCTCTCCAGAAGTACGTCTCATCAAGAGCCAATATATCTCCGTCCCATAGGGCTACCGCTATATCTATCACGACACGAACAGTATCCCCTGAGTTCCCCTATCCTACAAGAACGGCAATTGATACCATATCTGCCATTTCACAACTGACAAATCGGGAGTCCCATCCTCTAGCAATGAGCTTTTCGGATCGATTCAATACCGCAACACGTAAGGTGTTTGCTAGGCGATTCCGGTGGTGATCTATCCTCTGCTTTGAGTAAGCAGTGAGGATATCACGTAGTCCCCAATAAATAGACCATGATAGGGACGACCACGGTAGACTATCTAAAGCCTCGTCAAGAACAGCTGATTCTTGATTTCCGACATATAAGAGGACATCAGGAACACCATCTTCTTTATTAGGCAGGCGAATAATGACATCACCTTCTGATGATTCGTTTTCCATATCTCCTGGCCTCATCAATAAGTAGTCTACCTCATGGTTATAGGAACACATAAGACAAAAAACCATCAAAACTTCACAGCATTCTGCCCGAGTGGATCTACATTTATGCCTAATAGATAGTGGCTTGAGCTTCCACCGCCCCTCTACGGAGTACATGATGCAACTTGAGATTTTGAAGAACAGCGGTCAAGACGATTGCCCTCCGCTACCGTCACGATGCAGTTAATATTAGATTCGACACTCACGACTAATTTCTCTTAGGTTACGCGTCCGCACCGGGCCGCCCCGCGGCGACCCAATCAAGTACTCTGTCTGGAATGCTTTACCTCGTCACCCAACTTAATTAACCAACGAAATTCACGGGTCAATGGGACACGCGGCTAAGTGGGACACGTAAAACACCATAGTAAATACAGAAAAATGGCGAAGTGCAGAAGAAAATGATGATGGCATCTTCGTGCATCTAGATTATTTATGTCATCGAGAATGATGGGTTCAAAATAGCACGATTAGACACCAACGAATATATACAACAATTGTTTGGTATGTTGGGATTACACTAGATTGGCGTACTAGTCTCAACTTTCTGATGCACAAATCCAACCCATACTAAGAACGATAATGGCAGTCCGTCTTTGGAGAGTCCACAAGAAGCATTCAATATTTACGGCGGCCCATTGCCTTAGCATTGTTCATCCATGACAGGAAATTCCTTGTATCCGCATTTGCATGACCCAAGGTCTGTTGTTGCCTTTTGTATGCTGCTCGGAACTTTCTCTCTGCAGCTTTGTATTTTCCCTGACAATATATAATACGTCCAAGCCAATGAATAGAGAAAAGGGTATCTTCATGAGAAGGGCCAAGAGTGATCTCTTGCCCATTAGCAGCTTTCCGGAGCAATTCTTCTGCGTCTGTGTATTTCTCTTGGTTATACGGTGAATTTCCAAGCCAAAAAATCGAGTCAAGGGTATCATTATGAGCAGGTCCAAGAGTGATCTCTTGCCCACCGATAGCTTTCCGGAGCATTTCTTCTGCGGCTGTGTATTTTCCTTGTTCATACAGAGAACGTCCAAGCCAATAAATCGAGTCAAGAGTGTCTTCATGGGTAATTCCAAGTGTCCCTTCACGCCCTTCGTGCGCTTTGCGGAATAATTTTTCTGTTGAGAAGCGCATTGTGCCGCGGTGAACAGAGGATCGGTCAAAGGGGCGTAATGAAGTTACATCAGATTGAGTTATTGCATTGCTTTTCTCCACATAGTTGCCTGCTTTTCTCTCGGATACGCCTTTCCCTGGTAGCGCGACCTGGACCTGCCGCACCGATGAAATTGTTCTCCTCTTCGTGGATCTACAACCTTTCACACGAACAACTAGAACAAATCGCTGGGGAGGAAGCAGCTGTCCGAAGGAAGCGTCGCCAGTTGCAGAAACAGGCGAAGGAGCTTGACACTGGCAGAAGAATCCTACTCCAGCTTGTGAAAGAGGAATTCTATCTCCTCGAGTTGCGCAAGGCCAATTTCCCTTCAAAGTGGTCTTTCTTACGTTTGAGTTCGAAGTAGCCAACGAGACTGGGAGCCTATCATGGAACCCTTACTGAATCTTCTTTTTGTGGCAAACAAGGAAACGCTGAAAACATAATTCTCTAAATTAATCTCTTAAAACTGCGGTTTCATTAAAACAGTATCCAGAAATTCTTCTTCCGAATCCAACGATTCTCAATAAACATCTGGAATACTTTTCTCACGTTCAGCCGCCTGCATGACTCGCCGAACAACACTTTTCAGAAGTTCAACCATGTCCTTTGAACATTGCAAGTCCTCTCTTATCATTGCTCCCTTCGTACTCTTGCCGCGTATTTGGGAGCTTTATTAATAGATCCTGGCTATTAGAAGCGAAAGGGAAATAATTACTTTTTCTGCAATTTCCTTTTAGGTGGTTATCTTCTGATTCACTGCAGAGAATATGCTAATCATAACCAATTCCTTCTCTTTTTGAGCTTTAATGTCCTTCTGCAAATTGACTAGCTTTTCATATAGAGTCTGGATTTAATCCTATTGCTCTTTGACCCGACTAGAAGTCGACGATGCTTTCCGAAAGTCAGGATCCAAAGTAAGTTTGCAGAAGTGCTTGATGATTTTGTCCTTCAAGAAATCTTCATGTTCTACCTGAGGAGTGACAGACCCTTATTGCGTGGCTTTCTTAGTTGTTGGTAAAGACATAATGAATATAAAGAATAATGACAGAGGGGAGTGGATTGAGATTAGTGGAATCAAGTCGATAGGGGCTGCATTTATTTATATTCTCTTTTATACTCGAAGCACATATGGCTGCACACAGACGTTTGGTGGTTGTAGACGAACGGTGGATTCACCTTTGTGCGCACAGAAATGAGCCCTAAAGCTGTAGAAGCTTGGCCTTCAATTGCACTGTTTCCCGTGGATCATCACTTGAATCCATCATCAAAAAAATTCCAGAGCGTTCGACTATGCATGAACACTCATATGTAGACAAATTTGGAGCATTTCACTGTCTATCTGTTTTTAACAATATCATCCTCACGGGCCGCTTGTCATAACTTATAACCTAAAACCAGATAATACACCTCACGACGGGCAAATCGCAACACTGCCAGTCTCAACACAACAGCCCGCACTTTCACCGCAAGAGCAACCAGTACCGGTAGTAAGATAATCAGAGAACTTCCTCCCGTTTTTATCCTCATAGTCTTGGCAACCGCAGACGCTATAGCATAAAATGTTTGATCAGTTTTTTGTCGCATGATTTAACGGAGCGAGGGCCGGGGAGTTGAATCGGTATTATCTTACCTAGCAGTGTAGCCGTATCCAGGATAGTCCATGTTCTCGTAGAATTTGGAGATGGACCATTCATCTGACGGGTCGCAAATCAACAGGTTGAACATTCCCGGCTGAGTGTAGATCTTCCTCTCCATAATGTCCGAATAAGACCATTTCAAGGTTGTATCAACATTTGTATCCACCGGTGGAGTATAATTGAATCCTCCAGTCACAAAGCTATTGTAGCTTCCCTGGATGACGTGGTCAATCGTGAAGTTATAAGTTCCGGTGTCCAAGTCCTGACAGTTCACCACAGTTAGTAGATATTCGAGGCCATTTTGAGGTGCCCAACGTATTTGCATCTTACCTTGTAGCCAGGAGGGTCGTCATATGTGAAAATGACATTATAATCGCTTATTCTGCACAGAATCAAGTCAGTAGAGTAATGCGACCGTGGCAAGGGCCTGGATATTTACCCTTGTAAGTAGCACCCGTAACCATCACCGTGGCCCACCCAAGCCTGGAGCTTCTCGTTCCACTTGTCTTTATGACCGTTGACTAGAAAATAATTCAGCAAGTTTCCCCTGTTGTTAGAAGATTGACGAATCAAAGCCTTACAGGTGCTCTCATCCATTGGATAGCAGTATAGGAAGACCGAGTCCGCGTTCCACAACTTATTGACAATCGTAGCTTCGAAGATCTGTTGAATATGATGTAGTTCAGAGGTATTAAATTGTGTTTTTACTCTAGGAGGAAAGATGAGGCTATATATACAACGTGTAGCCAAGTTGATTTCCAATCAACTTGGTCTTCTGTATAGACACCACGGAGTTAATTCCGATGGTTCGGCTTGATTCCTGATCTGCACCAGCCTCATATCACAACATTCCCCCTCAGAATCGCTTTGCTAGCAGGGCGATACTGGACTCGCGCAGAGCAGTCAGGCCTCAGTAAAACCACTCAAAACCCATGTTGGGAAAATAAAGTGGAAAGAGCGCCTGCGCTGTCACGCGGTGTGTCTCGAGGTCTCTGAAGCATCGACGCCTAAGAGACTACAAAACTTGGCAAAGGCCATAGGTCCCAATGGTTTGGTGAGACCGTCCGCGGCCTGTTCCCCAGTTGGAATATATTGAAGCTGAATCTCGCCTGCATCCAGCACCGCTCGCTGATAGTGAAATTTCACATTGAAATGCTTCGTCCGTTTGTGGAACTCGGGATTGCGAGAAAGCGCAATGGCGGACTGGTTGTCAGCCATGATGTTAGTAACCGGCGACCGATACAGTTGCGTTTCGGCTAGAAAAGTGCGGAGCCACTGCAGATGCAGAATAGCGTTGTACTGCCCGATGTATTCGGCATGTGTCGTAGACGTGGCCACTTCCCCTGTCTCTTGGACGACCAGGAAACTGGCGCCCCTGCAAGCTGGAACACATAGCCCGAGGTGGAGTATGCTCCGTCAGTGACGACGGAGCCCCCAAAGTCGGCGTCCGTGTACCCGATCAACTGCCCACTGCGGTAGGTAATGCGATGAGATTGCGTGGCTTTGACGTAGCGAAGCAATCGCTGCAGAGCGACTTGGTGATGCGATTGCGGCTGGGACGTGAAGCGACTCAACACGCCCAGCGCAAATGCAATATCCGGTCGCGTGCCAACCATGAGATACATCAACGAACCGATGGCAGTCGCATACCGAGCTTTTCCTTCCTCGTCTGGAGGTTCCTCTGGACGATGGTTAAGGGTTTGCTTGGGATTCATCGGCGTAGACTTCGGCTGGCAAGTCTCCATGCCAAAGTCGGAGAGTATCTTCTGAATGTACTGGTGTTGGTGAATAGACACGGACCCATCGATGTGATAGTCGAATTGGATCCCGAGGAACGATTGTGGAGTGCCCAGGTCGTTTAGGCGAAACTCTGTTTGCAAGGCCCGCCGTACTTGTTCTATTTCGTACGTGTTTGCCGTAGCAACAAGAAAGTCATCGACATAAACGCAAACGACACAGTCCGGTTTGTAGAAGACACAGTTGTCCGATTGGGCCATGGTGAAGCCGTGAGAAGCCAGGACGCGGTGGACGCATTGGTACCAAATCCGCGGGGCCTGCTTCAGGCCGTATAGTGAGCGGCGCAGCCGACACACATATCCTGGTTCTTCGAAGCCTTCGGGCAGCTCCATATAGATAGACGAATCGACATCACCATGAAGGAATGCGGTGATCGCATCGAATTGGTGAAGTTTCCATCCGCGCAGCACGGCACTGGCAACAATGCAGCGAACGGAGTCCATCCGTGACACCGCGGCGAATGTTTCGTGATAGTCGATACCATGTTTCTGCCGGTAGCCTTTAATGACCAATCGCGCTTTGCGCGTTCCGTTGGCTTTGGTCTTGAAGACCCATTTGCACCCAATTACATGATCTGTGGCGGGAACGTCCTTTCGCGGGACCTTTTCCCATGTTCCGTGTTCGAGAAGTGACGCATATTCTTTCTGGATGGCGGCCCACCATTCCAGCTGGTTTGATCCAGACACCGCTTCACGAAAGGTCGTCGGGTCAACTTGTCTGTCCGATGCAGTGTTCAATGTGCCTGCCGAGTATACCTTGCCGAGTGATTCCAGGAGGCGCCGTGACGGTCTTCGTCTGCGACCATAGATTGAATACCCAAGATCCGATGTCAAGTCGGTTCCTTGTTGGCTTGGATTGACCACTGGAGGTGTCTGTTCGTCACGCTCAGATGGCGTTTTATCTTTATCACCTGACAGAGGTAATGGCGATGGAGGTGGTGTAGGTAGCCCACTGGCTGAGCTCGGCATTGATGGAAAGACGGGCGATGGAGGAGCGTTGTCCGGGTGGTCATTGCCTGTTTCCCCCTCGACGAGTGGCGCCACCGGGGTCCTCTCGTCGAACTCGACATCACGGGAAAAGACCGTCTTTCCCGAATGGATTTCATAGAGCTTGTACTGATTCGGCTCGCAATAACCTAGCAGTCGGCACTCAGACGATCTCGCTCCGAGTTTTGCTCGATGCTCTTTTGGGATTAAGACCCATGCCCGGGAGCCAATCCGTCGTAGATGTAACAGTGATGGCGGCTTCCCGTAGATAATTTCGTACGGGGTCTTTTTCTGGAGGATTGAAGCTGGCGCGCGCAGCTTCAGATAGACCACAGTGTCCACTAACTCGAACCACCAGGAAGGAGGTAGGTTCGCATCGGACAGGAGCGTGTTGATCCGCTCCCGGATAGTGCGGTTGGTGCGTTCGGCCAGTCCATTCTGTCCTTTGCAGTATGGCGGCGAGGTGTCGAACTCAACTCCCTGGCTTTCGAGGTGTGTTCCGATCGGCAGGTATTCTCTTCCATTGTCGGTGAGGAACCTCTTGATCTGGGCGCCGAACTGTCGGTGCACCCAGGCCTCAAATTGTCGGAACTTCTGGAGCGCTTCATGCTTCCATCTCATGGCATAGGCCCACGAGCCTCGAGAATAGTCGTCAGTAAAGGTGATCACGTACCTGGAGCCCTCTTTGGCCATCGGCATCTCCATGATGTCCGAATGGATCAATTCGAATATTCTCGTTGAATGCAGACGTGGCCGTCGTGCACGGGAGTTCCTCTTCTGATGCTGCTTACCCGACATACACGCTGGGCACTGCGGCGTTGCCTGCAGCTGCGCCTGTGTCAGCGGTCGGTACGGAGTGCCAGTCTGCCGGAGGACCACCCTCAAGTCGCCCCGGTTCAGATGTCCCATCCGAGCGTGCCACAGCGCTTCGGGGGCCTGGTCCACTCCTGTGCCCGCATCTGCTTCGAGTATCCGAGCTTCACCACCGAGTTCAGAGGTTGACGCTGTACATTCTACGTCACTTGACTCCTGAGGGTCGTCGACGTCCATGGCCACCGCCTGCGGTTCCAGGGAATCTGCATGGTCATGGGTCGCCGGCGCCCTCGCCAGTTGGACTCGCTCTCGGGATCTTTTGCTCACATGGCACCGCAGGATCAGTAGATCCTCCTCCGTATGGTAGGCGGTCCCCACCGTCCGTCCTCGGCGTTGCACAAAGACGTTCTGCGGGTGCGCCACCACCGAGTAGCGGTCTCGTAGTAGCTTCGGCACGCTGATCAGGTTCATCCCGACGCGTGGCGCGAAGTATACATTCTTTAACACCAGGGGTTGGTTGAACTTCCCCCGGAGCGTGAGCTTCACCGTACCAATCCCTTCGGCTTCCACTGGATCGCCCGCCGTGTCCAACATCTCGCGATGAGGCCGAAGACTGCTGAAGCAGCTGCGGTCCCAGCAGATGTGGCTGGTGGCGGCCGAGTCCAGGATCCACCGGGGTTGCGGTGCGTGGGTATAAAGGGTCGTCACCCTCGCCCTCACGATATTGATCCGCGGTCTCTTGAAAGTCGGCGGGCCCTGCCGATCTTCCATCTGGCTTGATGGTATATTTTGCATGTTGTTTCTTGGTGAGCCGGAAACACTCCGTTCGGTCTTCAGGGCATGGTCCCTGGGCGGTTGTTGTTCACGCTGTTTCTTCCAGCATTCCGCAACTACATGACCGCGCTTCTTGCAGTAGTTGCATTTCTTGGTGTTCTTCTGCACCGTATTGATGGAAGGGTTGCTTGTTCCGCTGGAGACTCGCTGCGGGAATGTCGCAGCGTCCTTTCGCTGCACTGTCTGCTCAGCATTCGCTAGACGGTTGCCGATATTGGCCGGGTTGACAGGATCCTTGTCATTTTGGATCGCATCCACAATCAGGATGTATTCCGGTCCGATCTGCGTCAGTAGGATTGCAATGTGCGCTTTGTCACCGATGGAACCAGGGGCGATCGCATTCAATCGATGGACTAGCATCCGTACACGATCGACGAATTCACGTGCACTGCCGCAGCGCTCGCCGGTGGTCTCGCGCAGCTGAGCGAACAGCTCGCAGAACGTGGCGAGTTCCATCCGCCGGTACCGTTCTTCGAGATCATTCCAGAGGTCCCGGGATGTCTCCAGCCCCGCGACATGGACACTGATATGGGGGGACAGATACCGGAAGATAGTGTGGTAGGCTTCGGCCTCGCGGCGCGACCATTCACGGTGGCGCTCGAATGCCTGGACCTCCACTTCGAGGCGCGCTTCGATGGCGCGTTGCCTCACCGCCCCCACGAGGTGCGATTCCACCAGGGGGTGGATGTCCGCCGTAATGGGCTTGGCGTACTTGAAAGAGCAGTCAGGGCGCTCAAGGTCGCCCGACACGACATCCCAGACCTGCCTTGCCTTGAGGTAGGAGGTCATGAGGCGTTTCCAGGTTGCGAAGTTGTCGCTTCCTGTCAGGGGCTCGATGGCCGTGACGGCTCGGTCGGGCGAGTCGTGAACCAGAGCAGACATGGTTATGGTTGTGAAAGCGGGGTAGATATATAGTTAAGATAGTCAAGATGAATCTCAGATGAGTAGAGACGGCACCCGAGAGTTGCTGCCGGGCTCATAACCTGATGTAGTTCAGAGGTATTAAATTGTGTTTTTACTCTAGGAGGAAAGATGAGGCTATATATACAACGTGTAGCCAAGTTGATTTCCAATCAACTTGGTCTTCTGTATAGACACCACGGAGTTAATTCCGATGGTTCGGCTTGATTCCTGATCTGCACCAGCCTCATATCACAACAGAATATGCTGTTGAATTTCAAGCTCACTGATTTGATTCGAAGCCTTTGGACTGATAATAGGAATATTCCGTTTATCCAAAAAGACACCATGGTCGAACAAGTCAATCATCTTCTTGCTGCCTCTAACAATATCGTCTTTCCAGGTGTTAATCCACTGAGTTCGAAGGGCACCCGACCATGAAGTGGCAGTGCTATAAAACGTTGTCAGTATAAGCTGCATATACTTTACTTCTTTCGCCATCCTGCCTGGAAAATTACTCACAGACTCAGATTGTCGGCTGCGGTCGAATCAACGTCATTAATTGCGTTCAGACCTTCGGTGACCATGCCTCCGAGGAAAGCACCCGCTGCCGTCACCTCAACATTTCCTGTAAGAGTGGTGACAACCACAAGCATTGTACTAATTGCTGTTAAGAATTCTGACCAGAAGAGGCTCATGTCTGGAGGTGGTGGCCAAGTGAAGTCTTTGTACATGGACTCTGCGAGGTTGCTGAAGTTCGAGGGCATATCACCGGTTGCTGTGTAAAGAGCTCGCATAACCTAGAGGAGAGATAAGAGGCATGTCAGCAAAACAAGGTACCTCGGTATAGAAAGATTGAAATTCGGATGGACTCACGCCGTTGAGATTAGCAATCGACAGAGCGGTGCAATACTTCCAACCTGTACCCTCTGTTGTCGTCGTACAGTCTGGTGCCTGACATACGTCGTCATCGATTCTAGAGCACCCTGATACACTTTGTCCTGTGCTCAATGAGTTTATCATTTCCATGACAAAATCGTCGCCATTATAACCATCCAGGTATGAGGACAATGCAAGAGTGGTTCCTATTTTATCCCAAATAGAGGAGTCGATGATCCCAGCTAAAATTGTGGAACAAGGTCAGCAATCAGTTCCTCCACAACATGAAAATGCAAGAGCACTGTCCAATAATAGGATAATATGAAGGAAAATGGCTTACAGGCACCAACGTCAGCACAGCTTGCATCACTTGTGAAATTAGCATCAAGCAGTTCCAATGACATGGGGTTGTCGCAGGAGTAGAAAGTTGAGCTTGTCATCTGCTCGCAATAGTCTTCTGGACAGTACCCATATTTGCAGCTGAAGGCACAAAGGCCAGAATAACTGGTGTCCAAAGTGGAGACTGGGCAGTAGCTGCCAGTGGCTGAAATTAAAGTAGAAATAATTGTACCCTTCTCGGTGCAGGTACACATGGGACTCGGGCAGAAATCGTACTGGCAACTGAACTCGCACAAATCTTTGTAGTTAACATCGCCAGTGCCAGCAATACAACCCGTAGTGGAAGTCTTGGAGGTACAACTTGGGAAGGAAGATCCAGTGGCTGCACTCAAAGATTTGCACTGGGATTCGAGTGTACTCTCGTCTCCTTCGAGATCCACTGCCCAATCCGTTGTGCCACCAAAGTTGAGACTCTCATACAGTGCTGTTCGGACCGCCTTATTTCCATCACTCATCCAGGCTACCCACTGCGTGTCTCCGAAATTCAGCGTGTCGGAGTAACTATCCGCATCAAAAAAGTAGATTGAGTCGGACATGGTAGACTGCGCGTAGTAAATCTCCGCATTGCCGAGATATCCAGCGGTATCGGTACATGAACCCTTCCATGCCCCAGATTCGGGTCCAGTGTAGGTGCACATTGGGTCATAGCACTCTGGCGTTGTCATTTGGAAAGATCGGCCATAGCTAGTGACACCAACCATGATCTTGCTTGAAGCTACGCCAGCCTTGGTGATCATTGACAAGGCGTTAATGGTTTCCGTGAGATTCACAGCGGATCGCAGGCAGTTTCCGGCAGGGCAGCCAATCTGGGCGTTTTTGTTGTCGTAGTCCCATTGTCCATGGAGATCGTAGGTCATGAAAATGATATAGTCGACGATTTGGCCAATAGCCTGGATTGGGAAACCTTGCAAGTACCAGAATGAGGCAGGGGCAGCAATTGAGATGGATGCTCCAGGCTTAGAGGATTCCAGGAACTGTAACCGCAACTCATTCAAGAACATGAAATAGTTGATACCATCTTGCAAACTACCAGCCGGAATGTACTTGATATCCGGCTCGCTAGGGTATTCCCAATCGAAGTCAACGCCATCAAGGTTATACTTTTCCACAAAAGCGACAACGTTGGAGGCAAAGGTAGCACGGTTATCCTCAGTCACAGCCTGGCGGAATCTATCGTATGTGTCCAAGTTCGTAGAGAAGTCCCAGCCACCAAATGAAAGAATCTTCTTCCAGTTGGTGTCCAGATTGACGAAAGTATTGAACTGTCCTGTGATATCGGACACATTGATTTTGAAATCGGAGGTGATAGTAGCAAATCCGAGATGAACATGTGTATAGTCTTTAGTAGCAATGCTCACCACGGAGGCGCTCAGGCAGGGACGTTTTTGATCGTAGCCTTCAAAATATGCGACTTTCCTAAATTCTGAAGGGGCATCGGATTTGACAATTGAAGTTCCACAGTTCGAGATGCAGCCGTTTGTGTTATTCTTCGCAGTGCCAGGTGCTCCAGTACTGGATTCAGTGATGGTACAAAATTCGTCTGTTGTGCCACATTGTCCCCAAACATCACAACAGGCATTTAGTGGGCATTCGTTCATTGTGGATAAATTTGTGCCCGAGGGCGGGGTTATTGTGCCAGGGACCTGAGGACCACAGACAGCATTGGCGACCGGAGCGGGCATAGGGGAGGAACCATCGCTAAGGCAGATATAGCCCCCAATTTGAAGATCATTGCAACCGAACCAGCCCCACGTTTCTTTGTTCCATTTTCCAATATCATCAGCATCTATGTCATAGGCAGCTGATAGACCCTGGCAGGTATCGTCATGCAGAACGGTATAGGTATAACAGGTACCGTTGGAGTACTTTGAAGGCGTATAGTCAGGGAGTGTGCCTGAGGTACAACAGACATGCTGGCCTGGTATCAAGTTGTTGCACCATGTGGTGGAGCCTGAGTTATACTCATAGAGCTGAGAGAGGGTAATACCACAGGCCGTTGCTAGATCACCACATAATTGTCCAAGTTGAACCTGAGCGGTGGAACAAATCGATCGAGGGTGCAGAGAGCGAGCTGCATGACTTGCAGAGGGTTGGATTGTGGAGGCCGGAACTTGGTGCGGGACTTGCATAGAGAAGGTGATATTCTTCCGGTCTGAAGAGTCTCCAAAAGAAGTCACACAATCGCCCTTGGTCCATGATTGGACCGCATGTTGAACCGCAGCAATGTCACCAGTAGCATCGGCAATTATTCCAAATCCATAACGACTACTACGAGTTTCATCGCAGAGTCTCAGGAGGAATGTATCGGGCGAGTTGCTTTCCTTCAATGCAGCGACAAATTCTTTCACAGCGGTATCTACCAAGCCCTGTCTTTGTATCTCAGAGCCAACGTAGATACCAACCGCGGCCTTGCCAGATGTGGCAAAGGCAGTGGTCTTATTACAAGAGGCTTGTTGCTTGACATATTTCTCGAGATCTTGAGTTACAGCGACAATATCTGACACCTCACTTGAAGAACCACTTGACTTCGTCTGGGCCACTTGTAAGCTTGCAGTGACGCTCACAGTGGTACCAGCAGAGGCCTCGCATGAGACACTGCTGATAGAAAGCGCCGTATCGTCAGAATTGACAGCACAGGCCCGGATGCTCTTTTGACTGTTCTCACTGGAAAGTGAGTTGAAAAGTACAAAGTCGAGCATCATGGTTTCATTGCACCATGATAAACGGTCAACGCTGTGATAAACAGTCCAGTTGCTAGGGTTGGATCCACTTTCACTACAGCTCAGTGGACAATGGCTTAGGGCAGCCCGGACAAGTGCAGGGTTGGATTGAAACACGCTATGGATAGTAGCAGTTGGACTACTATGGGCGGTTGCAGGGCGAGATAAAGTTGAGATGGGGTGTAAACGAAAGTAATCATCCAATTCCGAAGGCAACGCACTGACCAGCCAGGACTGGCTAGCCAGCGCGGCCAACAGTGGATAGAATAGGTGCATAGGAAATGCAAAGTAGAAATATAAAAGAATGGATTAACGAATGAATGGATAGAATGTTTGGTTGTATTTATTGCAAATAATACGAGGAAACAGGCTTTTTATTTGTACACTGAACGTGAAAATTCCATTCAATAACTTTTGTGACTTCGGCACGACCGGCACCTCAAAAGATTCTTTTCCTCAGCTCGAATTGGAAGCAATTGAGTCTAACTCAATACGAGACGGCGATGAAAACCGAGGCCACTTGTCGTGATTACTGGATTTCCACATTCGTCCTATACAACCAGGGGGCCAGAAGGAAGTATAGCGGTAATTTGAGGACATAGTATCCATTTGACCTGGATATCGTGATTCCATTCGTTACTTTCAAGTACTAAGAACGCCTAAGCATCTATATTCCAAGACTCGGCCCCAAAACGCTAGCGACTGCTACATCGCTTTGGCACTGACTTACTTCGCATAGTACGCTAAGAAAGATCATCCCAATACATCGGCACTATAGGAACGCGTAATAATGGCATGGTACCCATGTTCCTTGAAAATCGTAGTAGTATTGTCGCCTCCAGAGGCAACAGGAGTCATGAGATATTCCAGCTCAAGTTTAGTTTTGAAGTTTAGTTTTGGAGCTAACAGGGACATTTTAGCAAATAAAAATGCGAGTGCCTCAGGTTTTCGAGCGTGAGATGAACATACCTCTATTACCTGCGTGTTCCGTACAGAAAAAGCGTTCCGCCCCCCGAGGACGACCATGTTGGCTTTCTAAACGCACTACACGAAGTCTGACCCCTTGCCCACAAAAAGCCTCCTTTCTGCCCTACGACTAGGGTTCTGACCAGTTCTAGCCATGGTAATTAGCCGGGATGTAACGCAGTCTAGTTTCTTGCCTTAGCCTGAGGCTAGCGGGTAAATAAGGAAAGAAAGAAGTGCACGGACCTTATGAGAGTTTGCCAAGAAGAGCGCAATTGACAGCGCAATTAAATGATAATGAAGGCTCAGAGAGTCTCAATCAAATAATTCAAGTCCAACCAAAACTAGTGTGTCTCGGTTACAGCTGTACTTCGGAGGGTAGAATTACCAGGCGGACTTGATTTCCAAACTTGGGAAGTAAATATTCCTAGTCATTTTATGAGATATTTGAAGATTTTCCATGAAAACGGATAATCGATTTCAACAAAAAAAAGGGCGTGACTTTAAGAGCTACTCGTACATAATATGTCCCACCTTGTTGTCGCCAGGGATGTTGAATTTAATCTTCCACATGAAGCCACCAGGGCTGTATTCAAATTTCAAATCCAGAGGGTAAAAGGCCTTCCAGCTTGAAGGCGACCCTAGATGCGAAGTCCGGGCCGGATCTCCATTGTAACATTGTAACTCTCCGATTTCACGGATGTAAAAACGACGGCCACTATCATTTATGGCTTCAAGCTAGAGTTAGCCCATGATCCCTCGGTAAAAGCGGCATAAAGAATGTACCGTGTTCCTTGGGGAGTATAAAATCCTTCGTATCAATGAAAGGTCTCTGCTCTCAGGAAACTCTCACCTCTCACAGATTCGAAGGCTTTTTGATCTTGGCTTGTAACTATGAGACTCCTTCTATCTCCTTTGGCTGTCATTGTCGGCACCCCACTGGCTGCAGGCTATCTGGTGGCTCCTCCAGGAACTGCTTTCCCAGGCACTATATCGACTTGCAGTGAATGGGTTGCTTACGCCTCGGGCATGACCTGTGCCTCAATTGAAAGCACATATGGAATTACTGCAGCAGAGTTTGCTACTTGGGTGAGTGTTCACTATAGTTATATCTATGTTTGGGTCAATCAACTAACATTTCTAGAACCCGGACTGCGTTTTAGGTGGCTCATGCTCAGTGATTACTGGCTTCGACTACTGCATCGAAGTCAATTACGGCACTATTTCTGCGTCATCTGCTTCGTCCACCACGAGCACTTCTACTCAAACTACATTTGTCACCTCTACCACTACAACGGCTGGGAATGGAGTAACTACTCCAACTCCAATTCAAGCTGGGATGGTTGACAACTGTAACAGTTTCCATATGGTAGTCAGCGATGATACTTGCGCTACCATTGCCTCCGCAGCTGGAATTTCCCAGACTGATTTCGCCGACTACAATCCTGGTGTTGGCAGCGGATGTTCTTCCCTCTGGCTTGGCTACTATGTCTGCACTGGTATCATCGGCGAGACTGCTAGCAAAACCACCGTAGCCTCGACTACCACCGCAGGAAATGGAATCACTACTCCAACCCCTACTCAAACCGGCATGGTCGATAACTGCAACAGCTTCCACATGGTTGACAGTGGTGATTCGTGTCAAACTATTGCCACAGCCGCAGGAATTGTTCTGGCTGACTTCTACTCCTGGAACTCCGGTGTCGGCAGTGGTTGCTCTTCTCTCTGGCTTGGATACTACGTCTGTACTGGTGTGGTCGGATCTACTCCCACAACTACTGCAGCAACTACAACAACCGCTGGCAATGGAATCAGTACTCCCACTCCCACCCAAGCTGGCATGGTCGGTAACTGTAATAGCTTCCATATGGTAGTTAGCGACGATACATGTGCCACCATTGCATCGGAAGCGGGCATCTCCACCACAGACTTTTACTCATGGAACTCCGGTGTTGGTAGCGGCTGCTCCTCGCTCTGGCTTGGCTATTATGTCTGCACCGGAGTTATCGGATCCACCCCCACAACTACCAAGAAGACTACTACTTCAACCGGGAATGGGGTTACCACTCCGACCCCTACTCAGCCTGGAATTGTTAGTAACTGTAACAAATTCCACGAAGTTGTTAGCGGGGACGGGTGTCAGGCCATTGCTAATGCGGCGGGTATTACTTTGGCCCAGTTTGAAGCATGGAACACTCAAGTGGGCAGCAGCTGCTCTACATTGTGGTTGGGCTATTACGTTTGTATTGGAATCCTTTAGTTGGATCCGCATGTACCGAGAAGGGACTAACTAGCATTATGAAAACGAGTACACAGTTACATAGTGAAAAGAAAAAATGAACATTGATTTGGTGTTGTTGACCCCTTTCCCTCGATATGACCCTTGGACCCTCGTATTTGTCTCTAGCACTTCGTAAAGGGCACTAAATTTAGGGGGGCCAGCCCAGGAGGCCTAGCAATCACCAACCCCATTGGCCTCCCCTGCAGCTAGGGTTTCGGCTAGATTCCAGGCCGAGTTGGGTTAAGCCGGGCTAAGCATTGTGTTAGCTCGAAAAGACCCGCCCTGATCATGAGGTCTTGTGTTAGAGACTATGCCCGACATGAATAGATTCCTCCCCGCGCCATGATAATTCGGCTTTTCGGTCTCCAAGCAGCTGCGGGGTAGCATCCGACAGAGATTTTAGACGAAAACGATGCAAATTCTTAGAACTAGTTTAAATTGGACCCAATTGAAGTCCTAAGTTCCTAACTACAGACTAGTTTGCGTTGCATTGTCCACAGGGACTACGGACCATAAGGAGAAAAGTAAGTCAGCCACAGTTCAGGGTCGCTAGTCCCTATTCCAACTTTCTCAGGGTCACATCGTCCTGCAGCCACCATCCCGCCCTAGTCTCTCTGGGGCTGGTTGGGCGCCTGGGGTCGACCCCGGTCACTGAGCTAAACACCCGTGGGCTTTTCACGTTTTCCTCCGTCTTTGCCTCTTTTAATCCTTCCTATTTCTTTCTTTGTCATTTAGCTCCATACCCAGAGAGCGTTCTCCCCTTGGTGTTCAATTTTCTTTTCGACGACATAGCACGATGAGACGAATTTTGTCCACACTGGCTTGTTGCCTCCTTCACCCTCTAATCGCATCCGCGGTAGGAGACGCGAAATACAATGCTTCTCTCCCATTCCGACCGAGCAATATTACAGGACTAAGTGATATTTATCTTTGGGTTGGATCGTATGTTGGTTTTTATTCACCTACATCGCTGTTGCTAACTTTCGGGTGTAGGTATTACAATGCCACGACGAAGATAGAGTTCACGCCCGAGATCGGATCGACAGCGAACAACTCTGTATGCAAAAACCTTCGGGGCCAAACGTTCACTGCGGAATATAAGTCTTTACTCGCTATCACAGAGAGGGGCCCTTACAATCTGGGATCAAACCCAGTCAATACCCTCTTGACCCTCTGGAACTCGGATGCAAACCTTACCTCGCTCTCCTCGGGGTCACCATGGACCTCCTCGTCCCTAGAATGGTATATCGAGTCAGCCCCGTAAGTCAAAACCCACCCTAAATTGAAGCCTGTAAACACTTTCTTACTAATTCTAATTCTTAAAGCTGGGTGTACTATGCGAACAATGGCTTAACTGAAAGCGATGCGGGTACCGATTCTTCCGTCAAAGATGTCTTCAATTTGACCCTATCGCCAGACACTGAAGGGCCCCCATATAAACTGACAGGAACCATCAAGGACGCAGACTTAATGATGAGTAGTTTTGAAATGGATCTCAAGCCCTGCAATACTTCCACTGAGACCAGCCAGAATCGCATGACGCTCGTTGATCGTGATTGGACTAATAATGCTGGTTGGACCTGGACATATCCCACGGTTGACTTTCAATTTGATAGCCGAACGGCCAACTTCACTTTGAATGGATATGCTGCTGGGTTTCCCTATCTGATCAATAGATCCGATCCCTCAAAGCCACTAGGTCCGGATGAGGTACAGGGGAAGATCAAGGTGTCCTTCTTCGGGGTCATCGACTCTTACCACTCTGACACTTTAGTCAACAGCAGCTCAACGCCCACTTGGCTTCGAACCGTCGGTTTTGGAAACAACTCCGCGAATATAGGCTATGATAGTGGCTCTCTTAGCTCGCCCCGTCCATTGCACTGGGGAACTGTTGCGGTTTGCTCTGTTGTTTCCTTGGCTTTTATGTATTTCTAATCACCCCCTGACGAATGTATATATGACTATTATGAAGCATTAATCAAGACCGATCATTAGTGCGTTCAAAGCTTGTGTAAAAGTCTTGTTTCATTAAGAACGATCGATCTCCCAGGATGGAGTTAAATCACTCAGGGGCAATTTTATTCCCATGTCAGTCCGACCATCCACTTAGCGTGTGCCCTAAATTCCCATGATCAGTGGGGCTGTTCCCAGGACGCAGAGGAATTATTTTTACCCAGGATCATAATCTAAGCTCCCAGGAGCCCCTGAAGCACATATGTTACACGCTGGGACCGTAGACACTTTCTCCCATTTAAACCTGTTCATTGCTGCATCTTCCTCGTTCAATGTACTAAACTTCAACAATTTTCTCCATGCTACATTAAGTTCAGAACTGAATCTCTTCTCTAAGCACAGGGGTAAGTTAAACATCCTGATCCTACTTGTGGCATGGTGAGTACCCAGCTAAATCCGCTTAGGGGAATTGATTTTTGAATGAGTCTTGGAAGCATGCTACGAAGATTATGAGCAGAATTAGATCAGAAACAGCTTCTCGAGGCCATTTTAAGAGCTTTTGCCATCTCTAGGTACTGTCGAGGGACTTTGGTCCTTGAATGGAGTATCTGCAAGCACCTCGGAATCATTAGAGCCGCTTATGTTGAGAAAAGGTCATGTGAGTCATGAACATCGCTTCTGCGTGGAAAGAAGTGACATCGAGGACTTACACACACACACAATTCATTAAGGTCCGGCGGCTGAGCCGAGAGGGCAACTATCACCGATATACCAATATATGCATGTTTGAATATACGCCGTGTCTCCTTGGAGCCCATACAGTACTTTCTTCCGTATCTGATATCTTAGCTTCCAATCTCATAGTCGGTCCCTGTGGGTCAGTATTGATTATTAGACTGGCTTGAAGGCGCTTATTCAAGTGTTCAATATCCTATCCTCGGCAGTTGAAGCGCGTCTATTGTTTGCCACAAGGTGTTGGGGGTTAGGAAAAAGAGGTATTCTATCAGTTCGTCGGCAAGTCTAGATGGCCTCAAGTCGGCCTGTAGCGATGGCGAATTGTATTGACGCTCGCACTGCTTCTAAATTCGGCTTCTACTTTTGATCATCGGAGGGTGACTTCCCTCCCAAGAAGAAGGATATGTTACTTCAGTAAGTGTGGGTACATTGCAGTATTCCCGTCCGGTGCACGGTCCACTTCCGACATCGAAAGAGAAAGTGGTCTACCGTCTCTCTTGCTTGTCCACATACATATTGATCTCTCTCGGTGGCATTAATTTAAAAGAGATATTTATTAAGTCTTACTATACCCGTACGGAGCTAGGCTAGCACAGTTACTTCTTTCCACGATAATCGGTCATATAGCTGTCGCGTGTGTTTTCCTGGAAGGGCCTTATTAACTCATCTCAAATATTTCCCGATACTCTCGGGTAGCTTACTAATAGGGATTACTTAACTAGGTACGCACGATCTTTAGAGTCATTGATTTTATTTTAGGGACCTATCCTTGTAGGATAGTATCTTCTTACATTATAGCTCTAGCCTGCTCTTTCGCTAGCCCTAGTAGCTTGTTATCTTTACTAGTAGGGATCTACTAGACACTAATCTGATTCCTATACCTCTGTAGTCTTTCTATTTTCTTATAGATTTAACTGATAAATTCCTGGCCTGGCTGTTGTCGTAGGTTTCTTAACGTAAGAGCTACTACTTTATTACTTGTGATCAGTGTAATCTGAAAGTCTTTCAATCCTTTAAGTATCTTAAGTATATATACTATTACTGCTAGCTCTGTAAAAAATAGATTATACTCTATTCTTATACTTAATATAATAGATAAGGTCTTGAGTCTTACTTTCTAAGAGTAAGATAGTTATTTCTTAATTATTACTCTAAATCTAACTAGCTTATTTTATACTAAGCTACTAAATATAACCTATATCACTCTACCTAGTATAGTTAACCTATCTAAGACAGACTTATTATTAGTCTGTATATATACTTTCTATAGTGCTAGTGTAAACAGATTAATAGTTTTCAGTAATTCTATCTTGATGTTTTTCAGTATATTTACTACTTAGTATAGTAGTAAGTAGTAGTCTCTTCTGAACTTTCTAATCTAATCTATATTTCTACGAAGAGGATTAGTCTCTGGTAGTGTATAGAGATCTATCTATATCTTTACAGCTTACCTCTAGATCTAGTATTATACTATAGTAATATAGGCCTTAGCCTCCGCTATACTAGTTATAATAGTGAGGAATATACCTATAATTATTTATACTTCTATCTTTCACACCTAGTTAATTGGTCCTATGTTTTGATTCTTGAAGGTGTGTATCCAGATACTCGAGGTATAGTCTATTACTACTAATATAGAATCAAAACTACTTAAATTACCATGATTTTATGTAACTTCATGCACTAGCCTTGTATAGTTAGTATCAACATATGGGATTCCCATGGGATTCGCCTTTTGCCCATAGCCTCATACCAAGATCCCATGGGAGTCCCATCGCCCATGCACCGGTCTAGGCGGGGTACAGCATATGATTTAAAGAATCTCCTCCGCCATCCCTTCCGCGCGCCCTTCTTCTATTTACTAGCCTGCGTTATCCCCGCCTTTTCCCCTCCCCTCCTGTAACCTGTTCAAGAATCCAAAGAGGATGCCCCGCCAATACACCGAGCTATGTCGTATGTGTCCCCGCTCCTTCCTCTTCGCCGTCGTCGCAAAGGTCGGCCCTGGTTGCGAGAGCCGCCCCCTAGCCGTGGCCTACCGCCAGGGGAATAATTCTATGGAAGACACACATCTGCAGCGCGTGGAACACTTCGCGGCAGACACTCTTACACTTATTGAGATCCTGTCCGATCCTGCGAACCGCGCGCCGCTGGAGGCGGAGACGGCCATTGCACGAGACTGGTATTGGCGGACTCAAGGGCATGACAAGGATCGATTTACTCCGCGACCCAGTGTTCCAGACTCGGTTCAGCCGGCTTATGTGCCCTGGGAGAAGCGGAGGGAGTCTTCCCAACCCCGACCCCAGCTGCCTTGGCGTGATGACGCCCCTACCCAGTTTCCATTCGCCACAGCCTGCCTATTACTGGGACTGTTGGGCGGCAAAGGGGATTGCAATCAAAGGAGTCGCACGCGTTCGGGCGACGTCCAGCTTCAGCCACTATCCACTGTGTTCCTGGGCAAATGCATCGAGCATGGGCTGGTCGTTGTGGATATTTCCGACCTTGACAGCGGCGTCAAGTATGGCATCGCGGCCTTTCCCGTGCGCTACATGGCCGATGTTCAGTACAAATCGGACTCACGTGGCTGGGATTCCAGGCAAGACCCCGCGCCTGAAAAGGAGCCGGACGTTGTACCCTTCAGTCCACGACCTCGACGGCTGTTGTCTATTCATCAGTGGCTAAGCAGGTACTTCCACTATGACAACCTGACCAGTAACGCTACTCTCTGCCGCCTGGATAATATGCCCCGTCTTGGCACTGCCGCCTTGGATTGTATATATGTTCCCACGCGACCTGTCAGGGTGAATTGCAGCAACTGACTGAATGGTAGATATCTGGCCTCGACAGATTAAGCCATATATGACTACATTCGAGGGCTCGCCTCAGGCATCGTGGAGAGATGTTACCTGTGACATCTTTAACAGTTTGTCGAATCCCCAGACCTTACCTTGAACGCATAGTTCTCACCATTCCTAACCTATAAAGCAGCTCTTATCCAACCTTTAAAGATGGTGACCCGTATCAAGAAGACATCAAGCACAATACCTCCTGCGGGGACAACAACAAACTCCATATTATCTGGCCCGTCGAGGGGTACTTCCTTCGACTGCACAGAAGATGATTCGGCCACAACCGCCTCAAGCATCAGCATATCAGACGACCAGCCGCAGCACATCCCAGCGGACATGGAACGCGTTATTGATGAGCTGCTTGTTCTTACTCACCAGCCCGACGAGCATCCCCTCGAGAAAGCAGCGGTCGACAACTTGCAAATAGTATCCAGGTTCCCCGAGCAGCTGCGGGAGCAGCTCGAAGAGGATCCACACAGACTTGGCCCCTTTAAGGTCTCAAGCCATGTTCTGGCTGTTGCGTACGCCGGACGCAGTCACCTCAACTGGGCCGCCTTTCTTCACCTCACGCCCAGCGTGATCGCTGCTGCCCTTGCATCTGATGAGGTTCGGGGTGCGTCTGCGCTTAGCCTGGGCGCTGATCAGTTTGGGCTGGACAGTGGCGGAGACCTCAAAGAGCTCACCGCGGCCATGTCAAAGTGCACGGGCCTAAGGCAGCTTTGCCTCTTCCAGGGACTTAACAGGCATAGTGACGATTCCTCCACCCATTGTTACTCAGAGCTGCTGCTTCTTTGGCAGCGGAAAGCGGTAGAAGAACAAAGACACTCGGAATGGCTCCAGCGCAAGACCATCCATGCAACATGCGCCTTCTCAACATCCCTGCGTAGCCGCGAATGCCTAACCTTGTCTTCAACCATCACTCGCAGCCTGGCCTCGGCCCACGCCCCCATCCTTCCTATGATGCACATGTTCATGTTTGGGCACCACCAGGATGGAGACGGCCCAGATATAGCTACAGAAAACGTCCAGGCATACCAAAACTTCTACTCCATGAAGAATAGCCTATTAGACGGTGAGAGCTTCGCCGTCCGCTTCCTAGCCTATTTGTCGGCCTTGAGCTCGGGTTCGGAATCCGACAAAGCTATTCTGCAATTTGCATACCACGGGGCCGCATCACCATCGTCAGATCCACTCGGTGTCATCCCCATACCAGCGGGATTTTTCAATTACCACTTTTCGCCCAACGGCCCATCAAGACCCAAACCCAGCGACATACGTCCCGGCAGCTGGGTGATACTGGTCGGCTCTTCGAAACAGATATCTGATCATACTGAAACTGTGGTGGACACGCCATCAGAGCTTTGTGGACCACCTCTACTTGATTCTCCACGGGAATACCACGCTGACACTAGGCAGCGCTCTGCTAACACCGACCGAGGGAGCCGCACGTCGAGGCCTAGCGACGACACCGTGGTCGCGGACAACGACGTCGTCATACAATACTCCTTTGTAAGGATCCGGCAAGCCCCTACTGAGACGATCAAGCATGGCCAAAGAATGCCCGCCTACACCGATAGTCGTGCCCAGATAGTTGGCGGGCTCACGGACTTTATCCATGAAACCGCGCCGGAAACCAACCTCTCCACATGGGAGAAGCGGATCGGGGAGATACAGATGGGCCTTTGTGCCCAGCGGGGCTCCATTAGAACAGGGAAACGTTACATCGACATTGGGACCATGTCCGAGAGCAGGACTAGGGACCTGCTAAACCGTTTACTATCGTAGAAAGAGAAAAACAGAGAAAGGCCAGGACGCAAGAAACAAGAACAACAAAGCAAAGCGAGACCACAGAAAAGTAAAAGAAATAACAGAAACTTTCCGACTATCACCATAGACCCCTGGCCCTCATACTCTTCAGTCAACGCAGCAGCACCAGGGGTAAAAAAGAAAGCAGAGGACCCCCCCGGAGAAAGAAACCGGAAGATCTCAGTCCATCATATTTGCTTCCATGTCAACCCAGATCTGATCGAAAAGTTTCTCCTTGTCAGCTTCCGAGGTGTCCATCGGAACATTGGCATAAGACCACTTCTTGTTAGGATCCTTGTTGGCCAGGTCCTTGAGAGTGGCGTTGTCAGCGCCTTTGCAGATTGTGGGGTCAAACAGCGTACTGAGAAATAGAACACCATCTTTGCATACAATCAGTACTTCCAATTATACACAGGCTGAATTATGTAGGCAAGAAGGCGGCAGGAGTAATGCTGAATGGATGAAGAGAGATGCCTACTAGGTAAGTGGGGGTATCAGATTTATGCGTAGTGGAAGAATTTGATTCAGAGGTTCAATTTTACCAACAAATAGTAGAGAGGAGGAAGAAAAAAGATCACTGCTAGAGCTCTGCCATCAAGTCTTCGGCCTTATTAAGGGTGATCCTTTGGCGTGAATTCTCTCACTAATTGTCAAACGGCCAGCAATGATCCCAGACACGTCGCTCATCCTCGGAACAGCCTAATTGAGCCATTAACTCTTCTTTTTTTTGTCTGAGAAGTGCTCTCGCAGCATCGTAACTATCGTGACGGACCATACCCCTATCTGGGCACAGATCGCCGAGTGAAACTTTCAAACTGCTCATCAACTCCATTCCTAGCTCTGTGTCAGCGGCATCTTGATCTATGGTGTTAGCTTCCTCGGAAGAAAAGTGAAACGGAAAAGATGGGTTTCCAGCTGCTCGAACGCCTGGAAGGTTGGACCATTCCTCTTCTAGGCCCTTGAGCAGCCATTGATACATTGCTTCACCATCCTCGGCGAGTTTCTGGACGAGTTGCATCATTTCAAAGGACTTTGTTTCTGTAAACTCCATTGCATGGTAAAGTGTGCGAGTATCACGGTATGTAAGCAGTTTGAATTAAGCGGACATTTCCATCAGGTAGTGGAGATTTTCTGCTTCCTTTTGAGCCTCTGGTGACATTTCGCTGAAATTCTCTGGCCACTTTGGCCGTTCACGAAGTTTGAGAGGTGGACCTTCATGGTCCAGGAAAAAGGGCTTCTGAACGTGGTCAAAAAGAGGGCGAAGATCGCTGGATTGCCAGTCAATAATACTCGATATTTCCCACGGCTTTTCAAGGTCGACGAAGATGTTTTGATAATGAAGGTCGTTGTGCCAAAGGAAGGATGCTGAGATTGACGGGTCAGTCGGTAGAAGATGATTGACCAGCTGAAGATAGTAATCCAATGCGGCCAGTTTCTTGGGTCGAGATCGAGTGTATGTGCGTGGCCCATAAAGGCCCACAGCCACTGGAGGAAGCTCAGCCATTTGCTGTATGCAAGAGATTTCTCGATAGCCGACTGCTCGCTTGTATTGCTCGACTGTGTCCCCTAGAAACGTTCTGTCAGCATGATGCAATTACATGTTGATTTCGACGTACATGGGCCACGATCAAATTTCACATTGATTCTTCCATCATCAAGCAGAGATCGGGCGTTGGAGGGTCCAACAGCGAAGCGAGGCTCTTCTACCCGAGAGCCGTCCCGTTTTGTGAGAAGACATGGTTGCGAGTGATCAAGATCATATGCGTAGTACAGGGATCCGTACCGAGAAAATCTGGTGGAGGCCCAGGCATTTTGAATCTTGCCGAGGCTTACAATAAGTTTGCATTTGGCCTCGATGCCCATCTTATCCCATACAACAGCAAGTGGGATTCCTCGGGCTACCTCCATGAGGATGAACTCGGCACCGATGGGGCTCTCACTTGCCCTGGAACTCCAAGCAAGGACTTTTGGTGCCGGAGTACCAAGGACGTTTCTAGCCTGGGAGTAAACAATGAGATCAGCATATAGGCTCAGAACGCTGGTCAGGGATCTTACAAAATCCATTGTGGCCACTTCACTTGCCGTCATGAAATGTGGCAGACCTGCATTTCGGGTGGGTACCTTGCCCACGACTTGGGAACCATCTTCCATCGTGAATATGAACGGCTTGCAGAACAAACCTTGACCCATTTGCTCGACATTCACGCATCTCGCTGCGCCGACAGACTGCGCAGCCAGCTTGGCCAGTTCATTCATGTCGAAAGGAACGTGTCGCATTGCCGTTTCATGCTCCTCATTGCACACCCATCTAGCGGCTGTGAATTTGAAGAACTCGGGACGGGAATTCCAATCAGTCGGGAGTGAAGTGCTACTGTGAGCTCTTCTCAACATGGAGACGAAACTCGGCAGTTTCCCTGCAATTCGGGATCTGGTGAAAAGGCGGGGCATCATGGTTGAAATATGAGAAATGGAAGTAGCGAGATTCAGCTAACAAAAAGAATCCATGATTCCACAAAATGATCGGGACTTGAACAGAATTGTCTGAACAATCTACTTCGGGAAGAGTGGGTGCCTTAGCGGGTACCTTAAGGTAGTCGCGTTCTGACTGGCCCATCACCGCCGTCACCGCCTCAGGCAGAATCATTAACATTCTCCTAGTATTAAATTAATTGGACCCCCTATTCACTCTCTGTAATATAGTGCTAAGGTCTAAAAAGTTCGAATGAAGTATATAGTAGCTAGTAAATTAACCACCGTAGCAGTATACCTACTAGTAATAGAAGCGTGATGATTTGATCTTTGTATGCCTTGATGCCTGAGGCAATCACGCGGCTCAGCTGACTCATCCATGTCAAGGTCTACTACATTGGAGGATGATTCGATTCGGGTTTGTGTCTATGTATTTATTTTATTTACTTAGTTACTAGCATGACCCCCTCCTTTTGTGTACCTAGGTACTAGATTCTCCAAATTTGAATGCATTGAGTTCTGGCTATACCCGTGGACTGCTGCTGCTATACTCCTAGTACCCAGCTGTGGATACTCATACCAGTTAGTATGACTGCAACTCCGATACATCGGCCCTTCGAGTCACACTATGTACTGAGTCATTCCTACTGGAATAGTCCCTTTACTGACTTTCTGGACTTCTAAAGAGAGAAGTGGCCCTCTTAGACCTTTTGTCGATTTCATTTTAAAATACCAACCGTCTTATCCACCCAATTGACGGTGACTCACTACATTGCGGTACAATAGAGAGCTTCCGCTTTCACTCCGATTCCCCGCCGAACCCCCACCAACTTTTGCTTCCCAACTCTCTGCCTTCCACTCCAACCACAACAATGGCTTCACGAACATCACCATTTGACCTGTCAAAATGCGCCAGGCCCAATATTCTGCAATTGCAGCCTTACCGATGCGCCAGAGAGTATGCCACCCACTCCCCGCAAGACGCCGCATTCCCGCTAATGAGTCAGTGACTACAAAGACGACGGGACGAACGTCCTCCTCGACGCCAATGAGAATGCCTACGGACCTGGATTGGCCTTGAACAGTGAAGGCGCATTACAGGCGTCTGAAACAGGCAATGCGACAGGTGCATCCAAGCCCGAAATCGACTTCCTGGGCTTGAACCGATACCCCGATCCGTGAGTGAACATCCCTCTTCCACACGGAGACTTGCTTGACGAGCTATTCTAATGCAATGCCGGTCCATGCAGTCACCAGATCGACCTCAAACAGCTCTTCTGCAACCTCCGTAATACCCACCACCACACACCCAAGACCCTCAAGCCCGAGAACCTCTTCGTCGGCGTCGGATCAGACGAGGCGATCGACGCCCTCCTCCGCTGCTTCTGCGTCCCAGGAAAGGACAAGATCCTCACCTGCCCACCGACATACGGAATGTACAGCGTGAGCGCACAGGTCAATGACGTCGAGATCGTCAAGGTGCCTCTAGACGCCACAAATGGCTTCCACCTCCAGCCCGAGAAGGTCAACGAGGCGCTCGCAGCCGACGCCTCCATCAAATTGGCCTACATCTGCTCACCGGGTAACCCAACCGCAAACCTCATCCGCAAAGAAGATATCCTCAAGGTGCTACAGCACCCAACATGGAACGGCGTCGTGGTCGTCGACGAAGCATACATCGACTTTGCCGAAGAAGGATCCAGTCTGGCCGAGTGGGTGACCGAGTGGCCGAACCTCGTCGTGATGCAAACGCTCAGCAAGGCCTTTGGTCTGGCGGGTATCCGACTCGGCGTTGCGTACAGCAGTCCCGAAATCACGCGGTTGTTGAACAGCCTGAAAGCGCCTTACAATATTTCCAGCCCCACCAGTGCGCTCGCCTCCGCCGCGCTGACAGCTCCCAATATGGCCGTGATGCGCCGTTTCCGCGGGCAGATCGTCGCTCAGCGCGAGCGGCTGATCAGCGAGTTGCCGCTGATCCCCGGCGTAGGCCGATTCCTGGGTGGCTCTGATGCGAACTTCTTACTGGTGGAGATTTTGGATGCTGAGGGGCGCCCGAGTAATGTTGCTGCGCTGGCGGCGTATGAGGCGATGGCGGAGAAGCGTGGGGTGGTGGTGCGGTTCCGTGGCAAGGAGTATGGGTGTGAGGGTTGTCTGCGTATCACTGTTGGTACGGAGGCCGAGGTCACTAAGTTCCTGCAGGAGCTGCGGCTGGTTCTGGCCGGGGTTCGTGCTGGAACTGGTGTTCAGTCGCTTCGTGACGAGGAGAAGCGGGAAGATGCGGCTGCTGCGGTGGTCGCATAGGAGATTGATATCGAATTGGAAATAGAGAATCTTTGGATGGTTTCTAGTATCATTCTATTGGAGATCAAAGATAGATGGAATAGAACAGCCTCGGGCTTAGGTCATATCCATGATGCCATTGCCCATCCCATGTGCTTAGCATAGTATGATGTCCATGGATGATATGCCAATAGTTACCTATCTAGGTAGCCTATTACTGGCATTCGTACTATACCTAGGTAGTGGACTACCCTAGTTTTACCATAGACCATACCGAGGTATGCTCTGTAAACCCCCCTTGTATTGTACATGGTAAGCTAATGCTAGTAGTGCAGCCCAGGAAGGAAACCGCCCACGTGCGAGAAGGACGAGAGCTCCCATGCAAGAAGCCCCTTCAATCCCTCAAGGCTCACTTCAATCTTGACCTCCACTCCTCCACTCCACTTAATATCGACGACCACTCCTCCTCCTAAGGGTTCGCCCTTAATCACGAGTTCATCTCGACCTCAAACCATCACTGGTCGGCACTGTAGCCCCCTGATTGCTCGGCGGCTCTGATTCGATGACACCTTCAAATCCCCCGCAAGTGAGGGCCAAAGCTCCCGGACTCCGGTGGCCCGCCCCAGTCACCGCTGCTCGAATGATATGCGACACATCGATACGGTCTATCGTCTTTATAACCGAAGCGTCAGCATTGGTGCAATGTTGAGCTCCTGGCACCTGCCAGATGGCAATGGTGATTGCTGACGCCAGCGGGTCCCAATTCCACTGCCCCATCGATAAACGAGTGGATTGTCACTGGCCATGCTCCAAAGTTGGGGGCCCGCCGTTATCATTGAGCTTTCTGACTTTCGGATCCTTGTTCGCTCACGGTGTGGCTCTTATGTGGCCTCCCGAGACCGACCGATGGCTGGATTTTGCCTTTACCAAGAATTTCCCTTCGTCCCCCCTCTCCGGGTTTCCCTGTCGTGATCTTTTGAATACTATACAAGCTCTCCCAACCACCATTTGACCCTCCATCTTGAGGGATACATACATACCGTGACTGTGAAATACTAGGACCATCGCTAGCGGCGACCTTCTCCTCTGATCGCCCCGAGGACCCTCTTTTCGACCCTCCCCCACACGGCTAGTCTCACGTGCGACATGTAAATCGCGCGCTCCAGCATCGCCAGCCTCCTGGGAGATTTGGATATTCTTCGACCGTTTTGCCCTCCTCTTTGGAGAAGGCCCTCTCCGGGCCGATGGCAACAAACATGACGGCCTCGCAAGGCCTTTACCCCCAGATTCCACCACAGTATGAGACCCGCGACCAAATAAACCCTACCTTGATGATGAGTTGGTGGGCCACGGCCTTCTCACTTGCCATAATCGTCGTCCGCCTTTGTGGTCGATATGTCCGCATTGAGAGATTCTTCCCCGAGGATAAGGTTATGATGATTAGTGTGATCCCATTAACCATCCGCATGGTCCTGATCCATTTTGTCCTTATCTGGGGCACCAACAATACCCAGATTGGACAGGTAACGAGAGAGGAAATATCGAGGAAGGAAATGGGGAGCAAATTGGTTCTGGCGGCTCGGATCTTTTATGCTATCTTGTGAGACACCTCTCATCAATAGACCAATGGCTCGGTGGTATAACGTTACTCACGCATCGATAGTATCTGGACGGCCAAGCTTACTGTTTGTGAATTTCTCAAACGTGTCACGGGAATCGTCACGCGCCGCTCCATCTCGATCTTCCTACGCTTCATTCATTTCTTCCTCATATCAACCCTGGTCGCCGTTATAATTGCGACACTAGCCGAATGCCAGCCTTTCGAACATTACTGGCAGGTGATTCCAGACCCGGGACCTAGCTGTCGGAGTGGATATGCCAACCTCATCACGATGGGTACATGCGATGTCATCACGGATCTACTTCTGATCGCCTTCCCCGTCCCGATCATTCTCATGGCTCAAATCCCACTCAAGCGTAAACTTGCTCTCACCATCCTATTTTGTCTCTCCCTGATCCTGGTCGCCATCACTTGTTACCGGGTTCCGTCGGTAATCAAACATTCCGGCTCGCAGCAATACCGCTCCCTGATTGCATCGTTCGAAATCCTTGCCGCCACAGCTGTCTCGAACATGGTTGTCATCGGTTCCTTCGTCCGGGATAGCGGTGTCAAGAAACTCAAGTATAAACGCGACCAAGGCTCTGCATCCGTCACCGAAAGCATGGATAATAGCACCGTGCGGCGTAATACCGTCATGCAGTCTCATTGGGGCAGCGACTCCGATCTTGCCGCCGGCATGGGAATAAAACTTGACCCCAAACTATACTCCTCTACCCCCGGAGGCAGCATACCAGTCTCCACCCCCCCCTGTGCCACTCCTAGTCGCCCGCACCGGCTCCATCGACCCATCCTGGTCCTTCAACCAAGGACGCTCCTCGGATGACCAGGCCTCGTCGCCAGACAGCCTTGACATCAAGGTTAGTCCACGCGAGTACATACAAACCAATCAATCACCACGAGAAAGAGCAACCACCTCATCATCAAACCTCTCATCCCGTCGCGTCTCTTTCTTCGACGTGGGCGGTCTTCTCAACCAAGAGGAGCCTCGAACCCAACCTACCTCTCGTCCTTTCACCGTCGTCTCATCCCACCCCTCGTCAACCAATCTGGAACCCCGGAGAAATCGACGTGGCAGTCGAGCCTTCCTCGAAGACCTCGGTGTTCTCACACCTCGCCCAATCTTAACCCCTGCGCAGAGAGCATATACTTCGCCCCCTGCGTCGGGTATTGTATTACACACTCTGCCGCCCTACCGAGTTTCCCCGTCGTCGTCTCCCTTGACGTCGACGTCGATGTCGAACTTCAAGATGTTGGGGGCCTCTTGTCCCGGAACAGGACGCCCCATTCATGATGCATACTAATTATCCCCATACACGATCGATGAACGACTCCATTTGCCTTGTCATAAACGCCCTATTCTTGATTCTGTTTCCATCTTTTGTTTCTTGGATTGCCTGTTGCATTTCTGTTGTTTTTGATTTCTCACGCCCTCATACCCCATTCGCGACGTTGTTTATTCTTACCCTGTATATCCCCCGCAATTTGTTTAGCGCCGGCGTCGGAGGTGTCTGAGTCCATCTGCGTATATTTGTCTATCGGTCCATCCAGGCGCAACGGCGAAGCTACACGAAGCTGCAGCGAGGATTGTTTTGCTATAGTTTATACTACCCGCTTGATTGCAGTGGTTTTGTACACCAACCATTATTTGCCTACCACTTACAACGAAGTCACGAGACCAAATGAACTTGAACTTGAACTTGAATAACTTGAACCTTATGAGAACGTTAAATATCGACATCCAATATATTGCCTCTAACTGAATTAGCGAAACAGAGATAGAGATTACTATGTGAAGAAAAAAATAGAGGAACAGTTCACATAATCAGATCAACCAGCTCCCCCGCCGCCTCGCCCCGTGGATGTTGGAGAAACTTCGCCTGTACGCCGTGCTGCCCATAATACAAGGGGGATCCAACTTTTTTTGTTTTGCGTTTGATGAGCAGAATGAGAACTCCGTGTCCGATCCGCGGCCCTTTCCCGGAGGTGCTGTTTGTTTGCGGTTCGGTGGGCTGGCGGGGAAGGACCGTATGGAAAGGACTGATGCGCAGATGGGTATGGTATGGTATGGTGTGGTGTGGTGTGGTGTAGTATGGTATGGTATGGACTCCACCGCCCACCTCTATAGGATCCATCTTGGAGCTAAAATGATGAACGGACAGAGAGAAATAAGAGGAGACCGACCGTGGAGATAAGGGGAAGTCAATGGGATTCCCCGTCCACAGTCTTTATCATTGGCCCCCCCTGCCTTAAATCACCCAGCGGTAACTGGCATACCGACCAGCTGTTTCGGACTTGCGGATAATCTTCACAACCTGTCCACGGCGCAGACCCAGATACCTAGAGACGGGATCGGAGACTTGCATGCGCGGCAGCTGCGACTCCTTCAGACGGTAGCGCTCCAGCAGACGGCCCTTCTCCTCGGGGCTGAGGAGGACGTGCTTGGGGACCAGCTCATGGCGCGTGATGTTGACCAGCAGATCCTGCTCCTGGAAGTGCTCGCAGATGTGGTTGGGCAGACTGGAGAGCAGGCGGACGGCGGAGGGGGAAATCGGGGTTTGCGTGATGAAGATTCCGGTGTGATAGTTGCTTTCGCCGACGATATGGTTGAAGGCGCGTACTTGCTTGGTTCCGACGCCTGAGGCGTCTGGGCAGAAGTCGACGTAGACGGTGCCGCAGTCCGGTGTGGGGTTAGGGTTCGACTTGGTTTTGAGAGTGTATTTCATTTCCATGGTTGTGGTGGGGCGGGCTTGGATTTTCATCTTGTTGCGGCTGGGTTGGAGGTTAGTTGAGGTTCTTTTTTTTTATTACATATCTTCGGTGCTGGTTTTGTTTTTGAAGGGCTTGCAAGGACCGACTGCGAAATCAAGATTGGAGAGCTGCATAAGCTCCCAGTCTGCCTTTCGCAGCGATTCCAGCCAATGCAAGCTTATCTTTGCAGGAGGTAGGGTGTTCGTACTCTGGGTATCCCATGGGGTCTGAGTATTTCTGGCGGAATTCGTCTAGTGAGATCGCGAGCTCATCGTCGGAGACTTCGTAGCCCTGTTGTAGCGGGGAAAAGAGGTTAGTTTAGATCTCTGGTGCAATTCTGATCCATGCGAAAACAATGAAGTCATATCCCCGTGCGATTGTCAAACTTACTCGGTCTGCCAGCATCTCATAGACAGTCCGGAAGGTGCGCCAAAGACGAGTGGTTTCCTTATCAGCCTCCTGGCTGTGCGCAGACACATCTCCGTCCATGATTGTCAGTGCAACTGCTCAAATTCAGAAAAGAGAAAGAAAGAAAGTGCTTGCGCCGAGCAGTGCAAGTGATAGCAAAAGTCAAGGTGAGGTTAAAGTGAAATCGAAAAATCGGCGGGAACTTTCTGCCGGGAAAGCGGAGAAACTGACCGAACCGTTGGATTTCCGGAACTTGTCTTGACGGCTTCCTTTCCCCTCGTGGGTTTCTCTCTTCTTTTCTCTCTCCTCTCTCCACTTTCTCTTCTTTTTTAATTGTTCCTTGTTCTCTGTTCGCAATGGCTTCCCCTGCCCCCGTGGCGGTTAAGCCCACCAAGCCCGATGAGGAGGCCTACAAGATTAGCCTCGCTCAAGCCGAGAAGGAGCACACTGCTGCTCAGGAGAAGCTGGTATGATTCATTGTTCTCTTTCCTTTTGATATTCGGGTCAATTATGACATTTGGACTTAATGAGACATTGCATTGCATTGTGTCCCGCCAATCTGTCCCTCCCGAGACGATCGCTGCTGCGACTCCACTGCTTTTTCTTGTTGTCCATAACTAACCACGTGCGCAAATAGAATCAAATCAAGTCCAAGTTGGACAACGCCAAGCCCAACAACCAGGACTCCCCCACCGTCAAGAAGCAGCAGGAACTCCGCGCTGAGTTGTCCTCCATCCGCCAAAAGCAGTCCGGGTTCAAGTCCTCCCGCTCCAGCATCCAGGAGAAGATCAATGCCATCGAATCCACCCTCAAGGCCCGCATTGCGGAGCAGAACAACTCTCGGGGCAAGATGGCCTTCAAGAACGTCGACGAGATCGACCGTGAGATCGCCAAGCTCGAGAAGCAGGTCGACTCCGGTACCCTCCGTCTGGTCGACGAGCGCAAGGCTCTCGGCGATATCTCCAACATGCGCAAGCAGCGCAAGGGTTTTGCCGGTTTGGAAGAGGCCCAGAAGAACATTGATGACTTGAAGGCTCAGATCTCTGCCTTGCGCAAGACCCTCGACAACCCCAGGCCAAGGCTCTCAGCGACAAGTACTCTGAGATCCAGAAGGAGCTCGACACCATCAAGGCCGAGCAGGATGGCGTCTACAAGAACCTGAACTCTCTCCGTGATGAGCGCACTAAGCTGCGCAACGACCAACAGGCCAAGTACGTCGCCATCAAGGAGATCAAGGACACCTACTACAAGGCCCGTCGTGCGTACAAGGAGTACGAGGATGAGGCTTGGCGCCAGCGCCGCGAGCGCCAGAAGCTCGAGCGCGACGCTTTCGAGCGTGAGAAGCGCAAGAAGGTCGCTGACAAGAAGCTTGAGGAGGCTTCTGCTCTTGCCTATGCTGATGAGATCCTGACTGCTCAAGGTCTGATCCGTCACTTCGACCCCGCTTATGACTTTGCCTCTCTGGGTCTTGATGACAAGAAGGTTGAGGAGAGCAAGTTCCGTGCTGGTGTTGGCCGTACCGTTGATGACTCTGCCCTGAAGGGTATGAAGGTCGTCCGCAAGGACGAGGAGGAGGACTACTTTGCTGGTACTGGTGGCAAGAAGGGCAAGAAGGGTAAGAAGGGCGGTGCTGCCGCTGCCGCTGGTGCCGAGCCTGCTGGCAAGTTCAACATGAACGTTGGTGTCATTGAGGACTTCGCCAAGGTCAAGATCGACCCTCCCATGAACCAGGCTGCTGTCCCTGCCTCTGTTGAGCAGCTGGCTGCTAAGATTACCGAGTGGAAGAAGAACCAGGCCAGCAAGACTGAGGAGGTGAGTTATTTGATTATCCGCACCCGCTGTCTCTGACGTGCTACATATGAAATATCGTTACTAACAACCCTCGCAGAACATCAAGAAGGCCAAGGAAGAGATCACCCGCCTGGAGGAGGAGGAGGCTAAGATCGAGGCCAACGGCCGTGCCACCGACGCTGCGAAGAAGCCCGCGCAGGCCAACGGTGCCCCCACCGCCGAGGCCGAGCTGGCCCAGGAGCAGGACGGTGCCGCCGATGCTGCCGATGAGCTGAAGAAGGCTTCGCTGGAGGACAAGGAATAAGTGGCTTCTTTTCATTTCATTTTCTTTGGGTTAATTGAAGTGTCGATGAGAGTGAAGTTGAGTGAGGTGTGCATTTCTCTGGCATTTTCCTACGTACATCTGAGCAGTCTAGCATTTGCCTAGCATTCTTATTGGTTTGATTTTTTATCTTGGCTCGTGTGCATTATAATTTGCGTTTATATATGGACAGTGTTACCAAAAGTCCGAATCGATACCTCCTTGCTGGTGAGATCTTTGTATATTTTCAGTGCTTGTAAAAATAATCCTATTGCTAAATTTAACTTCTCTCGTCTGATGCTGTCGTTGCTGGCTAGCTTTGGTGCAGCTTCCTAAAAGCCTTCTCATGGCCGTACTAGCAGCCCTAGAGTATACCCTCAATTTCCCGTCTTGGTTCCACTTTGCGCAAGGCCGCTTATGAGTATAGTCAGGAATCCATTCTCGTTGTGATACTTTATTAGAAGTAACAGCTAAGAATTTGCTTTGGAAGATGTTTTCAAATTTTCAAGGTTGTTGGAAAATAATTGCATATTGGACAGTGGGGTTATCGTCCTGATAATTACTAGTAAGTTTGACTCGCAATACTAGCCCTTGATGTGCCAAAGACCTCGGGGATGGACTGTGTTTTTTTGAAATATCAGGTTTCGGAAAAAAGGAGGCCGTGCCAATATTGCTTTTGGATCATACTGAAATTCAAGCAAAGAGAGTCGGGATAAAATGAGCACATCGAGATATCTGCCGATGGCTTGACAGGGCAGTTCGCACGCTAGAGATATACATTTTTGATTCAGCGTCTTAGGATATAATATTCCCCACAATCAGCCCTTCAAATTGGAATTTTCTTTCTAGAATAATATAAAAGACAGGACGTATCATTTAAGAAACAGGAATAAATCGGCGTCTTAGCAATTTTGGAGCTATAGCTCAAACTAAGGGATCTCGAATATTAATCGGTATACGAGGCCAGTCATCCCATTCATCTCGGAGGGAATTTCACGGTAATACTCATGGACAAAATCATTTGCTGAAATTCCAGCTCGGTACTAGTATCATGCCCATTACCGCACATTATCGAGGCCGCGATTTGTTCACCCCATCCTTGTTCACGCCCTTTCGGCGACTCGATCCGAGATCCACTTCCCCTCTCATCCGATCATATCCGAGCCATTTTGGAGTCCTACATTGGAGATTTGGAATAGGTACGGATAATGCATTGAAATGTATTAGTTAGCGGTCAGATGCGTTATCGTTGGCAAGAAAACTCCTCCTTAGGAGTCTTCATTTCCTGAGTTCAATCATACACCGACGAGATATTTTCCCTCTCACAAGAATGTCTATACTCAAACAACTAGTGTCTCTGAAGCAATCGAAACCCATCCTTCAGCAACTGAGGTTCGTGAATAATGTATCCTTTTGCAGAGGATACAAGTCGGGGGTTTCTCCGTCGGGAGGCCTGAGAACGGAAACCAGCACTCAGCTCCCACCACATTCCTTACTTCCAACCAAGATGTTGTTGCGGTCTTTGCTAGTAGCTACAGTCTCTTCCCATCGATTTCTTCTGACCCCTACACTCTGGTTTCTCTCCTCGGTCGTTCATCCCCGATTCTCACTGTTGGACGTGAATAAAAACCCATTTCTTCGCGGTATTCTGAAATCAACATTCTACAACCATTTCTGTGCCGGCGAAAATGGTAAGGAAGTTCGATCTACAATTGAAAATATCAAGAACATGGGTTTCAAAGGAGTCATTTTGACATACGCTCGAGAAATCGTGGTAGATGCATCGAAAGAAGTGTCGGAAAGCTCTACCACAGCCGCCACTACAGAAGCCTCTTCTCTCGAAGCGGAGCAAAACCCGGACATTGAGGCATGGAGACAGGGCGTACTTGAAACTGTTGAGATGGTGGGAAATGGCGATATTCTAGCACTTAAGTGAGATTGAATTCCTTTCTGCGCTCCACAGCTTGACTGACACTCTTTACCAGACTAACCGGGGCCGGGGAACCGGCAATGCGTGCCCTGCTGGCTAAAGAGCCTCTGCCCGAAGAGATGATGCTGGCCCTGGAGCAGATCTGCAAACGCGCTGTAGAGCGCCAGGCTCGCATTTTCATCGACGCGGAGCAACAATCTGTCCAGCCTGGAATCGATGACGTTGCTCTCGGCCTCATGGAGAAATTCAATGTTGATGGCAAGGTCGTGGTATTTAATACTTATCAGGCTTATCTGAAGATCACTCCTGCCACACTCCTTGCGCATCTCGATATCGCGGATAAGAAGAAATTCACGCTCGGTGTTAAGCTGGTACGGGGGGCATATATCAATTCCGAGCCCCGGGGCGTGATCAACGATACGAAGGCCGATACGGATGTTTCATATGACGCTATTGCGCAGGGTGTTATCAAGCGTGACCTTGGGCCTTTTGGCAAGGGAAAGCGCCCATTTCCTTCCGCGGACCTCTTTCTTGCGACGCATAATAAGGAAAGCTCTTTGATGGCTAGCAAGTGGTCGAATGAGCTGGTTGCGGCGGGACTTCCTGCTACGAAGGTGCAGTATGGTCAATTGCTTGGCATGGCTGATGGAGTTAGCTGTCGATTGTTGCAAATGGGATGTGTTGAAACAGATGGTTCTGGAAAGGTATCTCCTGAGGTTTTCAAATGTCTTAGTTGGGGAACATTAGGTGATTGTCTGTCATATCTGCTCCGTCGTGCTGTGGAGAACCGAGATGCGGTTGGTCGAACTAGGGAGGAATACCTACAGGTTCGTCGGGAGGTTTTCCGTCGTATTAGAAATATTTTCGTATAGATCGGGTGAATTGAGAATATCATCATCTAAATAGTCACCAAGATCGTGCAGTGCTGATGTAAATGTATGTAGGAAGGCAAACTGGGGGAAATGACACTGTTATAGGTGTATTAGAAGTGTAGATAGAAGCTATGGAGGTGAGGAAGTACTTGAAAGCCCGCTGCAGAAGATATTTCCGCTTAATAACCCTCGACCTCGTTCGTTTGAGATGATTAATAGCTTGTCTCGGCTCACCAAGACACATTGTAAAGGCTTGTCATTACTATGGCCCAGCGGTGGCAATCGCAAATTTTGCAAGCATTCAGTGACTTACCTTGGAACTGTTGTTGACCGTGGTTCTTCGGCCACGGTCTATAGTATATTCAAATGGGATTGAAATGCTAGCTCGGGACCCGAACCTCGCTGATGGTATTCTTTTTCGGCAATCCAGATTTCCACCGGCGAACACCGTATTGTCAAATCGTCGCCAACAATGCTGAAGACCGCTCAATCTGCAATCCCTATAACCGCCATCCATAGACCTAATTAATTAATACTGTTCGAACATAGATTGAAATTATTCAAATGCTTGATTGAATTTACCTAATACTCGTGATAATTATTTTATCCTTTGTGAGATAATAGATTTTTTTGCCTAGGTAAAACTGTCTATAGGTCTCCAACAAAAGACGATACCAATTTTGACGATACTGTTACAAAGCAATGTGCCGAATAGTTAGATTTATTAATTAACCTGGAGAGCTGCTTCAAATTCCAAGTGGACTGTGACATAAATGAAACATGGAATAATACAGAGTATCAGTCGTATAAGTTAAATCGTCGAGAAATTTTGTTCGAATTATATTTGACGAAAGATCAAGACAATGGCCGTCCTGGAACAAAGTCTGAAACACACACTATCTTTTGAGACAACGGCAGCTCATGCTCATCCCCAGATGTAACTGGGCCAAAAGCTGGGCAATCCAGTAAGAACCCCCAGTTGGATGATGAAAAATACTTTATCTCTGATTGATATTCTCATATACCTAGGTGCCTTTGGGGATGGCTGAGTTTGCAACAACCCTTTTGACACTCTCACTTACCATGCTTGAGCTCCGGGGAGTTTCCATCCAAAGTGTTTTCACCGGAAACTTTTGCTTTGTCGGTAGCATCGCCCTGCTTATATCGGCACGGTGGGACATTATAATATATTGTTTTCAGTGCATTCGGTCTGTAGCTAGCCTGGAGTATTTGGATAGTTCGAAAGTCAGAGCTACTTGTATGAGGGAGAGTAGGTGTGCCGTTATTTAGAATATTGATCTACCCCGGAATGTCTCTGCAGTGCGTGAAGCTCAGGCGCAGTTTTCTCATGACATTCCACTGAGTCCCTCGAAACCCTGTATGAAAGCGAGGAAAGATGAGCACAAATGAACGAGGAAACCTTTTTATCGGGACTCGGAAATTTGGCTAATAGATAATACGAGGTTCGCCTCGTCTACATGGAAAAGATTGTTCAATATGAATCCATTCGAGTAACACAACTAATGATGTTCATCCTGCTCTTGAGATTTAACATGAACCAGGAGCAAGCTGTGATTCCTCATCGTCTGGTCGTCCGCAACATAGAAGACATTTCTTGCTACTTTGTTTCCGGTAACCTTTCCGCGAAGAAGACAGATAATATCATCAATAGTTTTTCCGTGGAACGCAGACGTGTTGTATTCAATATGCGAAGCTAGAGCACTCATTGCGTACCCTTCAATATCATCATCTTCTTCAAGGATGTAGAGGTAGTGTGGTGAAAAGAAGCTTCTTCGGTAGGCCGTGACAATAATATGAGTCAGAATCCATAGACTTGAATCAGACCAGAATACAAAATGCATGGAGAACGATCTCTATTACAAATTGTGGAATACATTGTATACAAAGAATGGGGTATAACACTTGGTCGTCCATTTTTTGTGGGCCCTTGCTCCAGGGCTGGTGATAAAATCAAAGAGTTGGGGTTGCTAAAGGGAAGATGTTCTAGCAGAACGGAGGCCAACAAATAATGTGACATTTTACTGGGTCCGAAATTGCCTCCAAATAATTGTTTTTGCCAGGTTTTAACCCCATTACTTGTATATTTTCTGCAATATCAAGTCTATTAGGCTTCCTCCCTCTTGTTATTATTAGCTTAGTAGAGTGCCGGCAACGTATAGTATGGGAGCACGTGACACTACGAATCCGGCGATGTTTTTGGGCTTCGTTTGGCCTAAATCTCCCTGATCGCATGGAAAATGCAACTTCATTTGCGGTGGCTAATTATTTTGATTCTCTTTATTTTCTTGGATGAAAGTTTCAAAGTTTTCCACTTCATGAATATGACAGCCTGAATGGAGGCAGTGCATAGCTTTATACCTCGGAACCCCGCCACGATGCTGCGCCACAGCGTTCAACTAAAAACGTAACTCCAGTCAACTTTTTATGGTTCAACTTCTTGGCCCTTGGCTTCCCCCCCCAACATCCCTCCTTGACGATCTCTCTCTCTCTCTCTCTTTCCCCACTCCTCTTCTTACCCTCCCTCTTGCACTTCCCCATCAATACACACCCCGGCTAGATCAACACATCCACCACATCCACAATCCCCAGATCTGTCACATCCGGATCCACTTTCATCAAGCTCTAACATGTCTTACAACAAGCCGGTTCGTCCACCCACGCTAGCCCCTCCCCGAATTATTTCCACAGATCAAACTATATCCACAATCTCTAGCATCAATCTAACATCTTTGACAGACTAGTCCGCCCCCTTCCTACCAAGACCCGGCTTACTCCGGCAACTTCCACCAGAACGCGCCCAGTCCTAGCCCCGGCCCCGGCGCCGCAGGCGACTACTATGGCGGCCAGCAGCAACAGGTAGGATACTACCAGCAGCAGCAAGGGTATCCGCAGCAACAAGGCTATAACGGTGGCGGCTATCCTCAGCAGCAGGGAGGTTACTACGGCGGTCAGAGCCAGATGCAATACCCCCAACAGCAATATCCTCAACAAGGATACCCGCCTCAACAGTATCAGGATGATCGCGGCCGCCACAGCGGTGGTGGATCCGGCGCTGGTGGTATTTGCGCTGGTATCATGGCTGCAATGGCGTGCTGTTGCTGCTTGGACATTCTGTTCTAAAGGCCTTCGCTGGAGTACAGTGGCTTTCTTGATCCGATCGGCCTTTTGACACACAAGTTACGCGATTGGCACGTCCCTTTCTCCCTCTTGGGACTATTCAAAATACCCCCCCGCTCTTCAGATCCAACGACCGGAAATTGAAGGGATCATGGGGTTGGCGCGAGATGCGTCATATACGACTTTCCTTCTACTGTTGGCGTTTCCGAGAGCTCGACTTGTGGAGACTTTTGGTGTTTTTGATATGGGCGTGGTGGAGTTTGGCTCTCTTTTGTTGTCTTTCTGCGCTCGTATATACTTTTACCTGCTTTATATCTTCAATCATCCGGCGCGAGAAGGATGCGGCGTTGACCTTGGTTCTACGCTCTCACTTCTTTCTGTATAATCCTCAATTCACTATTTCTACTAGACCCAGCACTTTGTACTAGTATCATTGTAACCTTGGAAAAATAACTGCAACACCGAAAAACTGAAAAAAACAGGATGTAGATAGAAAATATGGCTGGAAATAGTTCATATACAGCATCACTCATTAATAAACACACTCGGCGGAAGTAAGCAGAATAAGTCACGCCCATGAATATAGCCGAAAAAGGGGGTATCGCAATGCAAAACTTCGAAAAAGCACCACCCAGACATTCACCCCAACCCAAACCACTCCCCTTCAATCATCCCCACTCATCGATAGCGACTCCCCTGCGAACTCCCACCCCCATACGCGAGCGGATCAACAGATCGATACCCCCGCCCACCCCTCCTAGACGGCTGAATAGAAGAAATCCCCGAAGACTCCTCCTCCATAACCTCAATAACGTCCCTCCCACCAGACGTCGTCGTCCCCGTAACCGAGTCCTCCTCAACAATAACCTGATCATGCGACGGCGGTCGTCGATAACTCCTCGGCCGACTGCCGCGTTCCTCGACGACCTCGATTACATCGCTGCGCCGGGAGCCGCCGCGCCGACTGCGGACGACGACTTCTTCGTCGATGGATGATGTGCCCCCGCTGCCGCGCGCGATGCCGCCTGGGTTCAGGGCGAGGAAGGTTAGGTAGAGGATTATTACTATGCCGCCTACGCTGCCGAGGACGATTCCGGCGACTGTGCCGGGTGGTGGGCTTGTTGTTAGGCCGCCGTATGAGGCTGGGATTGAGACAGTTGTGTAGCGGGATGTTAGGTCGCTGGATATGTAGGTTGTGCGTTTTTGGTGGGTTGTGTTTGGTTGTGGGGAGAGGAGGTTGTTGTTGTTGTTTGCGGGGAGGGGGAAGTTTAGGTCTTCCATTGTGGATTTGGGTGTATGGATGTCAGCGAGGTTGGCGCATGGAGTCAACTTGAAGCTGTGTAGGGATTTCAAATTTGAGGAGGAGAGGTGAGAGTGGAAGTGAGAGGGGAGCTGTCGTACGAGGGAGTCAGAGTAGAGAGAAGGCTGGGGTGGCTGGGGATCGGCAAAGTGGAGCCGCAATATGGGTGGGTCTTCTCTACTTTATATTCCATCCCAACCCATGATACTCCGTTAGACATTATTCTACTCTAGTCGGACTTGAGAAATTGTGATTAGATCAAAATAATTCATCTGCCTTTAACTCAGAGCTATTTGAACAGAATAAATCTGGCCCCGTTCTCGGGGGAAATAAAACTAATCACCAGGTCTACGCCCACGCCTAGTAAGCGCCACGGCGAGATTGGTACTTAGGCTGGTCCACAGACTCGATCTCACCCAAAGAAGTAAGAACAGGAGTAGTATGCACCAATTCAAAAGAGCTAAGCTTCGCACCACCCTCCTCCTGAGCCCACAGGCTCAGCGCCAGCCAGTTGGTACCACGGTAGTTCAGAATACCCTCCGGAACAGGGAAACTAGTCTGAGGACCAATATTGTTGACATACTTGCCATACTGGTAACCATTGACATACAGCTGGGCCCGATAGGCAACCGGGGGCGTGGTGGTATTTCCAAAATTGAAATAAAGCGGAACGTCCCAGCCCTTGGGCACGTTCAGATCGAAACTGGTGCTATAGAATTGAATGCCAGGCTTCGAAAGACCAGTGAATGGGCTGCTGGAAGCCCATTTCTGCGTTGGCGGCTGGGGCTGGTGGAAACCCTGGCGCTCGGCGTAGAGGCCGCCCTCGTTCAGTGGGCCTCGCACGGTATCCTGGTAATCCTCGCCGCCTAGGTTGCCGGTCAATTTCCAGGTGATGGCGCTGGCGGAGTGGCCGGAGAGGCTGTAGTTGAGAATTCCGCGAGGATTTTTCATTTCTTCTTCGCCGACGGTCCAGTCCTCGTCTAGGCCCATGTTGTCGATGACTACGGTGATCACGTAGGGTTTGCCTGACTTTAGGTTTGGCAGGGTGTAGGTGGCGTTGGAGTTTGTTGCTGCGTCGATTCCAACGGCAGAGCCCAAATATGTCTCATTGATCCAGACTGAGCTACCGGATGCTGAGCCACCTTGAGTGTGCAGGAATATGTCCTTCTCGTTGCCGTTGGCGACGAAGTGTCCACGGTAGATGAGCGCTCCGGTGTGGAAGCCGTAGTCTGAAGAGTATAGAGAGCTGGGAGTCGTGAGCGGGTGGACACTGTTGTTGGTATATGTGTGATCAGCGGAAGGCCAGGCTGAATCATCGTATGTGTTTTTGATTTCAGGTAGAGTGTCGATGGACTTCCACTTCAAGTTCTTCAGGGTTGGGATCTTGATGTCAGGGGCCGAGTATTTGACGTTGGTGGTCCAGATGCCATTCTTATCGACTTTGACTTGAGACTTATTACCGTTGATGACCAGGTTCTTCGCCTTTGATGGAGCCCCGATCACTTCAATTGGGGTCGTGGCATTGAAATCGGCCGTGATGTGGAGATCACTTCCATCAAGGTATGCGGTTCGGACGAGGTAGCCAGCTTTGATGATAATCGAAGAGGCAGTGTTCTCTTGGGTGCTGTATCCTGGGGCCTTGCCTGATGCAGGGAGCTGAGGAACCCAGTAATTGTAGGCAGAGTTTCGATCTAACAGCAGTTAGTTTTCGAGTTCAGTTCAATACTAGAAGTTGCACATACCGAGGAGTAGGATATTGAGGTCGCCAACCTTGACAATGCGGCGGGTGGAAGATACATCCCAGCCAATGACGACAGCATTGCCCTTCTTCTTGGTGGTAATGCCTGACGACGAGCCCTCAACGACAGAAGCGGAGGCCTTACCGGAGACCGCAAGCTCGTGGTGCTCATCAGGGCCACCGTACAGAACAAGGACCTTCTTATTGCCGAACTTCTTCCATGTAAAGACCTCGGCAGTCGAGTAAAGAATATTCGTGCCAGCCACATCGTAATCCACGACATGGATCTTCGAATCACGACCACTCAGCGTCAGACTACCTCCAAGTTGGGGAATAGTGAGGTCACCAGCACTGGTGGGAACCTTGAGCTTGTAGTCAACGGAGTTGAGGGAGGCGTAGTTTGCATGTCGGACCACGAAGAAGGACGATGCGGTGCTGTTACTTCCAAGCAATGGGGTGACAGTCAGGTCGGCGGTGTTAGTATAGGTAGCGTTGGTGGCATTGCCGGGGGTGGCCACCAAGTACGACGGAGAAACCTTGGCAAAGTTACCAAGAAGCTTCAACTCGCTGTACTTCTCACGCGTCACATTGCGGGACTCGGAGATAGGGGAGCCATAATCATAGGATGTGTATCCACCGGGATGACCCAGGTTACCCCAGTTAGTACCACCGAATGTCTGGCCCAGTCAGCATCTCTAAAAGAAATTTGTTTCATCCTTATGAGCTTCCCACACATACCATATATAAATTCAGGAAAGCAACGCCGAAGCTGAAGTCATTCTTGTAGAAGACTCTCTCGAATTCGTGATTGACGAGCGCGGCGCAGGCATCGAAGCCGTTTCCTCCCCATGGGTCGAAGGCACCACCTTGAAACTATAAAACGTAAGTTTTTGATCTCAAGATATCTTAGAAGTCCGTACATACCTCGACAAGAGAGTACGGGGTGGAGGGGCTTTGTTCCAGATGAGATTCACGGAAGTAGGTAGGCAGAGCATTGTCAGGCCACACGCTCGGATTGGCGCAGTCAAACCCTAGGGGATAACTGTCATGTCCGTAAATGTCGACCTCGCCTTCACCAGTTCCAGGGGCATTGTGACCAGCAGCCCAAGCATCGTTGCTGAGCAAGGGAACAACGATTCCGGCCTTGTGGGCCTGGTCCTCAACATATTGCATGTAAGCACCATCGGGAAAGTTATCTACACCGCAGCAAGCGCCGGAGTATTCATTCTCAGGCTGATAGAGAATGACTGGGCCACCCTCTGTGATCTGAGCCTTGGCGATGGTGGCAGCAATGTTGGAAACGTAGCTATTCGCGCATGTCAGTCACTTATTTCTTTCTGTCCGAGTGCGAAGGCTTTCTTACTTGTCAGTAGCCTTCAAGTAGGCCTCTTCGCTGGTTCGTAGGGTGGCATTGACTCGCTGCAGCCAACCTGGGAAACCTCCACCAGAAGCCTCCGCATTAATGTAAGGACCAGGTCGTGCCAGTAGGTAGATACCAGCCTCCTTGGCAGCCTCAAAGAATGGCTCGAGGTCGAAGATTCCATCGGCACGGTAGTGGCCCGGTTTGCCCTCGAGAAGAGCCCAATCGATGTAAATTGAGACACCATTGAAACCCAAAGCTTTGATTTTCTGAAGAATATCAATCCAAAGAGATGGAACGGGCAAACTAAGCAAGAATAATGTGAGATTGAATTATTCAAGGAGTCTCAATTGTTGCAGTAAACACCTACCGGAAGGGATGGACTTCGCCGCTGAACACCATCAGCCTCTCACCATTGATGAAGAGGGAGTGCTCGTCCCAGGTGACCTGGCAAAATAAGCAGCAATGGTAAGCAAATAGCCTCATCCAGTCCCCTGCTTGCAATCAAACAATCAAACCACGCACATATTTCTGCAACAGAGCTCGCTTCACAGGATCCGGATGCTCCGTAATGGTAAACCCATCAAGCTTATGGCTAAGAGCAGCACCAGCAGCTTGCGCAGCCAGCGCAGCCAAAGCCAACGTCGACGAGAGCTTCATGGTTCAATGGATGTACCAGGTGAACACAGGCGCAGTAACGAGAGCTGGGAATTTCAAAAAGCTCTCCCCTGGCATGCAGGTAGGCAGGGATCGCCGCGGCTTCATATATTGGCCAATTCCCGGGGCGGCATACCTCTCGAATCCATGTTCAAAATATCGTCATCGACAGGGGCAGCGGGGGATTTCGGTCATAGCTCCGTTGCATACATGCACCTCGCATGATAGCCCCAGTCGGTGAGGTGGGGATGTTGCTTGTCCTGGAAGGCGGGCCGATGATCCTCCCCCCGCGCGCCTCCTGCGGGGGGGGCTTGTGGAGGGTCCGCCGCAATTTTTCCGTATTTTGCAGATGGATGTGGGATGATGGTCGGTTTGGTATTTACTGGAGGATGAGGGTGTGTGTTATGATGGATTACAATTGAGAATGAATTATATCCTGAGTGGTATGGACAGAGTATGGTTCTGTGTAGATACGTGTTGATACCTAATTACTAGAGCTCTAGTATCATGATGCCAGGATCTTCGGGAAAACTCAGGCCGATGTATAGTAGTAATTTCCCCCGGACCGACCGGATGTCGAAGCCAAAGCAAGTAATTACCTTCTCGTTTAAACTGAAGCAAGCTAATTGCGGGGTCCAAGAGCATCAATTTAACCGGGCTATTGTACTGCCGACGATTCCCCGAGCCGAGCTATAGTGTAGGGCGTTGCACGATGCAGATCGCTCAAGCTTGGCTGGGATCATCCGATACGACCTCAAGGTCCTACCATTGAATGGAGAAGGAAGTTTATTTAATGCTTGAAACGGTAAATTTCCAGTTTGCTTTTATTTAGTACAGTCGGTGAGCCATCGCTTCCCAGTAAATTCAATCCAATCACATCTTAGTCCAGATCCAGTTCGTATTTTGCCTTTTAACATAGTCGGCACTTAAACCGTTGTGTTCATCCGGTCTTCCTCATCGCCAGCCTTAGTGTAGGTCTCACGGGCGTCAGTGTGGTCCTGCTCAACTTCGCCCAGTTGCTCACTCTCGGCCTGCAGCGCTTTGTCCTCTGCACCAGCGGTGGACTCAATGGGAGTCGCGGCCGTGGGGCTCTGGTTGCTCGACTTCAAGGTGGCATTGATGAGAGGAGTGTCACTGTTGAAGATACGGAGGAGCATGGCGCGTCGGTCCTCCTTGGGAAGCATGAGGTTGAGGGAGTGCAGGGATCGCCAAAGGGGCAGCACCATTCGCTCACTGTTAGATGGTATTAGCGTGGAACTTCCAGTAAAGGGAATAGAGTGTAGGGGGGGGCAACTTACGTGAGGCCGTCTTCCTTGCCAGTAGGCTCAACGCGCAAAATGCTGCAACCCATGGGGATGTCCTTGACTTGCTCGCCAATCTCACCCAGGTTCTTCCAGCCCTCGTCGTTGACCTTGGGAAACATCTCGACCAGAAGCTTGCGCAGGGTCTCGCGTTTGGTCAGAGTGACAGAGCGGGAAGTGCCAATCCAGGGCTCGATAATGTTCAAACCATCGGTCTGGATACGCCAGCGGCAGACGTTCTCACGCTGAGCGTCCTGTTTGACGAACATCTTCACACCGCAGTGAACGAACTTCATACCGGAACCTTCGTTTTGTTGGAGAATGTCGCGAGCGAGCGCGCTGGTGTAGTAGACAGTGCGGGTAGGGTTACCCTCAGCATTGCGGACCATGAAACGGTCCTTAGGGAATCGCTCCGACAACTCGAAGAACTTGTAAATAGGTTCTAACTCTTCGTGGTTGGGGTCGAGATACTTGTAAGGCTCCTCTTGGTGCACCTTCTTCTTCAAAGCCTTGGCCGTAGCGACGGGGGCAGATGGGGCAGGAGTGTTGCTGTCTGAGGTCTCAACGGCCTGGGCCTCCACTGCACCTGCAGGCTTGTGGATGGGACGGTCACCCAGGAGAATTTCCTCGCCATTGTCGAGCTTCGTCTTCTTAGCAGGGATCTCAGCTTCAAAGTCATCCGCAGTGCGCTTGGTAGGCGAGCCAGGATTGGGGGCGTCGAGAGTAACGGAGTACGGGGGTTGGTGACTGGACTCGGCAACAGTCGCGTTCTTTGCGATCTCCTTGGCAGCCTCCTGGTCAGGGGCAACGAGGTCGTCCAGAGCATCGAGCTTCTTGTAGGGCTCGCTGTCATCCTTCTTGCGGGCATCCAGCTCCTCGGCAAGAGCCGCCACTGGAGCCTTGGGGATGACATCAGCAACGTTCTCAGGCTTGGCCCGAATCTCCTGAGTCTTTTCGAGGACAGTGATGAAGAAACCACCGGTATCCTGGTGGTGAGGATAAACACGCATGCAGCGCTCGAGAGGGAGATCACTGTCCGCCCCAGGGGCGAACATGCCCTTGGCAATTCGGGCCAGGCCGTCGATTCCTTCCTTGTCCTTGTGCTCCTCGACATCCTTCCAGCTGTTCCAGATACGGCCCTCGCGGTCCATGACCTTCCAGTCCCGCATACCGGGAGCTCGCTTGAGGCCAGCCAGCTCCTCGCTGCAGTCAATGATCTTCACATTGACGGATCCACCGCAGCGCTCAATGGCAGATGCAACAACGGCTTCGTTCTCAACAGGGTTCATACTGCAGGTGGAGTAGACAACACGACCACCGACCTTCAGCATCTGAAGGGCACGGACCAGAATCCGGGCCTGGGTAACGTAGAGTCCAAGAGCATTGGCAGGGTTCCAGTCCTTCCAGACAGAAACATTCTTGCGGGGAGTTCCATCGCCAGAGCAGGGGACATCGGCGAGAATACGATCGAACTTGAGGTATCGGTTCATCTGGGGCTTGCCCTCAGCAGCGGGGGCCGGGGGAAGCTTGATGGAGGGGTACATAGTGGCGTCATGGTTGGTGACAATCAGATTAGGCGAGCTGAGACGCTTCATCTGGTGGATAAGCATGTGCGCGCGCTTGTAGTCGCTGTCATTGCAGATCAGCAGGCCAGTGGTTCGGCCATCGTCGTTCAAGCCCTCCGGTCCGAGAGGCTCGGGACCAACACCGCCCTCGCGCGCCTTTTGGGAAGCTTCCTGGATAGTATCCTCCTCGCCAGCGTGAAGCAGTTCCATCAACTGGGCGGACTTGCTGCCGGGAGCGGCACACATATCCAGAACAGTCATACCGGGACGAGCATCGATCAGAAGAGGGGGAATCATGCTAACAACCTCCTGGCGACTGATGTTTCCGACCTCGGTCTCGGCGACGAGGAACTTCTGGAAAGAGGAGAAGGGGGCGAATCGTCGAATGATTTGCTTCGGGGTGGTCATGGCCCAGGCAAGCTGGTCAGGGTACCACTCAACGGGGCGCGGGGGCTCGACGAATTCACCCTCATACTTGATGGCGGTGATCTGGGGAACGTAGAAATCCTTGAGACGTTCCTGGACAGCAAGCGCGTGTCTATAATACAGCAATGCGACGATCAGAATGATGCTAGAGACGAGAACTGCGCTGCGCGATTGGGGGACGCGCAGAATTGCGCCAACTCACCCACGAGAGCCGGTGAATCGGAAACTGTTTGGCAGATCCCTACGGATTGCTGCCCAGAATTCATCCTTCTCGGCCTCTGAGACTATTCCCAGCTCATTGTAGTATCGCTCAAGCTTCTCGTTGGTTCTGGCGATCTCGGACCAGTTGGTGCGACCACCGCCGCCTCGGCCACCGCGATTAAACTGCAAAGAGGATGTCAGTCAGGATTCGAGGGGATATGTCAATTGCATTGGAACGTCTGCGCATACCTTTTTGCCGCCGCGTTTACCCATTGTGTGTATAGCTCTGCGGAACATCCAAGCAAGTCAAACTCGACTTTCAGAAAAGCCGGATAAGTTTCGACTGACTAAGCAGGGTGGGGTGACTGGGCATTCCTTATTGGTCGACGGAGGTTTGATCTATAAAGATCGCCTCCTCGTATGAGAGCTCGAGCAATCAATACGAGGAAAGAGGTAGCAGGTAACGAGAGTAACCGAATTGAGGAAAGAGGGAAAGAAGAAGAAGATAGGACGGAACTACGTCCATAAGGCGTGGGTGCCTAGGTGGAGGCCTAAGGCATCTTCACCAATAGTAGTAACCATAACCATCTGGTTCATTACACCTCGTCAAAATTAGAATTCAATTGGTCTATTCTCGTTTCAAATCGAATTATTCTAAAATTCCTTGACGCTTTATCCATTGCAGGGATTTTCTACAAAATTCCCATGATCACCATCTTAGTATGCACCTGGGCATGGAGCAGTTATCATCTACTAGTACCTAGTAGTAGTTAGGACAGATGCTGTCTGCCAACTTGAAGTCTATATCTACGTCACGGTGTAGTACGATGAAAAAACTCCAAGGTTCAAAATATTCATAAGTTCTCTGGAGGATCACAGATAGAGCGCATAGTTGTACATATTTTCATTCGCTAGTCATATGGCCAATCAACTCCCAAGCATCCACATACATAGCTAGCCCTTCGCGACTCGATTTGTCAAAAACAACCTTAAATTAGCATATAGGCCTCATAGAGGTCTTAAGACATGTGGTTGACGCGAGCATTGTGGCGACGTAGGTGAGACTCCTGTCGGCGCTGAACTGTGGCAGATATGGTGAGATCCTCAGAGATACCAGCAGTGCACTTTGTTCCCAAAGCCACGCTCTGAGAAGCATCCCATACTCCGTCAACACAGCGTTGGAAAGCCGAGCCACCATTGCAATACCAGTATCCCTCCTGGCTACACGATCCACTTAGGACACCAGAGGTAGAGGTAGAGCTGCTAGCGGTAGAAGTAGTACTAGCGACGGCAATGGCTTGCGAAACTGACTCTGTGGGATCAGAGGGAGAAGAAGCGGCCACAGTTGTCACCGCAGCGGCGGCGGCAGCAGTAGTAGTACTCTCGGTAGCAGAAGAAGTTGTAGTGGAGGTCGATTCAGATGAAGCAGCGGCGGCAGTGGCGGTAGCAGCACTACCGGCGGTATAAAGCGTGGGACCAGGGATATCATAAGTGCTGAGAGTGTTCCAAATATTGACAAAGATACCCGGGTCACTGGCCTTGTAGAGAGCAGTTCCGAGAGTTCCACTGGGAGTAGCAGTACCGCTGCCTGACACCTTCAGGTTGATGCACTGGGGGTAGTTCTGGGCTCCGTCGGTGTTCTCAGCACTGTGAAGTGCGATAATTTCGTGGCGAAGGACATAGTTTCCAGCCTCGATGTCAGACGGGATAGTCATGGTTCGGCTATAGCTGGCCTCGATGAGCTCATCAGATGCCCAAGTTCCAGGGATCGCAGTCTCGCTGATAAGTCCACCCGCATCGATCTTGAAGAACTCCAGTGTGGTCTTATCCACATCGGCGCAGTCGCCATCGCACTTGGCGAGGTAGGTAATCACTGGGCCATGATGGTCATCTGGCCAAGTGCTCCAGGTCATTTTCACGGAGCCACCGGGGGTGACTGGTGCAGATAGTGCTGCAGGAGCTGAACCACGATGACAGATAATGTCAGACGAGCTGTAGGCTGTGGGAGCAACGAAGCCGTCGTCGGTAGCATTGGTGGACCACGCAATGATCTTGGGAGGATCGGATTCGTAGTAATAGGTATCAATCAGATATCCGCCGTAGGTAGTGCCATCGACGTCAATACTGTTAACATAGCCGTGGCCTGCGACCAGCGCAGCCGAGGCGAGAAGCAAGCTCGCAGTTTTCGACAAAGACATGTTGAAAAGGAACGATGTTTTCCGAAAATGGGTTATAAAAGCTGGGGAAAGAATGTAACGAGACTTCAGTCAATGAAGCTCAAGAAAAAGAAGTGAAGGGAATGGAAGTGAGAAGGTCTAGCCGGAGATCTACCAGGAAGTAGAGAATGCCGGGAGACCTGCGTCTTAAATATCCGAAGACACTCTCTCCATCCTTTCTTCCTTCATCTCGGCAGTCATGAGTCTTGTGAGTATCTCAAACACGCTTTCGGGGTCAGTTTTTCGAGTCATCCAATAATAACCCAGCGGGCGAAAATGTGGATATCCTGCAGCCCCTAGTCAGAAGAACAAAGCGACAATTCCGATCAGGTCAATATAAGCCGCATCGGGGGGGGCGATTCATTCCTTCATAACGTTTTTCTTTGGCGTGTTTCACCAGTGTTTGTATCCCGTGCTTAGCTTTAATTGAGGAACCATGCCATCCCCTTATGAACCTTCATGTAAAAATAGAGGGCGTCTTTGTTCGCACCCTCTGCCATACCTCAAGTCCCTCATTGTACCTTTGCACAATTAGCCGCCGGCCCAGTTTGTTATCGCCAAGGTGTGATTCAGTCTTTTCGCAAACAAAATTGGCGCGCGGCCTGCGGTGGGCGCTATGCAAGTTCATAGCACATGGCGGAGAAGATGAAACACGCCAGCGGTTAAGCGAGATCGGCGACGGGAACTCCTCCACCGTTTGCTATCGAAACTTAGGCATCTCGGCAGTTGAAACTGAGATATATGAAAAATTAATATAAAGTCATTTCGAGTTGGTGAGGTATCGGAAAATAAATTTGAGGAGTAATGGGGGAAGGGACCGAAGAAGGGTGCTAGTCCTAACTTGTAGTAACTAATGTAAGCGGATGAACATTAGCGGCATTTTCAAGTGGATAGATCCCTGCATGCTTTGAAAAAACGTACGGAGCACCTGTCATCGGCACATAAGTCGGTTTCTGAGTGATTCCCGATCACCACTATTGAACTTGAACCTTGGAATATCGGAATTTCTCGTCCATTTTATTGCCCAATCGTAGTAGAATGAGTAGCTCTATGCCAACTACACTCCACTGGCACTGGAGGCTATATTCCAAACAACCTGGGCATTGATACTCCACAGAATTGATCGTGAAACGACGACTGGCGATTAATGATGTGGTTTTGAATGGAGTACTTTCACGTTTTTTCAAAGCCTTTTCCTGCGATTTTAGCCCTGGCTTCTAGGGAGATATCTATCATCATTGAATGCTTTTTTTTATTGATAAATAGTGACGATTGTGACATTCTAGTTCTGCGGTCATAGAAGCTCAGCCAGCACGCTACTAGGTTGAAATGTTCTTCGAAGACCTGGTGAACTCGACCGAGACTCAGCAGAGAGAAATCCTTCACACTGCTCATTGAAGATAAACTCAGTCTGTGGCTTATCAAGCCACAAAACACCTTTTATGCAATCGAGGACTTCTTGGGCGCTCTTCATATATAGACGACTGGCGGTTTCTGGCGCTTTATTGGAGAACCACTCATATAGTGGCGTTCCTGTTGAAGCCACCATCCCAACTGCAATGAGCCAAACATCGAGTGACTCCGGTTCGGGCGATGTGCGATTGCGTTGCTCGAGGTTATTGATGAGTTTAGCGATCATATTGTTAAGCATCACGTCGTGGGGGTAATATATTGGGCCTTGAACAATGAACAAGTAGAGAATTATAGCATATCGGATGCACTCGGTCGTTGGTGATAGTTTAGGTATCGACTCGGACGCACCCGCGGTTGAAAAGAGAAGACGATGTACAACAAAGCATGTGAGATCATGAAGTTGTGTGTTTGGGAACGGCCCCCGGTTGGCTCGTTGAAAAACATTGCGCAGACGCATAAAAACGTTAATCACCTCATCCGGTCCCTCCATATTGAGATTTTCATGTAAGTCGTTGTAAGTGAAAGCCGGTTCAATCTGCCATTCTGCAATGGGGGGTATGCCATCTCCGATTCCAAAGTCATCCTGAGTCTCAAATTGCGGATGATCCATGATCAGCATTGATACCCTATGTCAGAATTAGTATAAATCAATTTAAAGTGCTGTGGGATTACTGACCAACTGATCATTCTTGCTGTTAGTGGACTAGTCTGTCTCACCGAGCTGATGCCTCCTCTTAAACTGACAAGTCGTTTCACGCCCTCGATGTGCATTTGACTGGTTTCATAGTTGCCTTTCCCAAACTAGAAAAGAATACATCAGCATGAGAAACTGGGAAAGAATGCTATGCACGCATGTATTGTATCTTTGGATACTATCTTACCTCAATTGTTGCCAATGTAATCACGGAGTTCATCGTGCCGTCTTGAATAGCAAGAGATGTATCCTCAATCTTACGCCGTAGTAGAGCTATAGAGTCAGTCATCAGAATTTCGGAAGATCGAAATCCCTTCTGCGCCGCTCGCTCTTCATCAAGACACGCTGTCTGTAATGAGACATGGAATAGTGCAGGATCCCCAAGAGCAAGTGGCCACCATGAAATGAGGAATGGATTCGAGGTCGCCTTGAGGTCAAGAGGATAATATTGAAATGCTATTTTGTGATGGACTGAGAAAAGAAATAAGTTCACTACCATTGGAATGGTTAATTGGAATAGGCACCTACAGCTATAAATGAGGCGTTGAATCTGCTCTCGGGGAAGTCTCGTTGGCGGATACGAGTCAAATGGGTCAAGCGATCCAAATGTGTACCCCGATAATGACCCAGCTCCAATTGGGGGTCCTATCAAGGAGGCATTGTTAGTGCCGGTAGATGCCGCGGAGGGTTCATTCGCATAGACACAGAGGACTTTGCGTTTGACACATCTTGAGCAGCGCGGTAACCGAAGGTCACAGCCGTGTTTCAACTTCGCACATGCAGCACAAGATCGCCGAAGTGTTTGTCTCATCCTTAAATACTCCCAGATGAGGTGTTTGGAGGAAGATGTATGTAAATGGTGCCACCCCTAGGGCGGTGGGGCGTGTGATTACGCGAGTCAATGCGAGTCAAACAGCGTCGATTATAATCCCAACCAGATTTCCCAAATAGGACTAGACTCCGATGGCTTTATTTCGGGGTTTCATCGATGACAAATTTGTGGTGTCGAAAGTAATAAATGTAGTGGAAAAAGTCATCATGTTTATTCCTACCTAGGTATGAACTATGTAGTATTGTCGTTACCAATGGCAAGAACAACAGTTCTGGATAGTGGGAGGAAGGCGATTAGAGAGGGTCTTGACACTATATCAAAACTAAACTGAAATGTGGCTAGGCCTTTAAGTGATGTCCTAGTCAGACGTGCCATCTTTCCCATTTGTATCTCATGATTGAAGCTCGTCTCCATACAACTTCCAGTGTCAATTTATTCTAAGGGGCGAGGAAATAGAAAATGGTGGAGTCACTCCCTTCGGAGTCTAATCCTAATCTGGCAATCAGTATACAGCGCTGATATTCATAAGAAGCACAAGTTCGCAAGTTCCATCCAAATGTTGAATTGTCTTCTAATTTCTGTTGCCCAAGACTCGAAAATGGAGCTTGAAGTATTGAACATATCCAATGCTGATCAGCTTCAAGTTAAGCTGGGAGAAACCCGGATTGTCAGCGCTGGTGACGCGATCTCCACAGCACTTGCCGTTCTTTCGACATGGCCCCTTTGGCGGTATGTCGTGACTACAATCCTCGGTGTAATCCTTTATGATCAAAGTACGTGATATTCATCTTGTCAAGTGAGCTCGACCTACTGACCTTTGCGGGCAGTCATGTACATCAAGCGCAAGGGGTCAATTGCGGGGCCCACCTTTAAGATCCCACTTATGGGCCCATTTCTTCAAGCCATCAACCCCAAGTTTGAATCGTATCTCGTGCAGTGGGCGAGTGGTCCACTCAGCTGTGTTTCTGTCTTCCATAAGTTCGTTATCTATCTCTCGACGAAAGAGACCCATCATTCATACTCACATTGGAAATTACAGGTTTGTCGTGCTCGCCTCCGACCGAGATATTGCCCACAAAGTGTTTAAGTCACCTTCATACGCCGAGCCGTGCATTGTTCCGATTGCAAAAGATTTGCTGGGTCGAAAGGCATGGGTTTTCCTGCAAGGCAGAGACCATGCGGAGTACCGAAGGGGACTCACGCCGTTGTTTACCAACAAGGCCATCTCTACCTACCTCCCCGTGCAAGACAGAGTTTTGGAACATTATTTTGACAAGTTCGTCGCGACAAGTGCAGAAAACTCCTTGCAGCCATCCTCTTTCATGCCTATGTTCCGCGAGATAAACTGCGCACTTTCTTGTCGCACATTCTTCGGTGAATACATATCTCAAGATGCCGTGAAGAGAATCGCCGACGATTTCTATCTTGTTACTGCTGCGATGGAGCTGGTCAACATTCCACTTTCAATGTACGTTCCGTTCACCAAGCCCTGGCTTGGGAAGAGAACGGCGGATGCTGTCCATGTTGAATTTGCGCAATGTGCCGCAGCATGCAAAGCAAACATGGCAATGGGCGCGAAGCCCACTTGTATCGTGGACCATTGGGTTCTTCACATGATGGAGTCAGAGCGATACCGGGAGAGAATTGCCGCCGGCGAAACAGATGTTGAGAAACCAACGAATCTGATTCGAGTGTTCACAAATGAGGAGATCGGCGAGACTCTTTTCACATTCCTCTTCGCGTCTCAAGACGCGTCTAGCAGTGCCACCACATGGCTATTTCAAGTCCTAGCTCAACGTCCGGATGTGCTCAATAGATTGCGAGAAGAGAATCTGGCTGCTCGCGGTGGCGATAAGAACAAATCATTTGACCTTCCTATGCTCGAGTCTCTCAACTACACCACCGCAGTAATCAAGGAACTTCTTCGCCACAGACCGCCAGTCATATTTGTACCTTACCTTGCGACGAAAGACTTTCCAGTTACACCTAATTATACAGTGCCAAAGGGGTCTATGATCATCCCCTCTTGCTATCCAGCACTGCATGACCCCAATGCTTACCCAGATCCCGATTCATTTGACCCCGATCGCTGGATTACCGGAGATGCCGAGTCCAAAACCAAGAACTGGTTGGTTTTCGGTGCGGGAGCGCATGATTGTCTTGCTAGAAGATATGTACCATTATCAATGGCTGGTATGATCGGGAAAGCAGCGCTCGAGCTGGATTGGAAGCATCATGCGACAGACAAATCGGAAGAGATCAAGGTTTTTGCGACACTATTCCCAATGGTAAGCCTTGGCTTTCATTCTGGGAAAGCCCGTTCTTCTGAACCTTGAGCTTTGCTAACCTTGGGTATTACAGGACGGATGCCAACTCGTTTTCACCAAACGCCAATAGGCTTACCACTATTAGTATATTTATTATTATTTGATTTAGATATAAATGTGTGTGCAGCACCTGGGCAAGCTTGAGAAGAGACGCTAATTAGTGGAGAATAATAATAGATTTCCTTATATTTTAAATCATTTATGAACGTAGTTCTTTCTGCTTTATTTTTTTATTTTATTTTTTATTTATTTTTGAAATGACTCTGGTCTACTACAATTATGCCACCCTCTTGACAACCATACTACTCGTATAACCAACTTTCAAGGAACGTCTCAAATTAACCGTAGCCAGGGCGTTATAATATCAAGAAGAATACTCTACTACAAACCTGGTGGTAGAGACCTTGCCGTAAGTGCTTGACTAAGTACCCGATTAGGTACCCAGGAAGATTTAAACCCCAATGTATATTCAATGAGATGTGTATTGAGAAAATACTCCAGCGCACAAAACTTGCTTATAATCAGTATTTACTACCACTGAACCGGTTGCCGCTATGGAGCGCCGCATACTAGTACTTAAAAGCGATGAAAATTGAGTGTGACAACCAAGTGAAAGAAAAGAAATTGTATTGTACATGGTCCCATTGTGTTCCCCTGAATATTCTAGCAACTCTCCCACAGAACCACTAGATCTCCCGCCGGTGGTGTATATACAAAGTCTTTAATCGGCCCCGGGCCCCCCTGCCACCAATTTAACTCATCATGTTGATATGCCGACCGAATCGGTGACGGGAAAGGTGTCGCGTTGATTTCTTCGACGAAGTCTCACTGGCCTTTCCATACACGCTCAGTGCCAAACTTCCACCACAGACCTGAGATGCGTCCCCATCGCATTTCATATTGCACTTATTGGCTGCAATTTTTGAGCTGGCTCCTAGATCAGTTCCACAGAAACATTCACCAGCATACTCCGTACCTGCCATCGAGAACCCGGCTTTCTTGCAGTAACTGATGCAAGCTGTGGAGGTTACTTTTCCTTCGCCAAGATCGGCAAATTCAACTCCATTCAGGACTCGAGCAGAGAGGTTATCGGAATAGCAGCCAAGGTATGACCACTCATCGGTATGGCTCTCATTTTCGGGGCTTTTCTCTGACGTCGCAGTGTCGGTATAGACTGCGGACTTGGCATTTGCCGTGGTCGAAGAACCGGTATCCTCTGATGAACTTGAGGAGCTACTAATTTTGCCTTGACCCCATCCTGATGGTGGATTGTCTCCTGGAAGCTTTTCAAGGACTCCAGAAATAGTCTCTGGAACTTGGTTCTTGATGTTGCAGGTTTTAGATGAATCATTGATTGTTCCAGCGTCGGCGCACTTGTCCATTCCGCTATCGCCAGCGTCGCAATTGTTGATGATTTTTTGCAAAACACTTTCATCCCAGCCAGCAATCTGTTTTTTCTTGTTAGTGATATATCCTATTACTTTTCTTACTATTGCCAACTCACAAAGTCTCCGTGAAGGGAATATCCAGTGCGATCACCATTAGCCAAGATAAAAGGCTGCGTGCCCTTGCCTTGCTCCCACAAGTCAGCAAAGAGAGGAGTATTCCAGTACACCTCATAAAAGATATGCGGAAGATGAATCCATCCTTCGGGGCAATTGGCCTTTCCAGAAGTCGTTCCTTTTCCACTTGGGAACGCCATGTTATTCTTATAATCGGTCAAGCCAGCCTTCGGGTTATAACACGAGGGAAAGTGGATGTCCGCACGCAATGGGGACGCAAATCCATCACAATTCGCATCTGGGAAGCCAGCACCAGCTCCTTTGTTGTTGGGGTCTTGAATACCAACGCCATGAAGCCCGTCGGAATTTTCAGGGTATGAAGGAGGGTCATAGGAGGTTCGAGGGCATGTCCATTGAACAGGTTGGATTTTCCCTTGATTTGTGTCCAGTACGTTTGCGGCTCCGCCCGCTGGTGGTGTTCGTAGGTCTTTGTCGCCGCTCATCATGCGGAGTCCAACGGGGAAGGGTTTGATCTCATCATCGGTTGGTTCGAAGCTATTTCACGACTCGGTTAGTGGGAGGATTTTTTAGTATGGTTTTGTGGGTGACAGACAAGTAGTAAACATTCATGTAGTAGAATGGAACCGCAATGAAGCTTCCATTAGTGGGATCCTGAAAATAAAGGGACGGTGTCCAATAGTTGCTCTTGTCCGCATCAACCAAGGACGAAGTGCACTGCGAGTCCATCAGGTCGTTATTACCCATCGTCAAGTTGAAGCTACTTCCGCCCTGAATAGCGTGCACATGGCTAGCCGGAACGCCAGGATTAACGATTGGATCCATGCGACCCTCCGTCAGAGGGCCTTGGCCGTAGAAGTGGTTGACGGCAAAGGTTCGAGCATCCTTTGCAGAGGCCAAGCGAAGCATTGCCGCGAAAAGAAGAGTTCGGATTTGGAGGTTCATTTTGAAAGTATTCACTCAAAAAGTGGGTAAGTCTCAAAAAAGGAAGGTTATGTTGACCGATCCAGCCGGTAGAATCAAAAGTGAATGAGCAAGGAAGAGAATGAATGGAACCGAGTAACCAGACTCGAAGTATCTTGAAGGAGTGAAATCTTGCAGTAAGTGAAATAGCAAGCGCCAAACTCTGCATGGAACCTCCTACTTTATAATAATCTCAGAGCCTCCCCTCCCCATTCAAGACGCAGATTGCCAGGATGTCAAACAATATGGCGTTCGGTAGGCAGTTTCCTTTGAAAGTAGATATTATGTATAACAAACTAGACATATTCAGGGTCCTTTCTCCACATTTGCTGTGAATGGCCAATCCTGCTCTTCGAAATTGTGGTGGTAGCGCCAGGGGTAGCGCCACGATCTTTGAAGGCGATAATGCATCTTCCCCGTTCGGTTAAGCGCCAGGTTCGCGTTTCAGGATCATGAAAACGAAACAAAGACCCTGGGCTGTTCCTTTTTAGGGAACTGCTCCTCTTGCATCAAGCGTATGGGTATGATTTAATTATATTACGCCATACCACTCATTCTCGGGGGGAAGCTACTCTACACTCGCAGTCCACTTGGTATGCGCAGTCCGCTTGGCTCCGAGACTGCCGAGCTCCTATCCCCCCCACTCATTAACCCGGCCCTGAGGTTGATTAACAGGGACTTTCAGCGCATTTTTACAGTGTAGTTTATTTAAGTTGCGAGTATTTATTTGCACAGAGTTTAAACACTAGTAGGTATACACCGCGGACACGTAGCAATAAGCTGGCCTGAACAGGGAGGTTATAAACAGCCACTTCTTTGTCTCCCCAATAGAATTAAGATGACGGCATATATCGCACTGAAGATCATTATCAGATTATATTGAACAAAGGATCTCAACGTTCAAGTTTCAAGTATTCTAGAATCTCCGAGTCCCCGGTAGTTATTGTTTGAGGTCAGCCCGTGATGGTTGGCTAGGGCTAGTTTCAACCAGTAAAGGCTCTAGAATGCCCAGCGGCCAGCGCCGGCGCCAGTGCCAGCACAAGTTGGTATCATTTTCCTGGTACTAAGTAGTTATTGGTAACTGACGACCGCTCGACGTGAAAACCTGGAGGAGGAAAGAAACTTGGACCAAGAAAAAAACGTCCGCCCCACCATGGCAATAGACTCGGCACACGTTGACACAACAAGACAGCCAAAACGAGACATCTCCTATCAATTAAATACTGGCAACTTCATAATATGTACAAATATGTATGTATTCGCGGAATACACGGCCAGACGACTGGTGAAAGCTATCCGTAATATGGAGCAGTCTGCCAGAACCGACAGCGGGGGTTATTAGTTGTATCCAGCATGACGGCGATAGTGTCATTTGCAATGTTCATGAGTTGCCCGCGGGTTCCAAAGCGCGGAAAGGTTGGGGCCAGTGATGATTTCGGGGTCCCTCCATATGTGAAACTGACAAACCAATCCTGCATCGCGTGAGCGACCGTCACATTAGTGACTGACACTCCTAGATTGGACGTCACCGAGCTGGTGCCATTGTCGGAGAAAGTATATAGGACATCTTGGCCATGCAGCCCCGGCGGAATGCTGAACTCATAGGCGTATGTCTGATTCTGGTATGCCCGATTAAGATAGTCGGTGTTGCACTCAAACGCCGCATCTGATAGCACAAGCGCGGCGCGGGCGAGTGGATTTGTATAGCCCCATTTGCCATCATACCGGGCGGGATAAAGGACATCGGTAATGTATCGAGTCACATTCGTCTGAATGTCCGGAAAGATGTCCTTCAGTATATTCGGCAGGTAGTTGGTCTTTGTCCCGTTTGGATTCACGAACGCAAGGCCCTCGTTGGTGTTATGACCGACCATGACACTGATGTTATGATCGAATTCGCCCGATAGCAGAAGTTGGCCCGGCAAGGCAGGCGCAAATGTGCCATCCACGACTGGTCCGTAGATAAAACTGCCATAGATGGCCTTCGTGCCAATCTGATACGCGTTTCCAGCAATCAGAGCTGCCGACGGTAGGCGGCGAGCCTCTGCAACTGAACTAACATTCAATGCTTCGAGAAATTGCTGCATAGTTTCCTCTTGGTGCTCGGGAGAGACGTTCGGGTTCCATCCTGGGCTTTGAATGATTGCTTGTTGAAATGGAGCTGAACCGTTTTTGCCGCCGTAGGCTGTGATCTGGTGCATGATAGATCCTGCCCCTGCTGATTCGCCCATAACTGTGACTCGGGATGGATCCCCTCCAAAAAGATGGATATTTTTCTGTATCCACTTGAGGGCGAGGTGTTGATCGTGTAAGCCGGCATTAGCAGTGCCGTCGGCAGTGAGGCTGCTCCCGGCCAGCCAACCGAATGCACCCAACTAAACAAAGTATGAGATAAAATGTTCAAAGGAAATGAAACCGCAATTTTTACTTACCCGATAATTTATTGCCACATACACGATCTCTTCTCCGCGAGCCTCACTTCGATCAATCAGCCCTTCGGGGTTGTATAGGGTCTTATCTCCCTCCGCGTAGCCACCGCCATAGATCCAAACCAGCACGGGCGCAAGTTTCTTTCTTTCGACAAAGTCCCTTTTCCTTTGATGAGCGCGGTGAAAAATCTTCTGTGGAACAATCACATCCAGGAACAGACAGTCCTCGGTTGTCCGGGGGGTCCACCTTATCCGGAATATACGGATAGGCGGAGATATCGGTTGACAGATTGAACTTGGTGCCGGCAAGAAGACTCAAAAGAAAGGCGGGCTCAATCTCTTCCTCCCAGATGGGCAGTGCCTGAGGGCAAACTCGGCCAGCCGAGCCATCTTGAATACGCGACCGGTTGAGTTTGGGCAACTCGGGGGCCCGAAAGCGCAGGTCACCTACCGGAGGTGCTGCATAACGGATATTGCTGAAATTGTACAGCCCATTTGCTTCCTGTTCGAATTATTAGCTGGAAGTTATTTTTGTGTCCATTAGAAGGAAGCTAACTCACATTCAACGTATTTGCCCTGTGTAATTCATATCCCAGGTCTACGACTGGCAAAGCTGCCCAGCAAAGGGACACCAGGGCTAGGAGTAGTAGGATGGCGGTCATATCAACAGACGGTGAAAATAAAAATTTCAACTCAGATCAACCAGACTCAACTCAACTCAGCACTTCCGCGCCGGCTATTTGAACTCCCAACTCACAGGGCATCAGGACCCATTCGTCACTGTGGAGTTGCACCCGGGCCGTCCGAGGGACCCAGAAAAATCCAATTTATGCAGCGGAAGTGGAGCTTAGAACATCTGGTCGAGAGTTTAATTTGCACAGGTTGCAGTTTGATGAGAATCAGCGGTCAATGGATGAGCCGGGGGGGTTCCTGGAAGTGGTATAAAACTGTGAGTTGGTGCAGCATTCTTCGTCGTTCGTTCCACGGCCGCATCCGCTGACGTCAACTAATCCGGCGATCCTCAGAATTTTCGCTTTTGACTCCGTCACGATAGCTTCGATTTGCTTGAAGTTGCATTTACGTGACTCTTTCTCTTTGTGTGGATCTGCATGAACAGATTTTTCGAGGTTCTGACTGGTCAGAATACTGTTGATATGGTTCTCTGGGCGGTAAAAGCAGCCGCCTCAGAAGAAATCAATTTTTAAATACTAGTAATTGCATGAACTGAGAAACTTGGTGTCATCCCAGGCACATGCATTCAAATTCAACCATGAAAGTTACAGCGGCTCCCGTCGGCCCCCAATGGCCCCAAGCTTAGGTACATCACCTGGACCTTGGTTGGGTTTGGATAATACGGACCCGCCATAAAGACCCTAAGCAAGGGGAAACCTTCTCCGCGATAGTTAACGCACGTCCAAGGAGACCCAAGTGGTAATATGCAATTATACAGCACTAAATAGGTCAGCACCCCATGGAAGAATATCCAAGATGCTGGTGAAAATCTAGAATTTATGTTTTTGATTCCTTATTATCGGCTTTGGGCAAGATCTGCATGACAACCACGTGGATGCTTCGCCCATTCCACATCCTCAACGATCATCCACCTCGCGGATCTTGTATTCGAACATCCCGTTCGAAGGCACATCATCACCATTCTGCAACTTATCTGCAGTCTCCACTCCAGCCGCAGGCACACGATATTCGAATCGCTTCCCTGGTGCAGGAAGAGTCCCGTCGGCCAGTGCATAAGGGAAAGGAAGATATTCAGGAAGCAGGCCTAACTGTACGAGCACTGTTGCCTGATCCCAGGCAATGTGCTCGTGGTACAATCGATCACCTCGGATATTCACTACGGAGGTGAATGGAATGCGCAGATGCTTGCCAGTCGGCGGAATACCCGGAATCCTGAATATTGAACAAGCGTCAGATTCCAAATCCACAGAAGAAAATGCAAAAGGCTGAAGAGGGGATGGTCACTCACAGCCAGTCAACTTGTTTCACATGAGTGAAGCTGAAAATAAATTCGTCCACCACGCGGTCTATACCAACGGTTCGGCTGACAAGATCAAGTCCCGTGTCGTCGGGGTTATTAAAGATAAAATGATGGAGGTAGAAATGGCTTAACCGAGCTCGACCGATGCCACCTGTCAGCTGTGACAGCCACGGACATATTCATTAGCTTGGTCCATCCCTTGCATTCCAACAAGTCTGGGGCAGGGACACTTTACCGTGGGGATATGGTTCACATAGGGCTCCTGCACCATCGTGGCCATGGTCTTCTCAACAGACCGGTCGCCGAATTCAAAGTAAGTGTGCTCATCCCAGATCTTTTCAAGATCAAAATTAGGCCCTCCAAGATGTTTCTTGAGGAACGTCAGGCTGCGGGTATGAGAGACCCCGGCTGTTGCATATTGAAAGTCGGGATGGCCCGGGATCACGAACCCTGGAGATGAGGCGTCGGCATAATGATATTGTATCTGCGAGTCAGTTTGTGAAAGCTTGCCGGGGCCTGACGCATGTAAAAGTTGTGGCAATTTATTGCTGATATCCAAGGAATCGAAGGAAAGCAGCGCGGCAAACTTCAGATTCTCATGATTGGCTAGCACTTCACGCAAGGTGGCCTCGAACTGAGATGTGTAGTCGGTCTTGGATCCGAAGACTGCATGAGAGGTCAGTGATTGTGGATTGCATTGCAAAGTTTCTTTCCTTCAAATTTACCTAGCAACCCGAACTGGCCCTGGGTACACTCCGGTAGAGCCGTCAGTCCATCCTGAGCTTCTTGCATCAGATTTTGTATAGCTGCCTTGTCCCCACTTAGCCCGGTATCAAGTGTGATTTGCGCTACCGCGAAGCTTTCTTCGGCCCATTTTTGGAGGGGCTCGGGGTCCAGGCTGGTGCTTTGTTGCTGATATCCCGCATAAATTGCTGGCCGGAGTAGAAGGAGTCCTGGTCCCTGTCCACAGCGAGAGAGCGGAGGCTGTACAACGATTTTGCCAGTGTCGCCCAATTGAACTGGCTTGGCAGAAGGTAACTCAGCTGCCATGTCCATTGCGATGCCAAAATAACAAAAAATCTCTGCAAGCTCTCTGTTGTTCCTGGGGTTTTAACAAGAGAAGCCCGCAGCCATTCCCCTCCTTCCCTGCCCCGCTTTTGGGGTAGAAGTGGACCACTCGCATCAACCCCATAACCAAACATTATGGCCTGGAGGATAAACTTCAGTCCTACTTCTCTCCATTAATTTGTTTATTTCTTCTTTTTCGCATTATCAGAATAGATAAATACATAAAATTGACGATGGGCGTGCTAGTAAGAACTTGCAGCATACGATGAGTTGAGCGATTAATAGTAGTATATGATAACAATATATAGCTGAAGTAAGTTACTACTAGGTACTAGTAGGTTCTCACGCAGTAGTTGTATTACTATTAGCACTATAAAAGGCACATCAATATTATTACACAGCTTTCCCGTATCTTTGCTCGTATATTTCAAGTTTATAGGCGGAGTAGGGGCTCCTGGCAGAACCCCGGGCAATTCGCTAACTGCACTACAAAAGGACCGCAAGTGTACTAGTATAAATAATAAAATTAAAATATGCTAAGATCTAGTATCTTGACGACGTCATGGTTTTTATACTCTGAAAATTTCAAGGTACTAATTGTGCCGTATTAAGCGTGTAATCCCCGGGTGTTTGGTGGGGGAGGTTTGTATTATTTACATAAACATTACACAGTAGCTCCCCCACTCACCGCTTTTGACATGGATGCGCATCTTCGCATCTTCACATCTTCTTTCATAACTTCATCTCTTCAGTTCGGCTAGTGGCTCCCTCGCATGAGCTTCCTCCAGTCTTCGTCATGAACAACGTCGTTCAGTCCTCACTGACTGACGTCGAATCTAAACTCAATGCGCTTTTGACCACTCTCACCCACTCTCCCACTGCCGCCGGAGCTCCAGCAGCAGCAGTCGCCCTGCTCAACGCTGACGACGGATTATCCTCCACCATTGAAACCCTCCGACGGCACCAAGAGAACTACGCAAAGATCCTGAACCTACGAAGCGAGGCGGAGGAGTTAGAAACTCGTGTCAAGGGCATTGTCGGTGATCTTGAAAGATTCGATAGAGAAATCCGCACAGCCTGCGACGACGAAAGCGACTCAGACTCGGACGCGGACGAACAAAACAACAATCGGGGCTCCATACGACTATCGCGAAAAGAGATCGATTACCGTTTACTATTGGACTTTGCGCGCCGCATTAGCAAATATAACCACGAAGCAGCAGCTGATGCTGCGAACGGTGCAGCAGGAAAGGGCCAAGCTACACGCCAACAGCTTCCGGACAAGGACGTGCAAATGTCAGGGATGAATGGCGATTCTATTGCAGATGATGAAAAGGAACCTGTGTCTTCGGTGACCAAAAACGCCACTCGGTGGCTGGACGACTCGGCAAACGTCACGCGTGAGGTGTATATGATGCCCTATCCAATGGAGGATCGCATTCGGATGGGATTGATGGGACAAGTTCAGTTGGCAGCTGGCCAGGACCCGGACAAAGAGGTGGAACGATTGATTCGAGAGGCAGAGGGACTTGGGGTAGCAGAAGCCCCTGCGCCGGTCCCCACTACGGATACAAGACAAGACGAGGCCGCGAAAGCTGCAGCCCAGGCTGGCTCTGTTGCTGCTAGTGCTCCACGCCCGCCACCGGCTGCTGCACCGGCTGCTGCACATGCGCCTGCGCCGAAGCCTAAACCCAAAGGTCTTTTGGACCTCGACCTCTACGATCCTGACGATGACGATGACTGAGCATTTTGTAGCGGTTTTGCTATGCGATTTCTTGTTTATGATACCACCTCCAGAGCCTAGCTCTCCATTAAAATCGCGAATACAAATATTGTTGGAACTTTCTGATTCGATTCTTGCTCGATGCTCTATAATCCGAAACTCGAATCTCGACACCTACATCTTGTGCACAGAAGACTTGGCTGTCCATCCCCTGAACTTCTTGCCGTACAGATAGAATGGAATCGCGAAGAGACACCATAGTGTACACAGACACATATTCAGCATGATCGGCTTTACAAATCCAGATTCCTCAACCCAGGGGGTGATGAATTTGCTAAATCCGTATCCCCAGACATTCTTGTTCACCGTGATGGACACGAATATCGAACCTGCCACGGGCTTGTAGCTGTCCACAGCGTATGTGCTAGCAATCGCCGGAAGTGCTGCAACTTGGATACCCGCTGCGGTATAGCCAATAATCACAATTGCCTGTGATGGTTAGCCTTCAGATCAATTGCCATGGCCATGACTCTTCGGAAATTACTCACCCGCCAATCCCATTTATACTCATAACCAAAAGCGACGACGAAATTTCCAATGATCATGATCACGACATAAACAGCCATGGCCGGCAGACGCATCTCTGGCTCTCGAATTCCCCTGTTCTTGCGAGTGGCTTTCATAGATATCCAATCCGAGAAGGGGCCATTGGTCGCAAGTCCAATAAAAGCGCCGATCAGAATGGCAAAATTGAAGAACCCAATAGTTTGACTGTTGAAGTTATACGGGGGCTCTGCGAATGCTTGGCTTTGCGTGAGATTCAGGGTCAAGAAGCAACTAGCAGACCAAGAAACGACAAAGGCAGCTAATTCCACGATGGGGAAGGTCAACAGCTTCCACGGAACCAAGAAGCTCGTCAGAACTGTTTTCGTGTTATTACCATCAAGTTGCCACAACTTGAACTGTTTCTTCGAAGGAGAGCCGCGGTGTAGATATGGATCACGGTCAGCAGCATCTTCGACCTCAACATTCTCCTTCTGATGTACCACGCCCGGCTTCTCTGGCTCGGAAGACACCCTCTGCGCTGCGTTTTGAGTTTCCTGTGTCTCATCGGCACGCGAGCGGTGCCATTTAGTTTCGGGGAAGAGGAATATCTGCAGTAGGAGGACGATGCCGAGAAATCCGACGTTCAGCCAGAAGAAGCTGCGCCATCCGACGTGCTCTGCCATTGGGCCTGCGATGATAGGGCCGACCTATTTCTGACATCAATTTGCTGTTCTTCTCGAATGGGGAGGGAGAAGGGCGCCGTACCATCAGCGAGCCAAAGTATGCGGTGAAATATAGGGTATTATAGGCACCCCGCTCGTGAAGGAACATGATATCCGTGATAATCTCGGGTTGGGAAGTCTGGTTCGATATGACATTTTAGACATGGAAGACCATAGTGTGAGAGAGAGTTACGAAAAATACATACCTCTGCAGGACCAGCGCCAAATCCATTCAATACACAGGCGCCCATGTAACTGCCATATGTATTTGCCTTTGCGCGCCAGATATTACTCACAAGGCAGATGAGGGTCGAGAAGATCAGAACAGGTCGTCGACCGAAAGAGGTTTGTATGGGAATCCTGCATCACTCAGCGGTAAGCTTAGTTTTGTAAAGTTCATGCTGGCAGATACCTACCAGAAGAAATTGCTGAATCCTAGAACAAGAATGCAGATGCCGGTAAACTGTACCACGCCGGCGAGATCCGAATTGAACGTCTCCATAAGCTGCGGAAACATTGGTGCTAATGCTAGCGGTCCCAATCCCTGGCTAAAGGAGGTCGCCGTAGAGATAGCCATGGCGCTCATCTTCCAGAATCGACTCCAATTCTAGTAAGATGTATATTCTGTTAGGGCTCATCACACACAGACACCAATGTACTCGATGGGCTCACCAGTGGATCATGAGGATCTTGTGATGGTTGTGGCACCAGCACTCGATCGGATTTCGCTGAAGACTTGACAAAGTGATGCGTGCCCACATCGGCCATGATCTCCGTACCCGGATAGATGGTTGTGCCCAATTCATCCTCGATTCTGAAACGATATCATTAGCAAGGGATGAGATATCGTGGAGCTGGGATCACGAACTGATGGAGAGTCTAAACCGCATAAACTATTAGCTTCCTAGATATAACGCGATAATTGCAATGGAGTAGTTACTTACACCTTCATCATAGTTCATCTCCATAGTGAATTGATTTGCGTGACAAGACGCTTTTCACTGATATAGGTTTGTTGTTGTCAAAAAGAATGTTCTGCCAAGCAAACGAAGCTCTTGTGTAACATTCGCGACCAGCACGACCCAGACTGGGATCGCAACGGTTTATGTTTCAAAAGACAAAGGGTCGACCGATCCCTACTCAGTGCGGAACTGACCCGGGATTTTCAATTCGACATCTACCGATGACTCGAGGACCGTGCTAGGATATAGGAGGAAGCTTTGGTGCCACTGAGTGGGCACCCCATAGTGGCGCAAACCAACCACTCACCACGTCTGATACGGAGGATTTGATACTGCGATTTCTTGGTAGGGACTAGTGAGCCTCTCCACCCCCAGATTCTTGAAAACCCCCGCACTTCCCTACCTACACATCGATATGTTCACCTCGGTCGCTTTGTACCTCACCCTCAAGTGGCGTTGCTAAAAGCTTGCTACTCGGCAATGCACCGCGGTATTTTGCCGCACTCGGCAGTGATGAGGCATTTGAAACTGCGCTCTATTGTTACTATATCAGCGATTCCATGGTAGAGGTGGGCCGGCGACACTAGTGATAATTTAAGCATAGCGAGTCCAGCTTTATGGAGCTAGTTAGAGGCTCCTTCTTTCTGATTTACTGAGCCAGGAATGAAATGATATAGAAACTAGGAAGGTACCACTTTTTCTGTTGATCTAAATGATTATTGGCCCCCACTGTCAATAACATAGCGGAGCAAACAATGGTTTATAGCCTTGTGGGACTCCGACCCATTAGGAAAAATCAATACTAGCGATGGTTAAGCGGGTTCCTCTCTTCAATTATTGAAGGGAGAAGAGGTGCATAACTCCATAGAAGGTCGCGATGACCCCACGAGGTGGAGACCTGACTTCAAGTCAAAAGGGGCTCGGGGATATTCCGCCTCCTTTCTCCGCAACGCCCCGATTCCGTACAATCTACTCAATATTTATTGTGCCTTTGAGAATGTACCGTTATTGACGATTCTTCTTCTTATCCGACCTGGGAACCGTCTAGCTGCTCCATATCTGTGGTTACCGACATGGATTGGCCATGTTGCAGACGGCGTGATTTGCTGTTCTACGTTACATGTGCCCGCTTATAGCTGAATGATGCTGACAAGGATATAGAGGTACCTCCCTAGGTAACTAATTAGCAGATTCATGTACTAGTTCCCTCTAATTTTACTTTCTAAAAATTCAGTATCGCTTTCTGGTAGAAAATGCAAAGATATTATTGTTGAGGCTAAGTAAGAGAGTCGAATATGGCGATACTAAAAATGTGTATATTGTAGAGGGAAAGAAGAAATAGGAAGCAAGCTGTAATTATCTAAGGACAAAGGTAGGAACCTAGATGCCTGAGGCGACTATGCCTCAACAATTAACTAACTACCATTATTCTGGATCTGACTGCAGCAAATTTATCCGGTGGGGAATTCAAGCCGAGGAATTTCTCTATTGTTGCTAGCATGGCCCGCTAGTGGCGTTCTGCGAGGAATCCAAATGGCTGGCTATCTCGGGCCCTATTAAACCCGGGTTCGTCTTGGACTAGGTACTTAATTCTTGCAGGATACAAGCGTCGGGGCCAAAATGACAGCCGCATCTCACAATGGCAAACCCAGAGACTTCTTCACCTGTCACTCCCGGACTCAAGGCCCATGATGGAGCCAGAGCCGTCCGATAACAAGAGCGCTATTGAATACCCAGGGCTTCCCGCACAAGGCAGTCCCGAGTTTAAATATGTGATTTCCCGTGAGTGCTGCTTCAAGACCATTAGGTCGAACCAGCGTCGGTTCCTCGTCGCTGAACCCCGCAGCGTCGCAGCACCCCGATGAAAATCGCCACGCACCTGCTACACTCCAGTCCCAGAATCGGCAACGGGAAAGGCAAGAGAGCACTAGGCGCCATGCTCCTTATGTCTCATTTGGCGATCGCGGGATAACAGCCAGTGCCGGCGCATATGGTCAGCTACTACGCATTTGCCGTCCCATCCAGGACAGGCAGAGGGGCCAACTCCACTCGGGTTTGATCGGGCTAGGACCCGCCGAAGAATCAGAGGCATGGTATATCCATGGGCGCGCATCGGAGTTTCTGGAGAACTCTCGGGTTTCCGCCAGAGGAATTGGTTTGCGAATCTTAAACTCCCCTTCCTCTGAGCCACCCACAGTTGAGTTTTTGGAAGACCGCTGGCCGATAATATCATATAGAACCAAGGCAGGAGTCACCATCACTGTCAGTCTATGGTGCCATAACGGCCTAGTTGTGCAGCAGATGCAGGCGATAAATACCTTGAATACGGGTGAGCACCTTCAACTGGAGCTTAATGCAGACTTCAGTCTACAAGACCTTGACTATCAAAAGAAGAGAGAGAAATTACAAGTGCGTCAAGCCAGTGGACCCCATGGATTTGGAGTTGTTACATTGGAAGATAGTCCTGATTATCCAATTGACCAAGAACGCATCTGCGTGCTTTTGGGCCTGTTCAAGGATGGAAAGCCACAGAAAACATTATTTGACAAGGACGAGGAAGATCCATATATCAAACCGTCATCTCTGACCTTTAGGCACGAATTTGAGGGACCGAATGTTGTGGAATTCACTGTGGCCATTAAGATTCAAATGAGCACTTCCTCTGCTCAGTGGCAATCATTTCTAATTCAGCCCGATGATCTCATATTCGACTCTCAGGTCGAGAAAGCTGAAGACCAAAATGCGTCTTTGTCAAATGATCGGGTTCTGAATTGGCATTTCCGCCGTAACCTTGAACACATTCTATCCGTCTGCAGTATCCCATTGGATTCAAGTTTATTCAAAAGCCAAGCCACCTCGGGACTTGCGGGGACAAAGAATGAAGATCCCATGACAAAGACGATAAAGATACTGGGCATTGACGCAGATGAAACATATCTCGAACACAATGATGAACCAGTAGATGAAACAGAGCATCTCACCGGCCCGATGATAAAGCTACAAACACCAGACGGAGAAGAGCATGTTCTTCATCGAAGTGCGCCATCCCAAGACAGAATTGGGCCAGTGGCACTCACATGTGGCGATTTTGGTGATCATCGAATCAGTGTGTCAGGAAGCTAGTAAGAATCAGCGCTCGCTCACCTCTTCTCGAAAGTTATCTGCCTCAGAATCTAACGGTTTGAAAATAGTTTTGCATTCATGTTCATGCTGGAGATGTATCCAAGACTCTCTAGGACACCAAAGCTAAGAAAACGAATTTATTCAACATGCAAGGGACACCTCGAATGGGTGTCGAAGTTGTGTCTTGAAGAAGCCTGTTCTTCTAACATTGGAATCCATGGCAAAAAGATGGACGATAGATCCGGTGACACGGAACTCCCACCAAATAACCCGACCAATATCCCCGGACACATCCTCAAAGCATTGCAATATCTCACGGTATTTCACGATACTGAGGACTTGCTTTTCGTATGCAGTTGGCTGGGCGGGTTTGCCTTGAAATGGTTCCGAAAGTTGGCCCAGGATAAGAACCCGCTCACCCCGACATGGCAGCACTTGGATGACTCGGAAATTCCATTATATCGTTTGAGCGACCATGTTTGGATATGGAAGGCTTTTGAAGGTATTGAACAGTTGATCCAACATGTCGAGAATACACAAAGCAAAATGCCTCACAAGACTTGGGAAGAATTCCTTCGCATCACTAGGCATCTTCCACATCGAGCGACGCGAAAGTTTAGTGATGATTTCATTCTTGACTTCACAGCCGAAGAAATAAGACAACAGAATCTTGGCCGCTTTTCAGTAGAGAACGATATTCTCAAGAAGCGCATGCTTAGTGTTACCAGAAGTGCTCGTGAGACCCGCTTCCTGCTGCATTCTAGAGACACTGTCTTGTACTACGGCCTTGATTGGGGATTCTTCAGTGGGGCGAAATTGGTTTGGGAGCAGCTTGCCAAAGCACAGACTCAACATAATGAGGTCAACAATGATGAACCCCAATGGGATAACCCACTTCGCTACGGGCTAGCGATCGAAATGGCTAAAGAGGGTCATCGCCTTGAGCGCACCCTCGCGCCAGTTGAGATGTTCGACCATGCCCAAGATATCATCTTGAAATCTTCGTCCGAAAATGGTCTTTTCCCGGGACAGCTGGATGATTTCAGCAAAGAGCCTGCACTCTTTGATCGGGAGCTCTTCCGCGACTTCTATTTCCACGTCGGCTTTGAGATCCCATATATTCTCCTGCGAACCATAGAGCAGCCAGGACAACAAATTTCTGAAATGCCTCCGAAAACACCCGGACAGAGGAGACCTCGATCTGAAACGCGGGAATCACCAGTTCAGAGGAAAAGAGAGCTGTCGCCGATGCCAGAGCCGGTAGTCGGGACTGTACCCGGATACGTCAATACGCAAGACGGCAGAGCATTCGCAACCCAGCGTACTTTGAAGCAACTAACCCCATACGGAAGGATCGCTGATTTGAGCAATATAGTTGATGTGCCTGAAGAATGGATTTATCGCCAACAGGATTTCCTTAGCTTCATCCCACCGGCGGATCAACCGACGCTCGATCTTCTTCAAAGCGAAGCTCCTAGTGAGATTAAGAAAGCCATGGAACAATATCTATTCAGAAATGCTATTGACCGGACAGTCACAAATGTTCCACCTCGTGGCAATTGCCATGTGTCAATCAGCGATGTACGCAAGGACCGAAAGGAGAGAAAGTGGTCCGTCGAAGAGAGATCCGCTACCTATTCGATTTTAACATACAAAGAGCTTTGGTTTAGACTCCAGAAAAGACGAAATGCCGAATATAGCAAAAAGAGGCTAATTTACTTGAGATCTCCGGACTACATTGTCGCTTCTTTATGCTACGTTGCATCCCCAGAGCTCGAAAGGGGCAACGTTGCGCAATTCTTCGACCGGCATGCCAAAGTTCACGCAAACTGGCTCTATGATGACACTGCGGCTGTGCTTAATAGCTGGATAACAGAGGTTCACTTCCGATTTTTTCAAGTTATGTCAGCCGATGTCGGCGAAATTCCTTCGCAAGAACCGACACCTATTCGGCAGATCAAGTCGCAACGATGTGGTATATCGGGTGATAATGCATACCTCGTTGATGCCATAATCAGCTTTCGCATATCTGGTGATTTCTTTGATCGCTACTGGACTTGCTATGTAGCTCAGCAATTTGCAAATCCCAAAGACCTTGAGTCCCCTCTCATAAGTGATCTCCTTGACCAAACTGCGCATTGGCAACAGAGGAAGGTGTTGGAGCTCATATTGATGAATCTCGTTCTGGAGAAAGTATCCACCAGTACCAGTTTGATTCTTCGACGAATCCAACGAGGCGCTGGGAATAAAACATCTGATGTGGAAGAAAAATACTTCTCTAAAGATAGTTTTGAGGATCGAAAGCTCGGAGAACTTCGAGAATGTTTTCAACTCCTTGCCATCCTGCAAGATAATATCGCCAGTTTACAGAGTCTCATCGAGCAATGGAACAGCAGGGAAAGCTCGCGGGGACGTGAACGACCACGCTGGACACGCAGCGATGAGCAGAAATATCGAAAGCTGATCAACCAAAAGACGGCTCAATTTGAAGATCAAAACCGGCGTATCAAAGGCATTGCAGCGACGATCGAGTTCCTCATTGTACTGGTGACAAATGCCCAGCATGCGATCAGGGCTGAAAAGTCGCTTCGCGAAGCTGAGAATATCACTCTTTTTACATATGTGACTGTTTTCTTCTTGCCTGTCGGCTTAGCTGTGAGTGTTTTCGGCATGAACGGGATACCTGATCGTACCACGATCGTATCAATGCTCGTCACGGCAGCAGTTGCTCTGCTAATCACAGTTGGTGTGCTCTGGCTCGTTCTCAGCCATCTGATTTCCTTCGGGTTCCGCAGTGCGTTCTCGGTATTCAAAACTAGAACTAGTCTGCAGAGGCCGGTAGATTTTGACGGCGGGGGGGCCGCAGGAAGAATACCCCAACCAAAGGATTCGTCGACGGCTATCTCTTGCGTATAATTCACCTTCGAAATTGAGGAAATACGATCGTGATCTGGAAGGCCAGTTAGAATTGACCCGGAAGGAGAGATTGAGTACTTCGGACGAAAGATCTTCCGAATAGTATATGAATGTTCTCAGATTCCAATGTTTATTTCAAGGCGATTTGCGACACGCCAGCGAATGTCAATTATTCGAAATAATGACTCATTTTGATAATGACATTGAATTAGAGCTGAAACCAATATCGTGAAGGACTTGATGTATGTCCGTCTATCTGAAGATATTTCTGAAATGAAACGAGGAAGCACACTGTCATCGATTCCAGGACGCTTCCAACTTTGTAACAATGTATTCTGTAGCCCAGCCAAGCTCGGCCTCAACTCCCCGGAGGAGATTGAGAATTATTTGATGCTCATCAGGGGTCTCGAGACATTGACCAAGTGCAAGCAGTACCGGGACCATGTGAACCCGTACATCACCTTGTGGGCGGCCCAATGCAATTCCGCAAGCTTCACGAGTGCGATATTCTACTTCTTTGGTGACCTCTCGATAGCCCTGTAAACGATCAAATGCCGTGCTTGGGGCACTAACAACGTCTTCAGGTTGGTTTATCAATAGAGCGATTCTGCCAAAGTGATAGTGTTGCATAGTGGCAGCACATGTCGAAAGGCTGAAAAAGACCTCAGGGAAGGGCAACCTGATATTTTCAGATGGGTGTGAGAAGTCTCTTGGGTGATCGATCCGCACACAGGGCCGGAAAGTCTCAGGTACACGCTCAAACCAAGTTTGAAAATCAAAGCAAAGATCAAGCCAAGTACTTGCACTCTGATCAGCACTTCCTGGGGATTCCTGGTTTCCAGCTGGCCTATTAGATGGCGACCCGGTCCACTGTGCAATCTGCGATTGCTTAGATTCTGCTAGAAAGTTGATGACCTTGGAGACCAGCCAGCAGATCCCGTTCGCTGCCTGGTCTTCCTGGGAGAGATTGCTTGAGCCGTATAGGCTTATCTGGAATTTTTCGTTTTCGTCGATAGAAATTCCTGCAGCTCGCCACATGGGGAGATTTGTTGGGTCGAAGTGAGTCGGACATCGTGTAAAATACGAGCCGAGGTAGTCTTGGCGAGCAAGGTTCCAGAAACAGGCACGAATGCCGTGGGTGAATGCCGTCAGGTTCAATTGATCTACACTCATTAGGGTCTCGAAGACACCGCGAATACCAGTAAGGTGCCTAGATGAATTATCAGCCCGGTTTCCAGGTAAAGACTGAGTTCAAGAAACTGACGTGGGCCATTGATCGCCATCTGCATCAAGAAGCTTATAGAATATCAAAAGTACCGCTGTTGCCAAAATTTCCTCTGTTTTCCGAAGAAATTTGCCACCATTGGAGGGATCTCGTGTGCCTCCTTGCAAAACGGACACTTTTAGCCATCGGCTGACTATCTCGATAGGCGATTCTAAGACGGCTGAGCTGTGTGCGCTGTAGCCAAAGGAGGAGGAGTTATTCATGTCTGATGCCGCCATATAATAGTAGTTAGCAGCTTTGAGGAACCAGTCAGTCTCGGCTGCATTGGGGTACATCTCAGTTGTAGCCGAGCTGGTGAACATGCCCCCTCCAGCCGACAATTTATTTCCTTTCACGCGACCTAATTGTTTCGCAGCCAAAGCTGCAATGGCGTACTTCAGCGACGGGGAATTGATGGCTCTTATTGGCACGTAGACCGAGAAAAACTTGGTTGAATCAGAGAGATCTAACCAAGGGGCAATTATCTCTGTGAAGTGACGGGATAGGAATGCGAGTTCGTGCTCCGAGCCCGTCGTTAGCTCCGAGAAGATGTCTTGAAATTCTTCCTTCTCACTCCGCTGGGATACACTTTCTGAAGACATATATCTTTCGCGTTGTGATTGACCGACAGAGGCCTTGTTGTATGTAGATTCAGAAGCCGGGGTGCGTCCCGTTGTGGCATTCGGCGATATTGAGTCCACGATTGGACTTCGGGCGGCACCACTGGTAGCAGATTGATTCAGACGAGAGCCGGAGGGAGCACTTATGTCATCAAAAACCTGGAATTGACTTTGTAAAGATCCCATCTCCGGTTGAAGCGATGAGCCGGCCTGAGCCGGTTGGGAAGGATGGCTTGAAATAGCTCTAGCCTCGTCTCTCTGAGAGCTAAGGCCCGACCGGGGCATCTCCGTACCCGAAGGACCTTCTAATTGCTCAGCAGAAGGATCTGATGGAATATTTACATGCTGAGTTTGACTTTTGTGATCTTCGGAGCTCTGGCCCAGATGTTAGCTTCTCGTTCATGCAGATCGAAGATATATGACCCACTTCACCGGGCTTCGCGTGTGGATACGGAGCATACCGGCGCCGTACTGATGCTCCTTGGTCGATAAACTTTCGAGTTTGAACATACCCGGGGCATTCCACGCCAGCGGCTTCACATCGTTCACAATGCGGGCGAGTCTCATCACACTGGTGACGTTAGGAAAAGCCTCCCTTCATCCTGGTTTTGAAGTGAATCAGTACAAACCTTCAGATGCCGCTTCTTGCATCTCTCGCAAGCTTTATTGGAGGGGACTCCGGGCATTGCTGAATTTGACAGGGCTTAGCGATTCTTCTGGAAGTGCGTGTCGGGTGTTGAGGTCATCCACGATTCACAAATGGCGGTTCCTCTTCTTTAGCGCATGTCAATTCGGGACAATCTCACACGGGATATAGTATACACATGTATTACATGCCGTAGATGACAATCAGGGCAATAATGACGGCAGTGACCATTCAAGTACAAGGGCCGAAAGGCTCAAGGGTCCAGCCGAAGACGAAGGAGCAAATGCTAAATGATGATTATGTCATTCGGCCCGATCTCGGCAGATTCTCGGCAATCAAAGGTAGTCAAAAGGGGTTGTCGTCCCGACTTGCATTCGGTATTCTCTACAAGACTCTATCCAAGTGATAAGATGCTTGAATAGAGATTTCTTCGAGACACATTTTACATATTATCAGCCGGAAAGGAAACCCCATTATTGGAAGTGCGCTTTCTCCGACAACTGCCATCCAGGATCGTAGTATGCAAGAGAAGATTTTGCTGTAGTTAATTGATACGAGACAAATCTTAAAATCTATCCTTTTTAGTTAACCGCCTACAAGCTTGTGATCATAGGTATCAACATTGGACATGTCAAGGTGATCTTAGTAGTATTCTAAATTGTAGTGTAGTTAGTAGTACTACTAATGGCAAATATAGTATATCCCATCGGAAAGAAGACCGACCAACTAATACCGGAATACAGCTAGTACCAGGTAACAATATGAGGGGAAACTTCCAACCTTGGAAGGATGAATAATACTAATAGCAGAAATCAATTGATTGTTGTCATTTTTCACACGAGTAGATATTTTTAAATACCTATAACTCGAAGCGAACTCTCTGATTTAGATAGTTGCTGGTCGGCCAACTGTTTGTTGTTCCCGTGCCCCAACAACCATCACCACTCCCACTTCTCTGAGTCTCACCACTATTACTCACCTACCTCCCACCTATTTCTCCGTACTCAACAACTGCCCATTTTAATTCCGACGTCGCGCGAAGAGGTTACATGAGGGCCCAGTACTTCCCCACTTTCAATTTCGCGGGGCCTCATTCCCCGCAGCTCGGAGATACTGGGGGAGACCAACAATTCGCCCAACTCGCCAGGGATCGGCACATAGGCCAGGAACCCGGCGGGTGACCCCTTCTTTTATGAACTCGCCCTATCTCTTTTGGGCATCTCTATCGCTCATCCCTGCGGCCGATACCGCTTTTTCACTCGTCATGGCACGGAGAAAATCAAGTGCACGCGGTGTCGGTCACGGCTGCCCGCGCAGAGGTCACACGCGACGTGGCTGGGCGATGTACTCAATGTTACCTTCGCTCTTACAACATGTGGGCTTTTTGCTACACAATCGGTCGAATCAACGATGAAACAGTCTTCATTTGAGGGGGAAATACCGAGATTTTTCCTCAAGCATAGTATGCGCCTTGCCGATCCGTTCGCGAGGAATGCTCGTAAATAAGAGAGCATCGATCCGACGTGCACCACGCGCTCAACCTCGAATTTCGTTTTCCCCCCCTCTCGCTGATTGAATTTGCGCTCTTGCAGCCCATAATTCATCCTGCGGTTCGTCATGGGCCCACGACTGCTTCCCCGTGTGGAGGCATTTGGTGCCATCGCCGCGGTTTTGTATGGTTCTGTTGCTCTAAATACACAGGTGGCATTGGCGGACAACTTCGATCCTCTGGACTATGTCGATCCTTTGATCGGGACAGCTAATGGAGGTATGCCTCAATAGGCGGTTCTACAACTACGATTGATATTCTAACTAATGCCTGATTTAGGCCATGTTTTTCCCGGCGCAACACTACCCTTTGGTGAGTCGTTCGAATGGACACAATTGGAGCATGCTGCTCACAGACGATAGGCATGGCCAAAGCTGTTGCCGATACAATCGGTGAGAACCAGGCGGGCTTCGCTTTCGATACGACTGTTGTTTCGGGATTCTCGCACATGCACGATTCGGGCACTGGTGGCGTATGATTCTCTCCTCCTTAGTGAAAAGCTCTTTACATTGACAATATCAGTCACCTTCTATGGGAAACTTCCCCATATTTGCCCAACCATCGTGTCCGAACGACGATCTCAATCAATGCAAGTGGCAGCTCAACGACAGAGCCTCGACATGGAAGAGAGACTCGCCGAAGGCTCGCCCGGGATACTTTGGCATATCCCTCGACAATGGTGTTCACGCTGAAATGACAACAACAAATCGCTCAGCACTATATCGATTCACCTTCGAGGAGACTTCGGCCGACGCGTTGAGCCCTGTGATCCTGGTTGACTTGATTGATCTACCACAGTCACGAACGAATGGTACCGCCGACGTGAACAAATCAACTGGCCGACTGACTGGCAATGGCACATTCAACCCCAGCTTTGGAATTGGAAGCTATGATCTTCATTTCTGCGTCGACTTTAAGGGCGCTGAGCTTCGCGATACTGGAGTCTGGACTAAGAATCGCGCAAACTTCAGCCGCGAAAGTGTTACTCTTGCAGCTGATGGGACCAACACCCCAGCGACACTCTCCGCTGGTACATTTGCCCGATTCCATGCACCCAAGGACAACACGATACTCGCTCGTGTCGGTGTCAGCTTCCTTAATGTCAATCAAGCATGCGAAAATGCAGAGCGTGAGCAGCCTGATTTCGACTTCGAGGGAACTGTCTCTGCTGCTGAGGCTGCTTGGAGAAAGAAACTGGACGTCATCTCCGTGAATGCCGAGGGAGTTTCCGCCGATTTGCAAAAGGTCTTCTGGAGTGGAGCCTACCGCACCATGATCAGCCCCCAGGATTATACGGGTGAAAACCCGCTATGGAAGAGCGATGAGCCGTACTATGACAGTTATTACTGGTAAGAGACTTATCACATAGATTGGTCAACCGGAATTTCCAGCTAACCTGAGATTATCCAGCATCTGGGACTCATATCGCAGTATCCACCCTCTATTGACTTTGGTCGATCCTCTTTCACAGTCCCTAATGCTGCGAAGTCTGATTGATATCTACCGCAATGAAGGCTATCTACCCGACTGCCGCATGTCGCTCTGCAAGGGCTTCACCCAGGGCGGCTCTAATGCCGATGTAGTGGTAGCTGATGCTTACCTAAAGAAGATTCCAGGTATCGATTGGGATACCGCCTACGAGGCTGTGGTCAAGGATGCAGAGATTGAGCCGGCCAACTGGAATGTCGAAGGCCGCGGCGGCCTACACAGCTGGAAGAGCCTCGGATATATCCCGACCGACGACTATGACCCTTATGGTGTTGGAACACACACGCGGAGTATCTCTCGTACGGTCGAGTATGCATACAATGATTTCTGTATTGCTGAGATGGCCCACGGGATGGGTCACAAGGAAGATTATGAGAAGTACCTGGGACGCTCCGGTAACTGGGTGAACATGTACAAAGCAGACCAAAAGTCCAGCATTCAGGGCGCCGACACCAACTTTACTGGCTTCTTGCAGCCTCGTTACACGAACGGAACATGGGGGTACCAAGATCCAATCTTTTGCAGTCCTCTGCTTAACTTCACCTCCTGCTATCTCAACCCCGACGGACACGAGACTTATGAGGGAAGTGCTTGGCTCTATACTTTGTAGGTGACATCTTTCCATCATCAACGAGAAAAAGGAAGGAAATCGCTAATTCTTTTTTGCTTCGCAGCTATGCACCCCATGACATGGGATCCCTCGTTCAGACTCTCGGTGGTGCTGAGGAATTCACGAAGCGTCTGACTTACTTCCACGAGTCTGGCCTTCTCTATGTGGGCGATGAACAGGCATTCCTGCCGGTCTACCAGTTTCATTATGCCGGCAGACCCGGTCTGTCCGCCAAGTACAACCACTTCTACATTCCCTCCCAATTCAACACTACTGTCGCTGGTATTGCGGGTAATGACGATAGTGGAGCGATGGGATCATATGTGGTCCTTAGCATGATGGGTCTCTGGCCCGTTCCAGGCCAGGACGTATATCTGATTACACCCCCATACTTCAAAGAAGTGAGCATTCGCAATGGCATCACAGGAAAACTGGCGACCATCCGCAATGTCAACTTCGACCCCAGCTACAAATCCATCTACGTCCAGAGCGCCAAGCTGAATGGCAAGGAATGGACCAAGAACTGGGTTACACACGACTTCTGGACTGAAGGAGGAGTTCTGGAACTGACTTTGGGATCCGAAGAGAGTGACTGGGGCACTAAGATGGAGGATCTTCCTCCTAGTATCAGCAACTATCATGCTTGAGCTTCTCCTGCATCAAAGCAAAGCTCATTGGTTATGCCGGTCGATCAAGCAATGTTTATAGTGTGAGACCTTGTTCGATAGCCAGACATGAATATTATTAAATATTCGCAATTCAATTCCCTGGTCATATTAAAGTAGTTTTCCTCGAAGCCATCTCGAGTTGTCCCCAATTCTCATCTATACCAAGTCAAGTTGAACCATCCATCACTTTTTAACTCTTTCCACTTCAACTTCCACCCTTTCCTTCACCTCACCGACACCTTCCCTCTCGATAAGCCATCTTACCTTCTTCAAATATCTCATCTAAATCCTCTCAATCAAAGTCTGTGACTCTTCAACCAATGGCAGACCCTTTCATTCTGTCCTTCCAAATGGTGTTCTGCCTCAAATCTGAGGTGTCGATCGGAGATCCTCCGGCGATTCCTAGCAATATGAGTGTCACTCCACAACCCCCACCGACCGTGAAATGGGATATGAGAGGGAATGTAGAGGCAAAGGACACAGTCATGTCTTCACCAGAACCACCCAGTATCACTCGACAGAGTGGCTTATATGAGACCGAACACCGCACAATCCCGGAGTTGTCTTGCAAAGAGTGTCGTCGCAGGAAATCAAAGGTAAGACGCAACCCCCTCATCTCTTGCATTGTTCTACATTAGAATATACACTGACACTGACTGAATCAAGTGTGACCGTCAAACTCCAAAGTGCACATTGTGCGTGAGAAAGAATCGTACTTGTGAATACGGAGCTAAGAGTCGGCCTCTGACCCGTCGCTATGTGACAGAGTTGGAGAGTGCACTCCTCAGCCTTCAGCAAAGTTTGCCAACACAAGGTGATTCCAACATTTATTTAGACCTCAACAACTCTAATTTGGGCGAGGCGACCGGCCAGCGCAATCGCTCTGTCGATATTTCCCACTCCCCTCTTCACTCAGGGGCGACAACCGACCAACAACCCCATTCTCGCTGTCAGATTGCTGGCCCTGTTGGCATGACACAAACTCCACGGGCGTCCGAAATTAGAGGAAGGGTTAGAAAGAGATCGATCAGTCAAGTCAACATGCCTCTTGAATCCTCCCCTCTGTCCGGCAACTGGGAATGGGATGAACGAGCTGGCCGGGCGAATGGAAACGAATTTGTTGATGGCATGGCCAGTTTGACAAGCGATCCAAATGGAGGTGGTTATCTTGGTAAGTGACTCTACTTGTGCGGAGGGATTGTCCACTAATTGACGACTAGGGGTTGCGTCTGGCGCTGCATTGCTGCGAGTCACTGACCCGAATCCAAACGGACCGAAAGATCAAATTGTATCAGCCCAGAATATCGAGCCGTCAAATATCCCAGCCTCGAGCATTCCATATTCATCGGAATCTCTTGGTGAGCTGGAACCTTTCGTCAAAAAATACTTCGACGTATTTCACAAATCCTACCCTATCGTCCACGAGGCCACTTTTCGAGCGCAGTTCATGCATGTACTTCCGCGACCAAAAACAAAGGCCTGGGAAGTACTCTTGTTTGTAGTAGCTGCCGTGGGTGCTTTCACTGCGTCAACACAACCTTCGCAGGAAGACGTGGGTCTCTTTGAAGCCGCGAAGGCACGCATGTCATTCGACATGCTAGAGACTGGCAACATTCATCTCGTGCAAGCGTTGACTCTCATCTCGAACTACATGCAAAAACGGAATAAGCCAAATTCGGGCTACCATTACATGGGTCTAGCTCGGCGTACTGCGATGGCTATCGGTCTGCACAAGGAAATACAATCACCGGTAATGAATCTTTTCGAAAGGGAAATGCGGCGTCGAATCTGGCACTGTCTCTACATATTTGACGTCGGTGCTATCATTACGTTTTCGAGACCTCTCGACTTTCCTTCCAATGGCGTTGATGCAGAACTGCCAATGGATGTACATGATACGGTAAGGACCTGGATCCTTTGGTTTTCATCCTACTTCATACTAAATATTCGATCTTCATAATAGGCCATTACACAAGGGACAAGGACAACGCCACAGTTTTCCACAGAGACAACGATCTACACTCATATGCGAGCCCAGGTCTCCTTTCACATGGTAACAAGTGAAATATACTCGAGGATGATTTCCACGTCTTTCCCGTCAGCATCAGAGCTGATAGAGGCGGATGACCGATTGATTTCACATTGGCTATCATCTCTACCTCCTCATTTCCAAGAAGACGCCACTCAAAACGTGACATTCAGACTCTGCCATTCCATCTTACGATGGCGATACCGAAATTTCCGAACTCTCATGTATCGACCAATTCTCATTCGACGCGTTATGTCCCGACGTGGTCAAATCTCTACCAGTGGCGAAGAAAGTAACCACCACGAGGACATTTCCATCGAGAGGTGTCTGCAGGCAGCACGTGAGTCTGTGCAGCTGATCTCGACTTACTGGTTAAACGAGAGTAAGAATACGATGACTTGCTGGTACGGACTGTACTTCCTATTCCAGGCTGTACTTATTCCGATTTACTGCCTCCGAAATGATCCGCAGTGTGCAGCGGCCGACGAGTGGCGTGAACAGATTGGTCAAGCTATGCGAACGATCGAGTCGATGGCTCAGATCATCGAATCAGCCTCTCTGTTCCTGGAGAAAATTCGTTCCGTTTGTGGGCAATATCTGAATTACTCTCTTGATGGGTGGGGGGGTTCCGACTGAGGAGTCCCCGCAGACACAGATTGCCAATCTCTACCCATTGATGTGGCCAAATCTGGATATCACACACATGGATGGCTTTGATACGTCTCTGTAGGTGATTATGACTTACATGCTATCGTGAATACGGGCATTAATGAAATTATTTCACAGCCAAGCTTCAACGATCACCGATTTCATGAACCAAATTCCAGGTTTCGAATGATAGATGGACATTGGATGAGAGATGTGGGCTTCAGGTAAATATGGGACTGGCCAGCTTTAACAATGCTTTTCAATATGCATATTTCGGGCGGGCATAAATCTGGTTTATCGTACGCGCACAATGGATTGACTAGTATCTTTGATAATTTGTATACCATCACCGTAGCTGAGCAGTTAGTCTACCACGTGGAGCAGGCGATATCCGTAGTCTATGGCAATTCACACCTGGGGCCCAGCATCCTTTTTTGGATAACAATTACCTGCTCACTCCGTGTTGGCAATATTCAGATTGTTGTCCGGTACTAGAGACGAAGCCACCTGCTAATAAGTTACTAGCTAGTAATATTCCCGGGCAGTGTCATTTAGGTGACACCAGAAACTCAGAGGCCCTGCAAACAGAGCGATGAACCCCTGAAAACCTAAATCTATTCTCTGAGATATTATTTTGCTCTTGATTTTGGAGAAGTTAATTGGATACATTTTATGTCTAAGGTAGAGTATAACCCCCGTCCATCACGATGTTGGAACCGGTCATATATGATGAGGCGTCGGATGCGCAGAAGACATACGCCTGTATCTATGTTTAGTTCAAGACCTTGAATACAGACTCGGGTATACTCACTCCTTTAAGCTCATATGTTTGCGCCATTCGATTGGCAGGGATCATACTGAGCCATTTCTCACGCCACTCAAGGGGGTGGATGTCAAGGATATCGGTCGCGATAAAACCTGGCGAGATGCAATTTACACGGGCAAAATCAACCCACTCAACAGCGAGACATTTGGCAAGTTGAACAACGCCAGCCTTGGAAGCGTTATACTAAGCAAGATGTCAGTTGCATATCCTTATTAAGCATCACTTTGCATCACTTTCCACGGGAAAAACCCACGGCAGCTTGTTTCTGAGGAACGTTGACTAGCGTTGCGCTCACGCTTGCTGTAAAAACAACATTTCCAAACCCTTGATCTTTGAAAACACGAGCAGCTGCCTGTGCTGAATAGAAGGCACCGTCAAGATTCACCTTCATGATCTCACTCCATTGATCGGCCGTGTAATCCTCAGCCGCAACGCAAGAGGCAATGCCAGAGTTGGCGATCATAATATCGAGCTTGCCAAAGTCCTTCACGACTTGTTTAACAGCGGCCTCGATATTGGTTTGAACAGTCACGTCGGACTGATATGCAGCTGCTTTGACATTGTTCGTTGATGCAATCTCGGCAGCGGTCGCGTCGGCTGTCTTGGATGAGTTGTAGATTATAGCCACCTGGACCCCGCATTTCAAATATTAGAGATCAAAATAATTACATAGGGAGTTCGGTTTTTTTTTTTGGTACAACGTACGTTTGCGCCAGCCTCGGCGAGACCACGAGCTACCTCTAGACCAATTCCCCGGGAACCACCAGTGACGATGGCTACTTTGCCGGAAAGGTCGAACGCCTTGGAGACGTGTTGGTTTGCAGGTTGAGCGAGGACCATCTTGTAGATTTGCAGATTATCATTCAGACGAGACAAAATTAACCAAATTAATTTAAACCATGGAGCTGCGAAAGCTCAACTCGATGGCTGATTATCTCATGCTGCAGCGGACAACACTCACCCTTCCCCGCCGGATAGCCCGCTCCGCCACGGACATCCGCGTCCGCCCCGTTGTTACCGGTTTTTGGTTAGGTTTCAAAGCTCCACTCTGATTACAGGGTAGATTTTGGTGCTACTGATCATCGTGGGGGTGGACTGATCGCGGTGACAGCATCTTCCGGAGCTGGGTTGCCAAGGCAGCACCCCGGACTCCAATGTGGGGAGCATGGGTCATACGGGATTCCCTGCATTTTCCGGCTAATCTTATTAAGAAAATGAATATTCAAGGGTGAGGGCAAGTTGAGACTATTTTCACCAGAGCTATCTATTTTTCGCTTAGATGGCCTGTTCGGAGAACTCGAAATTGTGAAATTGCCCAGGTGGTTCGGGAAGATATCTATTAAATATAACAAATCTTGGAAGCTAGCTAGTCCAAGTGTCGGTAAAAGCAAATTCAAGTTCAAGCTATGCGACGTGTTCTGCATGCTCTGTGCTACATTTCCCCTTCCCATCAAAGTCATCCTGTTTATAAAGAGTTGAACTGTTTATCGCGGCAGAGGGCCCATCGAAAACCTCCGCAATTTCCTCCAGGGAATGACCTTTAGTTTCGGGAAATAGGAACCAAGTCACGACTAGCACGACCACGTCGAAGCAACAGTAAAAGATATAGTAGTGCCAACCAATCTTATCCAATGCGATTGGATTGACAAAAGCAAGTACAATCAAGGAGCCGTAGACACTCATCAGCTCCACGGTAAGTCCCTTGCTGCGGATGGAATATGGGAATATCTCGGTCGGGTAGCCTAATAACAGTGGTGTGTATGCAATATCGTAGTGGAAATAGAAGATAAACACGAATGCTATCACCGTCTTCCCCAGAGCACCCGCGTTTGTTATATCAAATACGGCCGAGCATGCGGTCCAGATGACAAACGAGACCAGCATGCCCGCCGCAGACCACAAGAACAACGTTCGGCGTCCGAGTCGATCGACTAATAGGGCTGCGCTGCCGGCTATAATGAAATTAAAAACTTGGAGAAGACCATTAATGAGGGTTTGAGTGTCCGAGTCTTTGATTCCGACGGTATCCAGCACAAGCGTGAGATAGTAGGATACCACCGCAACACCCTGGACTATGTCAGCCTCAACGGTCTCCACTAGATGCATGGTTCATGAGTTAAGATCGACTTACATTCCACTGAGCAAACACACCGATGCAAATAGCAATCAATGTACGTTTGCGGTTTCCAGGGGTCTTAACTAGTGTCGACCATTTGGTTTCAGAAGCTCGACTCTCCATCTCAATTGTACGTGCGATCTCGCTCATTTCGAATTGAATTAGCGGGTGCGATATATCGCCAGCGGTATGAAATCGCGCCAGTAGATCCTCGGCTTCTTTCTTTTTGCCCTTTGCGATAAGCCATCTACATATATGAGTCAGTCGATAAAGCCTTCATTTCAACTTCTTTCAATGGTCTGTGAATACCTTGGGGACTCAGGTACAAAGGACCAGAATATTATTTGGACGACGGGGAACCCAGCCTGGACAATTGAAGGCACTCTCCAACTCCAGTCTGACCCACTCATATGCTTTTGTGTACCATATGAGGCCCATGAAGCCAATATAGCTCCTAGGTAGTAGAATGTCCAGAACGCACTTGTGTATTTTCCTCGATGAGTTGGGTAGGCCAGCTCTGTGATGAGCATGGGGGATGGCTGTGTTACCAGCATTGAACCAACCCCCACCAGCACACGAGAGAACACAAACATACCATACTGCACAGAGGCAGCTTGGATAATTGATGCAATTACGATCACGATTGCGCCTGAAAGTAAGGTCCAACGACGTCCAATTCTATCCGACAGAATGCCAACAAAAGGCAATGAGATGACACTACCAATAGACTGTGCGGCATTGACAACACCGAGTATTGACCCGGACGGGTTGCCGAAGTAGCCCTTCCATTCAGCAATCGATTGCAGGCCGTTCATCAAAGAGCCTAGTACAATTTGGGTTTGTCAGTACTCTGTATGCATCAACTTTGTTTCAATACATTACCATCATATCCAGCGACTGCAGATGAGAGAAGAGGAACGAGTAGGATCAGATTGAGTTGCAGCAGATGTGGGACACGAAACCAGGGGCGGTCATGTTGAGGCAAGACGGAAGCCAAGGCGGCGCCGACAATATCTTGATCTCTCATAGTTGTCCGAACTTGAAGTTCAAATGGGATGTGGGAATTCTCATCGGAGCTGCACATCCATGACCCGGCGGCTCAGGAGTAATATATCCCCCACCGGTAAACTTGAACCTAATATCATAGGGAAAAACTGGCAAGAAGTGACGGGACGGCATCGCATGTTTCTTGGACCCACTTGGGCCTCGCCTCTCCTCGTGGGGTTGGCCCATGACGCTTTCTGGTTTGCGGGGAGGGAAACGGAGATCCACTTCCGTCGACGGAGAGGGCTGTCCGAGATTTTCGGCGATATCACCGGCTAACAAGAGATACTATGGCAAGAAGGGTGCATTATCGGGACTGAAAGCGGCTTTGCAGCTAAAATTGGCTCGGAATGGGACATCTGGCTACAAAATACGGATACCAAGGTCCTTGCCGTGAGAATATATGAGGTCGCAGATCCTACAATTGATCTTCGAACAAATGGCGAGCGCTCAACTCAGCGCATATCTCTTTTCTCACATTCATGACACAGACAATGGGCTCTCAAAGTATTCGTCGTTCAAACCCGGTCCTCCCGGACAGTATTTTCCAAATGTTTCGGTTGGATGAGAAGGTCGCAATCATCACTGGTGGTGCCGGTGGAATTGGATACCAGGTAGCTCGTGGCCTCGCAGAGGCCGGGGCCAACATAGCTCTCTGGTACCACGGTTCTTCACATGCCGAAAAGTTGGCGTCAGAGTTGGAAATAGACTTCGGAATAAAAGCAAAGGCGTATAAATGTTCGGTGCAGAACTTTGAAGATGTGAGAAATCCTTGAGCTCCACGAAAGAAAAGGCAATATTAGCGGGAACTAACGTGCAATTTCGTAGGTTCAATCATCAACCAACGCCGTGGTGCGCGACTTCGGCCGACTCGATATTATGATTGCAAATGCTGGGATTCCATCAAAGGCAGGCGCATTGGATGACAAATTGGAAGATTGGCAACGGGTGGTGGATGTTGACTTTTCCGGCGCATATTATTGTGCGCGTGTTGCTGGAGAGATCTTCCGTAGACAAGGACATGGGAATCTCATTTTCACTGCCTCCATGTCTGGTCATGCAGCGAACGTTCCTCAACAACAGGTAAATCGAATCATATCTCTGATGTATCTCGTAAAGAAGCTCTGACAAACTTTTAGGCCTGTTACAATGCTTGCAAGGCAGGTGTCATTCACTTGGCAAAGTCATTGGCAGTAGAGTGGGCCTCTTTTGCTCGTGTCAACTCTGTTAGTCCTGGCTACATTGACACACCTATCAGCCAAGATTGCCCCTTCGAAATGAAGGAGGAATGGTATAATCTTACCCCCTTGAAACGTGATGCCGATCCTCGCGAGCTCAAGGGGGTATATCTTTATCTTGCCAGTGATGCGAGCACCTACACAACCGGGTGCGATATAGTTGTAGACGGCGGATATACGTGTCGTTAGAGAATCTGCATCAATACCAAGAAATCATTCAATCTAACTACCAGTAGCATGCATAATCTTAGAATGGAAATTGTAATGAAGACTTAGTCCTTTCCTAGAAGACCCTTTTTGATGTATATCTTATTTCTCTGTGAGTTTTTATCCATACATGCCCGAGAACTCGTCTTCTCAGAAAGACGCTATCATAGCTCGGCGTTATCCACCTCTTCCCATCGCCGTTTGAGTGTTTGGTATGGCTTTCTCATCGGCCATGCATGCAGCTCTTTTGTGCGATTTATGATTCCAAGTAAGGCATTGCGCTCCTCTTGGTCAGTAAAGTATTCCCCATAAAGAGTAACTGCAATGACAGCATTGACCAATGCAGGCTGGATTCGAAGATGGCCTAAGGCAATGCCGCAAAGGTTCAAAACAATTGACCGTACTTGGGCCTCGGCTTTCCGATGTGTCGCACGGGTTGCTTTTCTAGATGGGATGAGTATATAAGAATTGCATCAGAATATCTCATCACTCACTCCAGATATGGGCTCTCCGCGATCAAAATCATCTGTGCTAATCGAAAATGCTGAATGGCAGTCACTTGAACATCAAAACTGTACCACACGGTCGGAAATATTCTTCCCTTTGCACGATCAGCGCCAAGTTCAAGAATCGGCTCAATCTCACCCATGCAGTCATGAGCGAGCTGTTGCTCTCTAAGTTTGAGTTGTGCTTTTTAAGATAGGTTAGTGACAAACATTTGCTATACGGGATGGAATGCTCTCACTCCACTCCCCGGGGTTCTTTTGTCCCCAGCACCAGGTGGCAACCTCGCCAGCGAACATGATAATGCTGTTCGCTATAGAAGTGTTTCTCCAACGGTTTGCATCGAATCTCATGTGTGGTATACTCTCTCTCGAAAATGCATAATAGATCTCTTGTCGTATGACAATCCAGTATGCAGCGGACGCCAAAGAATTCTCCAAAGGGGACTCGATCATCGAATCAATGATGGTTTGCGTGATAGCCAAGAAGCTTACACGCCTGTCATCATAATAATCTGTATCAATCTCATTTTCATCCATCTCCTCATCCATCTCCTCATATTGTCGTAAAATAACAGTGGCGGCCATGATATTCTCTTGTTGTACTGGATCTCGAATTTCAGGGAATTGAACAAGGTCCGGGATGCATTTGAGCATGTACTCTAGTGCGCTTGACTTCTTCAATCGAGGTAGCAGCTGTCCATGATATAGTATTCCTTTGGATGTCGAATATTTGGGTAGGCGGCAGAGACGCCGCGAGGAAACGGCGAAAATGGCATTTCTAAGAGTTGGACAATGCCGTGCGCGCTGGGGAACAATAAGTTGAAATTGCCTTTGCTCATCGCAATGATCAAACTGGATTCTGTCAGCCCTGGCAAGATTTGGTAAACATAAGGGCTTCATACCCATGGAGACAACTCTTCAATAAAGTATCGCATCAAACAAGACTCTTGGACACTCTCAAATGAAGTCGCTGTCAATTCAGTGGTTGAAGATGGAGATTTAGAATAATTGATATCTGTCTCGGTTTCCCAGTATTGTAAACTAGTGTGTGTTCCGGGGTCCGTGTACTGGCGATTGCTTTCACTGGCAAATAAACATGTGCCCCTGGGGCTTCTGGACCATGATGCGGGAGATGACAAATTCAAGGATTTTTGATGTTGAGAAACTTGGCTCAGCCTATTGTCTAGATGATCGTTGTGGTTATCATCTACCTGCATATCATTGGATCCAACCGAGGCTTCCCTTGGAGCCGGTCGAATGGGGGCCAGGGGGCTCTTGTGAACCTGCTCCACTGAGACGGATACAATGGGGGGGGTGTAGAATCTGCCAGCCCCTCCTGTGAAAAAGCCGTTGTGTCTGAATGTATCGGTTGGTCCAAAGAATTCAACGCCTGCTTCGGCGGCCGCCATGTCTTTGGCTTGCTGTTGACCCATACTTGGCCCAGGGTAAAGCTCGTGTCCAAATTGGCGGTCGATCCATGTCTGAAAACAGCCTTCTTTTGTACAGGCTTGCAGGCTAGTCCCTTTGCCTCGCATCTATTACAAACTGGGAGACGCTTATCACATCTCTGGTGGCGGGCTGCAAGTCACTAGTTAGTCACGACTGACATCCACGGATCGCAGACTTTAGAATCCTTGCCTCGGCAGTTTGAGCAAGGCACTTTGGCCAATGGTGTATCCGACATATCACTCCCTCGACTCTTATTGCAGAGGTGTTCACGGCGAGGTGTTACGACCTCCTGGAATTTGGCGTAGTCAACGCTTACCCCGCTGGGGTAAAACAGCGTGGGGAATCTTTCCCCGCGGGGAAATGTCCCAATAAGGCTAGCCCCGCCGCGTGCACATAATGAGCATGATTCTGGGCAGCTTGGAAATACAGTGGCTAAAATGATAGAGACCATTGAATTGGATTGGAAAATATATTATGTCTGCTGGAGGGATCTGTATACCCTTGAATATCCTCTCGGCCTTGGTGGAATTACAGAACAAAGTCATCGCGACCCCTTTCCGTTTGGGGTAATTTTCAGCAAACAGCCAAACGGATAACTGCGTGTCTCAACAAAAAGTACAGAATACTAAATGGTGGATTATTTGCAAGGCAGGCAACATAGCAGGCAACATAAAATTTCCACTCTTCTTTGAGCAACATGTTTATAAATGGGTTCTATCACGACTGGTTTATGGTAACACTTGATATGGTTACGAGCCGAGAATTGCTTGAAAGCGATCTATTCCAAAATCAGACGATTTTCAAGACCGCGTAAAAGTAAAGGCGGGACTGAGTAACTGATCAGCCCAAGATTCTAGACCATCCAACAATATGACCGTGGTGGGTCCCGGACACCTGCATTTACGCGCCGCCCGGCAAGCTGCAAATCAACATCACGAAATATTGCTAGTCACTACTGGCATTTCTATTAGTACACATAAAATCTCGGAAATTTGCGCGATACACGTGGATTTCCTAAAATCCGTCAATCGAATTTGAACTTGAAGAGAATTCTCGTCTGAGCAGCCCTGGACTTCTCCGAGTCTGTCTATTCAATACTATTACAAGGCATCCGCACCGCGGGAAATTAGAAAACATTTCGAAGAACGAGCGAATGCAAAGCTAATTTTTTTCTTTTTCGCAATCACAAGGGCGTCGCAAATTCAGATCTGAAAAAGTGTGTGCCAGCGACCTAGAGCTCACATTCCAATTCGAAACTCCAACCCAAGTACCCACCCCCTCAATGACGCATGATCTTCGGTTGATCGAGCGCATACACAACCCACTCTTCACGCCATGGTTGGTCGATGTTTAAGTTCGCGTCGGTATATCGAGACAGCCGATACAAAAAGTGCAGATCGGACTTTTTAGGAGGTGTCTCGACAATGATGGATTCTACACGTGAAGATTCCGGGACCACATCTTCAGGCGTGAGACCTTGCATCTCGATCTCGATGGTGCGTTGCAATACAAGAACCATCGGGGATACTGAAGAGTCTCCGTCTAGAAATTGCCATTTGTGTAGTAAGTCAAGTGCTTGTTGGCGAACTAGCCAGTCCCGACATTTGAAAACACAGAAGAAGAGAGCAGGGACTATCCCAGTCTTGACTGGAAACGTTGGCTTCGAGCCTTGGCCGGTATGTGCCAATAGAATCTCTGCTAAGTAAACCACCTTTTTAAAGTGGAGTAATAGGCTGTCGTATTTCATTTGCAGTGGCTGAACACGCGTATTCACTGCGATCAATATGGCAAGAACCTCACCCCACAGCTCAAGAAGGGTCAATGCGTCTACATCTTTTTGCCCCATGAGGTCTTTATGAACAGCGAGTGTCGCTTTGAGCTGGGTGCTCCATCCTCGCAATTTTGTCATGACTGCAAATGGCTCCAAATCGAGATCCGGGTCGGATGATATCACTCTGAACCCGCGAGAGTCATTCTGCATGATCATTCGGGCTAGGGTTACCAATAAATCATGTAATTTCTGAAGATTGTCTTTGTTATTTGATGGTTTGTCAGGGACAAGCCACGGGGATTCTAGATCTTCCTTTTCTGGGATTTTGTTGGCGAAAGTTGTATAGACTAGTTGAGTCGCCGCGAAGGTTTGTTTCAAAGCTGTACTAACTGAGGTTGGGTAGGGGTTTTCGCATAAATACTGCGTTAAAAGGCCTTTGCCCGCTCGCAGATGTCGACCAGCAGCTTCGGGTTCCTCCTGAAAAAGGATCACACACACCAGCACCAAACAGGTCACCAGAGCGGTCTCCACTTTGGCTCGACCCATCTGATCATCGGCTAGGTTCTTTTGGAGATGATTGATTGCCTTATTGCATTGCTGGAGAGAAAATTGTCGATCAAGAGACCCTGAATTCGTACCGATGCGAAGCTGTGTGAATTGCCAATTGAGAGCGCCCATACCGATGGCGGCGTGACGGACCGCGGGCTGGATTTCACTCGCTTGATGGACGAGTCTTTCCCAGAACTCGTCAAAAAAATACGCTGAGCACTGCAAGGATGTGACCTTTCGAAAATAAGTCAGATACCACAGTTCCTCGGACGTCAAATCCATGAGTCCTCCAGGCACGAGCGGGCAAGACGGGGCAGGAGACCCGTTGACTTGTAAGAGACTCATTGTGTGCGAATCATCACAAAAAATAGGGACAAGGCGCGAGGCTCGAGTTCGGCGGTCGGGAGTTTCGCGATATTCGCATTGGCGACCACTGCTGGTACACATCGAGCAGAATGGGCGCTGTTCGTCGCATTTCTTGTGTCGGCTCTTGCATACCACACATCCCGACCGCACCTTCGGTCTGCTCGTACGGTATCTTCGCTGCTTCTTGCAGCTCTGTATGTCTATATTTTCCGATACTGATGTCATTTCGAGGCTCGGACAAGGCCCAGGATGGGCGGAAAGACGGTGGAGAAGTTCCCCCCTTTGGCCCCCACTTGCCCCGATCCGCCTTGGTGACGCTGCATCCAATCATCGCGTCTTTTTGCGGGTTAGTGATCCAATTCACCCAGCATCGCAAACCTCTTTTGTCATTAAGATCAGAAACCAGGCTCCAGGAGGGCAACGAATCGTTACTTCGAGAATTCTAGAGCCAAGAACCGATTTAGTGGGGGTTTCGGGCTAAATCCTCTCGCGAGCTTCTAATACTTTTGTTTCCTTCCCACTGGAGCACCGAATCAAGAGACCTGGAGAGTCTAGCTGGCTAACTAACTTGCTGCTGCATGTCATCACATGGTGCGGAATGGCTGTCCGGCAACGGAGTGGGGACTCCGCCGTGCGGGGATTGAAGTAGAACATACAGTCACTTTTAAACCTAACATCTTTGAAAGTGTTGTGTCACAAAGTTAGGCTAAAAGCAAAGATCTGCCACGCAAAAATTTCATTTGCAAGAGAGAATAATGACTACTCGGGAGAAAAACAAGTCTTTTGTTCTTCGAGCTGTCCAGGATGTCATCCTCGAAGATCGCGAGATTCCGGCCTTGAAAGATCCTTGGGATGTACGCGTTCACGTTGCACAGACTGGTATTTGTGGCAGTGACGTGCACTACTGGCAGCGAGGACGCATAGGAGGTGAGCCAGATTCAATAACGAAGCCATTCAACACCTAAGCTCATTCTCTGTCCTGTAGATTTCATTCTCAAGTCACCTATTGTCCTTGGTCACGAGAGCTCTGGTACAGTTGTCGAAGTTGGATCTGCTGTGAAAAACCTCAAGATTGGTGACCGAGTAGCTATTGAACCCGGTGTTCCATGCAGACAGTATGTTTAGCCCCGGGTGCAGCCATCTGAACAGTTCACATCAACAAGACTAACATCATTTTAGCTGCGATTACTGTCGGAGTGGATCTTATAATCTATGTCCGGATACCGTATTCGCTGCAACACCACCACACGATGGAACGCTCTCTAAGTATTACATCACTCAAGCAGACTACTGCTACCCTATCCCCGAGCACATGAACTTGGAAGAGGGGGCTTTGGTAGAGCCTGTCGCAGTCGCTGTTCAGATCACCAAAGTTGGTAATGTACGCCCAAATCAAACCGTCGTGGTTTTTGGATGTGGCCCTATAGGGCTTCTTTGTCAAGCCGTGAGCAAGGCATACTCTGCGAAGAAAGTTATTGGAGTGGATATAAGCCAGTCCCGGGCGGAGTTTGCACGTACTTTTGGTGCAGATGACATATTTGTTCCACCCGTCAGACCCACTGATACCGATGAGACAAGTTGGAGTGAAGAGGTTGCCCGTATCATCAAGGAGCAGTTTGGCCTGGGTGAAGGTCCTGACGTAGTGCTGGAGGCGACCGGGGCACAGGCTTGCATTCAAACGGGAATACATTTGACGAAAAAAGGTGGAACATACGTTCAAGCTGGCATGGGTCGTGAGGTAAGTTTGCGATTCCCAGCAATAACAGTCAGAAATTGACCAGTATCAGAACGTTGTCTTTCCAATTACGACTGCCTGCATTCGCGACTTGCATATTCGAGGTTCGATCCGGTACACAGTTGGTTGCTATTCGACTGCCGTAGACCTTATCTCGAGTGGAAAAATCAATGTAAAGCGACTGATCACAAACCGTTTCAAATTTGAAGAAGCAGAAGAAGCTTTCGAACTTGTTCGACAAGGAAAAGAAAGTGTGATCAAGGTTATCATTGAGGGCGTTTGTTCCTAGGCCAGAATCACATCTTATTTCGCATGGGGATTATTTGTTATTATGAACAAAACAATAAATATCTGCCAACGAAAGTGAATTCCTAGCTCCTCTATAAATTCAATCTATCAAAACTACTAGTCACGTGCAAAGTGCGGGAGCCCCACGGGGTACCCCGACATTACCTCGTTGCGTCCTCCACTCCCCATTCCTTGTACCCCGATTCTTATATCAGACCATCCATGATGAGTTTCACTAGAAAGAGAGTACCTCTTGCCTGCAGCTTTTGTCGCAGTCGGTATGCTTCCGAAGTTCGATGCATCTTTTCTCAAATTAACGCCAGAAACAGCAAACGGAGATGCGACGCTCAAAAGCCTTCCTGTTCACATTGCATAGAGATGGAGACAGAATGCCACTATATAGAGGCTCCTTCACAGAGGTTTGCTTTACAATTTTGCTTTTTGAATTCCTATCTCACAATAACAAGGATTGACACCACTGGCGGCACGAGAGAAATTATGGGCAAACTGCATGAAATCGAGACAATTCTGAAAGATCAAACAAGCTTGATCTTAAATTTTCCAAAAGAAGCTGAACCATCTTCATCGGAAGCTTTTATGGAATCGCCAGTGCACAATACAACCGGGGCCATCGCAGCAATTTCATCCAACACCTTTACATCGCCCTCTCTCGGATTTGCAGATTTTCAACACAGTTCGGACATACAAATTCCACCATTATTAATTCCACCCGAGCATAAAACCTCATCGAGCTATCTGTTAAGTCTTCCACAGGTCAAATCACTTGTTGGAGACTATCCACCTGATTTATTTTTCCGTTTGGAGTCTTGCGAGCCACTACCTCTTGAGACAGAATGGAGCAACCCACCAACCCCACAGCAGCCATGGCGGATTGACGAAAGTTATGCCGCAAAATTGGTCGATTCATTTTTCTCATCTGCACACCAACACCACCCATTACTAGATGAAAGTGATTTCCGTGCTCTATACAGCCGCTTCATCGAGAAGGAGCCAGATTCTAGCATTGATTGCGCCTTATGTATGGTCGTATTGGCAATTGGAGAGGCCGCCATGGCCGAAGCAGATATTTCTTCTCTGAAGACTTCGCCACCTGGGATGCGATTTATAAAACATGCTATGCCCACTCTTCTCTATCAATCATCTTGGTCATTCTCATTCGATTTATCATTGCCCCAGGCACTCGTTCTGTCCAGCATATACTACGCGTATATCGTTCGCCCACTTCGAAGTTGGAGGATGGTTTATTCTGCTGCAACAATACTTCAACTTCAACTCTCTAGGTATGAGCCCCAATTTCCAAGCAATATAATTCTAAACTTCACATAGGCATGCTTCATATCAGAGAACGCCTCGGGAGAGGGAATCTATCATCCGACTCTTCTGGTCCTGCTTTTTGGTCGAATGTGACCGAATTGCCGAGCTTGAGTTGCCACGAAGTGGACTGCAGCAACTGGCCGACACCATTAGCCTCCCGGCATGCACGGATCTCGATATAATTCAATCAACCAGCTTTCTAGCTGAAATATCGGTGCGCAAACTATTGAATCGCATTCACAACCTGCTTTATCAAAGCGGTAAAACTCTTCCAGCATTTTCATCCACTACGCTGACCGTGCGCAATGACCTTTTTCCCGTTGACAATGTGGCTCTACAATCATTTTGCGATGAGCTACACTCTCAGCTTGAGATTTGGCATTCGTCTATACCTGACGCTGCGCGTCCAAATCTTGACCCTGGGTCTATAGGGATAGCTTCCAGTGATCGCCAAACTATACTACGAATTAGATATTTCGCAGCTCGTCATATTCTATACCGACCCTTTCTCCTTCAGATAATCAGCAATCCCGGAAGCTTACCTTCAGGCGAAACCATTGACAAGGCTTGCATCTGTATTGAAAGCTGCCGAAATTATATTCACAGCACGACCCCGGTACTAGTCAGTCCAAGCCAATATACTTGGACATTTTCAATATCGTACGTAATTCATGGCTGAAGACTACCCTTACCCTCTCGCTTACAATACACAGATCGCTGGGCGCTATTGTTGTTTTAACCTTGGCCTCTATGAGCCCAATTCTTCAAGGCTTTGTTACCGATATCGAAGAGCTGCAGGACCGGGCTATAGACAATATTCGACCATGGGCATTTTCGAGTCTGGAGGTGGTGATCAATATCCTGGATGAATTGCGAAGGAAGCACAATCTGCTATCTCGCATGCAAAGTAGTGTCTCATAGTACTATCTACGTCGCTAGAATAAATGTACGGGCCATGAGACTGGTAACTTCATTTCCTTGAAAATATCATTATGTAGGATCTACCTGATTTCTCGATTACTAGGCGAATTCGGAGTCTATTTCAATTATGAAAAATAATTCGAAAGCTTCGAGCTGGCTGGTGTCAATCCAGAAAGTCACATTTATCCAATCTTCGCTCGGCAATGTTTCTCAGGTAAATTTACCACACAAGAGCGTACTATGTTGTATCTCGTTGAGCATTTTTCATATAGAAACTAGATCTCAAGCTCACTTAACTCTCCGTGTTTTGATTCTTACTACGTTCGAGCTATTCATACCCGTTCATGATGGGTAGTTGTCGAAATCGAAAAGCCATCTTTTCCATTCTCGACTTCACCCGCTATTCTCTGCCTCTCTGCCTCGGCAAACTCCTCCGGTCTCGCTCGCTGTGTGAGCTGTCGATTTCCACATACTATCAACGATGGATTCTGAATAAATATTTCGTCCATATCCTCCAACGTACGACGTGAAGTTTCTGGATAAAATAAAAAGACAATAGGGAAAAAGGACCAGGAGATGACAGCAAAAACTGCTTGTATTAGCATTTTCGTAATGGGAGAGCAACTTCGAACTTACTCAAGTAGAAACGCCAGTGTAGGTTCTTAACCCCAATACTTGTAAACTGTGTTACAATAAAGCCGCAAATCCAGTTTGTCCCTGTGGCTGCTGCTGCACCCTTAGTGCGCCAGCCGAGTGAGTTGACCTCTGAGTTGTACACCCATGGAACTTTCGCAAAGCTTGTGCCATAGATGAAATAATATAAGAAAAACATGGCGGTGGTGACCTGGCCCATCTATTATTTTCTCAGCGTGAATAGGGCTGGTCATCAAATATCTCTAGACATACCAACTGTTTCTTCATAGGGTTACCCTCTCCGGCTTTCAAACACATGGCGGCAACGAAATAGCAGGAGCCCATGCCCACCGACCCGTATAACATTAATCTGGAAGACATCAGTCAATATTATTTTCAAGACACATTTACCATCTTCAAAAACTAACTTTCGACGACCGAAAAGATCAATTACAATTAGGCAGCAAAATGCAGCGCAGAGATAGGTCGTTCCATTGATGGCTGTTAAGAGACGGCTTTCTTGTTCTCCAAGCCCCACACTCTGTACCAATAATGTCGGAAGATAGTAGCCGAGCGCATTTACCCCGCTGAATTGCTGCATGAATTGTGTACCGCATGATAGAAGTAGTCGTCGTAGATTCTTCATTTTGTCCCGACCGGTAAGAATATCCATGAAAGGTGCCCGCTCTCTTCTTTCCATCTCCAGTGCAGACTTTATTGATAGAAATTGTGCTTTGACATCAATGTCGTCGATGGACTTTGTCGGGCCTTCTAGGCGTGCAAGTGTGTGAAGAGCCTCTTCATGCCTATCCTTCAGCAGTAGCCATCTAGGGGACTCGGGAACAAAGAGCATGGTTAAAGAGACTATCACGGGGAAGATGAGCTGAAATCCTAAAGGAAATCTCCACTGCAGAGCTTCCCCTTGAAAGTAGAGACCAAAGTTCATCCAATTTGCAAGACAGAATGCAGCAGTGTTTGACAAGGATCCGACAACAACCAGCTTTCCCCGTGCATGAGGCTTCGAACACTCGGCCTGGTAGACTGGGCAGGTTGATGATGTCAGTCCCATACCGAATCCGTTGATTATGCGTCCAACAATCATTTGACTCAAACTCCAAGAAACAACTTGAAGAACGGCCCCAATGGTATTGCATGTCAGACCAATAATTATTGCTTTTTTCCGACCAAATCGGTCTCCTAGAGCAAATGCAAATATGGCACCGAAAAATGCACCAAGCTGCAAAAATTTGTCAGAATAGCAATGCTTATCGGCTTAAAAAAAGGCTTACCGAGAAGCAACTTGAAGTTATTCCAGATATATTCGAATCATTCGTTTCAGGAAAGTGCTTTTTGAAATCTGTTGAGAATTTAGACTCTGGCTTACCGAAGCAACATATACAGCTTGTGAATATTTCTCACCTGCAGATATGAGAACTCCAGAAAAAACACCTTGGTCATACCCAAACCAAGCCATAGAGCTTCAAATTTGCGCCAGATCATTAGTACTAGTCTCCGATAAAAATTCAGCTAATTAACTCACCAAGCATTTACGACGGTAATGGCCGTAATGAGCCACGTTCCACGCAAAACCTCTGACAAATTAAGCATACCCATGGTTGCTTCTAATCAAGTTTGCTTCTTTTCCCAACACCTTATGATGTTTGAAACGTTTGTCAAAGAGAGGCTATCTCATTCCAGGTGACAATGGTTGAACGAGTTCACCCTCCCAGTCCTAATGTCTAGGGTATTTGAGGCTATCAGTAATAAGTCTCGGAATCCAGGTGATCTGACAAATTTCATTGGCAATTGACAGAAAATCTCAGGAATGTGAAGATTCTGGACGACGCGATGCCTTTTTCAGCCGCCTTCAGGAATGCTGGGAGTCGTTCAAGTTTCAATCGTGCGCAACGACTGCTTTTATGGCTCGGATCTTGGAGCTCAAGGTCGAATGGTCAGCTGAAGGCTTTCGAGCAGCAATCTGGGCAGAACGGCTAGTTCTCCGCTTGTGGAGACAAGAAATGGGAGAAATCCGTGGGGTAACCCCATATCTCCACACGGGGATAGGCGGCAGCAATCCCCGCTCAGGAGCCACTCGGCGCGTGTAGACGGCTCGGTATGAAATTATAATCTTCGACTCGAACTCTCGCACATTTTCAGCGACGGATTTTTTCAACCAATAGAGCAGAATGTCGAGATTCGTTTTGGTCACGGGCGCAACAGGCTTCATCGGTGCCCATATTGTCGATGCTTTGCTCTCACGCGGAATTCGAGTGCGAGGAGCAACCCGGTCGCTAGAAAAGGCCGACCTCATGATAAAAGCCCGTCCACAATTTTCGCATTTACTTGAATTCGTTCAGATTGGTGATTTCGAAACTCGAAACCCGGAGGGCTTGGTGGCTGCGATTGAAGGGATAGATGGAATTATCCACACTGCCAGCGTAAATTGACAACCCCTCTTCTTGGCTATTTCTTTTCTTGAACAAGCCGCTGACTGCATTCATCGATAGCCATTCACTTATGATACAATCAACAATGAGCGAGAGCTTATTATTCCTGCGATCAATGGTGCCATTGCGATTCTAGAGGCTGCGAGAACGAACCCTCAAATTCAACGCATAGTCATTACTTCTTCTTTTGCTTCCGTCCTCGATATTGATCGCAAAGGGCCATATTTTACTTATACCGGTGCTGATTGGAATCCTCTCACTTATGAAGAGTCTATTGATCCTGCCACAAGTGCAGTTGTTGCGTATAGGGGCTCCAAAAAGTTTGCGGAACTTGAAGCTTGGAGATACATTCAGGAACGTAGTCCTGATTTCGATATCGTCGCTCTGTGTCCTCCTATGACATTTGGCCCTGTGGTACACCCCGTCGACCGTGTGAGCAAGCTAAATGAGTCCAACGCGATGCTATGGAAGGTCGCAAGTGGTGTCAAACCCCTTCCTGTCTCTCGAGTGCCGTTTTGGATCGATGTCCGTGACCTCGCAACAGCTCATGTGGAAGCCCTCACTTCGGCCAATGTAGATGGGAAACGATATATCCCAGCCTCCCCTGAAAGATTTTCTTACGGGATTGCTGCACAAATTATATCAAGCGCATTTCCAGACCTAAAGGACGGGGTGACCCAGGAGAATCAGGCTATCGATTTAAGCTGTGGGGTGGATGGAGAAACCGCTTCCAAGGAGCTCGGTTTCACATATCGTTCTTTTGAAAATACCGTGAGGGATTTGATAAGCCAAGTTGTTCTCCTCAACAAATCCTAGCTTTATATTTTATTGTCAAATAACTACTTGAGACTTGATTTTTTAATATATGTGTGTTTCTTTACTCAAGTCTATGTCTCAACATAGCTCTCGGATTATGTCGTGGGGGATGCCAGAGTTTGCTTTGAGCTATAGCTCTCCACCAGTAGGTTGATCAATGATTTTCAACCCAATATCACTCATCCAGAAGCTTCCTGTTGGGTATGTGTACTTTTTCAAAGCTTCCTTGGTATAGCCTGTCGAGTATCCCGGCTCAAGGGGGGGTAACATAGTGTGCATTTTCGATTTTTGAAGGATGGCGCAAGCTTTCGCGATGACTGTCAGCAAACTCAAGCATGGACTTTCGCCCACTAATTGTCACATAGTCAATGGTGCTCAAATGAGAGGTCAATTCTGTTAGCCCCATTGCTCCATTGTGAGGAACACATGGGACATTATACTTCAGCGCCATAATCATAACCGCCTATTTTCCATCGAGTTAGTATTTCCTTTTCTGGAAATAAATTCTTTGAAGAAATATCAGATTTGCTGCAACATACCAAACACTCATTGACACTACCAAGGCGTACTGCATCAATTTGACAAACATCTGTGGCTTCTGCTTGAAGAAGCTGCTTGAATGTAACGCGGTTTTGGGCCGCTTCACCTGTAGCAACACCAACTCCGTAGGGTTTGAGTGCCTTTCGAATTGTCGCATGGCCAAGTACATCATCGGGGTTCGTGGGCTCCTCGATAAAGACGGGTTTAAATTCGACCAGCTGCTTCATATACTCAATGGCCTCTGGCACACTCCAAACTTGATTCGCGTCAATCATAATTTGGTAACCATTGTCGTACCCTAGTACATCTCTGACAGCTGAAAGTCTTTCTCTATCCGACTGAATGTTGGTTCCGACCTTGAATTTGAAAGTGCCATATCCGGCTTCAATGGTTTCCTTCAACACTTTCCGCATTTTGTCTCCCGAGAATGCTAGCCAGCCAGCGGATGTAGTGTAAGCAGGAACAGCTGTGTTCTCCAATGCCTCCTTCAAGCGAGAATCTCTGTCTTTTTGTGTCCCCTTTAAAAGCTCGATACTTTCTTCCGGCGTAATCACGTCAGTGATATATCGGAAGTCGATACAATTCACAATTTCTTCAGGTTCCATATCACAAACAATTTTCCACACTGGTTTGGCAAGTATTTTACCCCAAAGGTCCCAAACTGCATTCAAAACGCCTGCCACGGCAAGATGGGTAATGCTCTTTTCAGGTCCAACCCATCGGTATTGCGAATCAGATACCATATATCTCCACGTTTTGCCCATGTTCCGGGTCAAGACGTGCATAGACTTCCCAACAACTCTTTTGGCGAATATTTCAAGTGTCATACAAATCAATTCACTCCCTCTTCCATTGCTGAATGCCTAGAGATGACAAGAATATGAGCAAAGATTTGGTAAAGAGATGATTGCTACAACTTACAATTCCTTCACCGATCAAATCACCCTGGTTGGTCATCAATCGGATGTAAGGGTGCGAACCGTTTGTTCCCACATGCATCGCATCTGAGCCGACCCCGTCTAGACTGGTAGGAAATCTCAAATCAATGACTTCGAAGCCTGTGATAGTCACATCATTCTCGGTGAGTATAGCAGTTGAACCCATTTTGAAGAATGAATAATGAAACGTAGAACTTGAACCAGAGCAAAAGTCATGGAGACGAATTTATTTGCCTTCACAGCCCCGCTATTTGAAACACTGTTGTGATAAACCCCCCCCCCCCCACGATCAGCAGATCTGAACATCTTCTTGTTCTTGACCCCGCTTGGAGAAGGGAGGGTGGAGCTGCCGTCTCCCCCGTCGTATTTGATTGGATCCTTGGTTGACACCACATGCAGTTTGTTATTTCTATCAACATTGCATGAGTGCAATCAAATTACCTACTTGAGGGGGATGATGGATAGATTATCATGGGAGGAATGACCCGAGGTTATCTACACATTGAGTGGCGTGGGTTTAATTAACTATGGGGGTGCCGGGCAGGTCACTCTCAGCGGGTTTTGGGATCGAACAGCAATTGCAACTTCCCAGGTTGAATCCTGCGCAGATATCTATCTCCTCATCTTCCAATGAAACAAAAGATCCATTGTGCGGATCCTTCTGCGCCGCCTTCCACCAGTCTTCCAAAGAGACCTCATCGGCATGCCGACGCCGAGCGACGTAAAAATTGTTAACAAACCGCTGCAGGCGAACACGTAGGTAACCTTTGTATCCGCTGGAACTTTGAGTTTCAGTATCTTCCACGTAGTCCGGATCGATAGCCCAGATCCAGAAGCCATCCGCCAAACGGTTCTCCTGGATAGACGCTGCAGAATTACCATCTACGTATAGAAACACATTCTGCAGAGTTCTCACCGTAAGACCTTCAGGTATGGTGTCAATAATTCCCTCTGACAAGTCGCCGTTGAGGAACCGTGCTTCCTTCTTAGGGGGGAACGATCGGAGATAAATGAATTGCTTCCTTAGTTCTCCCCGGATGACGGGGAATTTGTCGTCTTCAGTGGGTGTTTCAGCAGGCCAATCTAAACATTCAATAGAGTATTCCGATTGAAGTGCAATAGTGCAGGCAATCGTACCAAAAGCCATGTGGCTTGCCTTGTCTGATTTTCGCTCATACGACTCCCACCGATCAGGATCCTCTGCCTTCCATTCAGGATTCTTATAAATCGCATACCCCAGGTTTTTTCACCCCGATCTTCCTCCCATGGCTGCCCATGTTTGAACATGAACTGCAGCTCCTGTTGTTCCTCAGCTTCACTCTCTTTTTTCAAGCGTCGTTTCTCCTCATTGGATGCATTTCCAAATGCCTGTCTTTCCTATTTTTCGTAGAGGGAGTAGCTCTGGAAGTTTCTCGGGCAGCCCGAACGTTCTCGAGTCAGTGACAATAGGTTGTAACTGAGCGTTAATGATGGTAACTTGTGTGTGGCCTAAAAGGAATCATGTGAAAACATGCTTAGTCATCGCCTGATTCAGGGCAACTAACTATTTTGTGCCAAGAGCCGCAAGATAACCTCACATCCTAAGCCCATTCGGGGGGTAACAACAGCAACAAGCCATTCTTCTCCTTTGTGAGCTACTTCGATGGCTGATATTGGATGCCAAACCAACAATAGACTAAGACCTATTGCCCCAGCTCCCACAGCAAATGGTGCGCGGGGCTTGGGTTATGGAAACCCTTCCTTGTCCCCAATGCCACAGGCTTGTCAGACATGCGCCAGACGCAAAGTCAAATGCGACAAGGTGGCGCCCATTTGCTCCAGATGTCGCAAGGGCAGGTTCGAGTGTCTTTATCAGACATCAGCCCAGCCGCAATCACGAAAAAGAAAGGTCAGCGATGAGGTGTTGGAAAAGCTCGCTCGATATGAGCGCATACTTCAAGAGAATGGACTTTTGGATGCTGAGATCCCAGCCTCTAATGGACACACACCCTGCGAAACAACTCGGCTTGTCCACCCTAGCCACCAACCCGGGACCTCAAAAACGGGTAAACTCCTGACTGTTGGAGGCAAATCGCAATACGTCGATAGTCACACCTGGTACACTCTCCCAGATGATGAGATCCACCAAATTTCCGACGATGACGAAGAAGATGAAGTGGCTCGCAGAAACTCTGGTGTGTCGAGGATTCCCCTCTCGTACTCGGATCTATTAACCGGTACGCTTCTTGGAGGCCTGACACATCAAGCTCTTACTCAATACCACCCAACCCATTCCAATGCCATGGTGCTGTGGAAAAAATATGTTGAGAACGTGGAGCCTATTTGCAAAGTCCTACACACTCCGTCAACAACTCAGATCGTGGACCGGGCGTCACAATACCCTGAAACAGTCTCAAAAATCGAGGAATGTCTGTTGTTTGCAGTTTACCATGCCGCAGTATTTTCTATGACAGAGGAAGACTGTGCAATTCACCTTGGAGAGAATCGCAAAGCAATAATTGAGCAATACCACCATGCTGCGAGACAAGCCCTTGTGAACGCATCTTTCTTAAAAACAACTGAATTGACGGTCCTCCAGGCGTTCTTCCTATTCCTACTGCCCGCCCGCTATTCATATGACCCGCATACATACTGGATCTTGACCGGTATCGCATCCCGCATAGGGCAACGAATTGGGATTCACCAGGACGGAGAGAAACTCGGGCTACCTCCTTTTGAGGTTGAAATGCGACGGCGGCTTTTCTGTCAAGTATTCCCGCTGGACTTTAGGGCAGGCTCATCTGTTGGTACCGATTTCATGGGGTTGCCTGTTTCCTGGGATACTCAGCCTCCCCTTAATATCAATGATGACCAGATCTGGCCTGGAATGAACGACCCTCCAATCGAGCAAAAAGGCGCCACGGATATGATCTTTTGTTTGTCACGCGCATATCTTGGGAAGAACTTGAGTCGGGCAGGGCATCCAATCAACGGCGCTGCGCCCTGGGGGTTTTCGGACTACCATGAGGCAGAAAGGCTTATTAGCGCCGCAGAAAACGAGGTGGAACAGAGATTTATACGATACTGCGACATAGTCGATCCACTGCATTTCCTCACGGTTGGGCTTGCTCGGTCAGGGCTGACCGCTATGAGGCTCAGGGTCCGACTTCCTCGGATCAGGGAACCAGGCGCTACGGACAGAGAGAGGAAGGAAGCATTTAATCTTGCACAGAAAACGCTGAGTATCGATGCAGCTGTCCATGCTCATAACGGAATCAGCAAGTTCCAATGGCACATCCGACCTTTCTTTTTGTGGGGCACACGAGAGGCATTCATCTTTATCCTTACAGTTTTATCAAAAAGCCGCGACTTGCTCACTATTGAAGAGACAGAAACTACCTGGAACAGCGTTGCGGAGCTGTACAAAAACCATGAAGAGCTTTTTGATGGCAGAGAAGCTTTATATGTAGGACTTCGAAGACTGACTCTCAAGGCCTGGAATTCCTCCCAGTCAGATATTGTCGCTGCAGAACCAGAATTCATCCGGACTCTTCGGCATTTACAAGATAAAAGGGGGACACGACACATTCAATGCCAGGGTGACACATCAGAGACTCCATCAGTGGAAGCCAAAATCATGGGCTTTTCAACGAGCACCGATTTTGAGTTTGATGTTGATGACTGGGTTGCCTGGGACAAAATCATCCAAGACCATCAAAGTCTAGGTTGAATACCTCGCTGTTATTGGCTTAGAGCTCGGGTACTTTCCGGCCGAGCTAATGCCCGATACCGAGGACTTGACCAATCAACAATCTTACCTCCTCGGGTTGAACTTGTCCGCCAGTCAGTATATAAACTGATTGAATTCATACGATCATATCGTCCAGAAACATTTTTATCATGTCCAATTTGAAGATTCTCGTCGTGGGGGCATCCATTGCCGGTCCATCAGCAGCTTACTGGTTCGCCAAGATTGGCGCGAAAGTCACAGTCATCGAACGATTTCCAGAATTGCGACCCGGTGGTCAGAATGTCGACATTCGCACAATCGGTGTATCCGTAATGCGAAAAATACCTGGGATGGAAGACGCTGTACGAGCCAACCTTGTGCCGGTCGGAGGTATCAGCCTTGTGCGCGAAAATGGCCCACCATACGGCACCATAAAGCCTACTGGAGACTCTGAACAACAGTCGCTAGTCTCTGAATACGAGGTCCTCCGGGGCGACCTTTCGAGGATTCTTTTCGACTTGACTAAGAATCACCCAAATGTCAAGTATATCTTCGGCGAGCAAGTTGCATCGATCCAGCAGGAGCAAGATGATGGACCGGCAAGAGTCGAATTCATGAACGGGCTTCCGACTTCGGAATTCGATCTTGTTGTCGCTTGTGACGGTGCCACGTCGAGAACTCGTGCTATAGGTCTTGGCTGTGATGTCAGAGACCATATCTCACCGATGAACTCATGGGTGGTGTATTTCACCACCCAGGAAGATCTTCTGAACGGAAGTCAAATTGCCCAAGCACATAGTGCCCCCGGTGGGCGATTCTTCGCCATCGGACCCGACCGCACTGGCATCAATCGTGCCGCGATTATTGGCATCAACCCCAAAAATGGACCCGACGCCGTCCAAGCCTTCCGTGAAGCCAACAAACTTGGTCCCGAGGCATTAAAGCAGTATGTGGCGCAGTATTTCAAAGGAGCTGGCTGGAAATCTGAAGAAATCATCCGGAACATGATAGAAAGCGATGACTTATACGGGAGCGAGATGATTCAAGTCAAACTGCCGACACTACATAGAGGCAGATTCGTCACGGTTGGCGACGCTGGCTATGCCTCCGGTCCTATCGGCACGGGAACCAGTCTTGCCCTCGCGGGTGCTTATGTTCTGGCTGGAGAAATAGGAAAACATCCCCACGATTTGGCAGCCGGGTTGAAATGTTATGAACAGCAAATGCAACCACTGATCGATGAGATGCAAAAGGTCCCACCGTTAGTGCCTGCAATCATGGGGCCCCAAACTGCCTGGGGAATTTGGCTCCGAAACAATATATTCGCTTTCATCTGCTGGAATAATCTTCCAAAGTTGATGCACAAGCTCTTTGGGGGCGCCTCTGCTCACGCTGATGATTTCAGTGTGCCTGAGTATAAATGGGCTGCTTGATTATGGAGGTCGTTTTCGCTGGCATTTGTCTATGTGTGCCTTACTCACGCCAATATCCTCATTTTTCGAAAGAGAAGAGAGCCTGTTTCAAATCTTAACTTTTATTGATACTCCCCTAGATTTCAAAATACCACTTAGTTTTCGACTATCTCCGGTGGCAGTTGGCATATCTGACGAACCTGCCCAGGGCATAGTTAGCATTCCTAGGTCTTCCATATCCGGCCAGGCTGGATGCTTATGTACTTATCTCTCAATTATTTTATACTGCTTTACAGCGACACCGATGCATTCATTATCAACAAATAAAATTCTTTGTGACCTTATGATTAAGATTTTACCTATAAACATTCGTTATACTTCTTTCCGCGCGGCCATCCTCTGCGCAGGAAACCGAGTAGAGAAAAGTGAGAAGTCAGCAATCGCACACCATTTAAATACATGGACTGTTCTGATACGTAATTCTACCAGGTTTTCATCTGCGTTGTATCAAAACATACCCTTGACGTTCTGGCCAATAGCTTTGACCCACGTACGGAGTAGATATGCAAGTGCATAAGTGGCCAAAAAGCCATGTTGCCCGGGTGAAACACAAAACCACCTGGGCAGCCTATGGCATGATGGATCTCTTTCGGTCTATTGCATAGATATCAGCGAAATTGGGGCTAGCACACATATCCGCCTTTCCGTTCACCTTCCTTTTCGGCTTAACGAAATAATCTTCCCCGCCCCAGACGCCCACTTATATTCGGGTGCCAAGATAAATCCGACGCACAACTTCGCAGTGTGAGCTCTAGACACAAAATAAACAACCTTTGAGAATTGTAGCCGCAATGCTACCCTCAGAATCCTTCTCACTCGCAAATACAGACATTCGAGTCCCATCTCGTGGTCTAGGTACATTTCAGGCAGACCCAAAAGTTTACCCTGCTGGCTCCGTCAAAGACTCGGTATTGCAGGCTTTGAGGCTAGGATGTCGCCACATTGACGCCGCTTTCGCTTATGAATGGGGGTCTGTTGAGAGGGAAGTTGGGGAAGCGATTCGTGAAAGTGGGATATCAAGGGAAGAGCTCTTCATTGTTACGAAGCTGTAAGTTACCCCTTTCGATATCTCCCATAGGACAAGACCTCTGAATTCAATTGACACGCTCAATAAAAGTCATAATTGCTTCCATAAGCCTGAGGATGTTGCGATAAATATGAGTATGAGTTTGAAAAACTTGAATCTTGACTATGGTAAGTTGTGAGACGGAAGCGCAACTCAAGCAGCGTCAATGCTCTAACATTAAATTAGTTGATTTATACCTTATGCATTTCCCATATGCATATAAATCAACCGAGGGCTACGGTACTCAACGAACTTCAGATGGAAAGGTCAATATCGAATCTCCGTCCAATTTCTTTCTGTCAATCTTAGCACTTTCTAAATTGATTTTAAGCCCGTTGTCGACATACCACTTTCTCGAGCCTATGGTTCTACTTGGGCGGCGATGGAGAAGCTTGTCGACACTAGAAAAACAAGACTCATAGGTACGACTCAATTCCAATTATTATGAATGTGAAAGCTAACATACATAGGTGTCTCTAACTTTTCTAGTCCAAAATTGGAGCGACTACTCAAAACAGCAAAAATATACCCTGCCGTCAACCAAGTCGAGATCCACACATATTTTCCCCAAAAAGGTCTTGTCGAGTTTTGTCAGTCTAAGGGGATTCACGTTACTGCGCATTGCCCGCTTGGGGGGGGCACTCATCCCGGCAATCACCGGTCGGCAAGGTCCTGGGCCCCTTGAAGATCCAACAGTAAGTTCACCATTCACCTTGACCAGTGCAGCTATGAGGGGAACTAACTGACCATGGAAGATCATTGAAATATCTCGGAAATACCACAAAACGCCAGCGCAGTTGATGCTCTGCCATACCATCTGCCGTGGTATATCTGTTATCCCCAAAACGAACAACCCGAAGCGCATTGCAGAGAACTTCGATGTTTTATTCCAAATTTCCGAGAATGACTTTAACACTCTCGATAACCTCATGGGAGAGCGCGGAGAATTGGGGATTCGGAACCTTCAAACAAGGGAATATCTTGGGTTTGATAATTTCAACGAAGAGATAGAGGAGCCGTGAAAGAAATCTAGGTCTGCAGCTTTATAGGATAGTTGGAGGGTGATTTAGCCGCCCTGCCATTGCTTGCGATTATTTAAGAATGTTCTTTGTTACCAGTAAAACGTCGTCTCGAGAATTTACTCTTCATTGACATCCTTGATATATTGGCAAAATTCAAGCATCTTTATCAGACAGATGGGAAATAGGTAGACCCTTTACGTTCTACTCTATTTATCAAGTTCGGTTCCTTGCGTGTCCTTTCTCCTGTTCCTCCTCCTCTTCCTCTTCATCTTCTGCCTCTTCTTCCTCTTCTTCCTCATCTTTTTCTCCTAACTCATCCGATGCATCCTGGTCAGCACCTTGCATAACCTTGCGATAGTCATCTAAGCAGTAGGTGCGACAGAGTTCCTTCATGCCCTCGAAAACACTATTTGTAATAATATTAGTAGCTTTCTGGGGTTGGTTATGGTGTGGATTATTTCGCAAACATACACCTCGCGCTGATTACATCCAGGAATGAGAATTGCTGCTCCAACATTAAACCTAAGGGAGTAGAGAAGGTTTCTTCCATCCCAATCATCCTCTTTATCAACGTTAGTGGCTTATGCCATGGGAATCTGATATTCCGTTTCATCCAGTCGAGGAATAAATAACTTACCTGGCTCCGAAACTGCGAAATGACGTTTGTAATTACGAACATAGACTTTGCTACTCAGTCGATGACGTGGTGCTCTCCAGTTTCCAATATCATACTCATTATGGCCATAAAACGATCCAGCATCAAACACAAACGGCTCGCCGTTCTCCATATCTGTCGCTGTATTTTCATCCCAGCAGTCTCCGTGGAGAAGACACGGCTTGATGCTGCGGCCCTCGCTTTGCAGAGGATTCAGAAGCCGCGGAATGACTTTTTTTAGCGTCAAATCGGACAATTGCTCAAATTCCGCCCAGGGTCCATTTTTCTCCAAATCTATAGCTAGCATGTGAGCCAGCTGTTTTTGGTATAGAACTGCCCAAGAATCTTCCCACATATTTGTGGCCTGGGGTATAAAACCATGACAGGTGGTCGTATGAAATCCGAATCGGCCAGTTGGCGAGACCGATACTTCGTGCATCTTCGCTAGTCGGGAAGTAAATTTGATAGGATCGGGCGGCTGCTGTCCGATCTCACGAAATTCGGCCATCATAAAATATGTATCTTCATTTTTATACTTACCCCACGCCAAAGCCTTTGGTGCAATTGACGATAAGGCCTGGTTCATGGCATTCAGGGACTCGAACTCGCCCTCGCACATCATGGGAGCATTCGGACCCTTCGCCACCTTGGTACTCCCAAAATTATCAGAAAGGTACATTTTCTAGACCAAGTGCCACTACCGAGTATTATCTCACCTTTAGAAAATACAATATCGTTGTTTTATCGGGAAGCTCTGCGAGAATTTTGCAACAACGACCCCACAGTGACATGCCGTAGGTCTTGGAGGAGATGACTCGCGTTCCGGGAATCGGGAGCTCTAACCATATGTTATCATCAATCATTACAATTCGAGTTTTTTTTTGAAATTCTGGATATTCTTACTCTCTAGCACTGCCTCATCTAGAGGGAATTCCCCAAAAGTAAGAGGAGGTTTGATGGCCTCATCTGGGGGAATATCAATTCGACGATTAACATGCGGGTGATCAGTTGACATTTTCCTGTTCTTTATCAGTGTTCTGCATAAGATGAGCTTGAATAATGAGCGATTTCTTTGCGGATTATAACGGGCGGGGCTCAAGGTCAATGGAGGTTTCCAATATTTAGTCTGGAAACCATTCAAGCCTTGGTTTTCGACGTATTTTACATGTTGCATTACCAACCGTCTTAATACCACTAGGTCATACGAGGAACTGTCGGAAGATACAAAGTCTGCTGACAGTTAGTTAGGAGACGCACCTGCTCGTGTTCAAATGCACACGGAGTTCAGTATCAAGCTTATGGCTAATGTATCCGAAGCGGCCCAAGTGTCAAAAATAAGCAAGTTCAGCTTTATCCGGCGACTTTGATGCATAAACTGTTCATTGAGATCAAGATACGCAGCTTATCATTGTGACGGACCAATACTATTATTACTTGGTAAAAATCAGACAATGGGGTTGAGGCGGCTGTGTGATAGATACGACATCTACAGGCGCCACCGCGTATGGTTGGCTCATGAAATTCCCGGCATATGACATTTGGAAGGCCCATTGGGTGGGCTATGAGTGCTCCCGTCCAGAGATGATGTAGAGGCTTAAAGGAATGGCACCAACAACACTAAGCTGTCTGTGCGGGTTTCAAACAAGAGGGGTGGCTCAACAACCCTGTTTTGTTTCTGTCCTGCGTGGAATTACAAACTGCGGGGCACGCTGACAAGTATGATGACGAATATGTAAAAAAGAAAGACACTTTGATACTCAAATTGATGTGACCATGTATATTTGCCAATTTGAGGCTGAAAGTAACCAAAAATCATGTGCAACCAACTTCTCACCCGTGGGGTTCCCTTACTATTCTAGTCAACTCTATGGCATGCGGATACTTGCTAACCTAAATTATTCCTCATTTTGACTCGTTCGAATCATGGGGAAGTCCGACTCTCGATACAAGCTACCGAAAATTCTCGGGCGCAACCGATCGGACCAAGACCAGGACACTGATCAGCCCGATTTACTGGCGTCGAGCTTCGATGTTTCTGGTGTCTCCGATGGTCATTCTGCTGACCCTCGGAGAGCCTCAGAACCTGTCCGTTTTTCGAAAATTGACGAAGAAGCTTCCTCGGATGTTCCGTCACGGATAGAGGGAGCCCTACCTGAACCATCTGTTCGCAGACACTCCTCAGTATTATCGATTGGGTCCCAACTTACTCGCCGAACTGTCAGCAGAGCTTCTTCTTCGTCGGATCCACTCGGCTTAACACTCATATATGAATCCGAAAAGCCATATGCAGACCTTATCTTCGTCCATGGACTTGGTGGATCTTCTCTGAAAACATGGTCATATAATCGAGATGTGGAGAAGTTCTGGCCTCCATGGCTAGCTTCTGAGCCTGGGCTTTCAAACACCAGGGTGTTCACGTTTGGGTATAGTGCATCGTTTGTTCAGCAATCACCCACGCTGAGCCTGCTTGACTTTGCGAAGGACTTGCTGTTCAAAATAAAAATGTATCATGATCCTAGAAGCGAAGACAGCAAGTTACTAGGTGAGGTATGATATTCGTGTGATGGTCTAGTCATAAGCCCGAAATAAAAGCAATTATCTGAGCTCTAACAAAATCCAGCGTCCAATGATATTTGTGGTTCACTCTTTGGGCGGCCTTGTTGTGAAAAAGGTTGAAATCCTTCTTTCTAGCGGATTTGAGGTGTATCAAGCTGACAGTAGATTATTTAGGCCTATATTGTTGGGAAAACAGACGACCAGTTTTCCAGTGTCATGTCTCAAACCTATGGAATCGTCTTTCTCGGAACGCCGCATCGAGGATCCAATCTGGCCGGCATTCTCAACAACATCCTTCGGACATCACCAAATACTTCAACAAAGGTGTTTGTAAGTGAGCTAGAGAAGGGATCGACTTCTTTGGCGGATATTAACGAACAATTTCGACACGTGTGTGGCGATTTGGCATTGGTTTCCTTTCACGAAACATTGAAAACAACGCTTGGGCCTGGGGTGAAGGCAATGGTATCTTTTCTTCGAATTAATTTATTGAAAGCACGTACTAACTCATACTGTCTTTTCACCTCTAGGTTGTCGACAAAGATTCCGCGGTCCTTGGATACCCCACAGAGACATCGGCACCTCTGTTGGCGGACCATCACGGGTTGACGAAATTCCCTAATCCTGACGACCGAAACTATGGCGATGTCAGAAACGTACTGAGGAGATTGGTGAATAATATCAAAGAATTACGTATGTTTTGAACACACTATGTTCGCGCTTAAAAACAGAAACCTTGGAAGGCTAAAAATGTTCACACAGGATTTTCTGCGCCATGGTCACCAAAATCGGCGGCGAGTTCGTCACCAGAAGCCAGTCTCGAGGAAATTACCGGTCTCAAATATATCGGCGTTGAGCTTGAAAACTCCCGTCAGAGAATTTATCCTGGAACGTGTCGCTGGATACTTCAGAAAAAGGAATTCCGGCAATGGCTCGATGGAACCGATGACCAGTTGTCCATTTTCTGGCTCACAGGCCTGCCGGCCGCCGGGAAAACAACCCTTTCCAGTTTTATAATTGACTATTTGAGTCAGGAGGATGTGGTTGGAACCTGCCATTACCACTTCTTTCAAGTGGGTCAGCATGATACTCGCACCGTCTCATTCTTCCTTCGTTCACTCGCATTTCAAATTGCCAGTAAATCTCAGATCTTCCACGGCATGCTTCTGGATCTACACCAGCAGACTGGCATCTATTTTGGATCGCAGAAATACAACTTGATCTGGGCTAAGGTATTTGAAGGCCTCTTATTCAGAGTCAGACTGGAAGAGCCGCTCTTCTGGGTGCTCGATGGACTTGACGAAGGCGAAAGTTCCCCGACACTCATATCGCTGATTACCAAAATAAGCACTGTGACTCCAATCAAGGTCTTTCTCGTCAGCCGGCTTACGAAAGACATATCAGCTGTTCTCAACGGCGTTGAATGTCCCGTCTACTATCAAGACATGCAACCGACAGACACGGCCAACGACATCAAACTAGTTGTAGAAGCAACAGTCCGCCATTCAATACCAGCCAATCAAGAACAAGAAACCGTCATCGAAAGCGTTCTTTCCAAATCTTCCGGAAGTTTCCTCTGGGTCGAACTAGCCCTAGCCAGACTCAAAGACAACTGGCACACCAAACCTGATATCGAGCGAGCTCTAACAGACCTACCAGAAGGAATGGAAAGAATGTACGAGAGAATGGCCGACATAATCTCCGAACAACCTCCCCGACTCAAAAAAATGGCGACAGAAATTCTCACATGGGCATCTTGTTCGTTCCGACCCCTCGATATCGAAGAATTATCCGTCGCCCTATATCCAGAATTCGGCGCATTTCTCGACCTCAAAACAACAATCACGCAAATCTGCGGCAACTTCGTCGTTATCAAAAATTCAAAATTAACCCTCATCCACCAAACAGCCCGCCAATTCCTCCTCACCAAGGATCATCATCATGAGGCATCAAGAATCAAAATCGACAGCCGCATCGGCCACAAGCGAATCGCCATAACTTGCATGCACTTCCTCTCAGACACCAAATGGAGATCAAAGCTCGCTGACACGCGCGAACCAAACACCTCAGACTCGACAAACCCCCACCGATCAGAATTCTTCCTCAAAGAACCCTTCATGCTCTACGCAACGTCCTACTGGGCTTACCACGTCAGCGGCGCCCCAGCAGACTCGGACGACGACCTACCAAGCCTAATCTGCGACTTTCTCGAAAAATACACGCTTATCTGGATGAATGCGGCAGCCGTAGCCGGCAAGCTCCAACTAATCACCCAGTCCGCGCAATATCTCAAAGCGTACGCGAAAAAAGTCACACACCATCGCAACGAAGTGCCTCCGACGAGTTTCCAGCTCAAAGCGGCCCGTGATACGGACTTGCACCACTGGGCGACGGATTTCATTCGCATTGTTGGCCGGTTTGGATCGTATCTGTATGAGAGTCCGTCTTCGGTATATAAATATGTTATTCCGTTTTGTCCGGCGAAGTCGATTATGAGTCAGACGTTTAAACATACTGCTTTGAGCACAGTGTCTGTGATTGGGATTTCGTCTGAGAGCTGGAGTGACTGTCTTGCGAGACTAGCTATGGGCGGAGACGAAACTGCTTCCAAGATCGTTTGCAAGGATAATTATTTTGTTACGTTGATTGGGGGTAGTGGGACTCTTGTTGTTTGGTATGCGGAGACTTGCAGTGAGGCGAGACGCTTGCATCATGGTGAGTGGATAACTGTCATCAAAGCCAGTGAGAATAAGAGTCTCGTTGCGTCGGCGGGGATTCGCACTATTCGGGTGTGGGATATTACTACAGGTCGAGAGATACATCGGATTCCCAAGTCTAGTCAAGGGAGATTGATGGCCCTGGCGTTTACGTGTAATGACACGAAATTGCAAGTTGCTTATGATGACTTTACGATCCGGTGCATTGATCTCGATACCGAGAGTGAGGAATGGTGTTTCTATGCTCACGATGATTTGTCTGAGGCAGAATATGGCTGTCCGCGGTTTATGGTGTTTAGTCCGGACGGCAAACGAGTCGCCATCGCTCAGCGTGGTCGGCCGGTTTTTATATGGAGAATCAGTCGCCATCGGGAATCCCCGCGTCGTTGTGTTCGGAATGTGGAACTGTGGAAGAACGAGGAGGACGCATGGAGTGCGCCAGAAGTGGTGCTCTGGCAGCCCGAATCCTCGAATATCTTGATCCTGTACCAGGATACTACACTTCTGGACTGGAATTTCGACGACGATACGCAGACGGAGCATTCGCATCTTGCGGCGAGAGAAATGGTCGTCAGTAATGACGGTAATCTTCTCTTGACTACTGATAATAATGGCACTTTGAGCGTCTGGTCGACGGAGCAGTTCCGCCTCATCTATCAGGTCAAGTGTGATGAGTTTGTGAGAGACCTTGCTTGGGCACCTGATGCTCAACGATTCTACGATCTGCGCGGAACATTGTGTAATGTCTGGGAGCCAGATGCACTGATACGCTCTGATGATGCCAGTCGAGAAGATCAGAGTACTCACGACACCCTATATTCTGACCCAGTCATTTCCTTCGACAATAACAACCGGATCCAAGTCACAGCTCTAGTGTGTGGCCCACGTTCAAAGTACTACTGTATAGGAAAAGAAGACGGGAGCGTAGTAGTTTTCGACCTTGAAACAGCGCAGAGGCACCGAAAGCTTTACGGACACTCGACAAGCGTCTGCGTCGTGGAAATCGCATGGTCTTCTTCTCTCAAGTTCATCGCCTCTGTCGATGATTCCGGCCGTGTCATGGCTAAAAGACTTGAGAAACCAACATCCCGAGCTCCAAAGAAATGGGCTGTTTATCCCTTGTTCGATCAGCGATTCGGGTCTACAGTGACCCAATTGCTATTCAGTCAGTCGGAAGAGTTCCTCCTCATCTCCAGTGGAAATCTTTGCCGGGTCTGGAGTACCAAGAAAAAGGAAAAGCTCTTCCAGGTGGAACATCCCGATGCGGGCTATAGAAGATGGATGCAACACCCGCAAGACCCGGCTCTGCTGATCTGCATCCAGGGTGAGAAGCAATCCATCTGTAGCTGGAGTACCCTTGAAGTCATTAATCCACCGCTTGGCAATCCCATTCAAGACACTCTGGATCTTTCAAGCTTAAGGGTATCCCCGTCATCTTCAGGCACACTCGAGCGAGTCTTCCAGAGCAAAGACCGCTACATAATTCTAGAGTACATCTCACAGCACGGCTTCATCAGCGACGGAAACTCGCAGACCTCGTCTCGCAAATTAGAAATGATCGACCTCCGTGAAGAGTCAAGCTCACTGGGTCTTCGAAGGAGAAGTTTATCCAAATTATCTGAGATCGTGAGCCGGCTCATTGGAATCTTCCAAGGACATTTGGTCTTTCTGGATCATCAGTACTGGTTATGTACATGGGATATAGAGGGTGATGAAAAAGCTTGTCGGAGGAATTTCTTTTTGCCAAAGGATTGGTTGTCTCCGGATTCTTTGAGTCTTGTTGTGCTAGATCAACTTGGGACCCTTCTTTGTCCGAGGAATGGGGATGTCGCGATTGTTAGATCGGGATTTAGGTTTTGATATGAAATGTTCCAAGGAAATAAGATCTCAATTTCAATTTCACTGGGTTGAATGTTCTGGTACATAATACATTGGTCAAGAAGACAAGACAGAATTATTGTAATCAAGTTCGAGATTTGAAGCTCAAATATCGAATCATCATGAACAGCAAGCAGACAGTATTGATAATCATAGTAAGAAAGATATTGACACAACCGCCCAAAACAAAACATATTTCACAGCTGAGACGAAAAAGCGAGTCCGCCTCAAAAAGGGGGTAATGTTACAAAGAAATAGCGCTTAAACAGACTCAATCAAATTCGCATTCGCATTTGCGTTCGCGTTCACATTCGCATTCAGATTCATGAAGGAGATTCGTTGCTCGTCGCAGCCCGTCGACCCCACCCACTAAAGAACCCTCCACCACCAGCACCGACATTACTCGAGGTTCCGGGCGTCTTGATTGGTTCAGTGGAAGCTTTGGTCATACTTGCTCGCGAAGGCGAGCGGCCGATGAAAGAATGCCGATTTTCGAGATTCGCGGCCGAATTGGAATGAGGTGCGCTGATCATCTTTCGCAGGGCATCCATTTTGCATTTGACTTCTTCGAGTTCTTGTTTGGCGACGGCTTCGGCGGTCTTGGCGTTGACGAGTTCTAGGAGGAGGGTTTCTTCCGCGGCGGGTTTGTGGTTCTCTGTTGCTAACACGCTTTGGAGACCTAGGCTGCTGGAGCGCTTGTTGAAGGTTGTTGGGCTCTTTTGGGAGTTTGTTCGCACGAGCCTCAGTTGTCGGAGACCGTTTGGTGAGGCGGTCTCGTTGGATTCGGTTGGAGAGGTGGTTGACTCGGGGGGTGTTGATGATTCTGCATTGAATGTCTTGAGACTCGGTGTCTTGAGAGATCGAAGTTCCTGGTTCATTCGCTCCAGTCGCTGTCGATCGCGATAGCCATCCTGGATCCGACCGCGAGCCTCGCGGAGCTGATCTTTCAATGATGAATTCTCCTGTTCGAAGTCGTCCATTCGTCGTGTGAGATCCAAGCAACGACTAGCTTCTACCTCATGCATTGATTTCCATCGGGTCATGTCATCGTGGAGCTGGTGCTTTGTTTGGGTGATGGACGTTTGTTTCGGCTCTTCGGATGAGAAGCGGACTTGGGCTTTGGACATCAGCTCTTCGGGTTGGTTTTCATTCGGCAGTTCTCGGAGGTAGCTGAGCATTTCTTTGGATAAGGCGTTGTCCTCCTCTCGTTCCTCTCTTTCTTGTTGCAGATCGCGTGTGAGATCGGCGTGCTGGCGTTGAAGATCGCTCAGGGCCATTAGAAGATCCTCAATCTGTGTGTGGAGGTCGCGATCCTTGTGCTGAGCAGACATGTTGGACTTGACGCGTGTTTTATCCGTGCCTACCGTGGTAGTGGACAACTCTGTTGGGGCGGTGCTCGCGTCGGACGTTGTTTCAACCGAATTGAGCGTGGAAGTCATGCTTTGTTTCGACGTGGATCGACGGATTGTACTGACAGGCCGCGAGGGGCTCGAGTTGGGGTTGAGCGATTTCATCGAGTTATGAGATCCGGATCCAGCCCAGAGGCGACCCAGGAAACGAGATGCCGTGGCTTGCATTTGGGGGAAAGAGATGCCAGTTGGAACACCCTGGGATTGGTTGTAACTAGCTTCCAAAGCCTGGAGGCTCTCCTTGGTGACGAGTGAAGTTAGAGAAACAAAGTCATTGACCAGGTCATCGGCGTTAAACGCGTAGCTAGTATAAACATTGTTAGTATACGCGTGTACACGAGTGGTGACGAGTGTGTAGAAGAGAGGAGACACGTCGAGGAAAGAAAGAGAGAGAAACTCACGTATCCCAAAGACTCCGCGACAGAAGAAGTTGCATGACGTCTTCGAATTCGCTGCACGCCAAAATTCGCTTTTCGTTGCGCTGCATGAGGGAAAGAGCAACCCGCATTAAAGTCTCACAGGCTCCTTCCAAGAAAATTACATCGTAAATTCGAAGGAGCATTGGCAATGGACAGGCGACTGCGAAAAATGAAAGGAACCACTGGGAGACATAGATCGGTTCGACATTTAATGACTCCAAGTGATCAAATAGAGCTGGACGGTGTCGTGCCAGGAGATTTTGGAATTGGTACACATGGAGATGCAGACCCGAAAGATCGGGTAAATAGCATGTTCGAAGGTTGTAATGGTCCATCAATCTGGAAAGGAAAGCATTAGCATGAAACAATGGGATCCACCTGGAGGCAGTGGAGGGTATCACAGCATCTTCTTACCGGACAAGCACACAAAAAGCCTCAGCATCCGACATGTGCATGAGCAAAGGACCAACAACGAAACCAAGGCCTTGACAATATCCAATCTTGGCATCATAAAGACTGAAACATCTCAGTACTCGGGCTAACATTTGCTGGCCTTCACCATTTGGGTCCCGGAACATTTCAACATTGGGAAAGCTGCGGCCAATATCCTTTCCGATCAGCCCATCGTAAGGGCTACTTTCACCGGAAAGTCGTTGGAACTCATCAATCAACGTGGGATCGCGGGCTCCAGCCAAACTGGGCCACACAACCCCTCGAAGTGGTGGCGGGACACCCCCCTGAATCTTATTCGAGGTCAAAGTCGGCAATCGCTGAGCCGTTTGTGGGTAATCTGCCACCAGCGCCGCCCAGAATTCCAGCTCTGTCATCGGTGGCGGGGAGAGCTGTGAATAGCGCAGTTCTGATCGCGCCGGGTCTTTGATCAACCGTTTGATCTGAATGAGCGACTGCGAGCGAGATTGCCGCTGGTGTCGGGGTGATTGGGGGACATTGTTGGACAGGCCGGATTTAGGGTTCGTGGCTAGAGCATTGTTTTCTTGTTCGAGGCGAGCGAGTAGGAGAGCCGTTGACTGTGTAGGGAAGGGGGAAGAATGTCAGCGCCTGGTCAAGTAAAGGCCCCCGTTCCTTCGAGATGGCAAACTTCTTCTTGTCACCTACATCATCTGAACCTTCTCCTCGCGGTTCCTTCTCTTCGGTCTTCTCTAGATTTGTCCAGTCGACCTCGTTATCGATCTCCTCCTCGACATCCTTATCTCTCGTTGCCGTTGGGGTCGAAGGCTCGGAGATGGGCACCGGGGTTGTCCTTGCGGCATCCTGAAGCGCCATCGGACCGAATGACTCGCCTTCGTGAGTATTGTTCACCGGAGTTGAAGGAATATCCAGGTTGCGCCACTCTGGTTGAGTGTGTTCGGAGCTCGATTGATTATCAGAGAGGGCGACAGTAACCATGGAGTCGTGATTGGGGGCATGCGGCGCCGGGGGGGGGGGTTCGGAATTCTCCATAATGCGACACACGGGGTTCAGAGATGGGGAGAATGGGGAGAGGGTGGAGGGGAGCAAAAGGATCGCCGACACGGGTCAATTAGACTCGGGAAGAAAATGATAGGACGGTTGAGGGGATATGTAAGGCCAGCTTCATTTCTATGGGGGAGGAAGAGGATTAGCTTAGGGAGGTCCACACAGACACGCAGACGCAGACGAGACACGCAGACACTGGAGCAGCACAGCACGAGGGCAAGTTGAAGAATAGAAAGAACATACCTTGAGGTGATCCAGCACCATATAGTTGAGGAAGACAAAGAAAAAGGGACAGAGGAAATCGAAACGGCGGGACTATTCGACTAGCCCCCCTTTACTTTGACTAGCTTCCCCCTCCTGCAGTCTCGCCCCTCGTCGATCTCATACACCGACTGTTTGGCTAGTATGGAGTACCTTACGGAGTAGTCTCCAGAGTATCGTGTACGGACTACGGAGTACCTTTCTATACAATCCTGAATCTGATGAACCACAGGAACCTTGGTTCAGGCCCACGGTTCTTCCCATCACCCCATATCATCATCACCAACACCATCTTATCTAACCTCGACTCGGCGAGGTACAGTGAAGGGTTAATCCAGCCCGATCTGTAATCAGCATGTCAGTATGACCTGCAGGTACCAAGTACACATACATACAAGATGTACGAATACCCCATACAGCCTTCAATATTGATCCATATTGGTCCAATATTGGAGGGGTGGTGCGCCCAGCCTGCTGGAGTAATTTCAATACACTGCGGGTGGTATTGTAATTTATTCTGATTCTGGTTGGTACTTAATATACTTTCTGGCCTCTCATTGGTGAAGGTCCAGTGTTCGGTCTGAAACGGTATGACCACCCCCTAGCCACCCTGTTTCATCTTCTATTCTGCTCCAATCGTCAAGAAAAGGGGGAGGATTGGAGGCTGGTTCAGAGAATATCTCAAATCTGGGCTTTGACGGAGTGCGGAGTAGTGATGCATCATTCAATCATAGAATTGAACCTCGCTGGATGACTGTATCCAGTTTTCTGAGGGGCCGCTGTCAATGATCCCCTTTTTTCAAGGTTATTTCTTGGTGGATCTGCAATGGCCCAGGCGGTCTAAATGGTCCGTCACGGTGATTATCCTCCGAGTTAGTGTAGTGGAGATGGCTTCTGGAAGACTTTTGTATGGATGGAGGATTGTAATCCGCAATCCATGGTAGTTCCTAATACAATTCATGCCAGTGGATGTTCCAGGGTTAGAAGCTGGTAAGTACGGGATACAGACAGTAATTTCCGAAATGATGCAAGGGTGGGAGACAGGATCTTGGTGCAGTGCAGTCCTAGAAAGGGCTGCCAGCCTCCGACTACAGTAGTATACACAGGGACACGGGCAAAATGCCCAATCAGTCAGAGAGAAGTGAGAGAAGTGAAATAGTACTGGAACTATTAGTACAGTCATTGTTACTAGTACTAGTAGATTTATATGATAAATTAGTAATTGAACTTGATATGATGGTAGGATGCTAAAGATATATAGAACAGTGATATCGAGTATATCCAAGTCTAACAACTAAATACTAGTAGGCAGAAGTGGCTAGATGATAGCTACTGGTATACTATATGTGAGACTCGAAGTGTGAGAGTAGAATGAGGATGTACCTAGGTACTACTAGTATCTCCAGTGTACTCTGTGGCCGCACTTCCCATGACGCGCCTTTGTTTGTTTGTTTACAGCGGGGGCGAAGGCGGTGAGTAGGGAAGATTAATGATCCGACCTTCCGAGTGGCCACAACTCTCACCGCCCGGCTTGGCAGGCGCGTTTCATCGGCGCCAAACGGAAAATAGCAACAGAGGAGACGACACATTCCTCCCATTTTCTCCCCTTTACCCCCCCCCCTACAGAGCATGTTGGGCTTTGTTCAATCTGTCGCGTAACTTTTAACCCTTACCGACCTGATTGCCCCCGCCATTCGTTTCTCTACCGGTCTGATCCCGATTCCGTCGGTTTTTCGGCTTCCGGTCCTTCATCATGGACGACTCGATCATGGATGATGATATTTTTGATGTCGAGAGCGACGCTGGCAGCTCCGACTTTGTCCCTGAGCCTGTTTCGGTAAGCACATATTCTTTGCGCCTGGAAATCTAGCCACATGATTTAACACGCCTCTGCAATATATAGAAGCCCAAGGCGAAACCAGCTCCCAAGAAAGCCGCCGCCAAACCCGCGGCGAAGAAGCAAACGACCCTAACTGCGACCAAGGCCAAGGCCGCCCCGAAGAAAAAGGCCAAGGTCGATAGTGAAGATGAAGTTTCTGACGTGCAAATGTCCGACGACGAGTCGCTCTCCCACACCCCTCCCAAGGCGAAAAAGCCCGCTGCCACCAAACGCGCCGGCTCCAAACCTCTCGCAGACGTGGAGAATGAGTCTCATGCAGATGGGGGGCCCCAGTGCTCCGACTGGTAACAGTGGCGACAAGTACCAGAGGGTGAGTTGCCCATACCATTGAATCCAGAGGAGCTTGACTGAACGGTGTTACTAACGTTGATCCGGTCTTAGTTAACACAACTCGAACACATCATCAAACGCCCCGATACATACATTGGCTCCATTGAGGCCACCCAGCAACAAATGTGGGCCTTCAACTCGGAGACTGAGATGATGGAATTTCGCAATGTGACCTTCGTCCCCGGTCTCTACAAGATTTTCGATGAGATCGTCGTCAACGCAGCCGATAACAGGCATAATGACAAGGGCATGAACGAAATCCGGGTCACCATTGACCGCGAAAAGGGCGAAATCAGTGTTTGGAACAACGGACGTGGTATTCCCATCGAGATTCACTCCAAGGAGAAGATCTATGTACCGGAACTGATCTTCGGAAACTTGCTCACATCCTCCAACTACGATGATACCCAGCAAAAAGTGACTGGTGGTCGAAACGGTTACGGTGCCAAGCTTTGTAACGTCTTTTCCACCGAGTTCACCTTGGAAACTCAAGACTCCAACCAGAAGAAGAAGTACAAACAGACCTGGACAGAAAACATGAGCAAGATTGGCAAGGCAAAAATCACCGATGTCAGCAAGGGCGATGACTACACAATGGTCACTTTCAAGCCGGACTTTGCCAAATTCGGTATGGAAGGCATTGACGATGATTTCGAGGCGCTCGTGAAGCGTCGTGTCTATGATTTAGCTGGTACCTCGGGTGTCACTGTCAAGCTGAACAAAACACGTGTCCCGATTCGCAACTTCAAGTCATATATGCAGATGTACACCAAGGCCATTCGTCGTGAGCGCGGAGACGACGGTCCGGCCCCCAAGGATGAAATCCTCACTTGTAACCCAGATCCTCGATGGGAGATTGGCTTCTCCGTTTCAGATGGTGCTTTCCAACAAGTATCATTCGTCAATTCCATTGCGACTACCTCGGGTGGAACTCACGTCAACTACATCGCGGATCAAATCTGTAACCGACTCGCTGATCAGGTGAAGAAGAAGAACAAGACCGGCGCCACGTTGAAGGCGGCCCAAATACGTAACCATATCTTCATTTTCGTCAATGCTCAGATCGTCAACCCGGCCTTCACCTCTCAGACAAAAGAGCAATTGACCACGAAGGCAAGCCAATTTGGTAGCAAGTGTGTTTTGGAAGAAGATTTCTATAAGAAAATTTTGAAGACTGAGGTGATGACCAACATCCTGCATTTCGCTTCTCAAAAGGCAGATCAAATCTTGAAGAAAAGTGATGGCGGCCGTCGTACCCGCATGAACAACCCCAAGCTTGTGGAAGCCAACAAGGCAGGCACCCGGGACGGTCATCACTGTACCTTGATTCTGACTGAGGGTGATTCCGCCAAAGGTTTGGCTATGGCTGGTCGTGCTGTTGTCGGTCCCGATCTGTTCGGTGTCTTTCCTCTTCGTGGAAAGTTGCTTAACGTTCGCGATGCGTCATTTGACCAGATCTCCAAGAACGCCGAGATCCAGAACATCAAGAACTTCATTGGCTTGCAGCACAAAAAGGAATACACAGAGACCAAGGGTCTCCGATACGGTCACCTCATGATCATGACCGATCAGGATCACGACGGTAGTCACATCAAGGGATTGCTCATCAACTTCCTCCAAGCACAATTCCCCAGTCTTCTCAAGATCCCCGAGTTCCTGATTGAGTTCATCACCCCTATCATCAAGGTGTGGAAGGGAGATCCAAAGAACCCTACAAAGTCGCAATCGTTCTTCACCATGCCCGAGTACGAGGATTGGCTCGAAACCCACAAGGGTGAACGTGGTTGGGACCACAAGTACTACAAGGGTCTGGGAACCAGCTCTACAACGGACGCCCAGATCTACTTCCGCGATCTTGATCGCCATCTCAAGGAGTTCCACATCATGCAGGACAGCGAGGCTCAACTCATCGAACTCGCTTTCTCGAAGAAGAAGGCCGACGAGCGTAAGGAGTGGCTACGTCAGTTCAAGCCGGGCACATACCTGGACCACTCGGCGTCGAAGATTTCATACACTGATTTCATCAATAAGGAACTTATTCTCTTCAGCATGGCAGATAATCAGCGTTCCATTCCATCTGTCGTTGATGGTCTGAAACCTGGTCAACGCAAGGTCCTTTATGCTTGCTTCCGCCGTAACCTGAAGAAGGATATGAAGGTTGTTGAGCTGGCTGGTCTTGTTTCAGGAATGACAGCCTATCAACACGGTGAAACTTCCCTCCAGCAAACCATCGTCGGTCTAGCGCAGACCTTCGTTGGCTCCAACAACATCAACTGCCTTGAGCCAAGTGGTAACTTCGGTAGTCGACTCCAGGGCGGTGGCGACTGTGCCAGTGCTCGTTACATTTACACTCGTCTCTCACCATTTGCCCGCAAGGTGTTCCATACTGCCGACGAGCCGCTGCTGACTTACAACGAGGATGATGGCAAGAAAATCGAGCCCGAGGTCTACATGCCTGTCGTACCGATGCTTTTGATCAACGGTACCGATGGTATTGGAACCGGTTGGAGTTCTTCCATCCCTAACTACAACCCCGAGGATGTGGTGAGCAACTTGAGACGTTTGATGGATGGTGAGCCAACCCAGCCTATGCAACCTTGGTTCCGTGGCTTCACGGGTGAGGTTGTGGATATGGGCGGCGATCGATGGAAGTTCAGCGGTATCATCAAGGAAACTGGCGATAAAGAGGTTGAAATCACTGAATTGCCCATCCGCACCTGGACTCAGGACTTCAAGGACAAACTCGAAGATATCATCAAGGCCGACAAGGTGCCTTCCTTCATCAAGGACTACAAGGATTACAATACCCACGACAAGGTCCACTTTGTGATCCAACTGGACGAGAAGAACTTGAAGTCCGCCTTATCCGATGGCTTGGAAGACAAATTCAAGCTCACTAAGAGTATCGCTACCAGTAATATGGTCGCCTTCGACCCCGAGGGTCGTATCACCAAGTATGCCACTGTGGATGATATTCTCAAGGAGTTCTTCCATCTTCGCCTCAAGTACTATGAGCGCCGCAAGCAACACCAGCTGAGCGAACTTCAAAAGGACCTTGAGAAGTTGAGTAACCAGGCTCGCTTTGTTCAGATGATCATCGACGGAAAGCTCGTCATTTCCAAGAAAAAGAAGTCTGTCCTAGTCAACGAGTTGAAGGAGAAGGGCTTCAGGGCATTCGCCAAGGTGGCGGATGCTGTCAAAATGGGCGAAGAAGAAGCCGTTGTTGACGAGGGTGATGAAGACGGCGACGCTGACGTCGAAGTCTTGTCAAGCTCTTACGATTACCTGCTCGGCATGGCTCTGTGGTCCTTGACCCAGGAACGTGTTGAGAAGCTCCGCCGTCAGATTGGTGACAAGGAGACCGAAATCGATGCTTTGATCAAGCTTTCCAAGGAGGACATCTGGAGACATGACCTTGACGAATTCATCAACGAGTGGCGCTTCCAGCTCGAAGACGAAGCCCGTCGTCTCCGTAAAGTCAACAACATGGGCCGCCGTGAGTCTTCCAAGCTTATGACTGGCGCGCGCCGTGCTCCAGCATCCCGCAAGCGCAAGGCTGCGGCGACCGGCGATGATCCTGATGATGAGGACTTCGGTGCTCCTAAATCAAAGAAGGCAGCCGCAGCTGCAGCTAAGAAGGCTAAGCCCACTAACAGTCTCGCCAACTTCCTCAACTCTAAGCCCGAAGAAAAACCAAGCGTATCGGGAGATGGGGCCGCTGATTCCGACGACGATTTCGAAATGGAAGTTATGCCTAAGAAGAGTCGCGCTGCTGTGAAGCCCAAGCCAAAACCCAAGGAGGAGGAAAACGACGACGACTTCATGGATATCGATGAAGCTCCTTCTCGCGCATCAGCCCAACCAAAGGCCGAGCCTGATATTTTTGATATCGACAGTGAGCCTGAGGCCAAACCTGCTCCCAAGCCCAAGCCTGCGGCTAAGCGGGCACCCAAGGCCAAGGCTGAGCCTGATCCTTTCGAAATCGACAGCGACAGCGAGGCCGAGGCCGAGGCTGAACCTGAACCTGCTCCAAAGCCCAAGCCCGCGGCCAAACGGGCAGCAGCCAAACCAAAGGCAAAGGCACCTGTCGACGACGACGGATCAGACGACGATTTCCTCGAAATCGCAAAGAGTGAAGCTGCCAAGCCTGCCGCTGGAAGTCGCTCCCGTAAGCCAGTCAAATACTCTGCCCCCAGTGACTCGGAGAGTGACGGGGAAGACATGCTTGGAGATGTTAGCCAGATGGTCAAGGGAATTGGTGGTGCTGACTCGGAGCCCCGTCAACTCTTTTCAGAGCGTTCCCGTGCTGGAAGCAGTGCAAGTCTGAAGGCTAGTGGTGCCATGTCCCCCTCCAAGTCGCCTTCCAAGGTCAGCGAATTCGATCCCGATGAGACGGATTACACCAAGCTCATTCCCTCGAAGTCCCCTCGACGACGCTCGCTGCAGATCAAGCCTAGGGAGGTTACAAGAATTGACGACGAGGACGAAGAGGAAGAAGAAGAGCCCGTCAAGCCTGCTGCCAGGGCCAAGGCTGCGCCGAAGGCAAAGGCCGCTCCAAAGGGTGCAGCTGCAAAGGCCGCTCCTAAGACTGCTCCTGCCCGTGCAAAGAAGGCCGATGCTCCTGTTGCCTTGTCGCCAGCGGCCAAGGCTTACGCTTCAAAACAGTCCAAGGCTGCGCCCAAGACAAAGAAGGTGGTGGAGGATTACTCAGAAGACGACATCGACGCCATGGCCAATGACATCTTGGATTCTCCCGCCGGCAAGGCGAATGATGACTCTGAAGATGACGAACCGGTCGCTCCTAGACGGGGCGCCGCCGCCAGGCCTGCCCGTCGTGGTGCAGCGCAGGCCAAGAAGAGTTATGTCATTGAAGACGACGAGAGTGAAGAGGAGTCGGAAGATGACTTCGACGATGATGAAAGCGATTGAGGGAGTAATTGTTGCTGTGTGTTTGGAGTGATTGATCCTTGACCCTCATTTTGATCTTTACCAATTCCTTTCTTACTTGTTTTACTTTTTTCCTTCATACATGTCTTTTTTTTTTTTAGTGACAGGCTGAGCCGGCGTTTATCAAGATGCGTCTACAATACTATTCTGCATATTTGAACCAGTTCGACATACCAAAGAATACTTCGTAGGATACGAATGCTTCGCTCTAATAGAAATCGAATTCCCGATCTCTGCTGCAGCGTTATCGTCATGACTTTATTCTTCCAAGATTATACTGAAGCCAAGTCCATTCATCGAGGTAAGCTAAAAACAAAAATCGCACGTTCCCTTCTCTATGAACACAAAAGCCAGAATCAACCCATATCACCGACCCCAAACGCCAAACCACTCTAAATCCACCCATCCCCATGCAAATAATCCCATCAAATACAAACAACCCCCAAATCAAACCAGTCGACAGTGCAGAACACCCATCCCCATCGTCTCGAAACACACGGTCCGGCCAGGTGCTCTACACAGAAGCCCGGCGTCTCTTCCGCGCACCAGCACCACCCTGATCCAAAACACGTCCCAGGCCCATATCAGAAGACTTATCAGGCAGAGGCACGGCGTCATCCTCATCCCCACCCTCGTCCTCATCGGCAGTAGCCTCCTGCATATGCAAATGAACCAAAGCATGCGCCGCCTTAACCTCCTGCGCGAAATGCTTCGGCGGACTCCGAGTCATCCTCGCTTCTGAACGAGGCGTGAATCTCCTTTCTGCGTCCGCGTCTACATCTGCACTAGCACTAGCACTAGCAATACTTCCCACCGAGACAGATGAAGGCGACTCCATCTCGCGCCAGTCTCCATCGTGCTCGTCGTCGACGGAGTCGATTACTGACTCGCTTGTATCGGTGTCGGAATCGTACTTATCAAGCACCTTCCCAAGACGATGAACCCTCCTATTCACCGGGGAGAATCTCGACCGCGACGACTCGGCCTCGCTATCGGCGTAGCTGGGACGTATACTTCCGCTTCCGCTTAAGCTTGGACTTGGATCCGTGCAGGAGAGAAATGCCTCCGTGTGCGAGCGGGGTGCATTCACCGGCGTAAAGGACCCCGGACTTGAGGGGGACATGCAATACGGTTCAGACGATGACCCGCGCGTACTGGCGATACTATCTGCGTAACTCCGGCGTGGCAACTTATACGCGCGTCTGTCGGGTAGTGCTGGGCAGATGGGTATATGTGTTTGTATCTCGGTTCGCCATGGCGAGGCGGAGGCGGAGGGGGAGGTACTAGTACTAGTACGAAGAAGGCAGCTGGTGCTGCTCGTCGTGGTGGGTGCTTCGAGGGAGCGGTAGTAGTGGGCTGTTTTTGTGGCGCGGTCTATGACGCTTTGGTCTCAGGACCATGTTGCCGAAGTTTTCGTGCTCTTTTTCGAGACACATTTTTGGGAAGTCCGGGCCGAATATGGGGGGTTAGGGCGTAGCGGATTGGGTGGCAGAAGCGGATTGCTAGGGCTCTGGCTGCTTCGAAGGGCATCCAGTATCCTTTGTGACATTAGATTAGCTGGTGTTTTATCTTATGTGTTGAGGAGGGAGGAGAGGGGGTAGTTTACCTTGGGCTGCGATTGCTCCTCCAGTTATGCTGTGACAGATGTCGCGGAGTCCGGGGTTTTGAGCGAGGACTTTGGCCGGGGTTGTCTGTGTTGAGATTAGATGCTAGTCGTATGATGGATTGGACATGGCTATGTCTTTCATGCGAAGAAAGCCCTGGAGAACACACCTTCGTATAACCCAGTGCTTTGAATAGGTGGGTGATTCGAACAAGTCCGATGTTATAATCCCACATCATGATCCATCTCTCCCCCGGATCCCCGTAACGGAATATATACTGGTAAACTGAGCACAATGGTGAGTATAAAAAGAGTAATGGCTGAGAATGGAGAACACAAGACATACCCTCAAATTTACTGCGGCCCGTCTTCTCCTCGAAAGACTTCTTCTCGCTCCGGTAAGGAATCGTTCGAGGATATTTACCAATCCTTGCATCCGGCCCCATGGGTAGAGTTCCAATTTCCGGTGCTCGTCGGCGATTGGATCCGGACGGTCTTCACAGGGAGGATAGCGAATCTCGCCCTGTGGGTCATTTTCCTTGAAGACGGGAGCGTCTTTGGGGATCTTGTATTTCGCGGCGAGCCTGTGGCGGCCCGGGTTTAGGCTTCTTGCCATGCTTATGCTAGGGGAGTTGTATGAAGCACCGAAGCTGGGAGAAGTATGCACGGGAAGTTCGGGGGCCGGATTCAAGAGGGACTTGATCGATGCCATGGGTGAAGGAGAATATTTATGCAAGAAGAGTGAAAAGGAAAGAAAGCTTCGGGCAATGGGAGGAAAGGTTGAATCAGTTCAGATTCAGAGTCAAAGTCAGAGTCAGAGTCGGATGGAAGAGGGAAAGAGAGGGGGAGGACGACCAATGTAAATGGCAAATGACAAATTATGTGGAACAAAAGGCGTTTTCTAGAAGGCTTGCGAGAGACACGCTTGATGCCTCCGCGCAAGACACGGCCCCGGTTTGATATTGCCTCCGACGTCTTTGTCTCCAGGTTTGTCCTGTACCTTTAACGAGGGTGATTACAGTCCTTGTTTGACCTTGCGAGCAATTTCTTGTCTCTGTGATTCAGACTGATGAAACGAGACACACGATGCGTTGTCGAGGAGATAATAGTGCAAGACAAGAGAATCCTGGAGGGAGAGGGGGAATAGCGCCTGGCGGTGTATAGTATAGTATAGTACACACTTGGAGCAGCGTCTGGAATGACTTTTCCTCCTTGGGTGATCACCTCACCGATATCTTTGACAGCATCACAAGGGCTATTCAAGTCGGACAGATTTCCTGGGATATGTTTGTCTCTCTCCTCGGCTTGGGGGGGTCTATTCCCCCTCCATCGAAGATCTTCGACTCTGGACTGACCGCTATGCTGTGCACATGCTGTCATCGATCTCCACCATTGATGCCCCTGGATGAGAGGGGTGGGCATGAGTGAGTGCTCTAGAATGAAACCCGTGTCTCCAAGCTTCGAGGCCTCGTTGGTTTCACTACCGCAGAGGTGGGTACCCAAGACCTGGAAGCCCAAAGCACAAAGTGCCCATGGGACCTTGTCTGGCACCATGTGGATATCCTGCACTACAGCTACAGCTACAGCTACAGTGCTTTGGGAACAGAAAGGGACATCACGCGTTTCCACCGCCTCATTCACTTCCTGTGCATTTTAATACTGTATGCGCATGCAAACAGACCGTTGCGGCAGTCTGCACACGGTATAATCAAGAGCGTGGTTATAAAAAAATATTAGCCCTAACCACTCTTCCGGCTGCCTGGTTACAATGGCGCCGATCTACTTCCGAACCCCCGTTTTTTTGATTGGGAATACGACGGCTATGATAGAACCTTGATCGAGCCTCTGTCACATTAGATCATCCTCTCGATACGAGATACTATTGGATTACCAACATTCTACTTCACCCGGAGAATTTACTCTGGGGGAAACCTCGTAACCAATCAGTGGATTAGCCGCCGCATAGTGGCTCGATGAGACGGACATCAAAGAGGTCTGAGACCTCGGCAAGCTGCAGGGAAACTTCTTCCTTGTATGACGGACAGTTGCAGGCTCCGCTGGCGAGTTCTCTACGGCCGGGAAGTTGTCTTGGAGAAAGCAATGCTGCAAGTAGAGATAAACTTCTGACCGGATTCAAAGGGAGGGGGGACGCTTACACTTCCAGCACTGTGATCTTGGAGAAATTATTTCCTGTGGAAGTGCATCGTCCTCTCACAAATACATGCCTCAAAGGCCCCTTTTATTTCTATCAGCCGCATGTCTAGGAATTTTCGTCTCAGCTCGCGCGTTGTCCCGGTAGCAAGACATAATCACGACCGCACCCGATGAGACCGCTCTTTCAGTCTATGTTTAGGGCCGTCGTAAAAGTAAAAAGAAAAAGAAAAAAAAGTGGTTCGATTCAGAGCCTCAAGCAGGAAATATCAAAGAAAGTTCCATGCATACTTCTCTGCAGAACTCCGACACGTTGGTGGCTGTTGAAAAATCCACTTTTTTTTGGCTCCCTCTTCCCTGTTGCCCGTCTCCTAGTCTGGGCATTAGTTGGTGTTTTTTTTTTCTGCGTATGCCACATTGACCTCCAATCCTTCCAGTCCGTTCTGCAAAATTTCCCCATTGTACCCACTTTCTCCATGCGGGCTGGGTATAGTTCCGAGCAAGGTACAGGGTGGCTATCTATCGACTAATAAGCATAGGTCAGATCCGCACTCGGGAGTACAGCGTCAACGGTGCAGGTGTTGACCGTTAGGACACATCACAACCTAATGATCAAGTCCAAGTCGAGAATACATGGCTGAATTAGGGTATGTTGGAAAATGAAAATGAAATTGCAATAATAGCGATATCCATCACGACTAGCTAAATGGTCTTGTTTGGGGGGTAAGGGGGGAAAGCAGCCCAACCATACGAGTCTGAGACTAAGGAAAGTCTGGAAGGAAAGGCTGCGATTCCAATGTTTAAGACAGCCAGTTGATCGACCACGACACTATTGGTCTCTCAAAGAGCGGTATGTCTGATAATACGTGCTCCTCGGTGTGAGGCTCAATGGTTTCTCGGGGTTCTAGAAAAGGGGGATGAAGGAAGGCTGACTGTTTCAACTGGGTGTTGTGTACGAGCTCTTCGATAATCCATTCACCTCAACGATTCTTCAAATCTTCGAAGGGGAGGTTGTATTCTGGGGTCGTATAGGCACCGCATATCCACTATTTCGAATCGTCAATTGACTAGTCCTGCATAAGCCAACGGAGCAATACCAGTCTCAATTTACATTTACCCTCGAGACTCGACATAAGTTAGCTAGTATTCCAAGGTTATGGCTACCGCTGGACTTCGCCCAGCTTCCTCCAGGGCTGTCGACAATCCAATTCGAAACGATTCTCGACACCCGCCTCCACGCTACCCTACATCCACCACACCACACCCCCAACAAAGAAGCCAACAACCGCCAAACCTAGCCAGAGAAAATCCCTGTACAACAAAACCGCCTACATTAGGAAGATAAAACACGTCCAATTTACTCAATGTCACGGTACAAGACTCCCGGACCCATAGCCATAACCATAACCATAGCCACATCCACAAAGGCAGAAACGTCCATGGAAGAAAACAAGGACGCTCAGCCAGCCCGATTCACGATGCGGAGAGTTGGGGCTAGAGGGCTAGGGCTAATTGTCCATATGAAACGCAACGGCCTCGTACGGGGGCGGGGGCATGTTACGCATGCAGGAGAGCAAAGCATTGCCAACTTGTGCGAGCGATCATCTGCTCTGCTCTGCCCTACACGGCTTGCGCTAAGAATGCCAATGCCAATGCCTTGTTACAGTCGAGTCGAAGCTGCAGATTGGAGCTGAGTGGCTTCTGCCGGCCTTCTAGATCAGCCGCGCTGCGTGTTAAGGGTTGTACGTGGGAGATGGAATCCCGGTGGGGGGGCTCGAGGACCGGAAGACTGCAGAAACGGGCTGGAGTTGGAACTATGATGGGGGGGGGGAGGGTGAAGAAACGTCAAATTCATGAGATTATTTTAGGACAATTGCATTAAAACAATATGGACCCGAGAAGAAGTAAACAAATGCGGTGGTGGAGGTGAAGATAAGGTAAAAAAGTAAAGGGTGGTAAGTAGAAGGCAGAATGGACAGGCAAGAGAAGAATTTGTAGGTGATGTGGATAAAAGGATTGCAAGAGACAATGGAAATCAATCCATCCCCCGAGCGTTCCACATAGTTTTCGTCATCGGTGCTAGGATCGCGCGTCGGAGGGCCCAATATACAGTCCAAAATGTGACCAGGCAAATAATATGGAGAGCCCCGACGACAATCCTGCGAGCCGTAAAACATAATTCGCTGAGATTTGGTACGGGTATGTGCCGTTCGTATTCTCATTGAATCATCGACAGATAATCGTGGGCAATCGTCAAAGCCCTAGTGTCTTGTAAGACACTCGGATCGCCAAGGGGCAACTTTAAACTGCCAGGAGAGGCTCGCGCTCCTCCTCCTTCTCAACCGACTCAACGGGATGAGAAATGGGCTCGGAGACGGGCTCGACCTTGGGAGCTTCCGGGAAGTCCTCAGTCTTAATGATGGGCGCGGGGTTGGCATCGCCCTTGACAATAGGAGAGACGAGCTTGGTCTTGTTTGCCTCGGGAGAGGCAGAGCGACGGCCGATGTACTCCTGGGCCTTGGAGCTGTAGTCACCGACATATTGCTTCATCAGACCGGTAGCGTGGGAGGTGTGCTCGCCAGCCAGATCCTTCAGCTGGTTGGTCTGGGAGCTGATGATAGCCTGGAGGTTGGCGATCTGCTCATCGATGATCTCACGGTTGCTGATGTACACAAGAGGGCCGAAGTAGGCGATGGTCACGGAGATCACAGCGAGTCCCCAGATCGGGACGAAGCGGATCAGCCAGTAGCCAGTGAAGGTAGCAGTGAAAGCCTATAATATTTTAGTACACTCCCTCCTCGTCTGGTTAGGGAAAAGATTTTGGCATTGACATACAGCAACGGTGTGAACGACATTCTCGGCGAACAGAATACGTTGGAACTCAATCAGGATAAAGTCGAATAGCTGGGAGATGTCCTCGAGCACGGCCTCGTGGGTTTCCTTGGGGATGGTATAATAACGACGAGGGCGGAATGAGCTTGCGATACCCTGCTTAAGGATCACAAGGCCAACAACTTCGACGGCGGCAGTCACTGCGGTACTTTGTTAGCGGACGGCTCGGAGTTTCGGTCACTCCACTCTGGTCACGCGACCAACTCACATCCCAACGACATGTACAGAAACTTGAAGGCCCAGCGGAGGAGGGGTAGGTAACGGGCGGCGAAGATGAATCCGATGACACTGGCGTAAGACACAGCGGTCGCGCGGGGTTGCTCCCACTATATGCACGAGGGGGTTAGAAGCGAGCCAGGCGCAATCCACGCGGGACCACAACAAAAGGTGGATTCGGGTCCAAACTCACGCTCAAAAGGCTGTACAGCAGGGAGTGGTAGTCTGCGCAGGGTCAGCAATATGCTTCATGGTTTATAGATAATGCGCTCTCTGGGGTGGGGGGGGTTAGAGAGCTCGGCCAGAACGTACGGGTCAAGGGCTGGCCATTTTCGGTAGTGGTGGAGGGGGTGACACGCGAGTTCTTGAGGTCGCGAAGCTCTGCGCTGGTCTTGGAAGCTTCGGACTTGACGCTATCGACAACGGGGCCTAGAACAAAAGCACGTCAGACAACTGGAACACGCTAAAAAAAGCCCCCCCTTTCTCATGGACTCATTACCCTTGGTGACAGCATCACGAATGCCTGGAGCAGAGAAAACCCAGAGTTAGTGGGATTTGTTCGTTCTGAACGGAAATGGACGACGGAAGCGATATGGAAGGAGATTGAATAATACTGCAGGAAACAGGACTGGTTAGCATGAATCTGCAGGCGAGTCGGGAGGAGTCGGCTGTTGTAAATTCGGCATACCTTACTGCCCGTGTCGGGGTAGCTCACATCTCCAGAATCAGCCATGGTGTGGGAATTTCAGGGAATCAATAGATATGAATCTGAGGGACAAGAGAAAAGGGTGAAGGGGTGAAGGTGAAAAGGTAAAGTGGAGGGGAAGTGTGGGAGAGAAAAAGAAAGGGAAAGATAAGGAAAAGAAAAGGGTTTGTGATGTCAACAGCATGTGCAAGTGTGCACTGGGCAAGTGCCCGCCAAGCCTAAACTGGGAACGGGAACGGGTCTGGGTAGCTCCTGCCAAACTTGCACCGCACTACACTTTAATGATGTCAGCACTGCTTATGGTACTCCATACTGGGTTCAGTATACTCCATACTATGGATGAATGGATGAATGATAGGATATGGTAGCCATGCTACATGATACTGCATACATGATACCGCATACTAAATCTTTTTTTGCTGCCTACTTTGGACATATCAATCCTCTCTCCCCCTTCCCTCTTTCTTCCCTCTTTCTGCCTCCCTCGGAATCACATTCAGCCCACTCACTAGACTTCCTTCATCATTGCGCGGATTCTCTGCACTCCCGCATGTTTCTCCCACTCTGGATGAACTGTAAGGACCGCTTGGAGCTGTTGATTGGCAATCGCCATGTTGGCATCGGTGCGGGCGCAATGTGTCTCGACGAACTGCTCGTGGATTCCAGGCATCGAGATTGCCGCCTGGAAGAACATTCGATCCTTGGATCCGTGAAGCAAGGTTGAAATGCTGCTGTCAAGCTTTCTCTCTTTTTCCTTGTTTCTGATCACACCTTCAAGATATTCGCGGTCTTGCTCGAAATTCTGACCTTCCTGAACCCAGTCATTTTTCCATCCTGGGATGTCAGCCATAAACCACGGATGATGGATCACAGAGGGTAGCGGTCCAAGATACAGCCAATCCCAGTCGATCACCCTATACCACAATTGTCAATCAATAAAGATAAAGAGAAGGCAATCTAGCAAGTCAGTGCCAAAGGAAAGGTGAAGGCTTACCCGGAGAGACGAAGGTCACGATCCACCATGATATTATGAGTGTTCAGATCTCCGTGAGCAATACCGATGGTATTGTACTCATCCACTGCGACGGAATAGTAGGGGATCATGGATCTCATGATGAGATATTCCATAGCATCTCCCCAGCGCGATTCTCCGCGCAGGGTCCGGTTGAGCTGTCGGTCAACCGTATGTGTCAACCATTTCGAGTATGGTACCACTGGCGTGGGGTATGGTAAGGCTGGAGCCGGGGTCGACCAAAGCAGCAGGAGAAACTCGGCAAGGTCTTCAAGGAAACCCTGACGCGCCCTAATCGGGATCTGAAGGTCCCATCTGCTCAGCGGGGCACCCTCTATCCAGTCCATGAACCAGACGGGGTGCTTTGTGCCATGAACGGTGGGGACGAGAATACGAGGATGATGTCGTTTGATATGCTGCAGGGTCTTGACGGCTCGTAATTCAGCGGGCCAGTCATGGGCATCTCGGCAGATTCGAAGGGCCCATTGAGTTGAATCGGCAAACTCGAGCTTGAATACGTCGTGGGTTCCGCCTTTGAAAGGGGAATCGTTGGGCAATCGACATTTCATACCAGAGTGAAGACGAGAGGCCTCTGCTAAAAGGCCAGGTAGGTTTGGCATCTTGCCTGTTGGGTCCAAAGGACCGAACATGAGATGGAAACGCCGTCGTAAAGTGATGGAGCAGAAGTGAAAAGGGCATAAACGAGATGATTAAGGGAATTCGATCTCGTTGGAAGGGGAGGGAATGAAAACAAAGATGAAATGAGCGGGAAGAGGGAACAGTCAGGTGAAGTGAAGTGAGGTGAGGTAAGTGCCAGTGTTGAACTAAAGGGAAGGAACGACCACAGTAAGAGTAAGAACTTATAGATACAGTAGATACAAAATAGTACCCAGAGAGTTATCTCTATAAATATGTACATGGAACTGGATAACCGCTCTGTAAAAGATGATCTGTTTGTTTAATCTAATTGCCAGTATGGTGATATCCGAAAATCAAGTATATCATACTGTCAAGGAGTACACTACTCGCTAGGGTACTTTGGTATACTCTATAGTATCTAAATGTGGGGCCCACGTGACCACGCGTTACCGAGTTGGGTTGTCTGTTTATCCAAACTTGAATGTCTCCCGCTCCATCGCCATCGCCATCGCCATCGACATTCCCGACCACACCTCGACACCTCAACACCCCCGTCGACTGCTGCTCTCACCCATGATTTCCCAATAATTCACCCATCCTATGCGGAATCTCTTTCTTCTATCTTTTGCGCCCACCTCCGACTCTCCTTGACTCCCGAGTCCGCACCTACTACGCGTTTGTTTACATCATGGCTGCTGCTGGCACGAGGGCACAGAAGCCCGTTGGCTCGGCCGCATGGATCGCCACCGAGAAGGAAAATGTAGCTGAATTGGTGGAACAAGAACTGGAAGAAGTCGAATACCCCGTCCGCCATGAGATGGACTGGCTCAACGAGCACATGGCCGAGATCTTCTCCAAGGGCCAAGCGTGAGTCGCGACCTGTCGCTCACCCGCCAACGTCGCCCTGGTGCTAATGCATGGTCCAGAAACTTTACCGACGTATTCAAAACTCCCGGCAAAATGCGAGGAAAGACTCCTCGCACAGCTCGCAAGCGAAATGTGGAGGATGACCGAGTCGTAAGTTCTCCGCGCTGGCCTGTGTGGGGTGGGGATTGCCTGCAGCTGAAATGAGGAGCTAACCACGCAACAGCCACTGAGCGAGATTTTCTCCTCCTCCCACAAGCAAGTGGAAAACAAGGCTGTGAGCCCCAGCCCATTTATTCATCGTGTCATCTCCAAAACTGCTGCGCCCGCGGCGGTTGCCCCTCCCCGCCTCAAGGAAGCCGAGGCGCCATCGCAGCCCCAATATCCAGATCTCACCCAGAACTTGAACTCCTTCCAAAAATACAACACCGACTCCGGCTACCATGGGATGGAGGATGAAGATGAAGAGGAGATAGATGATGATGATGAAATGGTGTTGCCCGATACACAGCCAGAATCAGAGACCGCCACACAACCATTCGAAGTGGATGAGCCTGCAAGATCGACCACCCGATCCGAACTTTCAGTCAGTCAACGAACAACAGAAAACTCTTTCGTCTCAGCTCAAGAGAACGTTCGTGCTCGGGGGGAGACTATCGAACCGATGAATGTGGATCCGACACCGACGCAGGAGCGCACTTCCCGCGCCGTGAACGCCGCCCACAAGGAATCTGAGCCTGAACTCGATACAACTCCAAAGGTTGTGCCTCCGTCTAAGACGAAGTATCAAACGAAAGCATCGACCTCCCAGGAAGCCCGGTCGGAAAAGCCCAAGGCCCAGGAAAAGCCCAAGGAGCAAGACCATGAAGACGTGATCTCCAGTGTTAAGAACCAGAAGCCAGTGGCTACCCATCAGCCAAAGGAGGAGGAATTTGAGTCTCATGATGACGAAATGGAAATCGAAGATACGGCGAAGGATGATACCATCCTAGACGACAACTTTGATGATATTGGATCGCCCTCCGATGGCTCTACACCAGACAGACTGCCTGTACGCAAGAGTAGCCTGAGCTTTGCCTCTCTGCCGGCTAGAGAGCCTCTGACCAAAAAGAGTATGGGTGGTGCAAGGATTTCGCGTACCAGTCACATCGATCTCGCAAAATTGAGCCACAAGAGAAACTCCAATTTCCTTGGGGTCCACTCAAGTGGTCATAAATCGGTACAGCCATCCTCAGAAGACAATGCGAGCGATCCGGCCGTGGACATTGACGATGAGAAGAAACCGGAAAAAGATGTCGATATGGACCAGGCTAGCAAGTTGCACAACAAAAAGTCGACCCAAAGCCTACATGACAGGATCAGCATGCTCGGAAAGCCGCAAACACGCCCCAACAAGTCAATCCCGACGGCAGCGGGGTCTGCCGGTCAAATTGCCTATCCTGAGCTCCCGGCTACCAAAACTGGACCAAAACTGGACTCTTCAAATGAGAAGACTAGGAAAACCCCCGCTCCGAAAACGGACAATGTTGGCGATGACGATTGGATCAAGGCTCTGGATTCGCCTCAGCGACCGAATCTCGCCAAGAGCAAGACCACAGATGTCATGGAGAGACTTTTTGAGCCGGAGAGACCCAAATCTTCCTACCAGAAGATGAGCCCAGCACTTAAGCAGAAGCTTGCTGAAGAACCCGAGCGGCCTAAATCATCCGCTTCCATCTTTTCCTCTCCTCGCCCACGGGGTCATCAGCAGAGCGCGTCTACTTCCATCCTGGGAACTACAACTCCCGTTGGATCTCCTCGACGTTTCGAGGGTCCGCTCAGTGCTTCCAAGATAAGGTTGCAGTCAATTATGAAGTCTGCCAAGGGCTTGTTCACCAGCACCGGCAGCCCTTCGAGAATCGAGAGCTCTTCCCCAGTGGCACATCGTGTGCAGACCCAGGAGCGAATGAGCGTCGATATCAATGAACATGACGTTCAAATGTCTGAGCCACCTCATATTCCCAGTCCTCCCGCACGACAGGAGGGCCGCCGCACTCGGAGCTCCACCGAGAAGGAGGAAAAGCGTCAGCGAAAGGAGGAGGAAGACCGCCAACGAGAGGCAGAGGCACACCAAGAAGAGCTGCGACAAGAAGAGGCGCGTTTAGAAAGAACCAAAGAACAGGAGAAACAACAACGAACAGCGCAGCTCAAGGCCGCTCAGGACAAATCTTCTGTTGAGATAGATGAGCGCAACGCACAAAGGCCATCGCAACCGCAACGACAACAATCGCGGGAACCTGAGTCAAAATACGGAATTCCGCAGCCAAAGCAAGCCGATCGACGACCCAAGCCCCTGACCCGCGAGGCGGTTCAAAAGCCCGAGCCGCGACCCGTCTCGATTCGCGTTGGTAGCACAATGTCCACTCGCCAAATCCCTGTCGCTACTTCTGTTTCGTCTAGTTTTAATGAGGCAAATGCCCCCGCCCCAGCTCCTACCTCTAAGCAGACAAGCTTGAAAAAGAAGGGAAGCAACCAGTCACTCCAGACGGCTTCCTCGACGAATAGCCTCAAGAGCAGCACTTCAAGCCAGACACAAGCACAGCGAAAGGCTCAATTAGCGAGCGAGCGCAAACGGGAACAGGATCGGAAGCGAGCTGCCCAGCAACAGCAAGAGGAATCTCGTCGTCAGGAGGCCCAGAGCCGTGCTGAGAGTCGTGCCGAGGCAGATCGCGGACGACGAGAACTATCTGCCCAGGAAGAATCTAACAAAGCCGCAATTGAGAGACGGAGGCAAGAAAATGCTCGGCGACAACACGGCCGCACCGGTAGCCAGCAGGTCGTCAATGAGGTATTCCACCCCCTTGCACAGTCATCGAGAATTTCATTAATCATATCTAGGCTCCTACCCTGCAACACGAGAAATCAGCCCTTCAATCCTCTCAGAAGAGTGATCTGGGAGGAACGAGGCCGCAGTCTCGCGCGGGTCCAGCACCGAATTATGGCCGGATCAATCCACCTGCGCCTAATCCTGCCAGACCTGCCAAGAGACCCATGAATGAAGAGGCTAGTAACCGACCTCCAGTGAAGAAGATCAGCAACGTACACTCTGTTATCGGGGATAAATGGGGCAAGGGCGAAGATGAGCAACAGCACCAATTCCAACATCAACCCTCCAGGCCATCGGTCCGACCCCCCATGGGACCCCCTAAACGGGTGTCTAACATGCGCCAGGTATGTATTGAATCATTCCAGTCTCACTCAGTAAATTTTAAACTAACACCTTCAGCCGCAGCATTCCACTATTAATCAGTCTAGTATGGCATCTTCATCCGGGTCTAGCATCTTCAAGCCCGGTCAGGTACCGCGTCCGGCTCCCAATATGTATCAATATGCCAACGGAAAGATCCCCTTCGCCGAGCCAAACCAAGCAGCAGCACCTACCAATGCCACCAGGCCAGGGGCCTCCAGCTCCGCCCAGCGTGCCCCAGCTCAACCCCCCCGCCAAACCATCTCCCAAATACCCCAGCGGAGAAAGCATCCACCTTCCTGAGATAGCGACGGACAGCGAAGACGAAGACGACTCCGACTCCGAAATGTTCCCGGTCCCCAAATGGGCCCAATCGAAAGAACTCAACGACCTGCTCGTGATACAGGATAGAATGGAACCAGATTCCATCTTCGGGCCTATCGCCCCATTCTCCCTCGAAGAAACCTTCAAAGCAGACAAGAAGATCAAGAAGTTCCGTGACCGCACTAGTAGCGCAAACTGGTCGGGCCCAGATGGTCTTACCCAGGAAGAGATTCGCAAGGACCGCGCCGAGCGCCAACGTCTCCGTCTCAACGGCGGATGGTCCTTTGAGACATAAGCGGCTGTGCCGCATATCGTGACAAACACGATCAATATTCAGTTCATCCGATTCAGCCACAGCGTTTGTTGTGGCTTTTTGAATAGCAGCGGGGCACTGGGGTGGGCCCACGCACGAGTTTTGCAGTATCATGGTGTTATTGGTGTCGGGGTTCTGGATTTATCGGCGTTGTATTTGTTTTTCATTCATGTCTCTGTGTTACTGCAGATTATTAGGAGAGCATTCAGTGGTGTATAAGACCGTTAATCGAATGATTGGATTTCAATTTTTCTCGGTGTGGACTTGATGGTAGCTGATTTTGCTTGATGTTGATGTGTATTCTATGGCATATTTTTCTTTTGATTTGATGGAAAAGCGTTTTGGATTATAAATACAATTGTGGAGCATCATAACATCAACTAGCATCATTGGTCTAGTGGTAGAATTCGTCGTTGCCATCGACGAGGCCCGTGTTCGATTCACGGATGATGCAATCTTTTTGGCTTAGTTTTTATATTCAACAGATATGGTCAGGTCTGAAAGACCTCCTTTTTGACCTCTGACTTTCAGTATATTTTTGATAATGCCGGGTTTTTCCAAGGTTGCTCGGTTCTAGGTTATGGTTTCTAGTGACTTGGATTGGTTGGTCAAATATTTCAAGTTGTGTGCTGGTGGTCCTGGCCACTGGATTATATATTTTAAGCACCCAGGTGGCAGGGCTGAATTTTTAAGTATTTGAAGATGGGGGGAATTCAACATTGGAAATGCTTAAATTTTCAATTTCCTTGTATTAACTTCCAAACGCCCCTAGATAAATTCAGTCCTGACTACTAATAGGTAGTACTAGTTGTGCCTGGAGGTCTAAGCAGAGTACTGGTGGTAGTAAAACAATCAATACTAGTACGAGCCACAGTCCTATCTAGAGAGCCCTGGAGATACCAGAGAAACATTTGAACTTTTGAACTAAACTTGGTATAGCAAAGGAATCTTTTTAATCTAGACATAACTGCCCAGACCGAATATACACCTGCCCTATACATCAAGAAACCAGAAACAAAATCCGCCCAGTCAGACCCTGGCCTGGTCGCGCCACCATACCGAATATTATACAAGACTACATGGGGTCGTGTTCTCACGATCGTGATGCTTTGCTTTTACTCCATGTCGGGCTCAGCATCGCTTGGTCCACCATCACCGCCTTCGTCCATAGCGTCGGGGTTGAGATTCGCCGCATCAGACGATACGCCCTTCTTGGTCTCGGACTTGCCGTGGGAAACGGTGCTCCAGCCTGCCTCGGCGGAGGGGTCCTTGATATACTCGGACATGGGGAACTGTGTAATGCCAATCGTTAGTATTGGGCTTGAGCTTGGAGGACTGTCGAGCTAGTAGGCTGGGTGGGTACTCACGTAATGATCGTTCTTCTTCATAGTCACCACCCATGGAACGTTGTCGAATGTCACGGCGCGGAGTCGGAAGTAGGTGTTATCCGGGATCTTGCGGACTTCCTTGACGAAGCTATCGAGGTTGGGTGTGGGGACGCCGTTGACAGCGGTTAGGAAGTTAGTAGGGGCGAGTCCGTAATGGTAGGCGGGTGAACCGCGGCTCTGGGGGAACTGTTAGTAACGAAGCTTAGAGGAAATTGACAAGACGGGGTACCCGCTTACCCTAGCGCTGACGTAGATTTCACTGTGAAGCTTTGAGATTTGTTGACGCACGGCGTGGTGGGGTTTCTGGAGGACGGCACCGCAGAAAACGACGGCACGGTCGGTCTCGAGATCTTCGGTTGGAACGGTCGGGACACGAATGTGCATTTCTTGGCCGTTACGGATGATCAATGCATCTAGTACTTCCTTCTCGTACATGACGTCCAGTTCTGAAACGCGAGTGATAAGCTGGTCATCTAGAGTGAGGATGATATCGGCTTCTTGGAAACTGTCGACCTCAGAGGTGAAGTTCGCCGGTGGGCAGTCCACCTTGCGCACCATGAACAGCTGGTGACGCGAAGGGTTGGCCTGTGCCACCTTTTGAATCCACTCCTCTGAGACACCCATGATTCGCGCCTGGCTCATCTGCACAACATAGCTCTCCATGTTCAGGATGCGAAGTTTGGGGACGACACCTTGTTGAATCTTTGACGTAACAGGAAGTAATGATGGAGTGGCAAATCCAAGGTGGTACTCGACGTCCTTGTGGGAGCTTGGAGTGCGCTCACCAAGGTAATTGAGCCAAAGTGCTTGAACTACTCCATCTTCACCGATCAGCACTCCGTTTGTGCACTGTCCACTGAGTCCAGTGTCCACTGTGATGGCATCTAGATTGATTGCCCGATACCGAGGGGCGGAAGCATTGGCAGGGATCGAGACAGTAGTGATATCAGTGACCGCAGTCTTTGCAACAACAATGCGGTGGTTTTGGTTGAAACCAACAAAAATAGTGTCTTGACCCTGCTTGATATACTCAGTGCTGAGACGAGCACTTTGCACAGGTGCCTGCACAAGACTGGGGTCATATTGAATGATGGTGTAGTTCTGAAGAGGGTGCAAAAATACAACCTTGGCGTTGAGAATGACGGAATCAGCAACGGTAATGTTGATATCGCAGAGGTCGTAGGGTACAATAGCCCGGGAGACGACAACCAGACCCTTCTCGGCATCGATCACCAGACCGAATCCGGTTTTCTTGGCTTGAGGGTATCCGTCAAGCTTCAATGGCATGGTACAAGAGACACGAACGAAACTGCGCACAATCTCCGCTGCCGCAGGTTGGCTAACACCATCCAGCTGGATGAAGTCGGCCTTGCGAGGAACAGGCTTTTCCGCTGGGATAGGCCCGGCCAGATCCGAGAAATCCCAAATACCAGATTCATCATTGCGCACTGCCAAGCGCATCTTTGGATGCCAGTGACGGTCGACATAGATGATGCTAGTGCCCTTGGTATGCAGGTCTCGGATATGACGGTAGGAGATGACTACTCGTGACCGGTCAGGGATGTTCCTCATCACTTCCACGAATTCGTCCAGATTTCGGGTTGGCTTTTTGTCGACTGAATCGATAATCCATCCCGCCAATGTATTCTCCAGTTTGAAGGAGCCTGCGGCTTCGCAAACGAACACACCACGGGTAGCAATGGCGTAGAGACGGGATTGTTGGTATGACAGGTCATGGAAAGTGCCTCCAGCAACCGTCACAAATCGATCGGGGGTGATTGAATGGAGGTCACCAACATCACACTCAACCTCCATGTCTTCTCCTCCGCGCTGCACCAGCAGTCGGATTTTACCACCGACACTGGAGTCTAAGATATCATCAAGACGAACGAATTGAGTAAGAAGCTCTCCATTCACTTGCAACAACACATCTCCCTCTAGTAGCTTGCCATCTCCAGGACCTTCTGGCAGAATGATCTCAGCCGCAAGCATGTTGGTTTCTGTTGGGGCCGCTTTGCGAACAGCAGCCTCCCACTCGGGGGTCAGACCGAGACGACGACACTCGTCAAAGGGTTTGAGAATCCATTGAGTCTGAATGGTGCCCCTGGTGACTGGTTTGCTTTGACGAATGCACTCCAAGGCACGCAATGGACGATCTAGAGGCAAGAAATAGTCTGTGGCAGCACCGTCTGCGCGTCCACCTGCTTGCAAAGCTACCGCATGCCCGTCGATATTGACGACAGGACTTCCAGAACTACCACCACTTGCAGCCGCCGCAGCCTGGATATAGTTTGTGTTGAAATCGCTGTAGCCCTCTCCATATTCCGGAGCATTGCGATCAAGTCGACTGATGACGCCCGAGAGAATACTCAGCTTCTCACCGGCGTCGTTACCCACGACTCGGATCTCCACACCTACGCGAGCTGCGTCCGGTTGGAGCTTGAGCTCGGTCAGGTTCATGTATTTAATCGCCTTCGGGTCGAACTTGAGGATGCCAAAATCGTGAACGGGGTCTCGGTATACAGGTCGGACATCGCACTATGGAAGAGCATGTCAGTTATTGGACTTTGAATCGAATTGAGCTCCCTTTCTCGGACTGGAGCTGGACTGCAATTTTTCTTCTTCTGTTTCTTACCTCTTCATGGTTGTCAAAGATACAGTAACCCCAGAATGGACCGGCACCCACGACATGGCGATTGGTCAAGATGTATCCGCGCTCGGCATCGACGACAAAGCCAGTAGCCTGACTGCTCATTGATAGCTCTGTGTCGAAAGAGCACGTCTGGCAGAAGTGGATCGAGACGACACTCTTCACCACCGTTTCAATGGTCGCCTGCCACTCAGGCGAATCTGCCTGCGCAGGGCCAAGAGCAATCATATGGGAATCCTCTTCCTCCTCCTCGATATCATAAACGGTTCCATTGGCGGGAGTCGCGTCGCCGGGGGTCAGCACAGAGCCCTCGGGCTTCAAATGTTTTGCGGGACGTTCAACAGCTCCAGCGACAGTGCCGCGCTTCCGCTTGGCACCCATGTCGCCATTAGCATCCATGGCACAGGGGAATTGCAGGAATGGACGGTGGTTGATGTGTAGGTAAGCTGTGAGGGAAGGAAGCTTCGGTTGATGAGAAGAGAAGGGCGAACTTGAGTGTCGGGCGGCAGGCGGCAGTGGGGATAAGGACGAGGATGACGGTAAGAATGATCGATTCGAGTGGTCAAAGGGACGAGCGAAGGAGCGGGAAAAGAGCGAGACAGACAGACTCCTTCTCGCCAACAAAGACATTCGCAGGTGTTGAGGCGAATGTGAAAGGCGGGAGTGGAGAGGAGCGATTGTGATTGGGCGGGTCCATTCGATCCGATCCGATGAGATCCCATGCCAACGCCAGATGATGAAGGCACGCGCACGCCGATCTTTGTGATGTAGGAGTATTTGATAGTATATTTTTAGATGAGAAGTATAGTATGTACTCGATAGTATATAGTATATGGTATATGGTATATGGTATATGGTGTATGGCATGTACTATATGGCGAGCATCATACAACTATGCTATTACATATGAAGTGATCATTGTAAGGGTACATGGATGAATACATCATGGATACATGGATTAGCCTCCTATGCATGTGCGCCTGCAGAACGGGTTTTATTCTCCACCATGCACCCCTCTCCCAGATGACCAGGTCGGCTGGTGTATTTGCAGATTTGACCAAGGTCAGCCAACACCCCCTCGCCGACTATTGCAACCCCCGAGAGCTCTCTCATTGGACTATGCGATACACATAGTTGGACGGGAGGCGCCGCGCGGACCGATCTCCGACATAGGGAAACAGGGGTCCTAGCCTTTCTGTGAACAGGAGGAGCTCGGGACAAGGGGAGAGGTGGATGAGGGAGATGGAGAGGGAGATGGAGAGGGAGATGGAGAGGGAGATGGAGAGGGAGATGGAGAAAGGTAGTCAAGATAATTCATGCGGGATTCACCGCAGTGAATCCAAAACCAAGAAAAAGATCATCAATAACATGGCACGAGGTCCTTTTCTCCCCGTCTCAAACAACCGACTCAGACACGGGTGATGGACTTGGGCCCCCGTTGCCCTGCATCGTGCCCGGGCTGAGCTTCTGGGGAGTCGACGATTTCCCCGAATTTGGGAATAGCTCGTTCAGTTTGACGTAAAGCTCCTTCACGGAGGGGAGGTTGGGGGGAGCTGTCATGATTGCTGGGGCCTGGGGTGTAATGCCACTCGCTTTCTTGGCTCGGTCAGCGATCGTCGCTAGATAGGCCAGGTTGGCCTGCAGCCGCCGCATGCACTCGATGTACTCTTGTGTTGGTTTTTGCCCAGGAGGCTTGTTCATATCCCCTCCCTGCTCCACAGAGGCATTCGCTTCCGCATTTGCCGCCGAGCCTGCCTTGCCAGCCGATTGCAGATTCAAAACCTCCTGCAACAATGTGGAGTTGATGTCGAGGAGGGTGCTGACACGCGCCTTTTCACGAGCTGCCGCCGCCGCTTGAGCCTGAGCTTGAGCGGGGCTTTGTGCCTGGGGGACTTGACTTTGCCCTTGCATCTGTGCCTGAATTTGAGCCGCATTCGGAGCTTGTCCTTGCCCTGGACCTTGGGCCTGGACCGGGGTCCCGGGTTGAGTGACGTGGGGTGAGTTGTTCATCTGCGATATCTGCTGGTTCATCTGGGCGTTCATTTGCGCATTCATTTGAGCGTTCATTTGGGCACTCATTTGCGGATTCATGTGGGGAGGCTTTTGTTGGTTGGGGAGCATGTTGTTTGCTGACAGAGAGGCCATATTTTGAGAGAACGTCTGGGCGACAGTGGAAGGGGTATTCGTCGCTGTGCTAGGTTGGGAGAATTGGTTCATGCCGGCGGGGACGGGGGGTTGTGAGAACGACGCCGAGAAATTGTCCATGGGTACTATTATCACAATTGGCGGTCAGTCCACGTCAATCAAACAGAGACTTGCGATCCTCAAATGTCCTGCTGCAGATTAAATACGACTGGCAACGAATCGAAGCACCCCATCTCGCCAAGGAACTGGTTGAAACAATTGTTGGCGCCAGTAACAGGGAGATCGATTAAACCTGCAGGGGCTTCGGGGGTAACGCGACGTGTTGTAGAGAAATATGATCGTCCCTAGGCCAAACCACTGGCGAATAGGGTTCGGACCGTTCTCCAGAGACTGGAGAGCCAGGAAGACCCCGCAGGACAAAGTGACAAGTACAGCGGGCTAATCACAGAGAAAAGGGGGAAGGGATTGGTCACGTACCGTTGGATTGCTGGGGAAAGCCTGAGGGCATCATAGCTCCAGTGGGACCACCTGGCTGCATTTGGATGGCGCCAAAGGAATGCTGTTGGTGTCCTGGCTGTCCTGGCGGTTTAGACTGGGGGTATTGGGGAGCTGAATTCTGGTAGAAAGCCATCGGGTTTGGGGGGCTTTGAGTCGGGACGGGAAAGCCAGCGGGATAGACGGCGTTGGGATCCATCGTGTATTAAGGGCACTATCGCGGACCCAGACCTTTGGCGTCTGCACAAAGGAGACCCAGAGAAAACAAAGGGTATCAAACTTGATGGCCCGCTGTATAGAGTAATCCTCCGCCTTTATTTTTTTGTTGCTGAGCTCCTGGACGATAGAAGTCACGACCCAAGCAATCACGTCGATTACGCAAAAGCCACACACACGCGCAGACAATGGGAGAGTCCTAGTGGGAATCCAGGGATATAGGTGATTGGTATAGCGGCTGGGGAAATCCGTCAAAGAGAGGGAGAAGGGAGTACGATGATTGGCTCAGACAGAACAATATTGGCAGGGGTGGTGCTGGAGCGCGATCGGCCACTGCTTTAACAGAGCAGCTGGACTCGGAGCAACACAAAATTTGGGAGGGGGTGTGGCCCGGATTCAGAGCGATCAGCCGTGGGCGGACGGGCTAATGCAGCGGAGCCTTTTTGGTTGGAGTGGGGACACGGGCCCGATGACAGTGGTCTCTCGGTGAATTTCGATCGGGACGTGATTGCACACCGATGGAGATCGAGCACCTTTGAGGGGGAGCTTGTTGCTCACAGGGTTTCTCTGCAGGAATTGTAGCCAGTGATGGTGGTGGTTGGAGTGGGAGGTAAAGTTGAAGTGGTCCCGGATAGTCACGGGAACACAACACATGGCTGCCTTAGGCTTACATCAGCAAAGCCATGTGATTATCGACTTCCTACGACCTACGACACTTTTATCCTAGGGTACTACTTTACTTTACTATCAAGACTCCTTCCATTCTAGGTACAAGACCCATCGGACATCCTCGCGCTACATACGAAAAGCTCAGACCCTTGCATATCCCTCAGCCGCACACCAATAGCGCCTCAATGACGTGGATCGTGGGTCAAACTGTGGCGCAAGAAACTGCCTCCTCCTTGTTTTTGACTGGGCTGCTGGAAGAACCCAAGGAAGCTTCGTCCCGATGGTCCTGTGGCTGATGCCTACATGCCAAGAAAATCCTTTGTCTCAAGATGTTCAAGTTGTTGGTAACGTGGGGCTATGATACGTATTTACGTACGGTGTATGGAGACTTCGGCAGGTTTATTCCAGATCGGACAGATCGGACAGCCGCCAACTGTTCACCTGAAAGCATTGGAGAACCCCGAAGAATCACTATACACCTGTTCTGTTCTGCATCATGACTTGCACCTGCCAAGCCGGCGATGGAGTGCATATCAACCAGTTTATTTGTCCGGATCTCCAAGTAGGGCTGTCCAGCTGTCGTGGCCCCGCCAAACGCTAAAAGACAAGGAGGCCAATCAAAAAGATCGGTCATTCTCCCTCGTAGCCACAATCATTTGGAAACGGCGACCCCGAACACGATGACCATTTTGTGTTTGGTACCTTTGGATCTGCAATACGATCTGCGGTATTGGGAAGATACGAACGAACGGCATGTGACATGAAGATGACTTCAGCCACATTTCCAATAGGGATCATCTATGTAGCAACGCACCCAGTATGTCAATCAACAGTCAGCGGAGCATCAGCAATTACCTCGGGGGTAGGGGAGTCCCCCACTATGGTTATCTCGGAGATCCACCACAGCGAAGAGCTTTTTGTGGTTAGTATCTCGAACGGGCTTGTTGCAGCTCGCTAAGGAGGAGGCGCAGTGGATAAGGAAGTATCACCCCCACCACCAAGCCACTTTGGAGGGATCCATTTTTCCCAGTTTCCAGGAAATGCAGGTCGAAGATCTTTTCATAGTACGAAACTCACTATTTCTGACCACGACGCTTTTGAAAAAGGGGCCCGGGGTCTACATACTTCTTACTCTGTACTTACATATTCCTTTGTAATATACTCTATGGTACGGTGACAGCCGGTCAGCCAGCCACACCAGGTGGAGCCACGGATATGTTTTTCCGCCCTGGCACTAGAGAAGCCCTTGCTGCTTCAACCTGGGGTAATGGGCACAGGAAACCCAATGGCATGTCCGAATAAGTGCATTTTCAACGCACTAGATTGAACTACGGTATGATAAAATCCCGGTGCTCGGGAAGATGAGGCGCTTTCAAGTTCTCTGCCCAGGTGTGCTACCTGCCTAGCCCTGACTGGCCTGATAGATCCAATGCATACTCTGTAGTGAAAGAGGAGTGCTGTGTGAGGGGACGATCCGTTGGGTATCTACTGTAATGTGGCGCACAGCTTCTTGTAGTGACTGGGCGTTTAACTACTGCATACGAGTATCTAGATACATACAACATTACTTCCGAGTCATAAATGAATACGGAGTATCTGATAACCACTGCCACATATCTAGAAATCCTTGTTATGGGGGCGTAATAATGAACCTCGGCTCCTTCCCCCCTCCCGATACTAACGGATTCTTTTTACTACTTCTTCTCCTGTCAACCTTGGATACATCGAAACTCAATCGTGGACCTTAGGGGCAATAGGATTATTGGCGGAGGTACGCTATCTGGAACTGTATGTGAACCATCGAAATATGTAAGTACATACGAGTACTAGGTACGCGAACTACTCCGTACTCCGTACAGATAATTGACTCCTTAGGCCCCCAACCTGAGACCCCGCTACCATGCAAAGGAATTTGTCAACCCTAAATGAGGCTGTCGATCCACATCGTGCATGTCTTGCAGGACGGAGAACTCTGATTCATGTTCTCCGTTACAGACAGCAGCGTCGGGGCCCCCGAGGGGTTGCGCCTCTCGAATCTGTCTATTCGTGCTGTCCGAGAACGCACGTTGCTGGGCCCAAGCACAGGAAAATCCGGACCAGCAGGAGACTCGAAGGGTGCGCTCGCTGGTCTAGCCAGGGGAGAACGGCGAAATAGTCCAAGTCCCCATTGGTCACTAAAGTCTTGAGTTTCTCCGAGACTAACAGTGTCTCATCTGGATCGACACTCTAGTGACAGCACTTGAGCGGGTCTCGGGATCTGTTTTGAAGAGCTAGGCGGGTCGAGTGGCGAAATTTGAACGGCCCAACGTCTCCAGGACCCAGTGTTCATTGGTATGTTACGGAGTACTGAGAATGCGAAAGTTCGTGATCCAAGGATCCGGGAATCACAACTGGACATAACCAGGAGTCCTTGTTTTTAGGGCTATTGAAAACTTGCACCGAGATGGCTCCGGCCGGCCGAGACTTCGGGTGGCAAACTATAACGTACGGATTGGGGAGTACCATTTCCCAACTTGGTAGAAGATTGAGCCAAGCTCACAATGGGATTCAAGCTGTCGAGTAGTTTCAGCTCTTCCCCTCGCGGGGAAGCGCCATTTCTTCCGGTATCCGTATCCACATCCGCAAGGTTTTCCTCCCTTTTTACCGTTCTGGTAAAGGCTATAGATCGTCAATCTCAGCCACAAAAAGTGGCGCCCCGTTCATGTTTGGCATCAGGTTAGGCGTCGTACAAATTTCCTGAAACGCATGCGACTCGGCAGGGAGCGAGGCTCCGGTTCTCAACGGGCTCTGTGTATGTATGTCGCCGACGATCCCCATTCTCCATGTAAGAACCCGTATTTAGAACCGCCACCTTGTATACTATTACATAGTACGAATTACTTTATGCATCATGACCCTTGGAACTTATTCTGGGGATCTACTCGTTGCTGCCTGGCACCTTTCCACCTCAAATGCCCAGGTGTATCTACATTGGGTCGCACATTAGTGCCTTTTCTGGTCAGTTATACAATTGATAGATCTTTTGATCGGCCGCCGTTCTATTAACGGATCAATTCCGAGAAAAAGCACATCATCCTTCTAAGTCAAAGACCACCCGAAGCGATAAGCGGCTTTGTCACCGACCATGGCTCGGTGGATCAATGCACGTCGAAGTCATTCTGCATCAATCAACACCAAGGTCCATGCAGTAATTAGTTGAACACGACTAGCTGTAGTTTTCCTGCAAGCATGGCGGCCACAGAGGTATGCTTAGGTTGCGGCGTTGCAGCGGTGAACGAGGGAACTCTTGTGACATACCATTGGCGATGATGTTCAAGGACTTTCAAATCAAATTTGATCTTTTTTTTTCCTTTCCCAGAGCCAAAATACCTCGGCAGCAATGATCAGCCAAGGGTAGATTTTTGGATATTCAGCTACAAGCCACACAAACAAGGTCGGTTTTAGGCCCAGCCTTACCGAAACTATCGAAATGAATCACTCTAGAGTGAGGAGGGACCCACCGCGAGAATACAGATGAAAAAGGAAAAGAAAAAAAAGAAAAAAAAAAAGCAAACCAAAAGAGATCCAAATCGAACGCTTCTAAGCCATGTGGATTCGGGTATCGCACAGAAGCGATCTGGATCTTGCATACATAGGATACGGGCCGGCGCAACAGGAACAGAAGAGTGGGCCACGGAGTTCCCAACGTTCGAGGGCCGATCTTCACTTAGCAGTGTCAGCGCCACACGGCACTTTTCCGTAGTTGCTTAGGCCCCTGGGTGCTCCCATCTTCCATGCAGGCGCAGACAACACCCGCTCATGATAGTAATGGGGGCCGATTTGAAACCCTGGGGAAAGAACTGGAGACAGTTCGCATCCTTGATCTGACACCATGGGTGCCTTGAAGGGACATCGATGCACCCAGCTCGAAAGAGAAGGGTATTTGTATTTGACAGAGTACTCGGCTAAGGCAGATCCGTACTTCTGTCACCACTCTTTTGATCTGCATAGCAAAGCCCGATAATCTTGAGAAGTCGTAATTGCCATGAATTTCGTGCTAACCTTGCTTCAGGGCTAGCCGTTTGATTCGAGTATTGTTCACCAGTAAAATTTTGGCCAGGTAAGACCCAACCAGTCTGTCGGTTTCCATTGAGGTGGAAATTCCCTCAAGCCTTTACCCACAAAAGCCTCCCCCTCGAAATATCTTTCTAATGCAGTCAATTCAAGTGATGTACTGCATCATAAAGATACTGATAGTGCGGCGACAGAAGGAGGGGAGAGACAGGAAGCTCGGAAAATAGAAAATAGAAAATCAAATAAAATAAAAAAGCAATCAATGATAGGTATAGATCCACCCCCAATTCTGCGGTGGGACAACGGTAAGGGCAAAACAGCCGGGACCGCCGTGCGTGCGCTTAGCGGCCCAAGTTTATAGGATGAAAGTGGAATTGGGATCCAGTGCTTTTTTTTTTGATTCTGTCGTGGGTTCTCCACAATCCTCGAAGCAACTGTGCAGGTTGGTTGCGTGCACTAGTGGGCGAAGCTGGCTGAGGACTTTGTGGGCTTGAATAGATTTACATTGTCTATAAATCTCCGGATCCCAGAGCTGCCCCCCCCCTTATTAGTGGGACGAGCTTTTCTTCGCCTCCCAATGTTGTTGTTTTTGTGTACTCACCAATCCATTAGAGATGCTTCCTGGCTATAAGCCACCCCTTTCTTCTCCTTTGTTTCATTGGGACACGTCCACCCCGCTGTTTCCGAGCAAAATCGAGATCAGCCCTCAATCGATCAGCCTCTGCTCCATGGTATCACGTTATCCTCTTTTTTTTGCCCTTGTTCTCCCCCGCTGATGGCCAACCCCGCGCAGGTCCCAGCAAGCATGTCGGCGCAAAACCAGCAAAATTCGCCGGAATATCCGCATTTTGCTCTAATCTACATTGACCGTCAAGGTAATCTTCGTCACGAGTCGTCTCTATCCGTTGCCAACAGTCGCGAAACCATTCTATCTCCACTGGTGACAGATGAGTTTCTGCGAGCCGTACAGCGCTCAAGCGCCGCTACACCGTCACATTCCCGATGTAAGTGTCACATATCACAGTTGAGATACCCCCAAAACAAAAGAGGAGAATCCCCTGGAATGCAAACATATGGGAAGATGCAAAGATAGAGGTCGGGAAGCCGCTAATCCGATATAGTCGAGTTGGGTGCACCGCCCACATATCACCCGGTTGCTAGTGGACAGACCCCTGTTTCAACCCAGATTGGCAATATTCAGCTCGGCCCAGAGAGAAAAGCACCTGAGGGCCAGTCTAGAGGCCCTCTGGTTGCAAGACCTCCCACTCAACCCCCACTATGGTCAGCACCCCAAGGGCCAGGAGACTGGTCTCGCTGGTCGGGCCAGCACCCGATCCCACAACCACAACAGAGACCCTGGGGCATGGAACCGAACATGAGGGGCAATCAGACGGCTTTCATATCCATCAGAGATAAAGATTTCCTACGTCGATACTACGAAAAGATCTTCCAGAATCTACAGCAGACCAATTGTCGTGTTCTGGCCAAGGCCTACGTCAAACTAGTTGAACCGCGCAAGCAAGTGAACTTTCCATACAATGGGCGAAAGATCGTGGCCGGACAGACGCAACAGTTGGATCCCGATGATACTAAGCCTCCTTGGTGGCCGACTGGGGTCAGTCACCGAGAGCCAGACCATCTTCCCAAAGCCGGTAAGGAGTTGACTCTTTCCCTCCTTTCTTTTGTCTTTGGTTCACACCCGCCCGCGTTGATTCTCTGATGATAGACCTCTATTAGATGATTGCTGACCAAAACGAAAGAACGTATTAGGCTCCTGGTTCACATTCTCTGCGAACTGCGCACCACTTACGGTATCACCGCACGCAAGTTAAAAGCTTCAGACCAGCCAATCCGTCGACAAATTTTGCCAGCCGAGCGATTAGAAATATTAGACGAGGTCTATCAAGTCAGAGAGGAGGAGGAAAAGCTTTTGGATGGTGTGACTGGTATGATGATGGAGTATACCTCTGCCCTCCAGCCAGCCGAACTGACTGGTCGCAGATGGAAAAGCCATGGTGTCGATCTCGCGCTCAAACCTTCCCGATGCAGCAGAGGCTCTCGTCAACCGTGGCGAGCAAAAGCAGGAACCGGCCCCGATCAATGAAGACCCCAGCCCAGAGCCGAAGACAGAAACCATGCCCGTCGTTGGCGGGCCCTCGAGAGCGAACCCCCCCACAACCTATATTCGTGACCGGCGCAGACAACCCTCCCAACCCACAACCCACCCCGAGTCCTACTCGGTATATACACCAAGACCTTCCTATACACCCCGGCTTCGACCACGCTTCAGCTTCCATTTCGCCGCAGGTGAAAAGGAAACGGCAGGATTCAGGGCCAGATGTTGCTAGTACTGTCAGCCCCACGACCATGGGCTACTATTCCCCGATATTTGTAGGCTCACAGCCATTTATGACGGAGCCTTATGCTGGAATGCAAGGCTTTCAAGCCTCGGGTGTTACGTCGCAGAATATGGCTCCTGGACAACCGATACCAGAACATTTCAGGGAGCCCATGGAGAACTATGAATTTCCATACTACTTTGAAAACTAACATGGAACATTCAAAGCGTTCATTGAAGTTGATCATGATGACGAGTTTCTTTTCTACAGCGTTTGATTAAAGTGCGACAGCACTTGGGTGGTTTCTTTTTATTGACAGTTCTTTTGAAGCCTTGAAGCAAGTATATGATTAGTTTTGTGAAAGTCGAGACGGATTTTATCCAATAGCATATCGCAATAGCATTGAGAAATGAAGTTTGCAATTGATGACCAGTCTTCTGAGATTTGGATATTATATCCGAGATTAACTTCTTCAGGGAAATATTCTCCTTCAACCACTAGGGCACAGCCTTTCTACTTAAAGACACTGGGAGTAATAGTCATTGGAATACGTGCAAGTATACCCACTTGCACAGGTTGTTCCTCCAGTCCACCCCTTGCCACCGCACTGACCCCAATGGGCAACGACGCCCGTGGCTGAGCTGCCGGTACTACTGGTTGTCGTCGAGGTCGACGAAGTACTGGAGACGACACTAGTAGTGGTACTTGTCGCAGTGCCACCTAGCGCAGTCAGGATTCCTGTGTAGGCAGGCTTCTTCGCATAGTTCTCGTCCCAGGGACAGGCGGCGCCTTGTCCAGAGAAAGTGTTGGGGACCCATGAGTATTTGTCAGTCCAATCCCAGATGGTGACACCGACGCAATTCTTTGTTGCAACACAAGCTGCCACGGTGCCGGAGTAGTCCGTCTTCTGCTGCGCAAGAAGGGCGTCTGTGGACGGAAGCGTCATGCGAATATCAAGCTCGGTGATCGCAACCTCTACCCCAAGGGCAGTGTATGCAGCCATGGTGGCAGCTTGCGAGCTTTGACTAGGGGTGCTTCCGACAATGAAATGGCCCTGCAGACCGACACCATCGATTTTGACTCCGTAAGATTGAATCAATTTGACAATGTTCAAAGCACCTGTTGCCTTGGAGCCGGAATATTCGATATTGTAGTCGTTATAATAGAGTTTCACGTTTGGGTCTGCCGCTGCCGCTGTCGCAAATGCAATTGGGAGATATGCCGGACCGATCGTTGTGTACCAGATACTTTCGCGGTAGGAGCCGTCCTCATTGAGAGCTGTGAGAGGAAAAGAAATATGAGTTTAACCCACAATAGGAGGAGTCCAGGTTCAATACCTTCGTTCACAACATCCCATGCGTAGCATTCGTCCTTGTAGTGGGTCACCACATTAGTGATGTGGTTTTTCATCGCTGCGAGGAGCGTCGCATTGGTCCAAGTACCACTGCTGACTATTTCAGAAGATAAGTAACAGAATTAAATATAATAATTAGAGCGCAAAACCCACCCCAGCTTGGAAGTTGGCTATGCCAAACTAAATTGTGACAGCGAAGCTTCTGACCATTTGCCTTGGCAAGATTGGCAATGACATCTCCCTTGGTATAGGAGAATGTATTTTGCGAAGGCTCGATTGTGTCCCACTTTTGAGCGTAATTTTGTCAGATTATGAATGGCCAGAAAAAATAAGAACGATAGGATATTGTAGAGAACTGACCTTTTGGGAGTTTCCGGGAGTGATCTGGCCAAAATCGTCGGTGTTGTTGAGCTGCGTCACATATGCAGTGTCTGTTAACTCTGGATTATCTGTTGCGGTTCCGAAATAAAGCTGGCCTTTGGCTACAGCTGCAGTGTTAAGGCCTGCTCCTTGCACACTGCCGAATTATGATTAGGTTTCTCGCCTGAACAAGAACTTTCAATCAAACACGTACAGTTGTGGTAGAAGACTGACCGCTAGCGCCAGCGTCTCAGAGGATAGTCGGACCATTTTGCAAAACAATATAGATTGGAATGAGGAACAGAAATTTTAGCCAGGACCAAAGTGACTTTATACCGAATTAATGAAAGGGGTGCGCATATAGTCGATTCTTCCGGCGCTGGATACCCTCATGCCATTCTCCATTCGGACCTATGGCCCGTGGCGTAGTAGTCGCGGCTATACCAAATGAAAAAGGGTCTCTTTTCCATGTAGTTTCGGTGATATAGCCGGTTTGTTGCATTAATAGCCTAGCAAGGAGAAATCTCACGCCGTGGTTGTTTCAGGTATAGATTAAGGCCGGTGGAGCCGTTTGAAGTACCAACCATGGCTTTAGACATTCGACCCACCCGTTGGTCTCGATGAATAAAACAAGTCAAGACATTTTTCCCGAGCTTCAATGTGAAGCATTTTCCTGAAGAAAGCATGGTTCGCGCTAAGGACTATTCCTGACAGTCTGAAGATGCGGGGGAGTGGACGAAGCGGGGATAACTCCGTCTCGCGTCGGCAAATTGTAGTAGTACTTGTTTACTTTTAGGCTATTATGCTAAGAAGGTCCGCGCCGTCAAGTGGCTGATAGCTAGTACTGCACTATTAACTGCCTAGTATCCAGTAATGTTGCTTGTATTTCGTCACAAGTGTCCTCTTTTCCCCAATGTTGAGCCTGATTTCGATCCAGCCAGCGACCCTTTTTCGACTATTACGGTTTCAATATACACTAGGAGGTACTTCGAAATCCTCATGCTATTTCCACACCAAGAAGCATTTTATTCCACTTGCAGGTTCATGGTTGCTTTTGTCCGCTTTTGGAATCGTAGCTAGCAGTTGATGGATTGGACTGGGATCAATTGTTGGATCATCTCGTGATTTTGGAAAGTTTCACTGTTCTAGTGAAATTATCTATCTTGATGTGTTTATTGAACAGACATTTAAAAATGGGTATCAAGCTTTTTTAGCGTATCCCGCCCTGTGAGGTTGTCGTCTCAATATACTGTGTATGGCGCTGATGAAAGCCCTGTTGTATCAGTGCTAGATGACCGGATTCGATGTTATTCAATATCCGTCGAGGGTCAGATTCGGTAAGCAAGTCATCGAGAACTTGAAGACACGGGTAATCCTTTGAGTTGGTTGAAAGTCACGATATGATCAATTTCAACCCTCCTTGCGAGCCTTCATCTCCGCGATGAAGGCAGCAGTCTTGGAGGTCGGTACGATAAAGATCCGGACCATATGATCCACAACCTCAACCTTTCCACCGGTGAGAATTTGCAACAAGGGCAGTTTCTTACCGGCCTTAATTAGGCCCCCGGAAACAGTCTGCATAAAGCACTCGACATTGGAAATGGTGTACTCCTTCTTTGTATCCCACGGCAACGGGAAAATATAGTCCAAATGATCAACAATGGAATGCATCTCCGAGAAACCCTTGATAAAGTCGGACTGGGCGTCCATGGGGTACAAAAAGACAGCAGGAAACTCGATCGTGCTTTCTGGCGAAAGAGGATCGGGTACCAGCCTGATGGTGGAACCTTCCATGTCCGGGGGCTGGTCGGTTTTGCGGGTTCGGATTTGGCGTGCGCGCAAAGCTGTGCTAAGGACCAAGTTTTGTTTGCGAGCGAGCTCCTCCTCGGCCTTCTTTTTAGCGACTTGGCGCTCCTTAAAAGCCTTGCGCTCGGCAATTTTTTGGGCTGCAGTTTGAAGAGATTTGTTATCGGGCCCGACGACCAACCCACGCGTCGCAGCATCTTCGGCCTCGTCGATCTTGTCTAGCTTTAACAAAGCCATCGCGGAGCGATAGAAAGCCTTGACGTTTGTGGGGTTCAGCTTGAGGGTGGCTGCGCAGTCCTGAGTACATGAACGGTAGTTTCCTAGAAAGAAGAAATGTATGAGTACAGTTCAAAATCATATCGGAAATAACGGAACATACCAAGTTCAAGATTACAACGTGCGCGATTGATATGTGACAGCTCCTCCAGTTTCCGAAGCGATTTCTTCTCCTCAACAAGATCCTCGGGCTTTTCCCATTTGTCCTCTTTGGCATAGATAACAGCGATAGCCTTCGTGTAGTGCTCCTTGGCATCGATCCAGCGGAGTTCGGAGACGGCCTCGTTACCCTGGTCCTTGAAGCTTTGCGCAACATCGGCACGAGTACCTTCGTTCTGCATGGCAGAAATGGCATCCAAGAGGATATTCTCACCATCTGTCAAAGCGCGAAATGTGTATTAGTGACCGATTCTGCTGGACGTACAGAGGGAAACGCTGAGACATACTCTCATCACCCGCATTCGCAATGTCCGTCATAAATAGCGGGGTCTTGTTCATCATGTCGAGCAGTTCCTCCTTCGTCTGCGACTTGACCGACGCCATGGCTGGAGGCATTTTTGGCACGGAGGGGTCATTCTCCAATTCCTTCAGCCTCTCTTCGTTGATAGGGAAGGGCACTTCCTCGTTTGCTGCGGCGAAGGCATCGAAGCCGGGCTGTGGCAAGTCGGGCGGTCCCTGAGGAGGGGCCGCGTTGAGATTGAGCGACTCATCGAAGTCATCTGGGAGCTCTTCGATTCGCGACATGGTGAATGGAATGCAGAATAAAGATGCGAAAGGGTTCAAAAAGCGACGTCGGGACTTTTTTTTTTGGCGGGGGACCGAAATGTCACCAGGCAAACAGTGCAAACACGAGGGGTTGGACGGCTCCACCAATCAGAGACAAGAATGCTTCTATAGTTGAATGTAGATCTTGTCGAGGTTATTCTATCTTTCACTGATAATTCATTTATGCAGATTGGAAAAAAGAAAATCCGTTTTCTTCTTTCAACCATGAGATATAAAATAGGGAGCTGAAAATCAAGTGTGTGGCGCGCGATTGTAGCATAGAGTGTATTACCACAGCCCTCCCCCTTGCACGTCGCCATCAGCTCCATTCTCGAGAAGTAGCTTAAAGGACCCGAGCTTAGGACTGGCACTAGCTCCACGTCTAGGAGATTTTGTATCATTCTGTCAGGTCCATCGTAACAGGCAGCTTGTAGTGCACCCCCATAGTCCCCTCCTAAGGTGTTGACATCAGCGCCATGTTCTAGAAAGATCACGCACAACATTATAATAAACACCCCGGTAAGCAACAAGAAGATAATTCCCATGCTCACCACCCTAGGCATTGACATCAGCTCCACCTCCAATAATTTTGGAGAGTTTCATACAAGAACATTCTTCGCTCATTCAGAACCGCTGAAGTTTTATTAAAGAATAGTTAACGATAGTGATATTCTTGTAAATAGCCAGCTAAAGTATCATCTCTTGTCGGGCAGTAAGAAGCAACAGCCCTCGTTCCCTTTTCACCTTTTCAACGCAAGGTACTTGCCCGGCAGGCAAAACATATCTCAAAGCTGCAAATCAGTGGCATGTCTGCAAGGCCCCGTATTCCCATCTAGTCATATATCTGGCCCTGAAGCCTTCAGGTTAATTCCAGGAGCCATAGGCATGAGCAGTGTCTTTCAAATTGAGGCATGCGTTCTTCTTGAACGGATCACTGCCCCCATATACCCACCAGAAGTTGTAGCTTTTACCATCGCAGCCGGCACCCTTGTAAAATTTGGCTCTCTGACGGCTTCCGCCGTAAGATAGGACTCGGAATGATTTCGTTGGTGGGGCCCATTGGTCGTGGTAAGTGTTGTCTCAAACATTGATTTCTTTGGTTTTTCCGCTACAGTTGGCTCCTTCAAAAGCACGGATCTTGAATCCCAGAGCCTCCGAACTTGCGGTGAGGTAGATTATTGCGAGGGCCTTTCCAAGATGCATAGTGCGGGAGTTGAAGTTGAAGTTGAAATTGCGGTAGTTCGGATGAATTAAAAATTAGAGTATGGTGATTCAAAATAAATGTTTGCTTGATTTAAATGCCAAAGTTGACTCGGGGTAGTTTAAGCCTTTTATATGCAGAGAATATATTTCCTTGGTCTAGAGATACGAACAGGAATAGCTGCAAGTCAGTTCAATGACCCATACTTGCCTACTAGCCGACCGGTATATCTGAGTATTGAACGCCTCGATTTTGTAAGACTGCCGGCTATACGAAGTTATATTACGTGGAAATCATGGATGTGGATAAAGAACTGATGTCCAGGATACACATAGTTAGCAGTGAAGAGCATACTAATAAAACCAATATTAAATTATGTGAAAGTGTAGTCGCTAGTTCTAGGTACAATAATCTTAATTGGGGTGGTTGGATCTCTGTTCCACGTGAACAATGTTGTATCTTGTAAGTCAGGCGTCCACCAATGATCTATTTTCCGATAAGGACCTCTATGGGTCTGCTCTATTTGATCTTAGGAAGCCTCGGTACTTAAAGGGTTGATACCCCTGACATATTCTCTACAATTCTCAACTAAGAAACATTATTTGTATCAATTCTCACTTCCTCGAACTTTTAACCATGCATCTTGGAAGGCTCTTCGTTCTATCCTCTCTGGACTTTGGTGTATACTCACACAAAGGTCGCGCATTTACCGGTACAAATTGCTCAGGACAGGCCAAAGAAATCAATGTTTGGGTTAACACTTGCCGTGATACCGCAGTTCCAAAGACCAGATCAATTCGAGTCCCTGAATATGGTGGCCATCGACAGAGAGCTACCTTTTGGGCAGAACAAATTAGCGCTCACTGCGGGTTTATGTGGCAAAACTCCAACTCCAATTGGTGGGCGGATGGTGGAAGCAACAAGTTCAAGAAGGGTTTATGCATTAACCTGTCTGGGACCTGCAATGCCTTTAGTTCTGTCTCCGCTTAGAATTAATTGATTTGGTGAGACTTTTCGTCCAAATTATTGAGAACTAAACCTTGGAAATGGCTATTAAAGCCCGAATGCTGGAATGGAGCATTCGATTATACTTTGTGGTGAGGTGCTTCTGGATCATATACTAGTATCTGGTCTCTCATTTATTTTTCTCCGGGGCTCTTTTCCTGCTGTTCAATCTTGTTTTTATGGGTCTTCTGCGTGGACATGTGTTACATAAATTTATATAGAGAGCTTTTTTCTTTATAAGTTTTTTTACTACTACTATTAGGTATTATTATCTCTTTTTTCAGAGCTATCTATGATACTGGCCTGTCTATTGTAAAAATAGGTGCATTTGACATGTAATAATAAGTATTTGTGGCGGATCTACTTTTCAGGGTAGCTATAAGGGTTACTGAGGTATCAGCCAGTACTGATTGGTTAGATAAGAAATATGAAAGAAGCCTAGGTATCGATTGTAAAACAGAGACTGATTCTTGAAGAACTATCAAAGAATTAAGTCTGAGCCGCCTATTTATTGTACAAAGTGATCCCCTGTTTTATAAGATAGTTATCTCTAAATCAGATATAAATCTAGTCTGATATAATCTTATTAATATCTTTTTCTATATATAAAAATAGATTCTATTCTAGGGTTACTTTGTACTTTCTTTTACTTTCTTTTTAATACTGATTAAATTTTAAATATAATCATATTTAGTAGTACTATAACTATTATTACTACTACTTTAATTACTAATTAGGATTATTATAGAGTATACTCTTAAATTACTAAATATAATTTTTATATTTAGTACCTAGATTCTATAATAGTATTATATACTAACTAATTACAAATTATCTTAGTAGTATATTTAAATTTAAGTATATCTTGAATTGATTTATTTTAAGAAATACTACTATTATAATAAATAAGATACTAAAAAATATATAAAGTAATAAGCTTTCTAGAGGGTTTTTGAAGATTTTTTTACTAATATATTATAGATTTTTAACTAGTATAATAAATTATATTTATAGTTTAGTACTTATTTTAAACTAGACTTATTATATTATAGTAGATATTACTAGTAAAAAGACTATAAATTATAATAGAATTAATATTTACTTAGGATCTAATATTATAAGAAATAATCAAAAAAAGTCTATCTTTCTAATATCTTTACTTTAGTATATAATCTCTACTAATAAAAATACTAATAAAAATACTAATAAAAATATTTAAAATCTAGTAATTACTTAGTATATTTAAATTCTATAAGAAAAATTATACTAATTTTAAGTAATTTAGTTTAAAATCAGAAAATTTTACTTGTATTTTCTTTAGTTTTTAGAAAGTCTTTAATTATATTTTATTTATAGTTTAAAATTCTCTTTTTTTAAAGAGATATACTTAGTTTATTTTTTTATTTATATTTTTCTTATTATTTAAATTACTTAATAATATTTTAAGTATTATATAATAAATCTACTAATTCCTAAGTATTAAATTCTATAGACTATCTAGTCTATTTAATTATATAAAATAGTTATTTCTTAAAGAATTACTTATTCTTAATTTCTTTAACTTTTTATTCTCTACTATTTTCTAATTCTAAAATTAGTAGAATTATTTAAGTTTTAACTATAATCTATAGCTTTAATAAATAGACTAGAAATATATTATATAGTCTACTATATTTCTTAGAGATAATAAGTTTATAAATTTAAGATCTTATTTATATACTAATTTAAAATAGATATTTTTTATTAATAATTCTACTATTTTACTAATATTAAATTTTTCATAAAATACTTTTTATTATAGTATTTTTTAATAATTCTTAGATATATCTTATTATTTCTATAATATTTTTATAAAAGCTTTAAAAGTAAGTTCTTCTTATAATTATATTTAGTACTTTCATAATTTCTAATTTAGATTCTCTAATTCAGAAATTTAGTAAGTATCTAAATAGAATCTAGAAAGAAACTCCCTAAATTAACTTATTATAAATATATTAGATAATTTTAATAATTAGAGTTAATTTACTTATTTTTTATCTATAAAATAATAAAGATAGTTTTTTAGAACTTAGTTTATTTATTTAGTTTATCTATTAATTTATAGATATAAAATAGTAAAATATTAAAATTTAATCTTAGAATAATAGTTTAAGTTAGACTAGAATTATAATATAAAAATTAGATTATAATCTAATATAATTTCTTCTAGATTACTATATTCTAACTTAATTTTATTAAAGAAAATTAAGGTAAGATTATCTATATTAATCTTAATATAAATAAAGATAAATTTAATAAATTTTATTATTAAATTAGTAAATAATTTAAAAAAATAGTAAAGATTATAATTTATTAAAAACTAATTTTAAAATATTTTAGTTTTTGAATAAATTTAGTATTTTTTAATAGACTTTACTATATCTTATAAAAATATTTCTAATAGTATTTATACTTTAATAATTCTTTAATCTTATTCTAATTAAAGTAGTTTATTAAAGATTTATTATAATAGATTTAGATTATTTATATTTAAAGTTTTTTAGTTATAAGAATATAGATCTAAATATTATAATAAAGAAATCTATAGAAATTAATTAATTACTTCTAGGTATATTTTTTATTTTCTACTTTAATAATTTTTTTTATTCATAAATTATAGAATTTTTAAGCTATAACTAGAGAATAATATTCTAAAGTTTTTTAAAAATATTTTTTTAGACTAGTCTTTTTTACTATAATAGTAAAAATAGTTTATAAAAGAATATCTTAAAAATAACTTAGTTATTAGTAATCTAATACTTTTTTCTTAACTTATATATAATCTAAATTTAGAATATTTAGATTTATACTAGATCTATTTTTATTACTAATATTCTTTATAGATTTAAATATTAAATATTACTAATTTAAGTATAATCTTACTTTAATACTTAGTTATTAGAAAAATAGTCCTTATTTATATTAAGATTTTTATTAGAAAGTTTTTTTATAGTTATAAAAGTCTATATTATAATAATATATTTAAATATAATTTATTTACTTCTAAGATCTAAAATTTTTTTAATTAGTAGAGTTTTTTAATTTCTAGAGTTCTAGAAAAATTACTTACTAAACTAGATTTTTTTACTTAATAATAAATAATAAAGTTATATAGGGTTAAATAGAGATATTATTAGATCTATTTTCTATTAATTTTTTGTTAATTTATAAATATTTTAAAATTATTATAATCTAATAAGACTTTAATATAGAACTATACTCTATTAAGATATTATCTCTATTATTTAAAAGATTATATAATTATATATAGTTCTTAATCTAGTATTTTCTAGTTTTATTCTATAAATAAAAATTACTTTAACTAGAATACTATAAAATATTATAACTTATAATTATAAAGTTAAAAAATATTCTAGTTATTCTAGAACTAGATATATTAATTTTTACTTAATAATACTACTCTAGATTAAAATATTATAATAATAGAATTTTACTAAATAAATTAAGAAAAGTCTAAAAAGTAATTTTTTATTTAGAATTAAGTTTTATCTTTTCTAGTTTTTTTTTTTCTATTTATACTTTCTTTAAGTATCTTTATTAATAGTAAAATAATTAAAGATATCTATAAATAAATTAATAATAGAAATTATAAAACTTAAAAAAGATTTAGAGATCTTAGATTATTTAGAGTTATTTCTAAATCTTTATTATCTTAAATTAAACATAATCTATTATAAGATATAAAGTCCTATAAGTATTAGGGGATAATTAAATAGCTTAATAAGTAACTAAAAGAGAAAATTATTTTAAAATATTATTCTTAGACTTAGTAATCTAAAGATAAGATTAAAGAGATTAATAAAGATAATAATAAAGATAGGTTTACTAGGGGGTATAGACTCTTTTTATATTAAATTTCCTAGATAATAAGTAATATTAGACTAGACCTAATTAGGCCTTAGATAGAATAATATTTATAAGTAGTATAACTAAATAGGCTAAGCTAATTTAGGTATTTAGTAGAACTCTAAGTATCTAAAATATATTTTAATATTTTGTCTTAAGCTTAGTTAAGCTTTAATAATTTTTATTAAGCTTAATAATAATAAGCTTCTATTTAAGATATTTAACTATTCTATAGTTATAGAAGTTATATATTTAGATCTATAAATATTCTAATTTTTATATAGAGATTATATAAAGATTTTTTTAGGATTAATATTAATTTAGATAAATTTTATTATTTTATTTATTTTTCTAGTAATCTATCTTTAATATTTCTATTATCTTTTTTAGAAACTTTATTTCTAAATAGATTTCTTTTTTTATCTAATTTATTATTATATTAGAACTATTCTAAGTATAATTTCTTATAATAATTTTTATATATTTTTATTTAATTATAGAAGTCTTAATAGTTATTTTTATAGTTATATTTAAGTTTTTTAAATTCTAATTAAATTTTATATTTATATTTAAATAAAACTAATTATTTATCCTAAGAATAAATTTATTAATAAATATATAAATTAGTACTATTTTACTTTTAGTAATATACCTATATAATTTAGTAATATTAGTTAAGATATTATACTATTTTATTAATCTTAACTTAGTTATTATTATAAATCTGAATATATCTAGTTAAAGAATCTAACTATAACTTAGTTAAAGATATAACTAAGATATAGTTAAGAAGTTTAACTAAAAAGATATTCTAAATATAAGGATAATTATACCTATTTAGGTTAATATATCCAGAACCCTAAGGTTGTCTAAACTTACTCTCTAAATAAGAGAGGTATTGATAGTAAAATAATATTATACTATTATAAAGAAGCTATTAGATATATATAGGGCCTACACCCTCTAGATAAATCTAGGAGTATTATTATCTTTAATTATTCTAAATACTATCCTTATTGATTACTTAGTTAATTATTAAATCTTTCTACCTATTACCTAATAGGTATTTCTTGAAGCTA